CTAGCTAAGAGCTCTTAACTTATCTACTATCTTAAAATATTTTTTTTATTTCTTCTCTACTACTAGTTCTAATAGCTTTAATATAAAACTATTAATCCTTTTAGCTATTATTATAGTAATTAAATAATATAATTTAAAATATTTAGAGAGTATATAATATTCCTTTTAAAGTTTATATATATTATTATACTTTTTAAAACTATAGAGGTTGTCTTTAATTAAGTAGATTAGGGCCTTTTTATTTTTCTAGAATAGTAAATCTTATAGTAATTAATAGAATTTATTAGTATTATTTTTAATATAGTTACTAAAAGTAATTTTAATAAGATTTTCTATAATATAACTTAGTTAATAGCTATATTAAAAAATAGATTTTAAGTTCCCTTAGATATAGCTATATAATATATTATATAGAGTACTTATTAATATTAGCTAGAGCCTAGGTTTATATAGTAGAATTAATTTACTAGTAAGTCTACTTTTTACTTTTATTTATATAGTATATAGATATATTAGGTCTCTAGTACTAGTTATTTCTAATGTCTAGTGCTATATAATTAGATATTATTTATATAATAATAAAAAGATCTTTTACTTTATAAAGCTATCTTTCTATTTTAATAGGATATAATTTATATTTTCTAAGATTAGTTATTAAAATATCTTTTTAAAAAATTTAAAGGAAGTCTTAAAAGTATTATTATAAAATACTTATATTATAATAAGGTTTATAAAGTAAAAAAGTAGGAAGGGAACTTTTAAGATATTAAAGGATACTTTAAGTTTATATTAGTAAATAAAAATTAATTATAAAGAAGCTATAATAAAGTATATTTTTATTTTAAAGTAAATTAATTAGATATAAAGAAAATACTTACTTCTTATTTTAAATCTTATAGATAATCTTATTTTTTTTCTTATTATATTATATTATTAGTATAATAATAAGCTTTATTTTCTCTAGATATTCTAAAAGATCTTAAATAATTTTTAATTTAAACTATTTATATTTAAGATTAACTAAATAGCTTAGCCTAAAACTATAGATTCTATTAATAAAAGTAATAATATAAAAAGTAATATATACTTAGGGTTTATAAAAGATATCTTTAATATAAGTTTAGAATATAATTAATATTAGAATAATATTATTAGTAGTTATCTTTTTTTTCTAGAATTATTATTTATATTTTAATTTTAATATATTTAGGAGCTTTTTATATATCTACTATACTACTTATTAGTATAAGTTAATAGTAAAGGAAATAGGAGTCTTACTTTAGTGATCTTATATACTAGACTGTCCTCTATTAGTTTTAGATTAGTATACTTAAGTATCTATAAGATTCTTTTTATTAGATTTTACTTTCTCTTTTTTTATAAGATTATAAAGTTAGCTATTTTAATTAGTAACTTTTATATATTTAGAATTATAAAAGTTTAATTAATATCTTATTTTTATATATATTCTTCTAGGCTTAGGGTTAGGTAGAGGTATATAGAGTTTTTAATATATATTTTAAGGAATGTTTAATAATATATTTTTATATTTTTATTATTTTAATATAAGTTATACTAAATACTATTAAAGTCTTTTCTAATGATATCTGTAAAGTATTTAGTTATATTAGTAATTGAAATATAATAGAGTAATAGCTTTTTTTAGAATATTTATATATTTTAAGTATTTTATACTCTTTTCTAATAGTATATAGTATTATTGTTAACTTTATATCTATCTATTATAAGGCTTGTTCTGTTTTATTGGAATAGCTTTTCTGCTCTTTGTTTTTGTAGAGCTTTATAGTTAAGAGGATAGTTTATAAGAGGTTGGATTTCTTTTATAGTTTGTGCTGGGAAATGAAAGACTAAGAGATATACTAGAGAGATTAAGTTTTAGATTTAAGAATAGAATTTAGGACTAGGAGAATATTAGTTGGGAACTTAAAAGGATGAGCTAGCTGAATTTATTTCTAAGTATGAAGGCTTGTTTTTTATTTTGTATGCTCTAGGGTGGGCTTTATAGTTATGTTATTGTTTGAAATGGGTATTGGAAATAGATGGTGGGGGCTGCCCTGGTGTACTGCTGTGGAACCCGGTTCACCGGGGCCACTACATCTTGGGATCTAAGGCTGTCATTTATGGTTGGCACAAATCTGCTAACTTTAGGACTATCTAATCCGACAGGTGTGAATTAAGAGGAAAGCTACACTGGAAAAGCGCTGACGCGTCTTGATTTAAAATCCCCTTCTCCCTTTGCCGGCGTCGACTTTGCTATACGTGTTCTTGCCGTACCTCGAGTGCTTTTCCTGCTTGCGGATGGCTAAAGGTATCATCCCCTTGGGACATCTACTTGTGTATTTATACCCTTGCACGTCTGCTTTGTTGATCAGTACACTAATGCGAGATGGGGGCGAATCCGGCATGCTAAGCAACTACTCCTTCGCTAGGACAACTTCGAGACAGTCTTACCCCCCCTTTATCTACCCAATTTACTTAACACCTACGCATCCACCATTCGAAACCACCATCTTACAGCACCTGGGCCTGAGACGGGTAAAGCATTCTATGGCCTTCATCGACCTCTGCCCAAGGACATTGACATAGCGAAGCTGCAGGGCAGAGTGTATGGTGAAATCCGCAACCCCGGCGCGCTAATGCGGTCGGATAGCGCAAGGGCCGCACGAACCGGGGTGCTGGATGTCGAGTGACAGAAAATCACTCTCCAGTATTATGACGCAGTTGAAGTCGTGAATGCTCTAAAGATATATCGTCGTGGCGAAGGAAGCTCTCAAATTTCCGAATATTATCATCTTTTACCACGATCTTGGTGTCGTACTATCCCTGCCATCTACGAGCACAACGAGCCGCGACAATAGGTTCACGGGAGAACCCACGTACCGTAGGGGCCAGAGCCCTTATGACCCTCTCGAGTCTCGACGCCGTCAAGGAGTCACGCCTTGCAATTTCAGCTCCGGGCGACAGTCCATCCCACCTCAATCACAGCAAGGATGAAGCCATACACGAGGACCAACTGGCCTGGCGACATTCAGAGTTTGGAACAGCAAAGTCATGACTCGTGAATGACTCCCGCTCGGCTTTGCCAATCGACAGGTGTGGTCAAATACTTCAGTTGGCGTCTAGACGAAAAGCTCTGCGGGAGCTGTCCTATCCGACAGATCTACAGCCACACTTGGTACATCCCATACGCCAGGGCAAAATAAACCCAGTTATGGTAGCAGTCAGCAGCGTCCATGATCATTGGCAGATATTTTCGTTCCCACGTCCCCCCAATCTCGGCGGTCCAGCGAGACTTGCGGTATTCCCAGTACGCCGGATACCATCCAGACTGCTGCTAGTCCATGATGGAAAGAACAAGGGCACGACCTTTCTGTGCCTGCGGTCGCGTAATGAGAATATTGCTTGGGTGGAGGTCGGCGTGCGTAAAGACGATAGGAACGTCGTCGGGTAGTATGGGAGTATAAGGGTGTGGCTCGCGCCCCTCGACTGGTATTCCGCGCCCTGGCCCAAAACTTAGTGTGAAATAGTCGTGGAATCGGAGACTGTGCTGAAAGGGCCTGGATGAATGGCGCCGCTGTTCACAAAATCCAGTCTAATAATAGCCCTCCAGAGATGTTGCTATGAAAGAAGTATCACTGGCGCCAGCGTCTTCCGCAATATTCTGTGGTAAAGCTCTCTAGGACTTGACCATCTCCCAGAGTTGCTGGCAGATATCAATCTTTCCGTCTTCATCGAGATCACTCCAACACTGTTCGAGAGTTGGACCATCTAGTAGTTCCATATAGATGAAGTTCTGGTTGTCATCGCTACACCATCCGCACACGTCAGGTGCTGGTAGGCTTGGAAGATTCTCCCGCACAAAGATAAGGCAGTGCGCTTCGGCGATCGGAACTTGTGATCCGGACTTGACCAGGAGCCCGAGGGGCGGGAACTTTACAGGTGGAGGGAGGGCGGGGGTGGTTTTTGGCCCTGGGATTTCCTGATTTGAGGGCTGCTTCTCTGACTTCCTCGGTTGATGGCAAGGAGAGCAGTCCCGGAGGAAACTTGTGTCGGAAGACAGCAGGATCACCACTATCTTTAACATGAGTTCTGAGCTGACCGGTATCGAGCCGAGAGAGTTTGCTTTTGTTTGGATTTAACCGTCCAGTATTGGTTGGTAGGAACAGAACAAGAAGAGTGATTAAGCCGGCAACACGCGACTGACTGCAAAAGAACATGGAGGAGGCTATCTCCTAAACTCAGACCGGGTTCGATTGTGTTTTTAGTCCTGGCACTTTCCTTTAACACGGAAAGGTACAAGAACATGTAAAAAAAAAAAAGCTTCACGCATGTGCCTCACGTGGAACCGGAAGCCGCCATCAAAGGATCTCCTGGACGATGATGGTCTATGAGGCCACATGTCAGTCTAGGCGAGGCGAAGAACTCATGATTGGTTCCTTGCATTAATCTAAAAAGCACCGCTGCTATGCTAATAAAAATGCTTTTAGCAAGAGAAGAATCATCTCGGGAAAGAAAGTTTGTTCTTCCTCCTTCACACAACCTCGGTGATTGGTAACCTGACACCGGCTCGGCCCATGGTAATGATACATCGTCGAACAGGTAAATGATGTTGCATTATCTATCCGGTAATCGGACTTTAGGTGTGACCAGCGCACTCAAGAGCACACACCGGGCAGAGAGTAATTAGGGATTGGCATTACTCCAGGATAGTTGCTCGGATCGAGGGAAGGTGGGCATTAAGGCGGCACAAAAGCCGTGCTAACTACGGAGCCTATAATCTTGATAAAACGCAGCAGGCATTTGAAAAAGCAGTTTCTAAGAAACCGTGCAGTTCCAAACCTTTCATCAACTTTAATTTCATCGATAGCGTAGTTAAAATACTAAAGTACGAGCTCCGAGAACCGAGGATCGCCGAAACTGCGGCCCTCTCACCGCGTTAGTGTGATACACCTCGCGCCACACACAACGACTCTGTTTCGTTAATCCCTAGGCCACTTTTGGACAGGGAGCTCTGGGAGTGGTGGTGTCCCGATTAGCTCAATACCAGCCACCTCGGCAAAGCTTCGAATCTGAAGTTAGGTCAATACCGCCCTCGCCACTTAGTAAAGTATTAGAAGAGGTATATTGAAGCCATATACATACCATGGATAGCATGTAAGCAACGTAGCGTCTGGAATCCCGAGGCCAGAACTCACCAGGCGGCAGTTGATGAGGCTGCTCTAATGTAATATCAATCCTTTTCAGGTGGGTTTCAACACTCCAGATATCTAAGAGCATCTCCACTGTCTTGAGCCAGGCCCTAGGATTGCCCCATAGATTCATGATGAAATGCACTTGCCGCATGCGTTTCAACATATCTTCACTGATGAACTCGGTAATATCCATCGGCCGCGCCAAGGTTGCTGTACCGGCCGGTGGTCGCTTGAGAGTGAAGGTTTTGTAGCGCCACACTTGCTGGGCTTCCCAAGCCGTCTGTCGACTGCACAACATGATGCCCGGGGTGGTCTTCAGCTCTGCTGGGACGTGGGGTGTCGGGCGGACGCTGATTGGCAGCTTCTTGGTCTCCGTGTGCTCGTAGTCACCTGCGTAGTTCTGTTTCTGGATCCGTGCAAAGATCGGGTCAAGATCTGGGTAGTCAAGAGCAAGGATATAAATGTCATGTCGGATAAAATACGGCAACTCAAGGAATGGAAAGGTTTGACGCGTGTTGCTATCCATGCTGCAGAGCAAACAGACTGTGTTTCGGCATGTGTTAACCTGACAGTTGTATGTGAGGAAGTAAGAAGAAAAAACAAGAAAAAAAAAGAAAAGAAAAAATGAAGAAAGGAAGAAAGGAAGAAAAGGAGAGAGGGAGAGAGATAAAAGGGGTCCTAGTCTTGTTTCTTGGAGTTTAGATTTCACAAGGCGTAGTCAAGAGAGTCAATAAATGTGTATGAAGATTGAAGAATAGGGGACCTGATTTGAAGGGGTTCCGCCATTTGGCAAGCGGGAATTGCGATGTTAAATACCTGGCATATGAGCACGTCGTCGACCATTGGCGTTGACTCTGCGAGGACGGTGCGGGGGATCGACCTGCCACCCAATAATAGGCCTTGCCAGCTCCAGACGACAATAGACCTGCGTGCGGATTAGACTAGGTACTTCGTATAGTTTACCTTCTTGGGAGCGATCGCCGCACACCACCACCATCAGCCAGGGTAGCGCGTCGGGACATATCTCGGCGGAAGGCGTCATACGTGTCGTATACGCTTCCCAGGAATCGTGTTCAGGGCAATCGGAGCCAGCCTTGTCCCGACGGCGTCAATCCCGATTGCCTCCGACGCCTTTTCCATCTCCCAGCCCCAGCACAGAATCACACCGCCCCTCACCTGGGAACACCAAAGATCAGATTTGCCGTTGCAGGGTTTCTTGAGCAGTGGGCGCACTACGACGATGTGTCATCGTTTTTGCAGAGGTTTGCCCCAAGCATCCATTCCACGGGATTCAATTTCACTGTACGGCTCCTAAACAACGCTACCAACCCCCAGAGCCCCAAGGAAGATGCAGGGCTTGAAGCCAGCCTGGACCTTGAATATGCCATGGCAATGGGGTATCCCTCAAACGTCACGTATTACCTTTCGGGCGGGCGTGCCACGTAAATCGCGGACGATGGCACAGAGATTACCTCGGGGGCTAGCAGGAACGAACCATTTCTCGAGTTCCTGCGGTACATCCTCGACTTAGCTGATGATGAGATTCCGCACGTGCTCAGTATCTCGTACTCGGACGATGAGAACAGCGTACCTTACGCTTACGCCACCAAGGTCTGCGATATGTTCGCTCAGGTGGCGGCACGGGGTGTATCCGTCCTCGTATCGTCGGGAGATGGGGGAGCTGCGGGCACAGGTGTCGGGGACTGCTATAGCAACGACGGGAAGTATATCAAGATGTTTACCCCGACTTTCCCACCCAGTTGTTCTTATGTCACAGTCGTGGGGGCCACCCGATCGACCGTTCCTTTACAAGGATCTATGGCATCTGGAGGTGCGTTCGGTAACTATTTTGAGACTCCAGATTGGCAGAAACTCGCCTCGATGGAGTACCTCAAGGCTCTGAACGGGAAAAACAAACACTTCTACAATGCGTCAGGGCGTGCGATTCCAGACTTGAGCGCGCCGGGAGAAGGGTTCTCCATCATAGTGGGCGGAGAAGAGACGGACGTCAGTGGAACGAGTGCCAGCACGCCCGTCGTTGCGGCGTTGATAGCATTGATTAATGGGGAGCGACTCAAAATGGGCAAGAGCAGCCTGGGGTGGCTTAACCCGCTCTTATACACACCAAGGGTGCGGAAAGCACTCGTGGACGTTTCCATAGGGAGAAACATTGGATGCATGTATGAAAACTCCACTGTGCCAGGCTTCGACGCCTATAGGGGCTATGATTGCGTCACTGGGCTTGGGTCCATTGGAAGCTTTGAGAAGTTGCTAGAAGTGCTTGTTTGAGTGTGTGTCTTTTACCTAGATTCTCAGCCGCATTTGATATATATATATCTCCAATTTAATGGGAGATGTGTCGATCTACTTGGGTTGCGGGCGCCTATAATTGCGCAGGTAGTCGGAATGGTCGCCACAAATGCTGCTGGATATGCCGATTGTAATACAATGTGGTATCTCTGGAAACATGAGAGCTGCGCATCTTTGACACGATCGTTAAATATCTAGGTATGTATTCTAGGATGCTCCCTATTCCAATTTACCGAAAGCTCAGAAATGCCCTATCGGGAGAATTTCTCTTCACATTGAGGATTGAGGAGATGGCACGGTAAGCATGCATATTTCGTCCCACACTTTCGTTGTGAGTAGATGTAGGATACGAATGACGAAAAACAGAGAGGCATGTCGTAAAAGTCACGTTGTCAGGCATCAATGTTAAGGATGAGAGCGGCTTATTACTACTGGTTATAGGTAGATCAAACGCTCAGGGGCTCCGTTGCTCCGTGAAGCCACATGCTAGTCTGCGTGAAGAAGAGTTCATGGTTATCTGAAAAGATCCACTGCCACGCCAAGGATGCCTTTGGTAAGATCAGAATGTTCTCAGGAACTAAAGTTTGTTCTTCGCACAGGCCTCAGTGGCTAGATTATAGAGTGTGAAGTCAATATTCTCCTGACATCGTGCCTCGTGCCCTCGGCCTCGTTAGAATATTAGCTAGCGCGAGAAGGAGTGAGGAGGTTCCGACGACGAAGAAGGGTGTAAAACGGCTAATATGAGGACGAAAAGGCGTGTCCTTGATATTACTAGTGAACCCAGCCAAGTGAATGTTCTCCGAGAAGGGTAGGAGAATGGAACTCGACAAGGGGAGGCGAGCGACATTAGGGGGCATGGAGGACAAGGCCATCCTCTATTTTTATACTTCTTCTGTTTTTCTCCTCATATTTAATGATAGCTATGCCCCGTTCATATGCTAGGAACGTTCCACATTCTCATACAGCCGCATAACATAACCATACGACCAATGGCACTGTTATTAAAGCTAATTCCTTCCATTTAACGTTCCTTTCACCCGGCAATAACACTGAATCTCGGGGTTTGTATCTCAACGCCTATAAACTCCCACTCGCACTTATGCATCAGAGAGGCAGAACGCACATGTTAACAGGCACGACATCACAACTGAAGGAGGACTACGTGTGCATCCGATGCCCAAATGATCCTATTTTTGGAAAGATAAATGATCAGCTGATACTTATATCGCAAAGTCACCGTCATTTACAGTTTTTCATGTCGAAGGGGAAGGTGGCCGTGGGGAGGCCGCCATTTTGCAGCGGGTCGTTCGTATTCAAACAGCACGTCAATCCAAGGCCAAGAATATTGCCGGTCGCGCGATTGGCACACGGTTCAATAATCAGCCTTTATGACATTGGCGCAAGCAGGTCAAGCATAGTATCTCCTAGGCTTGCAGTAGTAGGAACTAGGTATTTTCTGGGTCCGCCGGATCCGGAGCCCGTGCGAGGATCAACCCAAGAGAGGGAAAGCGATCATCGCCGAAATGCATGTCTCTGCTGTAGGCTACTTGGTGTGTTGCACTCAGAGCACTATTCTTGGTTAAAATGGCCGTTAATATCTTAGCCTCCTCGCTCCACATGTCGAAATGGACGATGAAGAGTATGGAGAGCCCGTCATTGCCGAGCGTTTTGCATTCGGGGCTCATGGTGACCAGTATCTGATCCTTGACTGCCTCATCAAATGTAAACCCACGTTATTATATCTCCGACAAGAAGTAACCTTGGCTCAGAATTGCCCGGAGTTAAGAATGAAAGGCAAGCGGGTAGACACCAGTAGGACTAGGGAATAAAGATTCTCTAGCCCTATCGGTGGCCCCACACAGAGCTTAGGGGTCTGCTCCTCTTTGCTCTACATGAAGAACTCCAAACGGCTTCAACTTGACTTTCAATGAAGAATGTGGGAAGAACTGGTCCGTTGCATTGATGCCCAATGACTAAAATTGCACTTCGGTAGGTCTCGGTGGTTGGTCGACCAAGACAAGCTGGGGCAAGTGCCGTGCGCTAGCCTCGCAGATCTCTTCAGCCACCAGAACAGAGGGGAAGTGTAGCTTTGTGGATGCACACGAAATATTCCACAAAGCCTGGGGGAATTAGGAAGGAGAGCTTGCGAAATGCGGTGTGAGAATTCTATTATTTCATCATAATTACTTTTGCAATTTCTTTTCTGTTTTTCTGACGTCCCTCTTTGAAGATGGTGTGAACTCCCATACGGGTGGAGACTGTGGCCGGCCACATATTGTCCGATCCCCCAGGCAAGAGCGGATAGACTTCGTTCAAGCTTCCCAGTCTGATTCATGCAAAGCGGTTGATCTTTTCCCGGTCCTGCAACAATAGCATGCGCGTGGCTGGCTACACTTCCTGTTTCCCCACAGCAAAAAGCCCGCGGCCAAGGAAAAATAGAAACGCGGTCAGAGACCGCATGCAGTAGCAGTAGGGCAGGCAGGATATTGTACATTCCAATCCGGACAAGGGCACCACTACTGTCAAGGACATTACACTATTTCCCGCTGGTGTCCAGAAATATCCAACGGCCCGAACCGGTTGAGACGTTAACTTGAACCCTGGTTATTAGGGGTCCAAGACGGATAGGATTTGCCGCGCTGCGGGTCAACGTCTCCAGCTATCGACGATAGTCATCTGCATTCGTCGTTGCCAAGTGACGAAGAGGGGGAGCCGGTTCAGCTGGGCAAGCATGTTGAGGTGTTTTCGGAGGCGGGATCGCTTATGTGTGCCTAATTCTAATACGAAGCATGAGAAGGGAGCTGGCTGGTGGCGGCATCAGGACCCAGAGGCCGGGAGATTAAATGGGCCAAGCCGCCCGGCTTTCCAGTTTATTCTAGTTGTCCCAGTCAGGTATGCTCTCCTCTCCCCCGTCTGTATCTGTGCTCTTATTCTTCATTTCTGTCAACATGCACCCCGAAAGCCCGATTGGGTCGCTAAGTAGGTCCTCAACCGCCTGTGAGATCGAGGACGGCAAAGAACCTAAAAAGTTAATCCTCTGCTTCGATGGCACCGGCAACAAGTTCAGTGGTTCGAACGCGGATACAAACGTGGTCAAGATCCTCAGCAAACTAGACCGCAATGACCCTAACCAGTACCATTACTACCAGAGTAAGACTGACCGGATCTCCCCTATTTTTATTCTTACTTTTTTCAGTGTTATTATTTTCCTCTCTCTTTGGTTTCTTCGCTCATCATTTTCTAGCTGGTATCGGCACATATGATATCAATGAAACGACTGTGCACAAGAGTTGGTATGGGGAGATGTGCAGCTCCATCTCGCAGACGATAGACCAAGGTGTCGGCACGACCTTTGATGCCCACGTCATGGCTGGATACCGGTTCTTGATGCGATACTACGACTCTGTAAGCCGCCTCCCTTGACACCCATACACCTCCCCACACACATCTGTCCGACGAATGAAAAACCAAGCACCATTGCTAACCTTTGGGAAGGGCGACAAAATCTACATGTTTGGCTTCAGCCGAGGTGCCTTCACTGCCAAATTTCTCGCCCGCATGATCCACACCGTCGGCCTCCTCTGCAAGGGCAACGAAGAAATGGTCCCATTCGCCTACCGCCTGTACCAGCGCTACCTCGCCGGCGAAATCGACGACTATGACTACGCCCACGCCAGGCGTCGCTGGAGGCCCTTCGACAAGGACAGGGGATACGAGACCGAGGATGACGAGCAGACTCCGCTCAGGGACGAGGAGGGAAATAGTCGCGTGCATCACGGAAAGCAGTACGAAGTGGCGAGGGATGAGATCACGGCGTTTAGTGATACCTTTTGCCGTAAGGAGCAGGTGGTTTGTCGCAACGGGCGAATAAAGGAGAGGAATATTAAGGTTTACTTTCTCGGTGTGTGGGACTGCGTCAACTCCATCTCCGTCTTCGAGCCGAGGACGCCCATCCCCGTTCCCATCAAGGGAACGGCGCGCTACGTGAGGCATGCCGTGGCTGTCGACGAGAGACGAGTCAAATTCAAGCCCGCTCTTTTGGCGCAGGATATTCGTGCCCTAGCCCACGACGGCGAGAAGGAAGACATAAAAGAAGTCTGGTTCCCCGGCTGTCATGGAGATGTTGGTGGTGGTTGGCCGGCTGTGGCTCCCGATCCGGATGAGGTAACAAAGACCCCGACGCTTTGGCAGCAGCTGAAGAATTTTGGAAAGCGCGTGCAAAGTTTCTGGAGGACCAGCAAGGCAAAGGAACCCACCAAGGCCAAAGACATCTTGACAGATCCGTTCCAGATGAGCGATATCCCGCTGTCGTGGATGATTCGCGAGGTTGAACTAGTAGGACGGAAGGATCCGACGGCAGCGGTTAAGTGGCGGCCGAATGTGGAAGGGTTCAAGAAACGTTTCAAAAAGAGGAAGTATCAGGCTCTTGATGGCGTGATGCACGATGCGTTAAAGTTTGGCCAAGGAACGGGCTTCTTCACAGTGCTACTATGGATATTTATGGGTAAGAGTTAAGCTTCCTATCCTAAACCACAAGGGCCTTGTGTCAATATTAACCTGGCATAGAATGGTTCCCCTTCATAACGCGATGGGAGCTCGAGGATAACGAGTGGGTGAATGTGAGGTTCCCTCTTAACGCTGGGTCCACACGAGACATCCCGCCCGACGCCGTCCTACACGAGTCACTCCTTTATCGGTTGCGAAAGGAAGCGAATTACCTTCCACAAAACAACCACGGCGGACGACTCCCGCCGTGCCTCAAACATAATGGCATCATTCCAGAAGTAGAGCCCATTATCGAGAATGAGTGGGAAGCGGATCCAGATCATCAGACATACAGGTTCAAGAGGGACACAATGGAAGAAGAGTACGAGGTCAACCTGGAGAAACCGGAGCAGCCACATAATCAAGGCGTATGTGAGCAAAAACTAGGGGTAGAAGCTAAGCCGACATAGATGGCTGGGGATAGGATTGAGGACCTTACAACAAGAAAGGCGGAGATGTGCTGCCGTCGTGGATTGCATGGGCTAATCCGGCTGTTCTGGGCGCTCCCTAGATCTCTCATACTAGCAAACCCTGCATAGCTGGTACGACTGATGATGTTAATGAGATGACCCCACAAAATTACGTGCGGTAAACACGTATTAATCGCAAAGAATCACTCGATGTATGAATTTAGATGCGCCAAACTCCATATATTAACCTCATCTTATTTTACGTAAAGCCCACCTCCGACAAAAGGAACGCAAGCTAGGGTCGAATACTAAAACGAGGCATAGAAGAGATGCTTCCAGGCGTAGGATCGTCTAACAGAAGATCGACTCCGTGGCTTTTGAACATCCAGCGAATATCAGCAACCTGGGACACGGTAAAACCGGAGGGCATGTTCTTCGGCGTCCATTGGACCTCGACAGTACCCAAAGATGGGAAACGACTCGCCGCGCACTTCCCCAGCTTCAAAAGATCACGGTACATCGAAGGATACGGCTGTACCAGGATCAAATGCTTAACGCTACCGGGAAGTAATTCGGCGAATCGGCCGTTTCTAGAACCGGGCTGAGCCCTCTCGCCACCGGAGAAAATGGCGGAACAATGGAGTTTAATCCTTTCGAGTGCAGAGAACTCTCGTAGTGATGTGATAAACTCCTTTTCCTCCTCGCGATCGGAAAATCTATCGCGCTCGCTGAGATCGAGTTCGAGAATCTTCAGTTGTGCCTGAAATGGTCGGAGAGCTTCAAGAGCTTCTCTGGGGTTGAACGGTAAGTCTAGGCCCCAAAACCTGACTCTGGGGTTCCATTCGGATCGGTATTTGAAGGCTTCGAGCTTAGGGCAGGAGCCCAGCAGTTCCGATAGATGATTGAAAGAGAGATCGCCGGGATCGATTTCTAGCTTAACCAGATTACTTAACGGCAGGTCCGGCACCACATTCCTGCAGCGAGAAACCTGCAAGATCTCCAGATTGGGACAGAATGCGAGTAAGTTCCTCATAGAACCAAGCCGAACGCCACTACCGTAGTTTGTGATCCCCAGACGACGAAATGAAGCCAAACCGGAGTGTTCACCTTCCCGCTGGCGAGCCACAATGTCCAAGTGGGGGAAAGTCGTTAGCGAATTCGGAATGTATATCTCGGCTGATTGAAGGTTTGGCAAGTGCAACAAGAGCAGTTGCAGGACAACTTCAATGCCGCTGGCGGTGGTTGGATCGATCTCTAAGTCTAGAGGACCGTGCTTTTTTATTCGAGGATCGGTGAATATGATAAACTCTCTTGGGAGCTCGAACTGATGTTTGCTTGCAGTCTCCTTGAAAAGGTCGAAATCTTCTTCCGTCATGCAAGGACGTCCATGGAAGTCGATGCATAGCTCCGTCACATACCGAGCTAGATCAGGACGGAGAATGACTGTTCGCAGAAACGGGACGAGCCGGCCGTCGTCGTCTTCATCGCCATCATCCCCATCAATATTGATACCAGGCTCATCATGTCTTTCATGGAAGTGCTGGTAGAGTATGGACTGCGCGATATCGCCCAACCTTTGACACGTCAAGGATAGGCGTGCCAGATCTCCATTGCCAAGACCGTGGTCGCCCTGCAGCTGGACGCAAATGGCCCTCAGGACTTCGGTGGGGAGAGAGCTGAACTCTGGGGATCCTGGCATGGCGGGAGATTCAGGGATCTGTCTTTGTTTGTCGTCGTCGCCTCCGAGAGATGTGAAGTCTGCGCCAGATCACGCGTGTTGAAGCGGGGTACAAATTCTCAGGAGACTCCACGAGCCGTGGCTGATCACTGGATACGCATTCCACTTTTCTTTACACGGAAGATGCCGGAGGCGAGTTGATAGTCTCTAAAGTCTAGTTTATCCAATGTCGTGAGTCTCACCGCTCTTATTCCATCACCGATGCCCAAAAAAGAGCACTCGATGAACGACGGCATCGAAATTGAAATTTCTTTCTTTCCACACTATACACAGGCCAAATTCTTCGCTAGCCCTAACCAAGGGCGTCCTCAATCTCGGAAACATTAAATATTTTGATATGCATTTTCCTTGACAATAATTCCCAAAAACCTGCAGTAGATATAGTTTGGGAATAACCTAGGAGGTCTCCTTGCCTCCTGAGTCTTTCGCCAAGTCTCTCTCCTGCTTCCCGTCTTCACGACGATGGGATTCTATCGGAAAATCTTTCTAAAAATGTATTTCTTTCCTGCGGATGCGGGAACAATCGATCCGTATGGAGCCATTTATCCTATCTTGTACGTTCTTCGATACAAGGTCTACGGATCTATCTAACCATCGAGTCGTTTCACGACATCTCCGATGTTCTAGCACGATAACTCGCTGCATATTTCACAACTAACGCCTCCAAAGACCCGCTGTCCGCTTTCTGCCGACCCTGCCAGAGGTCCAGCCACGGATTTTCTTTCCATAGAGGAACAGCGGTGGAATCCCGCATAGCACAATCAGAAGCATCACGGCCAGGTAAGTCATAAACCTCAACGGCCCTGTTTGTGATCAAAGTTGTTAGCTGTGAGAATGAGAGGGAAAAAAAGTTTGGCCTACCCAATTGAGAGATCCAAGTTGTAACTTGTGTAGTGAAGAAGAAGCTCGTGAAAAGCCGGAACGTTGACACATTAACGAGCACAGGTCTGAACAGCCACTCGTCAATAAAACTCTTGATAGGTAATAATCGATACAGAATGTATAGAAGAGACATACCCGGCCCATTGCGGATAACTCTCAACAGCGTAATTGTTGATAATGGGAGCACAGGTCAAGGTAGCTGTCAAAGTGAAGAAAGTACCAAGGAGGAGCAGGGCATAGTGCAGCCCGAATTGATTGGCATAACCGAAGATGAGAGTGCCGATGATGGCGAAAATGATTGGGACGACCAGGTTCGGAAGCTGGTACTCGGGCTCGCGTCGACCGAAGCGTCTTGATATCCATAGAGCGACTTTATCCGCCACTGGTCCGCCAACAAAGAAGATGACGACCGTCGACAGCATTTGGGGAATTTGGCTCAGGCCTGTAAGCTCGAAAGGCACTCTAGAATGCAAGGCCTGCATTAATTGATGCTTGGTAAGACATCTACGGATGGATAATGCGTACCCAGAAGCGAGCAGAGCAAAGGAGACAGCCTGGATGGTGACGCCCATGACGATGCCGAACGCCGTTTGTAGGAGTATGCACCAAATGATACCAGGGAAGAACAGCGATTTAAGGGTGGCGATGATTTGAATGCCACTTTCCTTCCAGAGGTAGCCATATTGGAAGAAGCCAACATCGTCCCACAGTCTTCGGTGCCCATAGGTAGCGTGGTCAAGTGCTGTGCGACTCTCACCAGGCTGGACTGGCCATAGCTGTTGTCCGTCTAATAGTTTACCCTCCTCAGTCTTCAGAGACAACGCAAAAGTGGAAGGGAAGGTATTTGGGGTCTCACTGAGTTCCTCCATCGACCGCTGTTTTCTAGTCTCAGGAACAAAAAGTATCAACAATATCCAGGCTACGATGCCGACGGATGAGGTGCCCCAGTATATCCATCGCCAGTCGTGATTCACCGAAACGTATGGGCCTAGGATGCCCAACAATGCGATCATTGGCCCCTTTTGCAATAAATGGTCATAGTCAGTCGCTCATCGCTCCGTTGTCGGGATACGCGAAGTAGTTTACAAATTTAAAACGTACCTGGCTGGCAATGATGGTAGCTACCGCTTTATTCCGCTGATGGATAAAAACCATATCTTGTGCAATCAACGGAAGCAACGCCTCGACTGCCCCGGATCCCAATCCGTGAATGGCCCGCGCAGCGATGTGGCTGTTGAGAGATGTGCTGTGCCCAGCCCAGAAACCAGACGTCCAAGAGAGAGTTGACGTCAGGATCAGCACCGGGCGTCTCCCAATTGCTGTTGATAACGGTACGAGGAGATAAGTAGCAATGCCGTTGCTGAGCATAGGGATGGTTGCCAGGAGAGACACTTGGGCAAGTGGGACGGGTGTGATACCATCAGGGACGACGGCGAGAGGATCCGGATTGTTCCTGAGATCGATATTCTTGAGGGTAGAGCGAGGATCAACGCCGGAATATTCGAGAAGAAAGACCGGCAACAAGCCGCCAACGGCTATCTCGACCGCTAGGGATACGGACCCGACTGCCGATATTTATAACATGAGGTCAAATGGGGGGACCGCAACACACAGGCACGGGGAACTTACAGAAACACAAAGAGCCGATTGCAAGCCATTTGCGCCACTCTGGTAGATTTAATGGATCTAGAAATGGGGTTATTCAACAGAGATCTTGTTGTGCCATAACTATACTGAACGCGCACCTTTTGGATCTGGAGTCGGCGTCTGGGATGGGAGTGTTAGTTACGGGTCAAAATATTCCTCCCTTTCCTCTGGGAATCGGTCTCGTACAGGAATCAACCTGAGATTTCCATGCCTATCGTAGATTTCAGTACTGCCGAGCACCTGCTCCGATTGCTCACCCCCCACTCGGCTCTTGAGCGTATCATCAGAATCATATCGCCTCAAGGGTGATTCCTCGTCACCAAAGCGTGTAGAGTCTGTAGAATACGACGGAGAAGGCGGTCGAACCCTGTCGCGGACCCAGGAGTCTCGAAAATCGACAACGCTATACGGAATCAGGTATGTGTTTCGATCTGCTCTAATTAGACCGAGCTTCCAGTCACGATCGTTCATCGTGGCCATCGTGGCGAACAACGCCCAGCGTAGTTCTGTTCATTCAAAGGAAGAAGAAAAAAAAAAGAAACAGACGATCTCGAGGCCACTTCTACTGTGGCACCTCCAGGGTAGCCCCGAAGCCCGGACAATATCAGGCTGCCAATACATTTTGTATGCTTCTCCCTGACCAAGCATGCCTGTCGATAAAAGATATAATCCTTGAATTAGTAAGATATATCTTACTGAATAGCTACTGGCACGGCATCGGTCTCATCGCCGTGGGGTGATCTGAGATTGTCGATCAGAGAATCACAGATTTGAGGTCTTCTGGAATATTACCACCATCTTCCACACCTGAGGCAGGCCGTACCGGGAAATATCTACTGCATAGTTATAATTACTCATCAAGGAGGCCATTGGACATATCCTACGTGTTTAGAACATACTCGAAACAAGTCGCGCCTAATCGCCAAAGACCGCCCGCTCGTTGGAGTGGAAAGAGCTTGAAACGGCTTTGACACACAGGCCCACATATGATCATCTTGAAGCCTCACTCTAAGGTGGAGCATCGACCTGAATCTCTTTTATGGATCCTCTATTGGTACAACTGTTATGATGAAAGATTGATGCATGCACGACCGACATTGATTGCCGTGCCTGTGGACCTCTGGACCTGGAACATACAGTAAACGGCAGGGCAGGGATGGCACCATGATCGCCATACAATCATCCGAGCTCTACGATGGATGGCATTTCGAAACAACTGAAAAGTGTCCGAAAAGACGAGACGCGACACCTGCTACGCCCCACCGGATCCCCCACCGGGCCCTCACCCGACCGATTGGACTGTGAAACTCGAAGAGCTTCAATAATCTGAGCCTTCATTCGGTATATAGCTACAGTATGTCGGAAGTCCTTTACTGAATCTGACATCAATAGGCAGATCGTTATGGTAAGTAAGACTCGTGACCGACGCAGGCATGAAAAACACTCTCCCTGGACTAAGCAAGTGCAAAATCTTAAAGAACCTAACAGGTGATCCTCCTAGTGGCTCAATCACTCCGGTTAAATATCGCCGTAGACAGTTGATCTACAACTTCCTTGTGACTTGAGCCGTGCATAGGAGCAACGAAGCGTTGAAGATAGATTCACCTATGAGCCACGATCCCATCAAATAGTCGTAAAAGCTATTATCTTCCCTCGCCTTAAGTGGGGGCTGAGAAGAACCGCAGAGCCAACTCAGACACGATAGAGGGGGCGTGCTGGTCCGTTCTCGGAACCAGTGGTGACCAGACCCATCCAGTAGAAATCTGAAGAGCATATTTTATTTCATCGTTGATGGTAATTTGCGAACAACAATGAACCGAGCAAAGGGTCCGTATCATAGCATCTATACTCCATGAAGACCACCAGTTCTCCTACAAACGACACAAACCAGTTACCGTATTTCGTTTTCAGTTAAAAAAAATAGCAAATAAATGAATTAAAAATGAAAGGAAAGACAGCATGAAGTGCAAAAAGAAATGTTGGACGCACCCGGAATCGAACCGGGGACCGCCTCTATGCTAAAGAGGAATTATACCACTAAACCATGCGCCCTTCTTTGATGGAACACAACTGCAGCGGGCACGTCATGAAAAACATCGGTCGAGCATGAAGCTACAGCCTGAGCCTTCACAGCCCCCATCTTATCCAAGTCATTGATGTGTAGGGAAGGCATTGCTAGAGCTTCTAATATTTCCAGTTTCCGTGCACATGCTCGATGCCTTTCTGTACCCTTTTACCTTAGGAGCCTTCACTTAAGGCCCTCTAGCCAAATTCTAGAGACTCTGCGGCCGAAGAGTGAGCTGCTTGACACCGGCGAGGCACAAGAACCCCATAAATAAGTCCCGTTGCCCACCCCTGTAGGAATGAATTGGTTCATTCCGCAGTCTTTTCGTTCCGAGGAAGGAAAAGTAGGTGGCTTCCATCAGTGATATTGAATTCCGCGGTGCGAGATAGCGAGAAAGAAGTTGGTGATAGGTAGAAAACAACCCTAGAAGATATGCTCTAGTGATACTCTTCTTCCATTCCCGTGGTTCCGATAATAGGTATGAAGGTTTCGCAGACTCTGAATACTCTAAACACACCTAGTAACACGATCCTTGTCTCGGCCGTCTTTTCATGGCAAACCCCTGTACGTCTCCATCAACTACGGGGGCGCATGGTTTAGTGGTATAATTCCTCTTTAGCATAGAGGCGGTCCCCGGTTCGATTCCGGGTGCGTCCAGAATTTTTTTATCGGTCCTTTTTTCTTTGCTTTTTGCTCCTTCGCTCTCACTTCCATCGTCTCAATGGCAGAGAACTTAAGAGAAGCCAACCTCCACTACCTACGGCTTTATACGAGGTAGTTCTATATTCGTACGGTTTCGAGTGAATATCATCTGCTTAAGTCCATCTCGAGCTCACACTTTACATATCGATAGTCTAAGATAGACTTCAGTGAAAGAACCCTACGTCGTCCCACTAACATATATATCAATATCGAGAAGAAGAAAAGGAATTCCTGAGAACTACATGTTCGAGTCTATCTGACTTATAGACTCTTTAGATGACCTTTCCTCTTCCACCCCTGAGAATATCGTTGCCACGATAAGCGACAACCAAGTCATTCTCTGGGCTCTCATCCGCCGAGAGAGTAAATGAGAAACTGCCATCTTCGCCCAAAGAACCCGACTGTAATAGTACATCATTGTCGTCCCATAATTCCACGATGCCAGACATTGCTTCTTCGGGTCCTGCAGTCACGTTGCCAACAACCCTAGAACCCTCCATCATAATAGCGGACACAATTGACGGCCCGGTTGGCGGCTCCTGAAACCCGTTCTCCATTAACGCCCACTCAGGCTTCGCCCCACGGCAAGGTACACAGCCTGGCCCCCAATAATGCTGGGGAAGTCTTCCACTGACAGGGTTCCTGTAAGAAAACCACATGGGCTGGATCGCTGGGTATGCAACTGTTTCCGTAGGCCCACCCGCGAAGCCCCTTTCTCTGTCTCCAAGCTTGGGGTTTTTGAGATCGACGTCAGGAGGATAGTTATTGAGGCCTTGCCTCGGAGATATTCGGTCCCTCTTTCGTTGACCTGCTCCAGCCCAACCTCCGGACCAACTGCGCGACTGCCAGTAGAACTCGTCAATAGTAAGACACCACAACTTCCTCCTTGCTGTCCCATTAGCTGTCTCCTCGAGAATAAACTGATCGTGGTACATCCCTCCATTAAATCCCCAAACGCCGTTGAACCCTCCCTTGCTCCCGCTCGACGTCCCAAATTGTAGCAGCTTCGTCCGCATGCTCGTCGATCTCCCGTCTCTCGACGGGATTATAACAGGCTGCAGCCGCCAATGAAATGGCACGTTAGGTCGCTGTGGGTTCGGAGTGTTGGTGTTGTACCGAGCCAAACATGCCTGCGCGATGCGGTCGCGGGTGTAATACCAGCCAACCCCCCGAGACTCCTTGAAGCCCTTCTCGGCGTGCAAGTCGGCGAACATCTGGCAGCGGATGTCGTCGGCGAAGTACCCGTAGGCGGAGCCGACGTTCTCGCTCTCGTCGAAGGAGAGAGACTGTGCTAGTTGGTCCTCGAGGGTTTCGAGGAGGGCTTCGGTTGAATTACCCGAGGTCGTCGGCGCCGAGTAATAGTCCTCTGGTATGGAGTGAGAGCGCCGCCACGTGTGCGAGAGAAACTCGGGAGGTTCGATGGTGCTTTGTTTCGACGGTAGATTCCCTCCGTCAGCCCATCCGTTGGGGTAATAGTCGGCCTCGATGAGACGCGTAATATTGATTGTCTTAATTTTCCATAGGCCGGAATCCGCATCCTTCCCGAAACTGTTGCGGAATATATTAAACTCCCACGCGCCCGCTTTCTTACCTGCGTCGCCGATAAGGCCCATCTCGAGTCCCCTCGCCACGGCGGTCTTTCCATCGGCGCTAACTTCCACCATGGTATCGAATATCGGATGCTCATTCAAGATCCCTTGAGCGAGGCTTTCAGGACCCATCCACCCCTCTAGCGCCCCACGAATGTTGTCCAATCCAGTATGAGCGATGCCGTTGATGATGATCTCAGAATCAGGGTTGCATAAATCAAGGACATCTGTCCACATGCGCTGGTCAATGTAATAGCCGTATGCGTGTTGAAGGTTGCGGACGTCATCTTCGGCATTTAGTCTGCTAACTCGGTAAGCGAGGTCGGCAACATCGATTTCCGAGTCCGAGTCCGATTCTCTCGGGAGCGGGATAGGTATGCCCGCCTCGTCGGGGGTGAAGTGGTACGGGATGATGGGCAATGCGCGTGATCCGCTGCCCACATTTCCCCATCCTTGGGCGTAATCGCCTGCCGTCATCGGGTAGTAGCGGAGAAGGGAAATTTTCCAACCAAGAGACTCTCCGTCCCCGTTGACGCGGACATACTCATTTTCGTAAACGCCTCCCTGGATGCGCGTCTTTCCGGCTCCATCTCCAAGGAGGCGCAAGACCTGCCAGCGAGCTTTAGCAGTGCGTCCATCCTCAGAGAGGCTGACCAACGGCATTTCGTTGAGGTGAGTATGGAGGGACCCGGGCTTGATGCCATCCATGTCGCCCGCATCTTCGCGAAGCCACTTCTCGATCTCGGTCGGGCCCTTCACGATGTCGGCGTTGTTCGTGTCGAGGGGGCCGCCGTGACCCCAGTGAAGTGTGCCGTTGTCGGCGAGGAAGAGGTCCGCCATATCGGCCCATCTTCCGAACTGGGCTAGCTGGGCGAAGGACTTCTGGACGTCCTTGATCTCGCGGACGGATTCAAGGCGCTCAACATTGCGAGCTAGGGTGTTTGCCGAGACAGCGTCTGTGAGCCCCACGGATAAGAAGCTTAGAAGTAGAAGGGGGATTGGGTTGGCAAACATTGTTGCGGCGGGCTCCGGGGAAGAGTGCGGAGGGCGTCCACTATTACTGTCTACGCTACGCAGCTTCGACCATACCTTGGACCGAATAGGAGGGATGACCTTCTTTTCTACTGTGCACGGATTCCCTCTTTGTTTTTCTTCTTCCTTCTTCCTCATTTCTTTTGTTTGGTTTTCCCGTTTCTCTTTCTCATCAACGTCCAGTGCCGATCAACATATATTGCTTGATCAATCAATGGCTTGGGAAACCTGATTACTCTCCCGGGTCATTGCAGCACTCGGCATGCCGGCCGAAATATTGCGGGGAAATCTATGCGCTAGCGACAAGAACATCTCCGTTATGGCTTATTTATTATATTGCCGAGATCTTGGCAACGCTCTCTGGGACCTCTCTCTCCTAAAGATTGGTCCGGGATATTAAGTTGTATGGCAGACGAATAAGGGGTAAGGGTGTCAATGGATCTAGGGAATCCGGGGTTATATTAGATTCTAAATGACGGCCAATAGTTAGTTATATTTCAAGTGATATTTCTCAATTTCTCCGTAACGGCAACTTTAGCATTCCACCCCTACGGCGATGTCAATGAGCTGGCCTCTAGAATTCTCGTTGGGCTGGGTACCAGTTTCCTCGGATGGAAGCCTCTGCAGTAGCAGCATGCCGGGCTGCAAACTCTACTTCAAAGGTTCCTGCTGGACCTGCCAAGCCGGAAGGCCGGACTTCATTTGCATTAAGTGAATGGGGGAGGAAGAATCTATTGTCGCTAGACCCTGTGAGTGTATGTCGCCACTTCTGGGTCCTATATTCACAATTTTTGTGTTGGAAGGCTAACGATCTGGGGAACCGGTGCGACTTCGGTATCTCTCATGCCCCTGGTAACTGCAATAATAGGTTCACGATTTCAGACATGAGCTTTATAAACTGTTACTAGGAGCCTTTGTCTCGGCTTGGGGTGCCATTTCCATCTCATAGATCGAGTCTTGATATAGATTTACTTTTGATCTTGGTACCAGAGAGCAACTTCACAACTCCCAAGATTCACAGTCGACTGTACCTCTGTTTTCGATATCCGATTAGCCACAAGATCAACGGGAACCCCAACATAGACTTGCAGATGGAGTTACCAATGCCACGAGGTATAGAGCTTGTATCGCTATCGCGCCTTTATGCGCGTCAGGATTGTCCAAATACGTTATCACGGAAACAAAATCGACTGCTATTAAGATAATGAGAAGCCCGAGAGAGCCGAGCCGGAACACCCAGTCCACTCGCACCCGCAGTCGCCTGAAAAGCGTGAGGTCTAACGGTGTCCAGCGCCACATGAGGAGGGTAATCGCACCACTAACCAAGGCCAACAGAGGCAAGATTGCAAGATTCATGTAACGGTACCTGGACGTAAGGTTTAGCGATCAGGTGCGGCCTCTATTTCTGGGGGTGGTTTCGGAGAACCAACCAACGCGGTTCAACACCGCTTTTCCGGATCAATTCAAGGAGTGTAATCTCCACTGGCAATCGCATCACGAACGCTGCGATAGATACCCATCTAAAATTCGCCAGGACTATGGTGCGCGGAGCCCAATAGCGGGCTGCCGGGTGGACGCGGGGGCCTGCTCTTGTGCGTGACTGGATGTTGCTCCAGTTCGACGTGGATATTCCCTCGCCAGACCGTATAGCGCGTGCGAAAATCTGGATATATCCATCGATTCAGAACCCAATCATCCGGTGGTATCTGTGGTTGAACTTACCTTGCTCCTGGTGGTCTGCGATTTGTCGCGAGCTCTCTCGTGTTCTTCGAAGAGTGCAGCGAGAGGGCCGGGAGGGCGTGAGCTAGCCTCCACCGGAGACGCCGATTCTTCATCGCGAACCTTCGCTCGCGGTTTCCCATTCTTCGTATCCTTTACAGGGCGATACGTGTTTGGGTATCTGCAATAGTCGGGCAGGAAGCGGACCCAAAACGCAGCTGCCACGGCTTGTATGACCCACTGGCCCGCAGAAGCCCCGAGTAGTAACCGCGACCAGAAACGAAGTTTACCACGCCAATTGCGCAATGCATCGTCGATGGAATAAATCGACAGGGTTGGGTTATTATCTTGTATCGATTGTAAGTCAAGAGGTGAGAAAGAGAGTTTGCCTGTAGCGGACAGGCGGGCAGACGCCAGCATGACGCCGATCGAGGCCAGAGCCAATGCGATTCCACTCCTGAGCCTCGTACGATCGATGTGATGCCAAAATACGCTAAAGTAAATCGTATTGAGTATGATAGCCGCGATGATGAATGCGTCCAGGGCGAAGAGCTTCCAGCTGGCAGAGTACTGGGGCGAATGGCGAAGAAATCCAACTATTTTAGGAGAGTCGCTGACGTTCGCGCTGGAAAACATCACGACAACGCCAGCGGAAATTGTCGGAATCAAGGTAAGTTCGAGAAGCCGGTGTCGCCAATTGGGCCTCTCCCGCATTCGATTGACTGACATCTTGACGTCTTGTCCTCGAATGGGGAAGAGGTGAGACAGACGATGGGTCGATGAGGGTTTAAGAATCGACCCAAGAAATAAAATAAACTAGGATTTGAGGCGGGACAGTCACTTCCGCTCATCTTTCAGCTCCTCGGACGCAAAGGGGCAGTGTTTTGACCCCTCAAGTCCCTCAACAATTTGATTCGTCGTTCATGTAACCGCAGGACTCATCGCGCTCTGAACTGGTGTGGTGTGCATGACCAGGCTCTGCGCCAGGCCTAGCATATGGGGACTTTCCCTCATCTCTACTTTCTCCTCCCGTCTCTTGTTCTCCCTCTCTTTTCCCTTCGCACAATGCTGCCAATCGGGGTCACAAAAACAAGATGGCTCTTTGCAACAACTGCCAGTCCTTCGATATCCAAGTATTCAATAACGGCGATGGCTTCCCATACCGAGGGTATCCGCTCACGGAACTTCTTGACTCGGTAGATGGCGGATGTTCATTCTGCAACCTTGTCCTCGAACACCTGCTGCTGTCAGAGATCGAGAGGGGGTCTGGCTGCCTTAGCAAGGCACTGCGCCGCAGGGGGAAGGGAGGGCTACAATCAACGGGGTTCCTACGAAACTTGCCCAGCCGCCTCAGGGAAGTTGTGAGACCAACATGGGTCCATTTCTATGTTGACACAAGGAGACGAGGAGGGGATGAAGAACCATTGAAAATACTGCAGCTGGGTGCTTACGCTTCAGCTCACGCTCCACCCCACACCAACAGAGAAAGTGTCTTTGAAAATCTGGCTCCCACTGTTTGGTTTCACGTCGCCGCAGATCTAGGTAAAGGAATAATCTGCACCCTACGCCGTCGCTAAGCTAGGACTAATAGACATCATCATCTCCGCCACTATTAGGCACGCCCGCTCATGAATCCAGGGACATTATCGGCAACTTACACACCGACACCGAGCAAGAAGTTTGGCCTGAATCGCGGTTTAACGAAATTATTTACTGGCAGAAGACCTGCAGTCGCAGGCACCATTCGTGCAGGAAGACGCTGTCACGATGCGAAAGTCTTGATTCCGACAACTCACCCCCCCCCCCGACTCGTTGCGTGAAAATCATGGCATCGCAGGAACCGGGGGGGATGTCCTTCTCCATCGCCTTGTGCGAGACGACGGGTCAGACCGGAAAATACATAGCGCTGAGCCACAGGTGGACCCCCGAAACAGAACTCGTAAAGACATTAAGGGGAAACTACGCAGACCGGATCGGCGCCGGCGACCGCCCCGTCCAGCTAACGCCAGTGTTCCGGGACGCTTGTCATCTGGCCCACAAGTTAGGCATCGCCTATGTCTGGATCGACTCCATTTGCATAGTTCAGGACGACCCGGACGACTGGGCACGGGAGGCAGTCCGTATGGCCGACTACTACCAGCGCGCTTGGCTCACAGTCGCTGCCACGAAGACAAACAGCCAGGAGGGGTTATTCTCCAAAGTAGATCGGAGTACCCTACCCAGAATTGCCCGTCTCCCTTATCGCGACAAAAGAGGCGAACACAACGGGTATTTCTACCTCCAATGCGTCGACGCAACAACCGTTACCAGGGACTACAAGACGTGGGTCACCAACGGCGAGCTTCTGAGCTGTGGGTGGGCCTACCAAGAGTGGCTTCTCAGTCGTCGGATCCTCAGTTTTGCGGACGGCGGATCTTTCTTATCCTGCCAGTCTGAGGCCCCTCGGTCTATTATTGGCGATTATGTGCTGCGCAGAGACACTCAGATGAACGGGGAAGAAGATCGGGTAGAATTGGCGTTCATGCACCACCCGGATACTGGCGACTTTTCAACGCAGGAGAGTATACTCTCCCAGTGGGAAAGGGCTGTTCAAAGCTACTCCGGTTTGCGACTGACGAAGTTAACGGGAGACCGCCTCGTCGCATTGGCTGGCGTGGCTAGCGAATACAGCAAGGCGTTAGAGGCGAAGAAGGAGCCTGATGGCGGCTTGTCTTACTCTTACGTCGGCGGTCTTTGGTTCCCCCACGCCCACGGGCTCCTCTGGGAGCCCATTATAAGCGGTACCGTAACCAGACTAGATGGTCTTCCTACATGGTCTTGGGCTTCGCTCAAGATACTCGAGAGTGACGGGACCTGTCGCGGAATGGAGGTTCGGTGGTCCACTAGTACTAAGAAGGGGAAGAAGAAGGTGCTGCTAAAGGAGCAATGCAGGTTGAAATCGGTTCGCCAACTTCCTGTTCATCGCACTGATGAAGAGAATGACGCCTGGAAGGCCGACTTTGATTGGAACGCCGAGGGGGCCCAGCAGTCCCAAACACACGGTAACGACTGTCGCTTCTTCGCCCTCCAGCTCAAGGGGTTGCTGTGGAACGTGAATATCCACGGATACTTCGAAACCAAAGTCGACGCCGACACGGCGGCGTTACTGACGGCCCACAGCCCGGACTTCGGGAGGGAATACTGGCGCAAAGTGACGGTTGATGGCATTGTATCTGACGAGGTGACAGGGTGGGCCTCCGTCGAACATTCGGAGTATCAAGTTTTGGGATCCGGCGACATTGTGACGACGCCCGTGCTCGCGTTCGTTGTGGCGAGTGTAGAGAATTTAGACACAGGCGCAGCCTTCGGGAATATTTGGAAGATGAGATCCACGGCCTACAAGGTTCTGTACGTAAGACCGGTGAGCGTTCCGGGGAAGAACAATGTTTATGAGCGGGTTGGAGTTGGCCGGCTCTTTGGGGAAGAGGTAGATGTTATATTTAAGTCATCAGAAGACCTGCGGTCGACAAAAGTATGGTTAGTATAATAGCGCGCGAGAATCGGTAATGATGGGCGACAGATTTTCAGTACACGAACATACTATTTGATGCAAAGCTTCTCATATGCAAGGCTTCTCTCCCCAATGCCAACCTTCTAGGGACGTCGCTGGCTTCGTCCACCAGAGTAAACCTCCAGCATCCTCTCCCAGTAGGAGCCCGAAATCGTTGGTCTCGCTTGTGCAATCCGACGGTAGCGGAGGTGAATAAACAACCGGTGTGTAATGGTGAGTAGATAGCCACAAATTGAATACGTCGTTCTCTCGGGGCGGGCGTTGATGCATGCAGCATTGCCCAGCCACATTTCAAGATGGGATTTCAAACTGTAAAAACAAAAGTAGCGCGGAGCTTTAGGAAGGGTGGGCACACAGACTCACACATCTTTGCCCTTCTGAGAGATCGTCCGTTCGGAAATCTGCACAGCCGCCGCCACAATCAGCTCTTTGCGATTGCTGCACCAGCCCGCAACCGCAATGTCTGCTGTTACTTTTGGATACTTTTCTCGACCCCCTTTTCCGTCCTCTTCGCCCCATTCCAACTTTGGCGGGAGGACACTGAGAGTCATGTCGGCATCTTACTCGACGGCTGCGGCCTCTCAAGGGGCTTCTGAATGGTCAAATCTCTCCCTCAAGCGAAAATGGTCACCCGGCGACGACGATGAAAAAGAAGAACGCAGTGTACCCACCAATTCACTACCGAAGCACCCTACGGCAATCCACCCAGACCTCTGCAGTCGGTGCCGAAAAGTCGACTGGGCAGGTCTGATCCGTGAACCGCCGACGTCTCGAGTGGGCCGGCATCCGTTTAGATCCGCTGCCTCTAACATCTCCCTCAACCAGCTCCGTCAGTCTCGTTGTCCCGTCTGCCGAGCTCTCGCACTCGTCACACCTCCCGAGCTAGACGGCCAACAGCTCTGCATCAAGGCGTTCTCGTCGAATCATGCCCTTGGGGGAAAGTATCGGAGACTCAGTGACGCCAAGGAGTACTCGGATTGTACGGTGATTTTTCCGGTCCACGAGAGGAAGTCGGAGGTGCAAAAACTCGCGAGGACAGGATGGCTCGAGGGAGGGTGTCTAGCGTTGGTGGAAGTGGGAGACGGGGAGGAGCTGCGGCTCCCAGAAGTCGGACCGCGGCTGGCCCGGCCAGATTCTATCGACTACTCAGTTGTCAGGCAGTGGATGAACTTTTGCAAGTGCAAGCACGGCATCGCTTGTTCTATAAGCCCACTCCAGTCGATCAAAGGTCTCAGAGTTATCGATTGTCGTACCCGCGCCGTGATGGATGCGCCGACATGCTGTCGGTATGTTGCTCTGTCATACGTATGGGGGTGTCCCCGGCCGAACCCTACCGATGATGCAGATCCAGGAAGTCAGTTTCCGCCCGTTGTGGACGATGCTATCATAGTTACCCAGGCGCTTGGGTATGGGTACCTCTGGGTAGATCAATTCGTTCGTCATGTCTATGCCTGAGCGATCTTCATAGCAATGGTGACTAATCGTTAAGCAGTGCATCGATCAGGAGGATGGTCCAGCCAAAGCACAACAAATTGCCCAGATGGACAAAATCTACTCTTTTGCCCACCTAACAATCATCGCCGCAGCCGGGACGGACTCCTCCTATGGCCTCCCAGGCGTCGGAGATGGAAGGCGACGTCGTCGCAGGCCTAGGCAGGACAAAATAATCCTAGGCGAGGTTGCACTTGTTCAAATATTCCCCCACGTATCACACACGCTGTCACAGTCCCGTTGGGCAACCCGTGGCTGGACGTATCAAGAAGGCTACCTTTCGCGCAGACGGCTCATCTTCACAGACGGCCAGGTCGCGTACCTTTGCAACACGATGCACTGCCTCGAAACGATAAAAAAACCGATGGCCTTGAAGCGAACCGAAATAAGAACTGCCAACGATTCATTCCTGAAATTTATTCCTTCAGAACCGAGTTTCCGGTTGAGGAATCTCCATCTGTGGGAGGAATTCAAGGAGAAGCATATTGTGGGGTTTACGATGCGAGACTTGACGCAAGCGTCGGACTCGATAAATGCCATTTTGGGCATTTTTCGCTCGCTCGAGGGCAGTGGGATCCTGCATTTTCACGGGATACCGTTGCGCTATAAAACCGACCGCCGTCGTGGGAGAAGATTGGCCTGCGCACTTGGCTGGCATCATGAGGCTGTTGGGAATGAGAGACGGGGCCAGTTCCCGAGCTGGAGTTGGGCTGGTTGGAAGGGTGATGTGAGGATCAATGAGCCTGATGTCTTGGTTCCCGAGGACTGCCTTGTCGCGTTTCTGGACGATGTGACGGGGCGACTGACGTATCTCGAGGACTGGTTTGAGTCTGCTGTGACGGGCTCCTCTACTGAGATTCTCGATAATGATGCAGTGTCGACGCCCGCACCGGTGCTGCGCATCACAGGCCCTACATTTCGCGTTAAATTCCAGTCCCCATGTCTTTCATCATCCAACCGCTCTCTCAGCCAAATGAGTGAGCTCGCGGGAATGAGTTTCCTTGAGGGGCCCCATGCCGTCTTACACATTACTGAAGAGATCATCTCTCTAACTTACGCATATCTCGATGAAGCCATTACCTCCCCCGCCGAGGACGAGAACGACATCATAGCACTTATCCTCCGGCCCAAGATCCCTATTGGCGCAACATCATTAACGGCGCTGCTCTTGAAGCCGGCGGTCGAAGGGTCTTCCCGATACCGGCGCGTAGGCATATTGCGCATCCGGCACGGCAGTAAGTCGAGGCCGACGGGCTATTTGGCTCCCCAGACGGTGTATATCGATTTGGACGGATCGGTGCTTGACGAAGTCGACATGGATATGCGGGAGGTTCCAATTTGGCAGCGCGATATCGCAGTCAGGACCGTGGAAATTGTCTGAATTCAAGTGTGCATCTTGCCTGAGCCCGCTATGACACGGGGAATTTCAAGCCTTTCATTTCTACTTGAACTGCTGAACCGGTGCCAGGCTCACAAAGATATCCGCCGGCGCACCTCTCTCGTATCAATCTCAAACTTGGCGAACGATCAAGACCGCCGCCGAGGTGTGGCTGAAGGAGTTGGGACGGCCTGGCTTGATGAGTTTGAAGGAGTTCATTAAGCTGAACACGGAAGATCTGATTTGAGGACTAGAACTTAAGAACATGGGATTAAGGAGTCTTGATAGATAGATTCACTCGATTTTAAAAAGGAAATGAAATCAATTTAGATAAAAAAAAAATGAGAAAAAAAAAAGCCTCCTCGTTACTGTCTATAATAGAGCAATATATATAATAAGTAGGGTAAGTCGTAGAAGTCGATTTATATGGGTTGGGGTGGGAAACAAAACTCATCTTGCACATCAAGATGAAGTTTCTGAAAGACAACATTGCATTATTGATTTCACAGAGCCTTTATGAGTACTGCCCTGTTTATTCACTTGGCCATAATATGGCATTGAGTATAAACCGAAAAACTGATGATGCCTAAATCAAGCGGGACTGATGAAGAGGTTGGGCTCCTGCCTATCAAATTCGCTGCAACTAAGATGCAAAGCTAGAGCAAGTTTGACTCTCTACCATGAGATGGGAAGAGTATAATGGTAGGTACTAAGTGAACGACACCTGGGCAACCTTCCGGGGGCATTATAAACAAGGCCCGATACCAGTGTATCAGCTTTATGCCCAATATGACATGCGACAGATGCAAAGGCATTCCTCTCGACCTCTTTCTTGATGACCACTCCCCGATCCAATATCAATTATATCGCTGGTTCTTTAACTTCGCGTTCTCCGCTAGACTAGGTTGCCATTCTTGTCTGATATTGTTACAACAACGGGCTCGGCAGATTGAAATAGGGCTCGGCCTGCCAAATCGTGGTCCGCCTGGGGATGGTGACTCATATTGGATTGAATGGGGCTCCCAAGAGGACCAACTCGTCCTCGCTTCGGGATGGAATCATTATCTGCTGAATTACGACTGTGAAAACGGACTTCGGACTTCAGGTACGGCGCAAAATACAAGCCCGGCCATGCACATGAAGACTTGATGATAAGCGACTCTAGCAATTACACCCTCGCTAGCACCATCAGCAAGCCAAGAGAGCTTGGGAATCCTCAGGTCATGGCTCGACAAATGCCTGAACGAGCACGAGCAATGTCGGAACCCAGACGTAGCCTTGCCCAGTCGCCTCCTTGACGTTGGCCCCGCCGATGGCTCTCAAGAACCGCGGATTGTTTGCGGAGCAGAACTTACGAACGAAAGAGCTAAGTATTTAGCATTCAGCTATTGCTGGGGCCAAAAGACTAAAGATTCGCCGTGGACCCTCAAGAAAACAAACATCGATCGTTTCAAACTAGGAATTCCATCATCTCAGCTCCCCCAGAGTTTCCAAGATATTATCAAGCTAACGAGAGCTTTGAAGGAGAGGTATGTCTGGATCGATGCTCTCTGTATTCCCCAGGACTCTCCCTATGATTGGGCGAAGGAAGCTGCTTCTATGGCTCGAATTTACAGAAATTCTCTCTGCACCGTGATATCACCAGTTTCAGACCCCGGACTGCCCTATTTCGTCGAAAGGAAGACTTTAGAGACTACCCCTGCTACTCTGCAACTAACGCCCCGCGACGGAGGACCTTCTGCCGTTGTGAGACTCCATGCAGTCTTGCCAAGGTGGACTTCGGAATATGACCCCGGCGCCCGGGGAGAAGATGAGTCGGACCTGAAGGCGAAACAGCCAACGAGAAAACGCGCCTGGTGTTTACAAGAATATGAACTGTCCTGTCGGACCGTCACATTTACTACGCACCAGTTTGTCTGGATCTGTAAAGAAATGCAATGTTCGGAAGAGGAATTCTTTGACCTGACATGCTCCGTGGCAGTAGCGGATAACGGGGGCGGTGGGAATACGCGTAAGCCTCCCTCAGCTCGCGTCGAAAAGCTGCTGCGACGGCTCCTCGGTGCATTTGGCCGAACTACCAAATTATCAGCACCAGACTATCTTAAAAGTCCCGATCGAAGCGATCCATTACAAATACATCGTTTCAAGCGGAAGCTTGCTGAGCCCCCCGGCCTTTATTCGAAGTGGGAGAAGCTTGTGGAGGAGTATACGTCGAGGGGTCTCACACAACCTGGAGATCGCCTCGCCGCGATTGCCGGTCTTGCAGAGAGAAGGCATCAGGAGACGAAAGACCAATATCTAATGGGGCTATGGGAAAGCAACCTGAAAAATGAATTGCTGTGGCGCGTGCGCGATCCAACAGAGCCCGCGAAGATTCCGCAGCTATCGACCGCGCCAACTTGGTCGTGGGTCCCAATCAACTCCGCGATATACTTCCCTCGGCGTTCCTATGACCTAGGCAGGTCCGAAAGCCGCATGCCACCCCCAACCGGGAATGAAGTCGCTATCGAGAAGATTGATATCGACAGGGTTGGCCACAACCCCTTTACAGAAGTATCCTCGATACGCCTAACTATTGAGGGTAGGCTCATGCAAGCGTCAATCTTAAATCCTGGATCACACGGACCAGGAAAGGGTTCAGTCGATGGTTGGGAATTAGTAGATGAGGAGAGTAGTCCCCTTGGTCACCTATTCTTCTACGATTCGACACGATATTCCCTCGACAGCTTAACCATGAAGTGTCTCTGGCTGGACCCTGGCATCGTGGAAGATGCGGATTTGGAACCCAAACCTGAAAGATACACGGGAGGGTTTGGACTGGCACTCTCACCGAAGCCAGACTCCAAGAGCGGGCCAGCATACATCCGGATCGGTTTTGTGCGGTTTCATCCCCACGTCGTAAGGCGGATACATAAGGTCGAGAAACTCAGGTTCGCAATGGTGTAATCAATGGCGCCGCATACTCGACGAGGAGGGTATCTTTGGACGTTATAAGCCGGTTGTGCTGTGAACTCTGAGCGCGGACTACATCTGAGTTAAGCTAAGATCAACGACTGGACAGCGTGAGATGGAGGAGGAAATCAAACGGGGGCCAGAGAGAGATTGCGCAGAACATTCCTACTTGTATCACCCCTAGATAACGACGACGTGTTACCTGGAGGGAACATCTTTCCCGTCTGGTGGGAAGCCTGGATGCCAAGAAGACGAAGAGTGCAGAAGTGGCAAGTTAATAGCTACTCAATCCTAAAGGGAGTAAGTGTGAAAATCGACCATTCAGAGCGGATTCTTGACGAAAGAGCTAACAGCATACCCTAATGGACTTCGCGAAAGGTATCGAGGGCATTGAAAGCCTGCATGGGTGGCGCTCAGACGACTTCCCTATTGGTCGACACTTGGTCCATCCATCCCATCCCTATTCCCATTTTAGGCTTGTCGCAAGTTTCGCAGTTTCGCGGTTCCTCAGACGGCATGAATGGGCCAGGCTGCCATCCCCTGGACATCACATCCTGGTATAATAAATACACTGACATCCCGCATACTTGTCCCCACCGGTACCATCTCCTTCCATCACCCCCCAAAGGAACTGCCCAAGAGATCAGTCACGATGCAGCAAGCTGGCCGACAGCTCAATTTGAAGAAGTGCACCCAGTGCCGGAAAGACAAGCAGAAAGTTAGCCGTCCCCATCCAAATGGTAACTCTCCCCCCTTCCAGCTAACCTCATAGTCAGTGCGAACCGGTTGACCGGGTATGGCCAGGTCAGAAGTGCGATCGATGCGCCCTAAAGGGATTCACCTGCTTGGAAAACATGAGTGCTAAAGAACAGCACGCCTTGAACCTTCCAGGTTCATCATCTGGTCTGGAAGCTGAGGATGAAGGTTTCCAGCAGTATATCGAACTGTAAGACCAGCGGCAACTCTGGGTGATTTGAAGTAGTTTTAACTTACTGACGCAACCAGGACCGCGAGAAAAGTCAATCTGCTGTGTCTATTTTCAATTGTCGATCAAGGTCCCCAAGTCAAGTGCTACGCTGAATTCAAGGCCCAGATTGAGAAAAATAGAGACGAGGCGCAACGCGCCCTCTGGGCTGAGAGGGATTCCATTCTCCGAAAGGCCCATTGCCTGATCGAGACCTCACAGTCCCCCTTTCTCAAATTTGCTATGGTGTCGCTGATTGCAGACTTGCCACTTAGCGCACTCGACCACCAAGATAGTTATTTGGATCTTGTCTTGCCATCCTTCTGGGAAACGGCGAGGCAAGTCCAGAACCCCGGTGCCGCATTCCTTATACAAGAATCTCTTCTCATTCGACAATCCATGAGGTCGGATGAGGTGTCGGGCCCGGATATAGCTAGATACCACGAAGGCTCTCAGAAACTTGCAAAGCTGGTGGCTGAAACTAGTGACTGTGCACTTCCCCCTCTCTCTTCGGTGGAGCAGAATGCATTCGCGATTATTGCGTCCGGAGATGCTAGAAAAGTGGCCATGGGGCTAGCATCCATTGGCAGCTCGCCTGCGTCTGATATCTTCGGCCGCTCGATGTTGCACGTTGCCTTAGACGGAATGGTTAATCGGGTCTCATCCCCATCGTTGCCAAACGCATTCGAAGAAAAAGATATCCAGAAGCTTGTTGGGTGTGTGGATCTGGACCAACAAGACGCTTTCGGTCGCACAGCCCTGCATATAGCATGTTCAGAAGGACTCGACTCGGCAGCACTTATCATTGTCCAAGGGGGCGCACGGCTCGACCTGGTCGACTCGAACGGCATGACACCGCTTCACTGGGCAGTCAAAAATAGCCGCGAGGAGTTCCTACTGAGGTTCTTCAACACACAGGATTGCGCGTGCCTCCTGCACAGTACCGACTTCGCTGGACGTACTCCACTCGATATAGCACTTGACTCGAACTCCCCATTCACCAACCTTGATTTGCTACTTCGATGTCATGAGAAGTGGCTTGAACACGAAAAGTTGGAATGCACACAATCAGAGGGATTGGGATTGATGCATCTCGTAGCGCAGGGTGGCAACAGAGAGGCCGTGGCACTGCTCATGGACGCGGGCCTTCGCCCCATTGATTCCCGAAGTAGGCGGTCTGGATGGACACCTCTAGCCCTTGCCGCAAAGCAGGGACATGCTCAAGTGGTCAAGGTTCTTCTCGACCATGCTTCAGTAGATCCCGACTCACAAGACGAGTACGGCAGAACCCCGTTATCCTATGCGGCGGCAGGTGGGCATGAAGAGGTCGTTCTCCTACTCATTGGAACCATGTCTCGCCCTCTGTCGCGGCGAATTGACCTTGATAAAAGGGATAATATGGGGCGCACTCCTCTCTTCTTCGCCGTCGTGAATCGGCGCCAGGCTGTGGCCATGTTACTCATGGCCACCAATGGAGTGAACCCTGAAGTAGTGGCGGATGACGGACGAACATCCCTGTTAGTAGCCGAGGGCCTGAATGATGGGATGGATATGCACAAGATACTCCGAAAGGAGGTTTGGAATTTCTTCTGTTGTGACCAGGCGTTACCAACTCTGCACGATCTGGTTCAGCATTGCGAGCAGGTCCATGGCGGGCAAGGTATCCATCCCGGACCCAAAGGGATCGAGTCGATTCAGGAGGACTAAGGCTACCTGACACATGCGATCCAGCTTACGAGGGATGCCATCTCTAACAGCACTACCGAACCAGGGGCGAACATAGAGCGCGATTGCTATTGGATGGAAGTCCTTGAAGACACCTTGCTCCAACTTTCGCGTTGGAATCAACTACTACGGAAATGAAATGCGACTTAGACACCGTACTGGCGTGCCTGGAGGGGAGAACTGGAGGATGCAGCTCTTGATCACAAATGCATATGTGCATTTCAAGGGATCAATATTTCATCTCAATTAGTTTTGGGGCAGGTAGCCGGCTCATCTTACAGCTGCCTCTGCTGGAACGGGACTTAACTTGAGTGTCGCGAAGATGAGGAATCGGGTACTGGATAAGTTTGTACATGAACAGGGAGCATCTTGGATTCTAGACCTACCACCTCTCCATTCCGTCACGAACCTCTCCCCCAGTCCCCATTGGACTGCATTTTATTGCGATTGTCCCAAGGGATAAATCCTTCTTGGCAAGGCTCACTTCAACTTATCAGATGGTTTGTTGCTGCGGCATGGAATATTCCTACCCTGGGGTGATGCCAAGGGCTCAATCGCCGAGATCAACAAAGAAGGATCAAGTGTCGGCGATCAGATGCTGATAGAGCCCAGGCGGTGAGCGAGAGCTTCGTGGCGGCACCAGGGTTCTGTTAGGCAAGGGGCAAGGGAAGGGCTTGTGTTGGCTTTCCACCACCGGTTATCCGCCAATAAGAACATGAACTGCGTATCTCCTCCATTCAGAAGCGCCCCAACTCGTTTGCTACGATCATGAAGTTAAGGATGCATTGGCACTAAGCTGAAATGAGTGTAGGTATCCTCCGGCGAAGTCAACGGCCAAATTTGCCGAATGGGTAACCGTGCTGCACTGTTTCGGCCGTATCAACGACGTACTCTGTACTAGCCAGGGCACTGCCTCTCATAAATGCAGGCAGTGCAATCTTCCTCTCAACCGAAATGGGCCATCATACCACTACTGTGGCTTTCGGTTGCCGAAAACGGATGGTTGGCGCCAACGGAAACGGATATTGCCAGGGTCCGCTTCTAAAATAGATGTTCGGTCCCATGAGGCCGCTCGGCGCGGCTGAGAAGCTGGCCAGCAGATCACCGCTTCTTTCTTCAAGTTGCATCGCGACTCCTGGGGGATTCAGAGTTATATGCAGTTTCTACCTCGCGTTCCAACCTCGTATGATGACCGAAGTCCGATATCTTCCCACGTGGAGGACGATGGGTCGGCAAGTCGAGAAATTAACATACATAAAGGGCCTCTCGGGTAGAAATCCTCTTGGCCATCAGACGTCAGAGTGAAGCCGCATCTATCAACTCTATTCACATTCTCCTCCACTTATTGACTCTCATCGCACCCACTACAAAAATTGTTCTACCTTTCCCACAATGCTTTTCCAACTTAAGCAGATTGTGTGTTTTGGCGCCTTGATGGGCAGTGTTTCAGCCGACTTCCGTATCTATATGGGATACAATCAAGCCAGTTCGTGACCCGAGCTGTAAGGAGTTCCAGAACGCCCATTCGGCTACCGATTCCATCTATGGTGATCTCACCAGGGGCGAAGGGGGCTACAACTGCGATGGGTGCGAAGGAAAAGGGGGCATCACACGCCTAGAAATAACGGACAGCGGCAAGAGTCCATTCACCAGTGGGGCTCTTGGAGTTTTGACCCTTTACCAGCGGAAGAATGACAAGCTTCGGTACGATCTCATCTCATTTGACAAGGCCGGTGGGTCTATGACGGGAACTCCTGGATATGTAAGTTTGTCCACGGTCCTAAGAAGCGAGACTCGTCCTTTAGGCGGCGATGGTCATCCCCAACCTTTTTCGGCAGTCCCCGGAATCAATGTATAGATTCCATGTCGATACAGGAACTAATATAAGCGAACCGCTAGTGTGTGCGCATCACTAAGAACAGGGATTCGGTGGATTGCTCATACGGGCCTATGGGGTCTGTTCATGGGCTACATGAGTTTACGTGTGTAAGTTTAAGTCCTATGACAGCATGCTACAGATGATATCATACTAATAATCCTCTTTGGTACACTTACCTTGGGCCCGCCTAAATTGTAGGCTCAAGTCTCGGATTGAGCGTCATTCGTGTTGGCCATGTTTGTCTGCCGTTTGCGGTATCGCCTGTTTTTGTTTTTGTATTCTGCTCGTTTGTAAATTCACATGTTGGCAATGGCCGGTGCCGATATGAGGCGCCACTAGCGTTGGTTATGTAGAATAAGACGATACATAGATCGTTTGCTTTGTATCACCGGCGTCCGCCATCACCCGCTCCCGTTTGTCCGGCTGCGAAGTTCCCAATGCCCAATGCTGTAAGAACCTTCTGGCAATGGTAAATCTTGTCTTTAGTACCAATTGTAGTCATCCGCTTCCCTCCCGATGACAAGTCACACGCTAGGAGTTGGAACGGGGCGAAGAGGTGGGATGGGTCCTCGGCCGGGGGCTTGCTCGGTCGACAGTTGCCGGACGTGGAAGGACCCTAATACCGTAACGATATCAATAATAAGCGATCTTTTCGGGGTTCGGCGGCCCTGTCACATTTATCCAAATAGTGCATGCCGTAGGAACTGCCTTGTCCACGAAGATACGGAACTTCTACCGACGGCGAAATGCTATAACCGAGATGCAGGAAAATGAAACCGAAATTAAAAACAAGCATTCGCTGGGTAGGATCTACGTTCCACGTGATATTCGCGGAATAGAATTGCAGGCGGCCCAGGCGAACTGCCCACGGCATGTCCCCCGCCTTTGCCACATGGTTCGAGATCGACCCGGAGGACGATAATGAAACGTACACCCCTTTACTCTTATCTTAACAACTTGTCTCCTGGAATTTGAATCCATAACCTACAATTTCCGCTTCCTACGTGGTCCCCAGCTATGAAATCATGGATCTCGTCCCGCAGCGCCGAAGCGAGGTCTCTCGCGATCGACAAAGAACTCCTAGCGGACTTCCAACGAGAGAATCATCACTCTGTCTACTTTACCGGGGACAGAGATCTTGGAACGCCTCTAGTTGCGAACCTTCTTGCAACGAACGTACATGACACGTATACCTATCGCGAAGATCTCAGTCAAGAGTTGTCTGCCTGGTTGAGGGACATTCTGGAGGAGCTGAGCAAAAATTATAGAGGGTGCTACAATAGCGTCATTGGACAGGTAGAATATATCATGGCCAAGCTTGATATATCGAAAGAAACTTTGACCGAAAGCATCCTAGAGGGCATCCAGGAGCTGTTGGGGAGCCCCAACTTTAAGCAGCTCCTCGAGACCGACTCTGGCCTGGTCCAATATCGCCTAATCCCCAAAAATCGGAGATACTATCTCGACAGCATGTATGTTCTCACTCTGCATCTCTATTTAAGTTCACCATGTTTACTAAGACTTCATGTTTGCAGTGTCGGCCACCTACCCCGTATGATCTGCGGAGAGTACCACCCCACCACGGCGGACGTCGCCTTCATCATCCAAAGAAGAAGAGGATTCTCGAGAACAACCGCCATATTATCCCGTAGGTCTTGGAAGTTAGAAATTCTTCCCTTCATACATGGTGGATGTGGCCATGCTCGGAGACTAGCGAAGGAGCTCGTATCCGATGCTCTCTTCGCCGTATATATATGGGACCTCACAACCCACGCCGAGAGATTGATGGAAGATGAGAGTGTGTCAATTTTAGACGAAACCTCTATGATGCTCAGTAGTTACTACCACTCGAGGTGGATGGGGACAAAACCTCTCGTCCTATTTCTCGTCAACCTCTCCGCATTCAAAGACAGCTTCACGGTCGAGTCGTTCCGGCTACAACACCACGACTACTCTGGCGGCGATGACCCAAAGGAGGCCATTGACTACATCACGGGGGTCTTGCGACGCCCGTTAAACTTGGAGATGGAAAAACCACTCCTCTTCTATCCCTGCGATATCTCGGATGAGTCAAATCTTGATCATCTGTTTGCGCTCGCTCATCAAACTCTTGTCATGAAGAACACACCGGTTTACGAAAGTGATGAGGAGTTGGAGGAAAAAGAAATTTGTTAATATTGGTCTTCTATTTACACACAATGCGTTCTCGATTGGAAGGGACGAAAGTTTGATGAAATTGCATTTGTGAACGGCAAAATGTAACCCTTAAAATGCTCTTCTCGCCCTCCAGGTTCGCGATCCGGGCCTAATTCCAGGTTCCCTTGATGATGTCCGATGCACGCTCGGCAACGGCATAGATGGTTGCCGTAAGATGTCCGCTAATCTGCATGGGGATAATCGATGCATCGACAACACGTACATTTGTCGTTCCGTAAACCCTCAGTTCTAGATCCACCACGCCGCCAAGTTCCCGGGCCATCATGGACGCGCTACCGAGTCCATGAGAATTCGGCACCGCTATGAAGCAGGGATTAGCCATTCAATCAACTAAATGAGTGCAGGGGTGCCGGCGTGCTGCGAGACTTACCAGACCCACGAGTAAACGCGTCCCATTGCTCATCTGTAGCGTTGTTGGGCAAAAGGTCTTCCCCAGGAAGCACCGGAGCGAGGATAAGACTGCTCACCGGATCGGAGAGCCAGAACTTTTGGCCAAGTCTTCCCGTGGCGACGGTGGCGGACAAATCAAAGTCGGCACGGAAGAATCGAGGGTCGATGATGGGATCGTTAATTTCATCGACTGATCCGAGGTGCACGTTGCCACGAGAGAACGGCATGAGGAGCCAGTAGGTGGCGCCCGCAAGGGAGACGCCGTCGCCAGGGATTACCCCGATGATAATTTCAGCGGCGGCCACTTTCTGTTTGAAGAGCAGGTCGTGCTGTATACGTAACAGCTTTTCAACCGGTTCCGTACTTAGGCCAGTCTTTGCACTATCCCCAACGGCGACTTTGGCCCACTGAGGAATCTTTGCCCGAGTCGACGCAGCCAGGTCAGGGGTTACATCGCCGAATAGGTCCTGCATCGTCACAAAGCCGTGGTATCCGCCCCATGTGGGTTCAATTTCCGTGGTTGCCGCAAACCCAAGCAAGTGGTTGGTCTGCTCGAGGAAATTTTCTCCTACGCCGGGAAGCGCGACCTTAGTCTCGATGCCGAGAGATTCGAGTAGGCTAGCGAAATTTTGTTAGAACACATGCGACCTCGTGGAAAGTTGGATAAATCTATAGTACCTTGGATTTCCAATGCCAGAGCCCTCGAGGATGAGCGGAGTTCTCACAGAGCCTGCCGACAGTATCACCTCTTTCTTCGCTTCTAGAACATGTAACTTGCCGTTATCGGTTATGTACTCCACACCTTTGGCCTCGAGGCCGCGTTTCCTCCCACCATTTTCATTCCTGCGATCTTTCCAGACGACGCGTTTTACCGCACCGCGGACGATGCTTAGGTTAGGTCGCTGTTCAACAGGGTAGTAGTACGCGCGAGCGGCATCCCATCTCAGATTCTGCTCGGCATCGACAGTCATGGGACCGATGGAAAAGCCATGTGGGTGTCCACTATTGAGGTCGGGGTTGTGCGGGAGAGACAGACCCTGCCATGTTTCAGTTATAAGAGCTGCGGATGACGTGTTGACTAGGTTTGGAGAGTAGCCAGTATTCAGCGGACCATTAAAACCGTGCCAGTCGACATGGTATGTGGCGCCGGCTGCAAGTTGGGATTTGTTTGGAATGGTGTAGTTCTCGGACTTGATGTAGTATGGGAACAGAGAATCCCAGTTCCATCCAGGATTCCCTAGTTTCTCCCAGGCGTCGATTTGGGCACTTTCGCCGCGGATATACGTCATTCCTAACGCTGGGCTTAGCACACGACGGGGCTTCGCGATTCGCACCCACCAACTCACCATTGATGGTACTTGTGCCTCCCCATGCCTTGCCCTGATGGAGGATAAATGTTTGACCACCTGCGTCAGGCTGCGATACAACATCATAGCTCCAATCGATTTCGGTCCCAAAAGGAACTTGAAAGTTGTCGGGATCCGTGACATTAGGGTTTGCTCGCTGGTCGGTGCCGGGCTCGATAACCACAACAGTCACGTCAGGGTTTTCAGAAAGCCGGTTCGCAACTACTAGACCACTCGTCCCGGCGCCGACAATAATGTAATCGGCCGAGAGGGCAGAAGCGCACACTCCCATGATGGCTAGAATATGAAAAGAAATGCGATGCAGCATGACGTCGAATAGTTTGCGAGCAAGCTTGGCAGACAACGATCATTCTATCTTTCCCCGGTTCGTGGCTGAAGCTTTATACATCCAAAACGGAGTCGAAAAGGCATCTCATCCACTCACTGTTAGGCTGAGACAACGCGCCCTTTAGCACGGCAGTTCTCGCTACCAGGAAGTCCCGGGCTGCTCGGATCACAATGACAAAGCTCTTGATATTCTCCTGGCAGCATCGTCGCAATGGGGAACTGGCGGATAACCGGCCGCCGAGTCACATGCAGGTCACATGGCCAGAAATATATCAGCCGGCGGTGAACCATGAATCGGTCCGTAGGCGATGTCAATATAGGCCCGACATCCTCCGTTATTCCACCATTCGATGCCGCTTTGGCCTTTGTCAGACTGGCAAGCTGTGATCCCACCCTCCTAATTCCGGGGCGCTTGGTAGGGCCGATATATGCAATGCAATTACCAATCCTGCATTGCGTGGCTGCTCCAGTTTTCAGCCAAGGGGTTCGGCATCACTTATTGCCGGTGGTATAGTGCCCGCCCAGGAATATCTGAGGATACTTCTGATAACTAAAGTTGCGAGTTTTACTTGGGTTGTTAACATGCTCTTTATCGGGTACATCCTGTGAGAAATGACATCCTGTGAGAAATGAGAAACAAAGGAGACGGTCAGGCTTGGCTTCGTCACGTGATCTTCTGCAAATTACCTCAAGAGGGTGTCAATTGGTCGCCTGCGTACAAGTGTCAGGACACTGTCGCTGATTCTTGTGGAAAACATGGGAATTAGTCGCTAGAGATATTTGTTGGGGCATGCCCTGTTCCAGACAAAGCGTGGCTTCATGGGCTTAGGACCAAGAATTGTACAGGTTGGAGATACAGTGTGTGTCTTGGCGGGCGGTCGGGTCCCATTCATTCTCCGTGAAGGTTGTATCGGTGAATGCTATGTCCACGGTATCATGAACGGAGAAGCAGTTCGGGAGCATCAAAAAGACGGACGGAAAGTAGAGGCCTTTAAAATATATTAGTATTAAGAAGCTGCATGTATGGGCCGCTGAAGTAAAGCCGCAAGCCGACAGAGCTGCCGCGCTGCGTGCCCCATAGAAAATTTCCCGGACAGGCTTGAGAGAGGAGCTTCCAGATTCGACCAGTATTCTGCGGGAAAAGATGTCCTTTTCTTGCGGGCGTTCAAACAAGATATTGTTTTGCAGACTCGGAAACTAGTTGTCAATGGAATCGATTTCACGTTCTGGTTCTCGCGATATGAAATTTGAAATAGAGACAGTGTACGAAGTATTATGGGAACGATAAGAGGCATCGACAGAAACACCTTGCCGGTCTCCTGTTGAGCATCGCTTCTATATCTAAATAGTCTAGGATGGACTACTTCGTATGCGTATTCGACCCCATCAAGTCAGGAGCCTATTATATATATCATGCCAGTGTATGCGTACTCCGTATACTTCATTCGGTTGGATAAAGTTGCGTGACTTTTTATGCAGTCTTACTCCTGTTGTTGACATGTAACAAGTTCAGTGGTACCGGTTTATCACGTGAGTATGGCTGGAATGAAAAACACGTGATCATGTGAGCACCGTTTTTTCGCCCCAAGGAGAAACTCCGACCCCACCAACGTGATCATTTCTGCAGCGCTATGCCAGTGCCAGACCAGTGCCATGCCAGTGTGTTACGGGTGCGTGCCATTTGATCCAGCCGTCCTGCCATGACATCAAGGAACTTGGTCGACCCGCGTGGCAAACATCAAAACCGAAACCGTCAAATTTCCAAACCAAAACAGACTCTCTAAGATCTGACATAGTAATAAGCATAACGCCGGAAAGCACTGCCATGTTCGACTTCTTACAGCTACCCACCGAGCTCCAATGCTCCATCATCTCCTCTCTTGATCCGATCACCCTGATCGCAGCCAGCCAAACCTGTCGCCGACTCCGGAAGCTCATCGATCCTCAAAGAGTCCATTTTGTAGAGCGACTACTCGCCCTTGAGACTCTCGACAAGTACGGCGCCCCGGTCACATCGTTCCGAGGGCAGGAACCGGAAGAGTGGTGGGATTCCTCCTGGGCATGCACCAGCTGCCTCTGCCTCCTGCCCACCAAATTGTTCACCCCTCCATACATATATAACTACCAGTATAACAAACCTCTCCGCAAAGACTTTGATGCTTATGGGATGTTAACCTCGTGGAGTCCCACTGCCCCCACCTCAGGAACGAGGTTGGGAGATGATAATAGCACTGACAACGACCCGATCTGGGAGCGCTGCCCCCGTGCTGGTCTACGCCACCGTCGTCGGTGCGTTGAGTGTTGCTTCCAGCGGGGAGAGCTTGTACCGATTTCGCACGAAATGAACAGAGGAACAGAAAAGGTGCCAGTCTTATCTCTGCGAGACATGCCCTTCCCGACACATCTAGATCGGTACTTTCCCGGCTTCTCTGATACATTAGAAAATGATCGTCCAGACGTCAATTGCCCGGTCCCTCACTACTTACAATACTTGGCGGGGCCGTGGTCAATGCACATTATTCGGTGTCCGGGCTGTTCATCCTGGAAAGAGATGCGGGATTTCCGAATGGGCCCGGCGTATAATCGCTGGTTTCCAACGATAACGCGTCGCATTGGTACTACGGGACCGAGAAGGCCAGACTGGAATGGTGTCGTATTAACAGACAAACTCATCAACAAATCCCTTTGCAACTCTTGCTTCGCCGAGAAGAATGGTCGGGAGGAGCTAGCCAAGGTCCTTTGCAGGCGGTACAAGTACTGCATCGAGTTGCAGGAAGACTGTATCTCCGGCCCCGTTGCGTTCGGGTGGGACTTTTTTTACCAGAGCTTGAATGGAGCTGGCCTACCTAGGACATACATTCACGAAGCTCGGACGTTACTCTTGCATACCGGCCTCCTGGGCAAGCAGGATTGGCGTAAACTGACCGTCCGAAGCTATGAGGATGTTGTGGCGGTCAAGTCGTGCCTCGGAAAGCTAAGGGACATCCTTGATCTAGCGAAGACTGCCACCGGTCGCAAAATCTCAAAAGTAGAACGAAAGTACGCGGACTTGGAAAAGGCGCTGATTAATGGTGAGCCGTATTGGAGATGGTTGAAGGCGTGTCAAGACGACGTCGATGCGAATCCGGATCTCGTTGTTGAGTGGGCCTTGGATCGAGACGGCGCGTCCATTTCTTAGCGGAGGGGAGAGCATATGGACGGACGCTAGTGTTGGCATATATGGAAGTAAAAATCCGATCCCTTTACGGAAACAGCGGCTCTTGCGAATAGGGAAGTCCTTTTTGCCGCGTATGGAGATTAAAATCAGTACTAGCGCGCTCCTTTGTGTGATCTCTAACCCATGAGTAGCATTATTCCCCGAAGACGGAGAGACACGCGATCTTGCAAATAACCCTGTCAGGAACCAGTAGTACGTTGGATAGTGGAAAGTCTCCGACATCAAAGCATTAACGGCGTGGACGTCTATTTATCACACTCTAAATTTACATTATATTGAATATCCTATGTCGCAGCAAGTATTGAACCCGGCTTGTCCATCTAGAGGAGAGCGGGTTTCTTAAGAGACCAAGACGTTCTTATAAAATAGGTTGGATCGCCTGTCTCCCGCTTTCCCAGAAGCAAAGCCTAAGAACAATCGTATCTCGCCAGCAGCGGTCCGGTAAATAGCCAACCCTTCAGGCTCCCTGAAACTCAACGTCGATCCGGCCTTGGTAAGGATGGGCCCTTGCTTGATCTTGCCCGTGTTCATGTTGACGCTTGCAAGCTCCGAGTTCACGACACCGCCGCTGGCGTCGTACGAATCCCCCCAAAGCAGATATAGATACTGTCCGTAAGCCGTGTAGCCCTGGAACCTGCTTCCACGTGTCTTTGGCAGCGGCTGCGGGAAATTGACTAATGGCTTGGAAAAGTCACCCTTGGTCGCCGCCGCGAGATCGTACACAGCGATATGCTTGGCTCCGCTCTTTTGATACCGCACGATGAGCCTGTTGGTGACGGGGTCGGTGGTGCAAGTGTATTCCGTCGCCCCCGAAACTGGCGAGAACTTTTGCACGGCGCTCGAAGAACCTTTCAAGGTGGCGCCATTGACGAACTTGAACCTCGCTAACTTTTGGCCGTAGCCGCTCGCCTTGGGATCGACTTCTGTCCAAAGATACGTCGACGAGCCTACGGGTTGAGCACCAATGGCGACACCGTGGCCGAAGCTTTGGAGGTACATGTGGCCCAGCTCCTTGCCGGAAAAGTCCAGCTGCGTAATTGTAAGATGACCGGCGCCTTCTGCGGCCCCGTTGCGGCGCTGGGCGACGAAGAGTCGACGGTTAACATTGTCGAAGACGAAGCTCTGTTGGACGGTGTCATCGTGGAGGGGTTTGCTGCGGAAGAGGTCGTATGACGGTTTTGAGAGGTCGAAGCGGCGCGAGGTTGGGACTGCTGCCAATGCTGAAATTGCAAAGAGAAGGACAGAGAGCGTCCTGAAAAGTGTCTTTAGGGCTGCCATCGTGATGGTGCGCTGGCCGTGATAGTGAGAAAGGCACCGCGTGACTGAGGTGTTTACAAGCTACGAGCTTTGAAGTTGCAGTTGAGGCAACCGGCACATAAATACTCAAGACTTCCCTTACGGCAAATTGTTGCAGCTCAGTAGTGGAGGCGAGTCCGAGCCCAACTGCGCCGATCTTGTCCCATTACCGATGCGAACCTACTACATAAGCATTACCGCAGAGATTACCATCTCTGCCCAAAACCGGGGCGATGGTCCCTAGTAAGTTGTAATCCGAGGTTTGGTGCTCCTAATTTGAGAGGGTCTAACGGACCAACTTTTGACCGCGTCGGTGCTTTAAATAGCACTGCTAAACCAATCTTCTCCACCCCGACAGCGACCTCGGGCAAATCGTACGAAAAGGAGGGCAATTTTGACTGAAGAAAACAGCGTTCATGACAGGCATCGAGCTGCCGGCTTCAAGGGGTAGATTGCGGATTATCTGGGTAATGTAAGACGAGCTGATCGGAGTTGCTGTTCGTGCGGCGGCGGTTGAAAATAATGAGCCTGCGGAATTGAACCCTCAATCTTACCACCATCCAGATAAATTCATCTTATTTTCGACCCAGGGATTTGCTCATGGTCATTCCTCATCAGGGGTAACCCTGTTCCTCATGGTCGGAAAGGCGAATGCTGGAGCAGTCTTTTCAGTGCCACTCCAACCTTCCAGACGACTTCAAGCAAGCCGTTTCGGCCAACCTTTAGCCTGGAAACATTTACGCATAGATCCAAAGCTACCTTCGGGCCCAGTGCCAGATCATCCAGCAGTATTTCGTCACGAGAGGGAATCACGTCATTGCAGCTCAGTCGGAGCAGACATCATATTTTGACCCGGCCTGAACACTTAACTTTGAAGAGTTCTATTGGCAACGGATTTGGTTTCCTATGGCCGTAGATCTGCTTACCTCAACGGGTTGAGGAGAACACAATCGCAACTATCTCACCTATGGAAGAGCATGCAAGACCCCCGGGCTGATCTGCTTGCGAGCCCTCGCAGGGATCCTCTCTAGCACCACAATCTCCGCCTTCAACACCAACTCGCCATCCGGTCCATCCTTCTCAATAAACGGCCTTCTTACGACGTGGATGAAGTCTCTCCTCCTTCTCTGGTCCAACATCAACCAAGCCCACCATAGCACAGCTATCGCGACAGCCGCCCAGGCCGTAGACGGCCCAATTAAATGAGAAACATTCTTTAATTTCACGGTCGGCTCAGCGAATGTTCCGAATACGATGAGTGCCATACCTCCAGTTGCTACGATGGCGTGCAAGGGACTGAGAAGGGGCAGCCACTGGACGTGCGTGGCCCACTGCCGACCCTTTTCCGTCTTTCGGTAAAGCCAAGCGTCGATCTTGAGATACAGGAGACCCGCGGCGGTAAACAGGCCTAAGATGCCGACGAGGGTCGCGGTTTTGATCGCTGCCAGAATGCGATACGCTCGAACCGGACCGAGAGGGAGGCCGAAGGCGAGGATGAATACAACTTCAATAGTCCAGTGGAGAAAGGTCGCCGCGATGGGTACTTGCTCTGGGTGGACCTCAACGTCGTCGACCGTGAAGCGCGTTTGGGGCGGCGTATGTCTTGGCTTGAATAATTGAGATAGCACGGAGTCACTACCTGAGGCAAAGGAGAGGGAAAAGGGCAGAATTCCCTCCTTGGCAATCTCTTGCTTCACCCGAGAGGCTGTGAATGTTTGTGCCATGATGTTACCAAAGATGGAAACTGCCAAGAGCGCGGAGATTGCCCTCACCACTCTGTGATCGGCGTCATTTTGATTGCCGTCCGAGGAAGTCCCTGAAATTCGTTCGAACATGGCGATTATCATCGTGTTCTCAGGTTTCCCTCCGGTGTAAGGCGTTACGCATAGGTAGCCGACGTTAGCTAAGGGGAACAACACCAGGGCGATCAACATGGCGGTGATAGTAGCCCTTGGGAAGACACGTCTAGGATTCTTGACTTCGGCCAACACGTAGAACGGCTGCTCGAACCCGGTGTATGGATACGCCGCATAAAGCACGGCGAGGACAATGTCTCCGGAGTTCGGCTTGAAATTCTCCTTTCGAATATCCCAACTAATCTGTCTGCATTGGTTCTCCTTTTGGAGCGAGCCCCAGATGATACCGAGAAAGGTGACGCAGACTAAAAACAGCACCTTGGCAATGGCAAAGAGATTATTCAAGGTGATGGCGAATTGTCGAGTGCCTACGTTAATCATGGCGCATATCGTAACGACAGCGATGGCCCAACCAATGGCGCCGTTCTTGTTGAAGCAACCGTCTTCTAAGTCGCATTCGGGGTGATTGGCTTGCATGACGAGAATGCCGAATTGGACGGCATTGGCGGCGAGGTGGCCGAAGATGATGAAGATGACGCCGAATACGCACGACGCTAGGAGTCTTGGATACTGATATATGTACTCGAGCTGTCAAGAATGAGATAATGGTGATTAGCTTTGGACAATTCAATTTTTAGGTGTGGCGTTTGCATCTCAGTAATAACTCACAAAATTCTTGTCTCCACCAGATCTCGGAGCTGCCAGGGCCCGCATCCTTCCATCTTCATCGACGTAGTTGAAATACGGCACCGACATGCCCAACTCTAGCCAGCACATGTGCAACGAGAGGATAATCAGCCCTCCGATGACCCATAGTAGAAGTGCGACTCCGGAGCTTCCCGTATGATCGAGGATGGTGGACGGCAAAGCAAAGATGCCCGTGCCGATTGTTCGGTTGAGGATGAGAGCTGCAACGGTGAACTGGCCGAGACGCTGCTTCGATGTTGGTGATAAGTCCAGGCGCTTGTTATCATCACGTTAGCTGTCGGATCCTCAACCTGGGTCATCGTGAGTGGAAAGGGACCTACTGATCGCTGGGCATCCAAAGCAGCTATTTCTCTCGACAACTCTTCCGTAGTGAGGCATGTTTCTGGCTCTTCATCGACGTGGTTATACGAATTGCCTCCTATAGCGCTATTAGGAGAGCCATTGGCCGCCATCCTTTTGTCGTACCAGCTTTAGAGAACTGGAGCAGAAAGAGAGATACGCTGGATTTGCAAGAACAAAACAGACATGGATCTCAAGAAATGAACCACGAAGATGCGTTTTAACAAGTATCCTTCACACAGAACCTTGTTCTGTTTCTGGGTCCTTATTCAACATCCTTTGGATCTCGGACGCTGCGCCACGCCTATTAGTCCAAGCTGGGGTGCAAGGGGGACCAGGCTGCGTGGTTCCGCCTTAACAATGAGTCCAGGCGCACATGTGCGCGATATTGGCGACATCTTGAAGGGTTCTTATTGGACCCCATAAACCAATAAACCTGCAAATTCGGGACAGACGCAGGTGCCAAGACATTTTCTTTCTGGCTTTTTAAAAAACGAGGCTGTCATGCATTGCGGGGTTTCGTGGACTTGCACCTTGCAAAGCTAGGGGTCTACTTCAGGAGACCAATTAGCATCGAGTAGCTCAGTAGAATCTAGGGCAATGAGGTCGGTGGCGTCTTTCATTGGAACTGGGGGCTCTCAGACTCGTTCAGCCCATGCAGGATCCCTGCTGTCTCAGGCAATGACAGGCAAGTTCCAGATTGTGTGCCGCTTCTCTCGCCCCTTCTTGATTAAGTTCCAGCTTCTTTGGACAGCCAATAGTGACAGGAAAAGGACGAATGACACGGGAAAGCAGGACACCTTAATGCGCCTCCCGCCAAGCTTGCCATGTGTCCAAAGGAGGGCACAAGTACGAGCTGGCCGAGCTCCCTCCAACACTTGCCCTTCGCTCCACGAGTGTCTTCTTCATTATTATGCTGTCCACACGTTCTCCATACCCAGTCCATTGAAATGTGGCTCTCGATCGAAGGCAATGGCTCGTCCAACATCTCAAGCATTCATAAACACCACGCATCGTTATGATATCGCAAACCCAGATGCCGTGATTCAGTTATCCTCGACAACCCAGGCGAAGAGAAAACTTTTGATCTGGAATGCGCGCGGAGCGCGGCGGAAATTCCGACTCGCCGAAACGATACAAGAAAATGGCGAACCCGAGTATCCACACGGCCATGCTCTTTACCTCGATGTCGATCGTGATCCTGTCATCCCCATGTACGCAATTGTCCAATACCAACCGAGCGAATGGCACATCGAGGTTCGGCACGACGCTGGCGGGGAGCCCGTTGTCTATCCATTCAAGACAAAGACAGGAGCGTTGAACTTCCAGGCGTTGGTAACGGGCTACGACGTTGACGTCACGGCGTGCTTCGAGGGAGTTCACGTCGCCGTTGTACATGTCTCTGATGAAACCGGTCCGAAGCTCCTCAGAAAACTGAAGCCTATGGCCGAATTAGAGGACATGGCGCAGGTTCAACTTTGGCAGCGGAGACCCCCATTATCCGGCGTTGGTTCGCCGTCCCGGCAATCGGTCGCCTCCGATCCGAGAAGGGCATCGACCTTTAGGACCGTCACGTCTGCGCGAGACGCGGTTAGTTTGCAAACCGACCCCATCACGAAACAAGACGTCTACATCTCTGAAGCTCTGCCGCCGCCCGTCCTCGTTGCATTTATGCTCTCTCGAGATGGTCGCGCGACGATGCTCAAGATAAATAGTAAGTAGTCATTGATCGAATCCAGGAATGCCCCCTTCTCTCTACTTTATTACTAATTCCTCAGTATCCGAGATGCAGGCCAGGGTAACTGGAAAACTTCTCCACCTGTCCAAGCCATCCGGTCGATTTAAGGCGACTCGAGTCTCCGTACGCCAGGAAGAACTCGCCGGCTGGAACATTTGTCGCCTAGGAACTCTAGCCAGTGTGGAGGAAGAAGATGTTCTCGACTGCACCTATTTAACCCTGGCCCCGTCTCAAAGCGAAGACGTGGATAGTCTTCACAACAAAATACTTGAGCTCAAACTTAACTATCTTCGGACAGAACTGGCACGGGACCAGGCCCGTAGTGCTGTGAAGAGCAACAGGCGGCCGTCATTCCCTACGCCGCCCGAATCTCCTTCATCGTCTGCGTCGTCAAGGGCACGGAGCTTTGTGGGACTACCGTCTCTTGCGAGTATTCCGTCTCTTGATGCCATGTTTAATGAGGCTATGACACCTCCTGTTGAACTTAGTGGGGATCCAGAACCCGTCGAGTTGGATGGGAGTGCCACGATACGGCCGAGGCGAGGGTGGAGGCGGTTTAGGTGATGGCTCAACTCGGTTGAGCAGAATAACCTGTTCATGGGGGTTTTGTGATATCGTTGAGCATCCTGCTGTTAGCCCTTTCTGTGTATAATTGATGATATCTTGAATAGTAGCAGAGACATTGGAGATACTTTTTTTGTATTTGAAGAGATGTCGCTAGTCCTAAAGATTAGGAACTCTCGTATGTATTCCCGGAATGCGCCTAATACTATCCGCGCTCATCGTTTAGGTTTCAGAGGGCTCGAAGCAAAAGCCAATATCGCTCCTCCATTCGCCGATAGCCACGAAACTACGAAGTTACAGAGTTGCAACTGGCGGTTATCGGCAAACACCAAGCTCAATTCAGAGACGAGTAAGTCTCTTCTATACGCAGAATGTTGCTAAGCAGAAAATGGCAGAGGTCGCATGTATCTGCTGCTTCCTCACAAGATTCACAATTGGGAATAATATCACGACAGAACATTATGTATTGAATGCAACACCCCTCCATTCCCACAACAACATCAGCGGTATCGGGACATAGCCGCCTCCTCTTCAGATACAATCGCAGTAATGTTGCTCTTACCCAGCCTCTCAGACTCGTCCACGACCAGCTTGAAACGCTCCTTCGCCTCACGATTCTGCTCATCATCCGCAACCGGGGCGCCCATGTGCTCCATGGTAATGCAAATGAGCGACTCCATGAGACGCTTAGCAATGGGGCCCGCGACGCCGTGCTGATAAAACGCCGGCGTCTCGTTCAATTCCAAAAGCCACGCGTTCCCCTGGTCGTCGAGGAGGAAATCGCCTGCGAACATCTCGAAGCACTTGTCCATGGTCACGAACTTGTCCGCCATTGTGTACGCCGCCGCGCACACAATCTCCGAGGAAGTGGTGCAGATCTGATCGAAGACGCGCTGCTTCCAGTCACCGGGGAGCAGGTCGTCCTCGACCTTCCAGAAATCGCGCATGGATTCCTTCTTGATGAAGTCTTCCTCATCCTGCAGGCCCGTGTTCGTGAGGGAGGCCTTGAGGCTGGGGTTCTTCCAGGGCGGCTGGTAATCCTCTCCGGCGAGCAGGGCGAGCATCTCCTTGAAGACGTAGACCTTCAGACGTCCGACGCAGAGAATGTAGGCGCGGGCGTGCCACTTGCGACCGTCGATGACGGGGATCGAGGTGACGTACTGCTGGGCGACGAATGCACGCATCTCGGAGGAAGGAATGCGGCCGTTCTCTTTGAAGACGTACTTTGGCTTTTTGGCCTTTCCTTGTCTGCCGCTTACACCGTCGAGTGAAATCGCCCCAGTCGCAGTAACGAGGAAGTCCAGGTTGACTCGGTCCGCCTCCACCACAGTCATGTACGGACCGTTATCGCCCTCACCCTCCTCCGCTTTTTCGATTTTCCCGTTCTCCCCCGCCGCCGCCTCGGACTCTGAAGAGTCTTCGTCGGTATCCTCGAACTCGACCGACTCAAGATGACTCGCGAGTTCCTCAGTCGTACTGAAGAGGCGAATACCAGCACCGCAATCAACTAGCGCAGGCTTGAGAATCCACCACTGTCTTTCCGAAGGATCCTTGGCCGCATTTTCCTCGAGAGAATAATAGAGCTCCAGGTTATCCGCTTCCATCAGCGCATCCTCGACATACTCGCAATAATCGAGCGTCAAGCGCACCGTAACTGGGACGTGCTGCTTGAGATTGCTGTCAGGTCGTTTGGCAGCCCAATACTCGGCGACGCGGGCGAGATGATCCTTTCGAGCGAGGGCATCGCTGTTGGGATACGCGTTGATGAGGCCCATCTCGGCTTTGTTGCTCAGGGCGAAGTTGCGGGTGAGCTCCCAGCCGTCGCAGTATTGGAAAACACGCTTCGCATTGGAGGGGAAATCCTCAAACTTCTCCACGAAGATGGTGTTGGGGACGTGCTTCAGGATGTACGACTGGATGTGCTCGTTAAGCCAGGGGATGGCCGCCTGGATGAAGGCATACAATGGTTCTTCGCTGGACATTTTTTTTTTTTCCCTTTGCTATCCTCTTGTTCCTTTCGAACTCTGGAGCACTGATTTAACGGAAGTAGTTCTTTTCCTCTACGGCGAGCGTGGCTTGACGAGGGAGAGCAAGGTGGATTGATCTTTGTTCCATAGGACGCTTGAGCAGCTTGTCAACAGCCATCGAGTGCACCAGCTTTGACGGCAGCAATGGTTGTGGTTTCTGACTTGAGAGATGAATATGAGAAGGAAGAGAAGGGGAGAAGAAAATAAAAGAGAGGAAAAATAAAAATAAAAATAAAAATAAAAATAAAAATAAAAAGCCAAGAACTTTTTTTTCAGGATTTTTTACGGTTAGGCTTTTATGAGAATAACGCTCACGGCTCGGGCAGCATAGGACCCTTTCTGGGCAGAGTTCTACACAAAGGCCCAGAGTGCCCAGAACACCCAGATGCCAAGAAAGGCACCGAGTCGCATCACAGACGCTAAGGTGGACCAAAAGGAGATCGCGGCCCCACTGACATGGCATCTTTGACGTCTCTATTGGACATGCGCCGGGTTCATAAACGTAATTCTCTTCCGAGCGAATCTTTTGCGTCGCTTACATCCTGGTCCGAGAAGTCTTGGCTCTTGGATTTTTTGATGCAGATGACCCCTGAGGATTTGTAGGACTTTTTTCGCCCACGTTTTCGTTGTTGATCTTTTCTGTGAACCTGTGGCGTGGCTTAGGGGTTCTAGACCCCGAATTGCCAAGACTCGCCCACGAAACGAGAAATCCTTTGCTCTCTGGATGTCCCAGATGTCTCAGTGGAGGTTCGTGATGATTAGCGTACCTAATTAAACGTAAATAATAGGAGAATATAAAGTGATGTATAGCATTGGCAAGCTATACGCAAGATATACGGTAAGCCCTAGGCTGAGATCTATCCATGAGCTACGAGAGGTTAGTGTAGCAAGGACTGGGGATCTTGGGGATCTGCCCCAGTTTTGTTCGACCGGGGAGGCAAGGAAGCAAGGAAGCTTCATCTTATCGAGATCTTAGTATCTATTTCCCGGAAGCCCAGACGAGGAATCTGCGGGCCATCCCTTGAGCCAAGTCTTGCCGAGTCCAACACCCCTGCCTCCACCTCTCTGACCCTGGGGATGATCCTCAATGATGGGTGGGAGTACCAGTGCCGAGAAGTACATAGTGGTATCGATTCCCGAAGGACTGGATGCCCCGCCGCCATATCAGACAGGTCAAACCTGTCAAACCGAGTGGAATCATCGGAGAACGATCTGGATTTCCGGCTTAGGTAATGCCGTAAAAGGTTATCAGTGTCCGGTGGGGAGGAATGCTTGGCCGTGGCAAAAGGTATCGGTACTAAAAATATTGTGGCGAAAGGTGAAAGAATGCTAGATCCATCGTCGTGGCGAAAGTATACTAGACAAGACAAACCCTCAGTGACGCCAGTTGGGACCTGAAACAGGGGCATACTTATTGCCATCCGACATACCGCTACATACTGTCGCTCCCATTAGGTTGAAGATGGCAAGTACCTTGGGGAAACATGCATCGCACCTGCCACACGAGGCCCTTCCGGTCGGCATCGTCTTCCACCTCCGTCCCGGCTTCAGATCCTAGTCCGGGTCCGAGTTTCGGATCCGAGCCCAGCACCGATTGGCCTTGACTGGTCGCCCTTTCTCTGTAAAATTCGATTTGGGGTATTTTGACACATAGTTACGGCCCTGTGATCAAAGATCGGAAATCGAGACTATATTAGCCTTTTTAGTCAGAGCATCCGCGTTGGGGCTTAGAAATCCGTCGTCAGATTGTCTTACAAATCAAACTGCCCCTTCAATTTATATCGTCATCCTCTCAGGACGAAGCCCAAGACAGTCGGTCTCACGTTGGCTCTAGGAAAGCCGTATGCCTTCTCAAACCGAAATTTTGTAGCTGGGAATACATTGTCTCAGCACCGTATTGTCTCCGTCATGGCCCAATCTACATCCAGCCGGCAAACTGCGAGGCAATGGACCGTATCTGGATTCGAAGGTTACGGCTCCCTGAAATTCAGCGAGGAGCCAATTCCTGATCTTGGTGATAGCCAGGTCCTCGTCAAAAGTAATAAGATCCTCCTATGTGGTTGAGTGGCAACGTACTAATGTACAACCGATTTAGTCCAGGGCGCTTCCCTCAACGTGAGTATCACTGGACAGCAAGTCACCTTCGCAGCGCCGGCAAAGCCAAACTCACAATGGGAGTCTAGTATCGGGATCTCATGATATCCAAAGGCCAATATCCTTGGCTTGTCAAGCCGGGCGTAGTCCCAGGTTCGGATGGTGCTGGCACGATCATCGCCGTGGGCAAACACGTCACCCGTTTCCAACCCGGCGACAAGGTCATCACCGTAATCAACCCCAAGCATCTCGGCGGGTCTATCAACCGTCAAACCTCGCAATTTGGTCTCGGCGCTTCAGATGACGGTACGTTTCGTACCATCGGTGTTTTCGACGAGCAAGGTCTCGTTGAGATGCCCGAATACCTCTCCTTTACCGAGGCCGCGACGCTGAGTTGCGCAGGCGTAACAGCCTGGAACGCACTTTTTGGTTCTTCTGGACGCCAGCTTTCTGCAGGGCAGTGGCTCCTCACCCAGGGTACTGGCGGGGTAAGCATTTTTGCTATCCAGTTCGCCAAGGCGGTTGGAGCAAGAGTTATTGCCACAACAAGCTCGAGCAAGAGGGCTAAGCTCCTCGAAAAACTGGGCGCTGATCATATCATCAATTATTCCAAAACACCAGAATGGGGTCTTGTTGCGAAGGGACTGACCGGCGGAACCGGGGTAGATATGGTGATCGAGGTGGTGGGCGGCGAGTCGATGAGACAGAGTGTCGAGAGCGTTAAGCTGGATGGAACAATCGCCGTGGTTGGAGCGGTGAGTGGTGAGGTGGCCGGTGGCCCAACCCTTATGGAGCCTTGGATCAACCTCTTCACGGTTCGCGGCGTGTGGATTGGTAGTCGCCTGCAGATGGAGGATATGTGCCGGGCGATTGAAGCGAACCCGGACAAGCTGCGTCCTGTTGTCGACTCGAGGGTGTTTGGTTTGGATGAGCTCCGCGAGGCGTATGAATATCTTGAATCTGGAAAGCATCAAGGGAAAGTCTGCATTCATATTCAGTGAGAGGAGGTCTACAAAAGAGAGCCCTCCCCCCATGCTCAACTCTAGCTCATTTCCGGATCAGAATGTTTATCCCTGAATTTGTTGAGGTCAATCGAGATAAATATTCCTAACTAGCCTTGGAAATGAAACGAGTCCAACCTAAAATATATAATCTCATCTCTCCTTGGAATCATCACTAAGTCCATCCAAAGAAAACGCCAAGATCAAACTAACATATCATAATAGCATTCAGATTTACCCAACCCACCCCAAACCCACCAGCGAAAATCACCACTTCACCACTTCTCGCCAAGAAGAGCCAAGAGGACATCCTCAAGGTCTCCCTTGAGCAAATCCTTGACCTCCTTGCCCAGCGCAACACCAAACCTCTTCTTGTATGCCTCCTTGGCCGCCTCCAACCGAGGACGATCCCAATAGAGGGCAACCACCCTATTAATCAACAACCTATCCTTCCTCTTCGTCAACGCCTCCCTCAGCCGGAACGCATCCGACCTCGCCCGGTTCTGCCCAGCCGTCAACATCCGAAGCAGCGCATCCTCCATGTCGCCGCGGAACTCCTTCTCGATGACATCCTGCAAGCCACGGTGGTACTTGCGCTGGTAGGCCTCTGCGATGGCATTGATCTGCGACGCGTTGCTGCTGGCGAATATTTGCGCGACGGAGATCGCGTTCGAGCCGATCATGCCCTCGGTGGCGCGCTGGAGTTCCGTGACCTTTTGGTCGATTTCGTGGGGCAGCACGGGCGCGGCGTCCTCGGCACGCGTGGCGGCGAGGATCATGCTGTACAGGCGGAACAGTGTATCGTCGACGTCTTCCTTGATGTCGACTAGGAGGTCCTTGCCCTTGACGCGCCTGTACTCGGTCATGATGGCGCGAAGGTCGGCGTTGGAGCGGTTGAGGAGGACGTCCATGAGGGCCTCTTCGTCGGTGCCCATGCGATTGAGCGACTTGTCAAGAACGTAGACATCGTTGCCCAATGGGCCGCGCATGACAGCTAGAAGAGCGGTTTCCAATCCGCTGCGCGTCTCGCTCTTGATGTCATCCTCCAGGCTGCGGATGAACCGACTATTATAATCCTGTACGAGCTGCGCCATGGCCCATGGGTTGGAATATTGCGGGCTCGAAAAGACGCGGATGAGGGCTTTTTCGTCGCAGCCCATACCCTTCATCGCCTTTCGGAGGGACTCTACGTCGCTGGATGTATTAACGGGCTGAGCCCAGGCTTTCTGTGCGGGGTCGTAGCCCTGAGACGCGGGCGTGGGTTGGACGGGATAGTTGCCGTATCCTGGAACGCCCTGGGGAGGCGGTTGCTGCCATTGCTGCCCGGGTGCCTATAATCATCCGACCATTAGCTAATGAATTGGAAAGAAGCGGTTTGAAGTACTGCGAGGGCAAAAAAAAAAAAAAATACGCACCGCATAGGGCTGTTGGGGATAACCTGGCTGGGGTGGCTGCTGGCCATAACCGGCCGGTGGCTGACCATACGGTGGTTGCGCGCCGTACTGGCCCTGGGGAGGAGGCTGTTGGCCATATGGAGTACTTTGCTGCGGCGGCTGGCCGAAAGGAGCGTTTTGTGCGGGAGGTTGACCATAGGGAGCTCCCTGAGGAGGTTGTTGTCCGTAGGGAGCACCTGGGAAGGGTGGTTGTCCCGGCTGGCCAGATGGAGGAGGTTGGTACTGCCCGGCGGGGGGAGCGCCTCCTGGGGGCGCACTCTGGCCGTAATAGGGCTGCTGGTACGGTGGCTGTCCCGGAGCCTGGCCGGGGGCTTGCCCAGGTGGCGGGTACTGGTATGGAGCTCCTTGTTGAGGGTATCCGCCGGCAGGTGGGGCAGCGCCGGGAGGGGGTGCGCCGTACCCCTGAGGAGGCTGCTGACCGTAGTAGGGCGGTTGGGAACTCATGGAGATTCGAGTTGTCAGGAACTGTAGGGCGTAGGATTGGTGAGATAGGTGGAAAGAGAAACAAGATGGAATGGATAGAAATGCGGTCACAGGAACGGTGGACTGGACAGACGATGAAAGGAACACTGATTTATGTAGCCTCCCTTTGTGGAGTGAAGACTAGAGGCCTCCCTCGAAGGATCGCCGTGCTAAATTTCCATTTCCCACGCCACACCACTTTCCAAAATACAGACCATTGGGCAGTGGATCTGTCGGTTTTGGTTCGTCTTATCGCTAGTTCTGGCGGCGGGGGTGGCTGTGCTTTTCTCGCGTAGTTCATTTCGTCGCCAGCACTGCCCAAGTATCTCGTGTGTGTGTCTCGCGCCGTCGAGTACAAACCGGTGCAGCACGGGCCAATTTCGTTTTCTCTCTCCTCCATCATGGAAGTGGCTTTGAATCGACTGGAGTGGCGTGTGGATTGAAGCTAATTGATCCTTGCGGAGGCTGAGGGACCCGATTGAGTTCAAGGTTTAGAGAGGCTCTGTTCGCGTGCCGTAGTCTCTTGCTATCCTAAAAACAGCCTAAACACTCCCCCAATCTGAACTAGGTGTGAAGATCTACCAATTCCATTTCCGACCTCGGCTTGAGAAGGGCGAGCAAAGGGGAACCCTGTTTTATTAGTCCAGGCCACCCCGCAAAACGTACACAGGTATCAGAGGCGTGTTCTCTGAATGATGCGTGGGATTCGGGACTAGGAGGAAGAATGGACCGAGCATGCCAAAAATGCACCAAACTCATTGGTAATCGTGTATTGGGAATCTGGGATCGACATGAATCAGTGCTTAGAATTAATGGCGAGGGTAAGTGAGCTGGCTAAGACTTGGGCTCAGGTTCAGTTATAACGAAGGCGAGTTTACAGTATCCTATCTTAACGAATCTGTTTCCAATGGAGTGAATAGATGACGATTCGTCTATCTCATACAGAGCTGTTGACTGTGTGATCCAGGCAGTCAAGTGGCATGGAAGCCCGCCGTCCATTACTCCATTTGCCCTATCGTCCCGTTTCCACTGAGAGGCTGCAAGGGCTCATCTAATTTATCCAAAGAAGTGGAAGTGTATGGGCAGTTTGGCTCAGCATCAACCGAAATCAAACACCCATTACCTATGTGCTTCGATCCGCACAATGAGCAGCCCTTCATGATGTCCTGGTACGCCCACCACATTTCGCCTCCCGAAAAGGCACACGGCGCGTCGTCGTCCCACTGGTTGCGGCCCTGTAAATACATCTTGCACCGAGGGCCGACTGAGTTGCCCTCCAATGACCTGAAAGTTGCCCCGGGCCACTGTCAAATAGTTAGTATGAGACCCCGCAGGCCAGTATTTGCGCTCGGCTTCAGCAGTCAAAATGTAGCGGCGATAAAACAAAACCCTAGGCTAGGTTTTGGACGTAGCCCTAATTTTATGCTGGTGGAGGGAGGTGAAAACTTACGTTCCATATTCCTTCTCGCTGCTTCCTCTGTGGAGGTTATTTACAGCAAGGTCGCAGTACTTGACATTAGCAATATCACACCAAAATCTGTCACCCTCACAATCGAGTTACGGCTTCGGCGTCGCAATCGGCGTCCCCATGTTCACAGACGACGTAGTGGCGGGTGGTTCTAGTCTGATGGCGGATGATTCTCGCCCGGTGCCGGATGGTTCAAGTCTGATGGTGGATGATTCCACTCCTGTGGCGGATGGCACAAGTCTGGTGGCAGATGTTTCTTCTCCGGTAGCGTTTCCTAGGCATAGGATGATGTCTCCCAGGTTCTCGATGCAATCCAGTATGTCCAGGAAGTCCTGCTCGTCGTCCGCCGGGGGATTGTCGCAGTCGTACACGCGACCCAGGATGTCGACACATCCTGTACCCGACCCGTTGATGCCGCCCTTGCCTACGTTGCCGCCTGACTGACTCCCTTTGCCAGTGAAGGCTGAAACGCCCTTGCCGTCGTCTCCCGCAGTGTCCATGTTGGGCGTGTCTTCGCGAAGGATCACATGGCACACCTCATCTTCGTTTTCGTCTTCTTCTTCCTCTTCCTCATCTTCGGGATCCGCAGGTGTGCAGTCTGGACCGGTGCATCCGGTGGGCCCGCAGTCTGGACCAGAACAACCTCCACCTCCACAACTGGGACCAGTGCATCCCCCTCCCCCTTTGCCGCAGTTGGAACCAGTACAGCCTCCGCCGCCCGAGCAGCTAATGTTGAAGAGTTCTGTGGTAAGTTACAAAGGTTCCAAAATGAAGTAGTAAAACGATGACGGGGGTTCGCAGAAATCTGCAAATGGATTGAACTTACGAAGGGCCGATACACGAACCGCCTTTACGGCACTGGGGTCCAACACAGTCCCCGCCAGAGTTGCAGCGAGGTCCAGAACATCCTCCGCCTCCCTGGCAGCTGTCTCCCTTACAGCCACCACCATGGTCGCAGTTGCTACCGCGACAGTGGCCTCCGCCCTTACATTTCGGACCCTCGCAGTCGCCACCACGCTTGCAGTTCTTGCCGAAGCAACCTCCGCCGGCGACACAATCGGGCCCTCGACAGTCCTTGCCTTCCTCGCATTCGTCGCCTTGGCAGTCTACTGGACATGTCTCAGGTGTGCATTCCGGGAGGATCCTACCGGGAATAATAACAAATATTGGATTGTCATCATCATCGTCATCATCTTCAGTTCCGGGTGGTGGTGGGCCCGGCACGGGGCCGTCTTCGATGACCACGACCAGGCTAGTGTTAAGAGAGAGTTAGCGTAAATTCACTCGGTAGCCACCACCAATTTTGGTAATTGAGAAAGGATGTCTTGTTCTAGGGCTTACTGTCGTGGCAGCTTCTCTTCGCAAAGGAACCAACAGGGCGGATCTGTTGGGACAGGGATCGGAAGCGGAATATCTGGGAATGTCACGGTACGACCACCGCATTCATCACCACACTCCCAAGGCGGTACCGGAATACCGGTTTGGTTAAGCTTGGGCTCCAAGGTCATCGGGCCGTCGGTGCCAAAAGAAACAATTTCCCAAGTGACCGAAGCATCAGACACGGCCGGTGGAGTAATGGTCACCACGGCACCATCCCACGTCGTCGTTGTTGGAGGTGGCTGCAACGGCGGATAGGTCAGAGGCGGGAACTTGAAGTAGCATGGCGGCGTGCAGGCCACCGTCATTGTACCCCAAGCGTCCTCTGCCGTTGCCGCCCAGCTCCAAATGTTATCATCGAGCGTGATAGTGGCACCTGGTCCATTCCCGTCGCTCTCCAGGTGGCCCGCATCTCCGATCCAGCCATTAATGGATGACACATTGCTATTTGGGCTTTGATAGCCAAGTCCGTCAAGTTGTGCACCTTGTGCCGTGATCATGTTGAGCGTTCCAACGGTGGCTAGATTGAAAATGAAAAGATTCTTGTCATCGGACAGCCAGATGATTTCTTCTTGGCAGTCGAACGTGTTTAAGCATCCCTGCTCGTATTTCTGGAACCAGCTATAAATGCCGGCGCCATAGATGAAGATATCGGATGATCTCTCTATCATCAAGCCCCAAGCCATGCATGTATTTCCGGTCTTCGAATCGCATGTGCTGAAGGTTGGATCGCCAGGGAAGAGCCCGACGGACTTGCCGAATGGCTCCGGTGCCGGCGGAGACGACTGAAAGTAGGGAGACTCTGTTTGAATTAAACCCATGAAGAGGTTCTTGGCACCGAGTACAAGGTACTGGTATAAAACGTTGTGTTCAAATCCGGTCGCGTACATCCACGTTGGGCTGGTGGATTCGATGAGAATACCTGGCAGCCCCGAAGATTAGTAGGTAGAATCTCAGATGTTCAAAGAGATGTGGAGTTTGCCTGCCTCGACCAGCGTATATGTCGATTTGTATTCCATCTTGGGCCCTTGGATCATTTGTGAGTACTTGAAGCCCAACTGTCACCCATCAACCTTTTGCTCAAGGGACTTACTCGAGGTCGTGATCTGCTGTCCATCCCCAGACATTTTCAAAATACCCACTCCCGGACGGCGTTAGATGCATCATCAGACTTGTTGCAATGCAATTTTCGTTGACAGATCCTGTGAGCTTCTGGCACTCAGCCGCCGTCAACTTCGAGCCGCTATTTCCACTGACCCTAAAGTGACAGTCTACACGGAGAAGATGATTCTTGGTTAGCGTCGTTCGACTCTTCGACCGTTTCATGCCGTGACCTGATATCAAAGCTCACCCCACATTCCGGATGACCCAGGACCAGAAGCCTTCAAATTCCACTCGACCAAAATAGCCCCGGCCGTGGACCCTTCGACGGCAAAGAGCAGGTCGGAAATTTCAACATCGCCAGCTTCGCCGTTTCGGCCCCACCTGGACCATGACTCGAGGCTTTGTCATATCCTGGAACTTTTCCCCGCTAGCGGTGATGGCGCTCCAAGCTTCACCTACGATTTTCAGACCCGGAGCGATATAGACCGTGTCCGTAACGCGATAGACACCCGCGGGTAGGAAAACATGACCCGGCGAGGAAAATAGGTCCTGCAAGCAGGCCGTGTCATCGGCCACTCCATCTCCCTGACAGCCACGGGACAAAGCGTTTCGGAAGGATGAGGCAGCGACATCCTCGTACTGAGGTCGCTCCCTGTCGTAAAACCCTCCTTGAGGCCCGCCAAGGAGCCTAGCAGGAGTCGAGGACGTCTTTTGTACAGATTCTCCCTCGATGCGACGTCCGTTGGGGCTATCCTGGTTCGCGACGATGCCCCACATCCAAGAGTCGACTTTCTGGCCGCCAGCCAGCACCGTTTCGCCCGTGGTTTCCTTGATGGCGGTACCCGAGCCGCTGAAGTCGACATTATCGAGCGTCAGCTGACAGTAGCCATCCGACGCCATGAAGGGCTGCGTGCGGATCCCCGTGGTGGCGCTCAGAACACTGTCGACGAGGAGGTAGGCAAAGGTCTGCTGGGGTGCCCCCTGATCTTTGAGATCCTGGTTGATCAGGTCGATGCCGACGTCAGCGCCTGAAATCTTAATGTCACTCCACAGGAATGACCAGTCCCAGATTGCCTGGATGGCGATCTGGCAGTTTTCGAACGTGAGGTCCTTGATGGTAAACTGCTGATTGCCGGCACGGAAACCGATGTAACCTCCGTGAAAGCGAACGCCTCTGATCAGACCACCGCTGCCGTTCTCCATGAAGATGCCAACGTGGCCGCGCGAACCTTCTCGCATGCAGATGTCGATGTTCTGAAGCGACGTTGCCTGGGCTACTTGCCAGTGAATGCCGGCGGGACCGGGAGTCGCAGGCTTGTGTTGGTTGTCCGGCGTGTTCCGAAGGTCGATGATGAAGTTGCGAACCTGGCGGAAGAAATTGCTTTGGTTGATGTACCACGACTCGCCATTTCCACCCTCGATGTAGTGGTCCGAACTGATGACGCCCAGGCCCTGGAAAGAGCTTGCCGCCACCAACTTGGGTCGGTCTATTGGGTCGCCAATCATCGTCGTCATGAAGTACATCTCGATAGTGGAGCTAATGAGGTAGCTTCCGGGAGGGAAGAAGACGACAAGAGGCATGACTGATGTCGATCTACAGCTCAAGTCGTCCCCACCACAACGACTCTGATCAGAAATACATTTCTGAATGGCCTCTGTATCATCCGAGACACCGTCACCCTTGGCACCGCAGTCGCTGATCACATCTCTGTACACCTGGTAGGTATCTGCCGATGGATGAAATGGGCTTCTCCCCTTGGGAGAAATCTGGCTGTACCAGTATTCGCTGGCAGCCGCCTTCTCCTTCTTTGCCAGTCTCCGAGGACTCAGCGTCGAGTTTGAAAGCGTTGCATTCAAGCCCGAACGGCGGCTCTCTGGCAGCGGCCACGTAAATCCCATGAGGCCATTCTTCGCCTCGTATTCAGCTACTAAGGCAGCCGCCTCGCGGACCGTCCGGTTCGGTCAGCGGTAGTCATCCCACGACGGGTGGGGGACTGACGGATCCAGCGGCGTGCTGAATGCGAGATGAGTCCCGTCCATGTGAGAGGCGCGGGGGTAAGCCAGCTTGCGCGCGTTGGCTTCCTGCCTCTCTTCCGTGGCGGCTCTGATGAGGCTCTGGGCCGACATGACCTCAGCCGCAGATGCCGCCCGGCGACCGAGGTGGTATACCCCCTTGGGCACCAACTTAGGCCGTTGAAGTGGCGCTTCGGCGTTGTGCCTCCAGAGAGGCTTAGGCTTATTTTGCTGGTTTGTTGGGGCCGCCATCCCTGCGGGCGGCGTTGGCGCTTGTGTTGTTAGCGGTGGGCTTGTATCGCCCCCACCGTCGGCAACGTCCTCACCGAAGCCTTCCTGAGATTCGCCTCTCTTCGTGACAGCCTTGGTCTGGCTCGCCGCGTCAATTACCCAGGCTTTCGACTTTTGTGGCGATGCCACGCGAGTGGTTGAGAGGTAAAAAGCCGCGACATATTCGTCCTTCGCATGACCTTGATTGGTGCCTTCTGGAGCAGAGTCGATTTTGTGTGCCGCACGGATTGCATTCTATTGAAATCGAAATTAGAATTGGGTCACATATGTATATGGATGTGCGCCTTTCACTTACACCCAAGGTCCCCAACGCTTCCCGTTGCCAGTCCTGCTCAGATGAGTTTTGGTCCATTACGCCAAACGCCTGCTCATACGTTCTCTTGACCTTGTCTTTGGCGTTGGTGTGGCACTTGATTGTCTGGGGGGCACAAATCGCAGCGCCGACAATCCCATCTGATGGCAGTCCGCCACCACCCTCGATCCAGCTGAATCGGGTTAGCCCCGGTCAGTAACCATTGATACAGACACTATTGTATTACAGCAAAGGAAGGCTCACCTCGCTGATGGGAACTCATCGCACGTCCACCCCAATCCGCTTTGAAGATTCTTTGTCGGATCGGCCGGGTCAACTGGGCCAAGGATGACCTCGGGGACATTCGGAACACTCTTTGCCGGCAAGTCGAAATTTGTGCTGTAGACCGTTGTGAGTCCCGTAAGGGATCCGATATTCTTACACTGCTCCGGGAACTTCTGTTTCTTGTACGCACTCGACGGATTTTTACACGTTGGGCCGCGTCGTTGGTTGGCGTGTTTGGACTTTTCGTTGGTGTTGTCGTAATGCAGCTCCAGAAGACCATTGGCATCGAACTTGAAGCTGGGGTTTGCCGCGATGTGATTTTCGACGTTCTTGCAAACGAAGGGCATGTATTCGCAGTTATAGACGAGGGTGGGAATCGCACGATGTGGGTCAATCACTGTTGTTTCTTCCACTTTCTCCATGGACTTCGTGTTGGTCACTTCGGCTCCGGAGGCATCCGTGACCACATCGATGACGGGCGTCTCCCTTGTGATTGTGACTGTGCCTGATGGGGGGTCGGAACGAACCGTGTAGGAAGATGACGGATCACCCCTCTTCTTGGGGCCCGGCGGGATACCAGGATGTTGTTCCTGGAGCGATAACCGTCACTTTCTGGGAAAGCTGGGCTGCCACATGAGTGACGAGAATCGATGCCTCCTTCTCATGCGGAGCCATGGTGAGGCTGAGGATGTCAAAAAAAGGCCTATAACGAGAGTCCCTGTTGGATCTGACGTACCAATCTACGGCTAGTAGTTCTCTATAGACATTCCCCAAGTACCCGGAAACCTGGGAATTGAAGAATTTATACAATCTTCAAAGTGTTACCTTTGCTTCTCAGTCTCAACATGAGGAATTCCACCCGGGAGGCTTCATCTGGGCCGTCGAGAGAAATCAGCCGGCCAAGACGAGCTGCGCCAGCAAGGGTGGCATGTCTCCTCGGTATCTTCGCATAGTACCTGCGGTTTGTCTGCTCCCCCGGCCCTTTGTTGTGTTACACGACACTGTCTGCTCATAATTTTACGGCCAATATCCTAGGCTAAATCCTTTCATGCACGGTAATCACTATATTGTCGGCCCTGTGAGTGGCAGTGTGGACGACATAATTTAGGTCTTTCGCTGTGTCCCGCTATGTGCTCAATCTAAACTAAAAACATCTTGATCCATCCTCGTCGGTTACTTTCAATAGAAATCTGCCTTCATCTCGGGATACAAAGCGTGTCTAAAGATCTCCACGTGTCGTGCCTCCGCGTCATCCAGCTCCTCCAAATCCGCCACCTCGCCATCCCGTCTGAAGACCCGCCAATATCTGCCGTCTATTCCAACATAGCATAGCGCAGGGCCCGCAGTCGCCAATTCCTCAGGCGCCCGCTTGAGAACGTCCCGCTCCTCCTCCGCCGACATACCGCTCACCCCACCCGTGCCGACGTCCAGTTGCGTAAGGCGGTTTAACCGTCTGATCGCGCCAAGAAGAGGAGTCCAATGCTGTAACGGCTCGCTATTCTCCCGGTTCAAGTAGCCCCTCCACTCCACACGTACGGTGAGGCCCTCTAGAGTGTCTCTGCCGTACGCCACCACTATTTCCAGCATTGGCTCCGCAGCAATATATTCCCCCTTCGCATCCGCAAGAATCTTCTCGGCTGGGGTAATTGCGGCCTCCGGGTCTGATGAACGATATTCTAGTTCCAGGTCGTACATCCTTGGTGAAATCTTCCACAACTGACGCAAGGTTTCACCCTCGTCCGCTTCACGGAGAATTCCGCCATCATCAGGGTCAGGGTACCTGTCGGCGGAAAATGACAACGCAAGTTGGCTTCCAAGTTCAGACCATTCCCTCAACAGGAAATCTCGAACGTCATATTCACACTGGTAGACGCTGAACCGGCGAAGATTCGGTGCGGAGTTTGGGCTAAAACCTTCCCAAGCGATACCGGATTCGTGACCATACCTGTACAGAACCACGATGTCCTGCTCGTCGCATATGACGTCCATGTTGTGAATATAGACAGCTTCAAGTGTGTTCAGATCCGTCAGCGCCCTCAATGCGCAGGCCTCAAATGGCAACACTGCCGTGCCGCACTGCAACGATTTCAGCCGAAGCGGACTTTGAGCTTTTTCATGGTAAGCAACGCATAGTTCGTCAAAGTACTTCCATAGGGACGTCTCTACGCCCCTCGCTTGCTCATCCCAATAAGCCCGCTCCAATGCCGGATCGGAAAGGGAAAGTGCCAAGTGCTCCAGTTCTGGTGACTGGCAAAGAACATCGACAATTTGGTGTCTCCAGGTGTATATGTCTCCGTATAGTTCCTCCAAGGTAAGTTGTTTTAAATTCTCTAGGTTCGAGAGTCCGGTCGACAGCTCCACATCAGCCCCGTGGACGTCGACCTCGGAATCTGGAGACCCAGTATGATGGGCAAAGGTGATGGAAACAGCGGATAGTTTGCGGCAATTCTCAAAAAGCGCCGAAATGGTACTTTTCAAAAGTGGGTAGCCGACCATTATTTCCAATGGGCATGTTAGTGCTGTGTGAGGTCCATGTTGTCTAGCAAAGTCATCGATTTCAACGTACCGAAACTGTTCAAGGCCATGCGCCACTTGGAAAACCGACCGGGCTGTATCATTGGCGATACTGACCTCGAGGACCGTCCCGCCTGAATATGGTGCGACAATGCACAAGGATCGAATTGAACCGAACCAAGCGGTCCGACGCCCTGTCGCGAATCTCGTGTCCCACTTCGGCTCGACGACTCTGACGGCTGCATACAAGAAAGGCGAAAAAGCCTGATTAAACGCCTTGGACGTAAGACAGAGGTTGTAGAGTGCCTTCTTGTTGGTAATCTAAATGGGGGCACACGAATTAGATTCCCATGGTAATCCGCAGATGATCGGTCGAAGGGATATGAACGAGGTGCCTCGCAAAAGAAAATGGCCCGATTCATGGTTGACTGACCTGACCTCCGATATTGGATAGAAGTTCGGGAATAGCCAGGACTCTCGCTGCAGACTGTGGTGGTTCTGGGCTGCTCATGGTGGATTGGCCGGTGGCTTGGACGCAGCTCAATTTCGTGATCATTTATCGACCAAATGAAAAGCAAATGCAGCCCGGCAGGGTTAACGGAGGTTGGACAGGCACAGCTGTTGGGGTTAATGGGGTGTGGCGGGGCAGCAGGGGCAGGGCGGTGCTAGGCACAGGTTGTTGGTTTGGCGAAGAAGCAAAAGGCAGCTTGAGGTGAAGGAAGGGGAAAGTAGCCTGCGAGTAAAACGCGAGGAAATATAAATATAAATGGTTCTGCCGATGTTTATGTTCATCCGGCCGGCAGTAAAAGTTGTGTAACCACTTGCCGAATAAGCTCGGGCGGCGTTACGACGTGGTTAACCTAGAAATAGGCAGAGCTGCAGCAAAGACGCATGCTAGATATTCCTTTGAATTTGTAATGGGCCATGGTTGCCGTGTTATCCTCATTTCACCAACCAACGCCTGAGCATTGGTGCCTATCTCGAATCTGTCATCTTCATCTATCTCGAACCGCTCCTCCCTACATTTATATCTAAGCCAATCCGGGTTGAGTTGACACTCTCTTGAGAAAATAAAATGAGCAAGCGGACGCATTCTACCGCGGGTATATCGATCAGCAATACAAGTTTCCGTTCTATCTTCTTCTGCCCGACCGTCCTAATCGGAAACATCTCTATTAGCGTGTCCGTCCCTGCCTAACAACTTGTCTCTCAAAGGAACGGCGCTCCTCTTGTCACTTCTTCGGCTATCCGGCACGGCTCTAGGCTCCCCGGCTGCCAAGATCCTTGGCGCACGAGCGCCAGCGGCCTGTGGAGAGAACAGCGGCCTTGGTCTGCTATGGCAGAGATGGAGGCACATCTCAGGACATTGCGCCGCCAGAAATCATAATCGCCTCTGCGTACCTTCGATCTCTCGGCGAAACTGCCTCGGTAACCGACTCTTTCTGGACCAGTAAGCATAAACACCAACCACTTCTTCTTACTCGAAACGCTGACAAGATTTCGTAACGCAGTGCCGTCATCCAGTGATTGCGAAGAGTGGATGTTGCCCCTCCAGTCCTCGAACTCGCCCATTCTGGTCTTGGCGAAGCACATTAGCCCTCGCATCAAATCTTCCGTACTGTATGAGGATATTGCGACCACGATTGACGGCGGCGGCCTCCTCGCTCGCTCGGAGGACCTTATGAATTCTTTGTTGGGCTGCGGCCGTGGTGGAGGCATGGTCGGGTTTCGAGTGAACACGACGAATCCTCTGTACGAGTCTGAGGAGTATAAGAGTCTCAACGCCAAGCCAGAAGGTATCCTAATCAAGATTGTTCGCAACCCGGAATTCAAGGAGGAAGCTGCGGAAGTTGGAGAAGAAGAAGACACGGAAACTGGAGAAGAAACCACGGCTCCCTAGGTATCTAGAGAATTTTGTCGTCATTGGTTATGTGAGTACGACAATCTTCAGTGGTGTACTTCTTTCGTAGTACGGACTCTACGTAAACAGCAACCAGCACCATCTACGCAACTCGAAGTCAGGCCGAGAACTGACGCGGAAATATACTAGAAAGGCCAAGAATAAATAAGAGTAGAAAGATATTTAGAAGTTCAGAAGTTGAGGTATAAAATCCGGCCATGGGAACAAGGCCTCTCAAATATTACTCGTTACACCGAGTTGTATGCACTCTAGCTTGTCCAATATCTCTTTCCACACCTTCTTCTGAGTCGCCGCTCCTTCATCGCTCCTCACCCAATGTGAAATCCTGTGTTTCTTCTTATTAGAGCAGGGTTTTCCCTTGATACTTAGCAAAACACTAATTAATTGACACTTACAACTCAGGCTTGGCCGGCTTGCAGTCGCACAAATATTGTCCATCGGTGTCTCGATTGCCCTCAGCGGCGTGGACCAGTGTTCTCCCACCCTCCTCCGCAGTTCGCATCACGGCAATTCGCATAGTCTTGACATAAAGGGAAAAGAAGCCGCTTGCTTCTCGCATAATATCCGTCTGCACCGCGCCAGGGTTGACGATTGAGGTGACGATGCGTCCCGAGCCTGACGGCTGTGTTACAGTCTTCGAGAGTTCGCGAAAAGCCAATAGTTCCATCATCTTCGAGACATTGTATCTAAAATTAGAAGAGGGTAAGTAAGTAAGTAAGTAACCGTACCAGAAGATGAGAGTGACAATTCGGAGTACCTGTCTTTCATCCTCGCGCTATCCTCACGCGCAAGCTCCTCCAAAATATTCTCCGCTCTACGCTCGGGAAATTCTGTCATCCAGTGGACAAACGACCCGGTGAACGTCAGAACGACATCTGTGCCGAATCTCTCCGCCGTCTCTCTCAGCTTCGGTAGCAGAAGAACGGCAAGCAGCATGGTACTGATGACGTTGACGGTGATGGTTCTCTCATTATCCTCGGCTCGCTCAAACTGGTGCGTGTACAAGCCCGCATTTTCGATCACGACGTCGAGTCGATCCAGCTCCGTCGTCACCCGCTCGGCGAACGCCCGCACAGACTCATAGCTGGCTAGGTCGAGCTCCCAGACCTCTGCGACGCCAGCGCGGCCGGTCGAGGCTACAATTGACTTCGCCGCCGCGGTGCCACGCTCACAGCTGCGCACGGCTAGGATCACCTTGGCGGCTCCAAGGCGGACGATGTGGCGGGCTGCCTCGAGACCTATGCCGGTGTTGGAGCCCGTGACGATGATGGTCTGCCCAGCGAAGCTTTTGGTGGAAGTTGGTAGCTTGAGGCAGAGCTGGGAGCGGATGAAGTGGCCATATGGGAGAGACATGGTGTTTGTTTGGGAGTGCCGTCTTATTAGCACAAGAAAGATATACGTAAGAAGAACTAGGAAATATTCGGTGACAGGTGGATTAGCCTAGCTAAGGAGCTGAGATATTGATGGTTCGGGGATGACTCCAGCTATATTTATTATATCTTCAGAAGCCATCTTTGAGGCGCACAAAGTCGGCATCGAAAAATGATCTATGCTTCTAATCCGGCCGTTCTCCGGATGGATCACCACGGATCACCCCAGCTGTAAGCATATTGCAGGTCATCCCGGTCCGGAACATGAGGACACGAGGTCCAAGGTAAAGTTGTCGTACACCGCACCATGCGTGTTTCTGTGTGGTGGATTAGGCTTAGCGCTGTAAGCAGTTTGCAGAATGGATTGCGCTAAGTGAAGATGGGGGAACCCCGTGGGGTGAATCTTTGACGCCGCCATCGCATCTATGATTCCAGCCACAGGCACCGGTGGTGCGTGGCAGGTTACCGTCCCTTCCGATTTAACTCCAACATCCTCCTGCAAGAAGCTTACATCCACACATCATCCACTTCCCCCCGATCACTCTGATGTACACCAGACGTGCCGTGCTTTCATCGTCATCTACGCCGCAGCAATGCCACGTCTATCTGAGGTAGGGCCTGGTAAAGCATCGTTCCAAATGGGATACGGGTTGCTAATAATGATGCCCAGGCACGGGGTCCAGAGGATGACTGGACTGGACTGAAAGACCCAAAGGCCAGGCGGAAATTGCAAAATCGATTAAATGTCCGGGCGCACAGTTAGTCTCGTACCAACGTTAGGACAAATCATTTTGGCTATATTGCTCACCGATGTCTGATTATCCAGGGAGGCGGAAGGCATTGCAGTCCATCATGGGGCCACCCGCTGTCGCTCGCGAGGAACACCAAGATAAATCCATCATGGCGATTGAGCCCCGTCCGCTCAGTGCCAACGCATCTGATTTCCGCCTATCTCAAACCCGTTTCCTAAGAGCCAAATCAACTTCATCAACAGCCCTATTCTGTGGCTCGAGCAACGGAGATTGCCCGGGTTGCAGGGACTATAATGAAATAGTCAAAAACACATTTCCATTGTCACTCGACCACCTCATCCCCCTGATCCAATACAACATTATCCGCGCATCCTTGACCAACGCTTCAATTCTCTCCATTCACCTACCTGCAGGCAAGTGCGGCCCAGCGTGGAGTAGAGTGCCGCTGTTTCCTGCACCACCCACCATCCCTGACTCCCTGGCACCGACCGTCCTACAGCTCAGTACCCCGCATGACGTGTGGATCGACCTCTTGCCCGACCCGACAATGAGGGATAATGCCATTAGGGCTCTCGACACGATTGACGTAACTGCGCTTCAACGTGATCTCACCGGCAGCCAGTGTGGCGCTGGCAACAATGTGGATTTCGTTGGCATTCTTGCGTGGAACGACCCTTGGCGTCCAGATGGGTGGGAGCTAAGCGAAGGCTTTGTGAAGAAATGGTCAATACTTCTGCTTGGATGCTGGGAGTTGCTGGCAGCGACGAATCGGTGGAGGGCAAAGCGTGGGGAGGAGCCGCTGGTGTTTGAAAGGTAAAGAAGATATAACATTGCATTTGTTGTCCTTAAGGTACTTGGCGAACGGCTCAGCGGACCGTTCGTGGTATGGTCGGGGCCTGTATTCTGGGGGGGCATGGACCGGGTGTTAGTGGGGGTGGCCACTACGATCTGCGCCGCGGCGCCCAGGGGCGGTCCTAGTGCCCGCGGTGTTGGCGGACTGCCGGCCGCTGGGCGTCTTGCCGACGCCATCGTCGGAGGCGATTGGGATAGGGGTCGATGAGATAGAGAGTTCGGTGTCTAGTATCGTCTTCTTCTCCTGAAGCTGCTTCTGAAAGGAAGATCATTTCGCCGACCTACCCGTTACACGCATTCCTAAAAATCAAAGTTTCCTCTTGCTTTGTGCATAATTATTGAAGCACTTATTATTCTTGGTAATAAATGCCCTCAATCTGATCATCTTCTTAGAATCGGACTCGCGGGATCTGCCCGGCTCCGGTTCGGGTAACTAGCTGCGACGTGAGTTAACAGGCCCTAATATGCATGTTACTATGCGGTGTGCGAGCGTGGAAGACTGCACCTACGCGGCCTGATAACCGAAATGAGAGGAAGAATCGGGGTGGCGTGGAAAGCCAGTTTCCGAACCCTGGTAACGACAGCTACCGTACGCAAGGATATGATAGGGGGATCGTAGCGGCAGGTGGGTCGCGTGGTACTCAGAGTAACATCAGCCCCATACCTTGCTTGGACTGTTTCCAAGTATTCTCGGTTTCGGTTTCTTCCCTCGCGATTTGGCGAGAAATGCGAGCAAATTGTGTGAACGTGTGCAGTCCCTAGGCGAGTCAGGCAAGCTGACGTCAGTTCATCCCCTTAGATCACCTTAAGTAGAGCACAGAATTACTCGAATAGAACACGCCAATTTTCTAAACTAAACCTCAACACACGCTGGGAAAACACGGCCCTAATAACCGAGCAGGACTGGCGATGGGTTATCTCGACGCATTACAGCTCATCCTACTGGGAGAGCATGTATCTATTTCGCAAGTACTCATCGCGGCACTAACCATCTATCTCACCATCGATAGGATCGGTCATTACAAGAAAACTGTATGTTTCGGCTCCTCGGAAAACAAAAGAGTTTCTCTAATTGATGAATTTGATGTTCTAACTTAATCCGCCGTTTAAAGCCCAAGATAACGTCGATTGGGTTTTTACCTATCCCATTTATTGGATCATGGGTTGCCGCGATTAGATTTATGCGGAATCCTGTCAAGTTTGTTCGTGAAGGCCAAGCCAAAGCGAAGAATGGGTTGTTCCGCATCGCCACGATCCAGGGAGAGTACGCCCTCGTCACCGATCGTCATAAAGTAGCCGAGTATATCAAGGCGCCAGACACGGTATTGAACTCCCAAGACGGCTCAAACGATGTACGTGCATTGAAAAAAGGGGAAAAAATCCCAGATGAGGTGACTAAAGGGTGCCTATACAGCAACAACAAATTCCTTTCACTATGGGATATGGTGTCGGCCATAGGACATACCATACCAGGGTTGTTCGCGGACCGATCACTAAGGGAATTTCAAACAAGACGCCGATCATGCTGGACGAGGCGACGCTTGCACTTGATCATTATATTGGATCTCCCACTGGCAAGACTGACCAATCATGGCTAAACGTGTTCAACCTACTAATATCCTCCAAGAGTACACCCCAATTGGCTTGTACGATGCGATTGCCCTTACGGTAGCACGCATCAGCAACCGGATCTATGTCGGAACCGAGTTCTGTATGCAGCATTTTCAAGATTGCCCGAGTGAGAGTTACATTACTGACTTCAGTCTAGGTCGAAATGAGGAGTTCCTGAAGAACGCTGCAGACTACGCCCAGGCTGTGGTCGTGTCAGCCGAGATCCTCCGTGTGTTCCCGGAACGGTTCAAACCGTACGCCTCAGGCCTCTTCCCCTTCCAGCCGGTATTAGTTGCTCACGTGCTTTTAGCATTCTAGTCCAATTCCTTCCTGTGATGAAGTATCGACGAAATGGATACAAGTTCCTACAGTCCTTTATCGAAGATCGCTTGAATGGAAAGCTGGATGAGAATGGAAATAAGCCTGACGATCTCGTCCAATGGCTCGTGGACGCGGCTCCTCCCATTGAGAAAAACGGACCCATGATTTCAGAGCGGGTTATGGCCTTGAATGTCGCATCAATCCACACTACAACAATGGTTCGTAACTTGTCGAACATCCGCCTGAGCAGCAAGTGACAGCCACTGACTTACCCTCTACTGTTTCAGACATTCACATGTGCGTTGTATACTCTCGCGGCACAGCCGGAGAAGTATCTTGAGCCCCTGCGACAAGAAGTTATGGAAAATCTCGAGGATGGTCAAATCACGTACAAGACCCTGCAAAATCTGCCAAAAATGGAGAGTTTCTTGAGAGAATCTGGTCGCTTCAACAACGCTGGCCTGAGTAAGTTCTCTACCACGCGGTTTTTTTTTTTTTTTTTTTTTCCTTCTTCTTGGGTGGCTTAGATTCAAGAGGTATTTGACTAACAGCTGTTCTGTAGTGGCGATGCAGCGAAATGCCCGCAAAGAGTTCCGATTTTCAGACGGCACGGTCATCCCAGCTGGTGCCAAGATAGGCGCACCGAGTTTGGTCCTACATCGAGACCCAGAGGTATACGAAGACCCAGATGTTTTTGACGGGTTCCGCTTCTGCAGTCCCAAGTACGCCGATAACAAAGAGGACTCGCCCGTCTACACCACGAACAACTTTTTTTTGTTCGGGCACGGAAGGCATCCCTGGTAAGCCTTAGTTGACTATCATACATACTCAAACGGGACCACGCTGCTGACGATATCCTGAATTGCTCCAGTCCCGGTCGTTTCTTGGCAGTTCACGAGATGAAGTTGACGTTTTGCATTCTACTGTTAAAGTATGATTTTAAGTTGGCTCCGGGCACTCAACCACAGCCCTGGTTTATTGGGACCATGGCCATCCCAGACACAACTTTGAAAGTGCTATTCAAAGCTAGGTCATCCGGGATTACCCAATGAGAGACCCTCTCGTCACAGACGGGTTCCAACGCGCGTTAACATCAGCATACTTCGTACACTAAGTTGAGAAATTAAACTGAACATATTTCGTGATGACCATGATTAACTCTTGCTACGTGCCTTCTGACAACGCATCGTTAACACCATTACACTTTCCCCTCGAGTCCGAGCAAGGGCTTCGCACTCTCGGCAATTTTGGGATCCTCTTGATCTCGCAGAAATTGCACTCGTCGGCCAACCACCTCCGCTGTCATCTCGGGTTGCGACGATACCCAGAACTTGCCCTCGGCAATTTGTGCCATCATTACCCGACACCCCTCCGCGAGATCCATGCCGTAGGTGTGCATTGTCTGGTACATTCTTTCTCGGTAGGCTGTGGCACTAGCAGGCTCTCCGGTTCCCCCCTCGCTATCGAAAATCCTCGTCTTGATCATCCCAGGAATCACCGAGCACACGTGAACCGATGGGGCCTTGAGTTGCATTTCCAGGAACAGGCCCTCAGAGAAAGCTTGGACTGCGTGCTTGGTGACAATATAGGCCGTTTGGGTTGGAAACACGCTGAAGGCGCCGATGCTCGCGAGGTTGGCAATCCAGCATTCCTCCCCTTGAGCAATCATGCGCGGAGCAAAGGCTCTGACCCCGTGAATGACCCCTTTGACGTTGATATCCAGAATGGAGTCCCAACGGGAGGCGGGGATCTCCCACGAGAAGCCCAATGTTTCGATGCCCGCGTTATTGATGAGCAAGCGGACACTGTTATGGCGAGAGAATACATCTTCTGCTAGTGCATCAAGCTCGGAGGGTACTGAGACATCGACGGCCACGTGTTCTGCCTTTCCACCTTTCTCCCGGATGGACTGTGCGACAGTCTCGGCGCGCGATGCGGAGACGTCAGTCACGATGACAGTCATCCCAAGTTCGCCAGCCCGAAGGGCCAAGCCAGCTCCAATGCCAGCCCCAGCGCCTGTAATGACGGCAACCCCACCAGCGAGCCTCTTTTCCGCCGTGGTAACGTTCATCTTAGGATTTAAGATATAAAGGTGCGACGCACTCTAAGTATGAAAATGCTTGGATGGCATATGAGACCGCGAGGCGGAGACGAAGTGGGAATGAATTTGGGCAAAAGATCCAGGGGGGCCCCCAAAATTGTTAACAAGACTAAAGTGAGAATGAGTACGAAGTATAAGTAAGTGACACACTGGCCTGTTGGGTTCCCCCATATACGGTAGCCTAAGGGGATCATGCCTGACAAAGCCGAGCTGACTCGGTTCCGGTGGAGAGCAGCAAAGTAAGTATTGATTCCACACTTAGTCGTGGGCTAGCCCTGCCAATGACCGTATTAACTACACAGAGGACAGAGGGCTCCCCTGCGGCCCTCTTAATAGAGGTGGCATTCTAGCATACAGAATAGATACGCTCCAATTCTTCTAGATTCCTTCCAATAATCCCGTCTTCTAGATTCCTTCCAATAATCCCGTTCTCCCCCCCCCCCCCCCAAAAAAAAAAAAAAAAAAAAAAAAAGAAAAAAAAAAAAAAAAAAAAAAAAGGAAAAAAAAAAAAAAAAAAAAAAAAAAAAAAAAACTAATCACGGAGAGTTTCACATAGCTCCCCAATAACTACGATCGATGGCGTTCGTGAGGTGTCCAAGAATGCAGCACAGTCTTCAGCGACTGTCGGTGCAATGTCCGGCTTCGCGAGGAGCTCCGAGAATTTCTGGAAAGCTTCCTGGCTCTCGAAGACCATTTCCGTGATCGCGTCGTAGGCGAAATCGGACGCTGAGCCGCTGATAATCATAGCCGGGTACTGCTGGGTCTCTTCCACCGTGCCAGTCTTCTCGAGGCGGCTGATGTATCGTCGCGTGTGGGATATGGGGAAGAGGTTGCCGCCGAGCTCTTTCATGAGCGGCACATGGACATTTTCGTAGTGGGCTCGGAATGCAGCAGGTGTCAGACCTGGTTTCCGGTAGGCGAAAAGAACCACCGTAAACACCATGGCGAAAGGTATCCTTGTAGGAAGAGGCGTAGACTAGGATGCGGATAGAATTGCCGGATGTGAGGTTAGAATCGAAGGGCCTCAAGGATGAAAGGCATGAGAGTATTTGAATTGCAGAGGCAATGCTAGCGTCGTCTCAGGATATACCAGCCGTTACTGAGTCAGTAAAGAGCTGTCAGCCAAAAGAGGGGTAAGGCACTACATAATTCGTAGGAGATGCGCCGGGGTGAGGGCCATATGACGAATCTTTACAAGGTACTTGCTAGCAAAGGATACACGAGAGAAAAGCATCGCCACCGACACAATGGATCAAATCGACCCCCAAGACCTCATTCAGAAAGCACTGGACCGTTCAATCGAGCTCGGCGAGATTGGCATCTCCGTCACGGCTTATCATCGTGGTGAGCTTGTAGTGGATGCATTCGCCGGTGTGATGAACTCGGAGACGAAGCGACCAGTGGATGCCGAAACTCTGTTCCCGGTATTCTCCGTCACCAAAGGCATCACAGCTTTGGCAGTTCATATCCAAGTAGAACGGGGCCTCGTGGTCTTAGATGCGCCCGTTAGTCGATACTGGCCCGAATTCGCAGCCCACGGAAAGGAATCCATCACGGTCGAGGATGTTCTCTCACATCGGTCGGGGATCCCACAAATGCCAGCGGGTACGCCCGAGCAGATGGCAGATTGGGACTGGATGATCGCGCGCATCGCCGAGCAAGAGCCCATCTTTGAGCCTGGAAAGCACAATGCTTACCATGTGCTTGTTTGGGGATGGCTCGCGGGCGAGATCGTGCGGCGGACAGATCCAAAACACCGACCATTCAACGTCTTTGTGCAGGAGGAGATCTGCCAGCCCTTGAGAGTCTCGGAGTTCCACATGGGACTCGCGGATCACGACCTGGGTCGGGTTGCCACACTATACGGAGGAGACAGCTATGGGATGGTAGACCATTACAACGTGAACCCTCCGGGCGTCTTCCCAGGTAGCACAGTCCACAACCAACGGGAGATGCAACAGGCGGTAGATCCAGGGGCGGGCGGAATTGCAACATCCGGGAGCATCGCACGCATCTTTGCCCTCATTGCCGAGGGTGGAGCCCTGGACGGCGTACGTCTGTTGGGGCCCGAGCGAACGGTAGGTCTAACGCGGCCGCGGAAGGGCGCGCATGACCCCGATAGAATATTGCCGATCCCGGTGTGGTTCGGAGCTGCAGGGTTTTGGCTCGGGGGAGAGCCGGGAGCATCGGATCCTATTGTTGGTGATCACCGAGACATTGTATATAGCCCCGGAGCAGGAGGGTCGATTGCCTGGGCAGACATTCGTGACAGGATCGCGGTGGCTATTTGTCATAACAACATGGACACGCCGCCCATTACGGATCCGGAAAGGACATTTGAGCCCATTGTGAGAGCCATCAGGCAGATTGTCAAGAAGAGAGAGGAGGATGCCAAGGCGGCGGCGTCACAATAATAGCTAGCAAGTTGAGGTTGAGCCAAAGATACACCGAGTTCATTGCTGTAGTAAACAACTGAGGGCAGCTGCTCAGTATGAATGAACTACTCCACACATTGACAGGACCCAGCACAAGAATATGCCAGCCACACAAGCCACAAGCCACCCCCATAGTTGGTGTGACTTAGCTTGGACGTTGTCAGACTCGCCTCGGCAGTCCTAATCCAAATCCAACCTCCCTCCCCTCCTGTACCCATCATAACCAGAGATCCGATTTATTTGGTTTGGGCGGGCGCAGGGGATTGGGTCGAGGAGAGGTACACGTGACTAGCGACAAACATGCTGGTCACGGGTTAGTCGGGCCCCTGCTTTTTCCCCGCATTTTCGTGTGGAAGCAGCCCGGTCCAGTCCTTGTCCATTCCACTAGTGACCGACGCCTCGAAGCTACTTCGTAATTTAGCTACATGTCAAATCGCGAGTGACCAGCATCCTGTAACATTCCTCAACTCTGTCGTCCAGCCCACCTCCCCATAAAAATGGCCACACCGAGCAACTCGCACAACACCGACGATGGCGGCCCGGAGGCTGCTCTAGATTTCCAAAAATTATCAAAAGATGAACGTCGACGCGCGAGGAAACGCGCCACAGACCGCAATTGCCAGCGCCAACACCGCCAGCGTCAGCGGGCTTATGTTCGCCAGCTCGAAGAAACGATCCAAACCTTCAAAACCAGCTTTGCCCAGTCCAGCAATAGCGAGGTCGCTGCCTTGCTCAAGGAGCAGGAGAGGCTCCTGGCCAGATGCCAGAAACTCGAGGCTACCCTCCTGCGCATCAGTGGCCTCGCTAACTCGGCCAGGGGCGTGGAGACATGCCCCCCCGAGCCCGCCCCGGAAGCGCCATGTCTTGAGAAAGCTTTAGATCCTCGTGTGGCCGCCGCGATTCAGATGAATAAACCAATGGAAGAAACTTCCGCCTCGTCCGGATGCTCACAGACATTGTGCGATCCCGCCTTTCCTTCCGTGGACCTCGATAATGATCGACCTACGCCTTCTGCGGAGACGTTACGAATGCCCGGTTCCATTTTGCCCCCAAGTTTGGACTACTTTGACCTCTCAGATTGTTTTCTAGAGTTACCCAAGGACCACCCGCCCGATATTCACCTTCAGACTCAAACCAGCGGGACATCTGCTCATATTGACCTGCTTACAGAAGTCACTAGCGACGGGGGCAATTTCGGAGAAAACAACTGTGATGACAGCCTAGAGTCCGGCGCAAGCGGCATTCTAGACGGAAGCGCCATGAGCCTCGACGTGCTGCCAACGTCCCTTCTTAGTTTCGACACACCGATGAACGAAATGGTGACGATGCGGGATAACCTCAGCTCATGGGCTAATTCATCTACGCCTCCGGGCTTCTTACGAGTGTCCAACGACTTGGGTCAGTGGGATAAAATCATAATAAGCATGATCAACGAAGCCCGGCTTCAACGTCGACTCGGCCAGTTCCCAACCAACGAACCGACGCTGAGGTCTCTTCTGTCCCACCAGTCAACAGAGGTACTAGCATCTCGCCTCTATCATCATATTTGCTCATTCGGCCCGATTCCGCTGCACCTTCTGCTGTCCATATTCTGGGTTCAGTATCTCCTCTTAAGGGTATATACATTACTCGAATCCCTAAGATGAATCTTAAATGCTTACTTCTTTTCGCAGTGGTATGTCCTCGGAACTCGATCGGCCTTCCTCCGGATTCCCGAGTTCATGCGACCTACAGACTTAGAAACACGTATCCCGCATCGACCATGCATTGGGATGCTCGTGTGGTACGTTGCTCTTAATGTCAAAAAAGCTAGTTCAACCATCCCAGTTCCTGCTGACAGCTCGTCCAGGCCGGACATTCGTCGCACATTGATTCGAGATTCGAATAGTGCGGACCCTGAACGGATAGGAATAGAGCTATTAAGACACTTGGGTGAGAATTGGGTACCAACAGCACATGTCACGGGAGAGCTCATTGGAAGCACGGATGTTTTTGCAGTAATCGAACACCAAGCATGTAAATTGGACTCTTGGAAGGTCGACCGAATGTTTAAAGAGAAGCATAAACTGTTTATTAACTGCAGGCTAGACTGAACACGATGGATCATCTAATTGCCCTCACTAAGAGAGCCTTGGAAGTGAGATCTGCCAGTCCGCATATAGCGCAAGTCGCCTCTTCCTCTGCCACAACCTTCAATACCGAATACGCTCGGGCGAGAAGCACCCCGCAATTCCAAGCCAATGTCCGCCTCGGCTAGCTGAAACGCATAATGTCACCCTAAATTCCGTACCTTTGAACCCCGCCGTGTGAGCTGTCAAGGCTTGGTCAGGAAAGCTGACGATGCAAATTCTCACTAAGACTAATCAGTCAGGGGCCGCTTCTGAGCATGCTGATTCAATAAAACTAGTATTAAGTTGCACCATTCCATTTGTTTTTGTCGTGTTAGAATGTAGAATCAACTCTTCAGAGTTGCGATTAATCTCAATTCAAACCATTTTTATCTTAGTTCCGCTACAATACTAAATATTTCCACAAAATGGCTACCATCGAGCAGATGACCGTCTACGCCGCTCAATTGGACGCCCGAACAGATGAAAATGCCAAGAACAGACCAGTCACCGAAGCTTGTGTATTCAAGCTTCAACCCGAGTTCGCAAACGACCATGCCGCCGCCGCCGCCGAGTTTGACTCGGGCATAGTAACACACTGCAAGCCTGGAGCACCCTACGCGCTCGGGATCCGCAAAATCGCCTGGGGCTTTTCCTCCTCCGACCCGTCCACCTTTGTATGGCTCATCGACTGGGAGAAAATCCAAGATCACTGGGAATTCTGGAAGACGGCTGGCTTTCCGCCAGTGATGGCCACCATCTCCAAACTATTTCAGCCTGGGCGGCCATTGGTGCGTCACTACGACTTTGGTGCCGAGGGGATGTTTGACAGCGACATCACGGTCGCGAGGATCGTGATCTGGGATGATGGCGCGGAGGGAAAAGAGAAGCAGCGGGCCAGAGAACTGGGCAGCGCTCAAGGCAAGGCAAAACATACTAGGGCAGGTTACGCCGTTGACATTGACGAAACCAGCTGGTGGTGCACGCTCTTGGGCTACGATAGCGAAGCCGATGCGAGGGCAGACGTAGTTTACACTGGTGATGGGGCTGAGTCTCACATTATTACTGATCTGCTGTACGCTTGATGGCACGGAGTTGAAGGGTGATAAGTTCAACCGTGCCTTGCTTTTTATACTTCTTAAGATAAATGCTGCAATTAAGTGCGTAAAAGTCTGTCTTTGGCCCTCGTATCTAACATGGTTATAATGAAGGACCTCAATCCTGGAAGCTCCTCTCGAGTGCCTTGGATATCCGTTCCCAACAGTCTCGGACGTCCTCTTTCCTGAAGTCTTTGCTGCCCTCTTGGTAATGGCTGAATCCGTGGATGGCTTCGGGGTATTCACGGCTCTCCACACTGACACCCGCTTTTCTTATATTCTCCACGTATTTCCTGCCCTCCAATTTTAAACAATCCTTCCCCGCGGTCACCACGATGGCCGAAGGAGGCTTAAGAGACTTAAGAAGGGGAATTTCGGCAGATAATGGTGAAACAAACACTTGAGATTTGTCAATGTAGGGAGGTAAATACGATGCCTCCATCATTGTCGCAGCCCAACACGGCAGACTCGAAGCTTGGGTCTCCTTGTCACTGTCTCCGAAACGCTTGTCGTAACCACGACTGAGATCAACACTAGGGTAGACTAACACTTGAAGAACCTGGCGGAAGTTTGGTGGTAGACCTTGCCGGAAGGCAACGCAAGGCCCGGAGGTAAATGATAAGAGCAGCGACAAACTTGCCGTCAGGTTGCCGCCGGCAGAGTTGCCCATGACCGCGACACGCGCTGGATCAATGCTCACGCCGAGGATTTCCTCGGCGGCAGGAGCAAGTGCCCATTTGAGGACTTCGTAGAGCTGAAGGAGAGCGTGGGGGTACGGATATCGCAGTGATTTAGCGTACTCGACAGATATAACAACCATCCCAACCTGCCCCGTCCCATGCTATTATTAATTCTAGGTTCGCTACCGTTCGCTACCATTAGGTCTAGGTATGTGAATAACTAACCTTGTCACCTAAGAATCGATCAATATGTTCTCCATCAGAAGGCTGGCCCAAAATGAAGCCACCTCCCTCCGCGACCAAGAGAAGAGGCCAGGGACCTTGATGGGCGTCGTGGTTCTTATGCGGAATGCAAAGCGCAATGTTGACATAACCTTCCCCCAGTCCAGGAGTCGGCACCGTCAGAGTCTTGTCGAAGAGCTTGCCAGACCCAGTCAAAAATGCAATGGATCTTCTTAATACCCAGGCTGTGCAATGGAGGTATAGCTTGTACGGGATGCTGTAGCCTGAGCCACTGGCTATCTCGGGTGAGGGGATTGAATCTTGATCCATTGTATTGTGCTGGGTTCAATGGTCGCTGCAATGGCGTGTTTGCGTTCTCTAGTGGTGAGACACTTTGGTAGCTGTGAGTGAGAAACAATGCAGTTCTAAGATATTGGAGACAAGAAATGTTGAAACCTTGGGATGCCGGACAGAAATGCCGTGTGCCGCGCGTTGGCCTTGGACACTGACAGAGGAAAATGTGTGCGCTTGCAAAGCTGACTTCGCCATGCTGACACGCCGAGTCCCCAACCGCAACTCGGTGTATCACAGATGACTCGCCTTGCAGGCCTATTGGAATAAGTGGTCGAGGAAATTCAACACTTTTCGTAAAAAGAAGCAGACGCTAAGGCTCGAAGCGCTTTAAATGCCCGTGAGACAACTTAACTGGCATTGCACCCAGAGAGTATCAACTGCGTCGTGCCTCCGACCAAACACCCCTCCCCCAACCCCCTGGCTCAAAAAGCACAACAAGAAAAAAAGAAAAAGAAAAAGAAATGTCATTGAACACGGAGCCTACTTTCTCGACTGCGGAGACTTTGCCACAACCTCAAGTCGCCTCCCTTGACCCAGAATTCAATTCGACGGGTTTAGCGCGCAGCGAGGAGTCGGAATCAAGCAAAGTGCCCGTGTCCTTGCCCGCTGCACCATCATCATCTTTCCAGCTTCTTCAGCAATGGCATTCTCAGCCAAGGAAGCTCCGCATCATCCATGTTGGCGCTGGCGCAACAGGCTTGTGCACTGCTTTCAAGTTTGAGCGACAGCTCACCGACTACGAGCTTGTGTGCTACGAGAAGAATGACGAGATTGGAGGCACATGGTTGGAGAACCGATATCCGGGATGCGCTTGCGATGTTCCTGCTCATATCTACACTTACACATTTGAGCCAAATCCTTTCTGGAAATCCTATTATGCCGGATCACCTGAGATCCACGACTATTTTATGCATTTTTGCGAGAAGTACCAGCTCCGCAAGTATCTCAAATTGAAACACAGGGTTTTGTCTGCGGCCTGGCATGAGGACAAGGGACAGTGGGCCGTTGAAATCGAGCACGACGGAAATGTATTCACCGACTGGTGTGACATCCTCATGAATGGTTCCGGACTCTTGAATAAGTACAGATGTAAGTTGAAACCTTAACCGGTTCATTCTTTTCGGGGAGCGGCGTATCTAGCCATGCTGACTGTGCTCAAGGGCCCGAAATCGAAGGTTTGAATACTTTCAAAGGCACGCTAGTGCACTCGGCGAAGTGGGATCGTGAGTGCGCTCATACGTGAGCTCAAGGCCAAAGCATCATCTTGCTAAATATTTGAACAGACTCCGTCGACTACTCCAACAAGCGAGTTGCCGTGCTTGGAAACGGTTCATCCGCTATACAGATTATCCCTCAGCTTCAGGAAGGTAAATACATGCTTTCTCCCTAGCTCCATTTCCACGACCGTTCCGTTAATCCATCATTAATTCACCTTTTTCAGTCGCTTCGAAGGTTGGGTGCTTCATGAGGGGTAGCACTTGGATCGCGGCCCCCATGCCGCGTGTCCCTGTCGAGCTGCCCTCTAATACCGGAGAAGAAATCATCAGAGACAAGGAAGCCGTCCGCCCAAGTATTGGCCAATACTTCTACACCCCTGAAGAGATTAAACGACTGGCCGATGACCCAGACTATCTGCTCAACTACCGCAAGAGAATTGAGTTTGCCATTAACGAAGGCTTCGCCATTTTCTACAAGGATACTGAAGCCTCTAGGATGGCGTACCAGTACATGCAAGCTGAGATGGCCCGGGGACTTGAAAATGATCCTGTCTTGACCAAAAAACTCGTCCCATCTTGGCCAGTGGGTTGCAGGTAAGTTTCTTTCTTTTCCTGGCTCTTCTCACGATGTAATCTTGAAGATACACGCTCACACTTTCGCAGACGTCTCACACCTGGAGACGGGTACCTTGAAGCTCTGATCAAGCCCAACGTCGAATGCTACTTCACGGAAATTTCTTCAATTACGGAGAAAGGGTTGAACACTACAGATGGCGCTTCTCACGAGGTAGACGCCATCGTCTGCGCAACCGGATACGACATGGCGTGGACACCTCACTTCACTCTTATCGGCCGAGACGGTGTCAATATTAAGGATGCCTGGAACCCCGAGCCAAAATGTTATCTCGGACTGGCTGCTCCCGGCTTTCCGAACTACTTTGTCATGAATGGTCCTCGTGGAAACCTTGCCAATGGCACCGTTCTCCCATGTCTTGAAACGGAGATTGACTATGTGATTAAGGCTGCCAAGAAGATGCAGAGCGATCGCATCAAGGTATTGGACGTACGGGAAAGTGTTGTTGACCAGCTTGATGAGTACATCGATGCCTGGCACCAGACGAGTGTTTTCTCGGGGTCTTGTCGCAGTTGGTATAAGAACAATAGCGTCGACGGAAAGCCCCGAGTTTGGGGTGGATCAGTGAGTTGCCCTCCCGTGGGGCAGAATAAAATTGATACCTTTGATGCTGACGACCATCTCAGTCGGTACATTTCCTAAAGACCATAAAGACTCCCAGATGGGAACACTACAATATCGAATACTTGGACGACAATCCGTGGGCGTTCCTTGGAAATGGCCGAATCAAGGCCGAGGTCGAACACAGTTTTGAAGGGCTGACGTCCTATCTGCGCAATTCCGATTGTCCCTGGACTATTGAATAAGACGGCGAAACCCAACTTTGGATATTATGGGCTAGGGTTTGCGTGCCATTCCAACAAGTTTGTTTAGTTTCTTTTCTTTTAGTCTTTCTTTTCGTCGTGTCTTTGTCTTTGAACTGGCGCGTCGATCTTTGAGGAGTGATGGGTGTTGACCAGGCCTCTTGGGTTACACAACATTCGCTGGAAAAAAGCCAGGTATGAATTGGGGTTCCGAAAGGTCAGTTTGACCGCTGTCCCTGTACTGTTCGGTTCAAGACGCTGCTATTACCAGAATTACTGTTCCTATCCAATCCAATTTTCTCATCCATCTTTCCGCAGAAAGAATACTATCAATACACCTTGCCTTGGATCCGTGGTTGGTGGCTATACTTCGTCTAGACTCTGGGAGTGTCTAATAAAAGCCCTACTGCCACAAGTCTTACGCACGGGGTGTCCAGTCTGTTTCAGTTGCGAACTACGAAGTAGAATTTCTCCCGTTCTGCCGCTCCTGGCCAGGGGAGAGGTGGGGTGGACGTGCCAGTTTTGACATTCTCAGTAAATGAACCATGACTGCTCGGAGTATGACCTGGACCCATGCAGTAGCCGAGAGCTAACATTATGCCCCTTCTTCAAGCAGATTGTGTCCTACCGATTTCTGCCCTGCCAGTTTCTGATTTCTTGGGCATTCTGTCCTCCCCCAATTCCGCAAGTGTCTCACGGCCGGTGCCGATAGTCCAGGGGTTTTCAATGTTGAGAGAACAACAAAAGTATTCACCCATACTTTATGGATCTAGCTGGCAACAACATCAACTCGCAGATCGAGCTCTTCGCCCTGCTAGGCGCGGCCGCCAATGGGACCACACGCCTCTAGGGCTGTGACACTTCAACGTACTAATCTATACCAGGTAAGCCAGTCCACCTCTGGTAGTCGTTGTTATGGGGGACAATATAAGGCGCGATTAGGGGCACCTTTCTCAGCTCATGTAACGGTGCACAGGGCGCCTCCCCGTTATACTCGAAAGGGCATCTATGGCATCTTTCCATCAAGGCCCGCAAGGCTTGCTTCATGGTCGGAGTACCCGGTTTCGCTTCAAATAAAGCCCCCGTAATGTGGACTTGATAACCCCTTGTATTGCTCCTCTTAAACTCAAAGGTACCACCAGGCAAACCTTGTAGTTCCTGATCCTTCCACAGCGGGCAGAAACCCACAATTTTCCCCTCGCTACCATCAGCACAACTATGCATAGAGAGTCGCCGAAGCTTGGGAAAAGGAATAGCATAAAGGTATTCCAAGATCGTTTTCCAGGATCGGACCCGTACGCGGTAGAGATCCAAAGTCCTCAGAGTGTCTTGACAAGCTGATAGAAGCCTCAAGAGAATGGGTTCCTCTAAATCGAGAAGTCCCAAGGTGAGAGCTTCCAAGGAGGGAGTGAAATCTGGAAACTTGTCGAGATGCCGGCATAGCAGGTCTCCAAGGGGGCGGCCGTCTGCGTTGCTTCTCAACACAAGACGAAGTGTTTTTAATTTGGGAGCAGAAGTGAGGAGATGCAGCATAGTCATAAAATTGTCATCACCATTAGCAGGGAACTCGAGCACGAGCTCCCGCAGATGGGCTGTCCAGTTGCGCAGTACCGAAACAGCAGCGGGTCCCGAAATCCCCGCTAGTCCAAGAACCCAGTCACGGTCGTGAACGATGCGTATCCGGAAAGAGTAAATAGGCGGAGCACCAGGGACCGAATAGGCATACAGCAAAAGCTCTACCATATCTGCTGAAGTTAACCTTCGCTCATAACCGCCATTTTCAGGAAAATATGCGATCGCCCTGTCCTCCGCGAGAGTAACGCGAGTGCAGTTCGGAAAACGTGACAATATATGGACAAATTCCTTGACGAGCTCAGAATCCAAATCCAGACATCCGCCTTGTTTATGTGGCCAGGATCCGTCGTCGCGAAGGGCGATTTCATAGGAATCCCTGCGCTCCTTGGCTCGATCTTTCCAGTAGCCCATCTGCAACTCGCGCACTGCGAGTCGGAAGTCTTCGTGGTTCGCAATGTCGGTCATCCGTTCCATATCGGCCTTGCTGAAATCAACCCTGAGCTTTGTGAATGCCGCAGCGCCATATGCAGCTCTGGATGTCTGCTCAAGCCGCCGACATGTGAGGCGTAGTGAGTAGAAATCGGAAACATCAAGCAGGCTAAGTATGATATAAAGGACATCGGGAATCAATTCGGCGAACATTGTTGCTAGCTTTAACGGATGCTTGAATGACTGGCCGCTGGCTTTTCAGTTTGAGGGATACGTCGTAAAGATGCGGGGCGGGCGAAGCACCACTTGATGCTAACATAGGCCTATCACAGCCAGCCAAGGCGGGACAAGGAGCTCATCATATGCGGGGAAAGTCGGGATGAGAGGCGGGATATATTCGTAGCTGTCAGTGAGCACTCACCGATAACTATATGTCTGAGATAGATATAATAGCACAATTGTAGCCTTCGGTGATCACTCGTCGATAACTAGAATTAGTGTCCTTTTGGCTAGAGTTAAGGAAGTTGGTTCCCAATTGACGGATAATTTTTATCCAACGACTATGGATTTCTAAACTGGTGTTGCATATGTCCAAAGCCATGAGCTCTCAGCGATGGCCATTGTGCAGCCGGTTAAGCTCTAACGCATTTCAACAATCCAAGGCGCAGGCGCCACCTCATCCGTCGGCCTCATTATATAAGAGACGATGGACCTTGCGCCCAAGGATATTTAAATCAAACTGATTGTTTGGCAATGATAGTCAAAATCTTCTTTACAACTAGTTTTATAGCTTACGTAGAGTCCATACTGTCGCAACGAGCGCATTATCGCCCTGTTCTTGGGTTCTTGGTTCTTGGACCTATTTGCGGGAGGGGGGACTGCGTTGGAAATTTGCGGTATTACGAAGGGTGATAGCTGGGTCAATAAATATTTGGGCGTGTTCGGTCAGGTATCCGCCCCACCAGCTTTTTCCCTGTCTTTTTTTGGATAGCGGGCAAATCAGTACGAAGGTACATCTTCGTAATGTACTGCCCCTATTTGATAAAATACTTCAATATAGAAATAGACATTTGATATTCCCCATATTTTTGGGCTGCTTCAATCAAAGCGTCTTCGGCGGCTGTTTTGTTGTCAAAGCCGAACTGTTCCCACTGCGCATCGTCCAGGCTGGCAGGGGTCAATTGCCAGAGTCCGACAGGCTCATGGCGGTTCAAGGTAGATTGTTGTGTATTGAGAGGGGGGGCGAGCAGATGAAAGGATTGGCAACGAAGCTGAAAAAAGGACTCAATAGTCAATCCCGCAATAGATGTCAAAAGCCCAAGTGAGGGGTAAGACTCAAGAGAGAGGCGCTCTCAATTCGTTCATGGGGCCAGGCCAATCAACTCTAGACTTGCCATGATCCCAAGTAGCGCTGTGCAGACTCGAATAAATCCCGAATGGACGCACAAAGCCGCTGACTTCGATACTGGCTGTTCAATTTTTACGATCTGGTTCCCTCGGGCTTATTCGGATGAAAGTCCGAGCTATCCAGGGCCGTCTTATGCTCAATATCCCCCTCTCCGAGAAATGAATCTGCTGACAATACGTGAGACTCGACCCGATTCCCTACCCGTCTTGGCCATCTCGCCCATCTATCCTCCAGATTGGCAAATGTCACGGCTCCTTCCCAAGCAACGGATGCGACCAAGGGTGTCAACTTCACTGTTGTGGAGGTATTGTATGATCCCTGTCGTGGTAATGGAGAGGCCATCGAATCGGCTGATCAGCTCACAAGGTCCGTAAATCGGACGAAGTGCGATCCCCAATGGCAAACGATCGCCGAGCACCCAGAGAGTCTCAATCCAGACGATGTGCGACAACCGACGGCGGACAACACCGCAAGGCTGCCTTGTGCTTTCTGGCCTGATCGGGCTTTGGGATTATCGTACGATGGTGCGATCCAGGCCTCCGGAATTCAAAATGCAAGAGGGCTTAGGCTGACAGCTAGAGTCTCTGCAGTGCCAACATATATTGTCATCTGAGTGGCGCACTGGCGGCCACGCTTTATTGGCTGAGTCGCAGTTGGTCGCAGTATTTATGAGTTGATCGGTGTCTTACACCGGCCCCGCCCAAAACGGGACGGGGCAGACGGAGCAGCTTATAACCTCCTAGTATTGTCACTTCCCATTCAACAGGACAATTCCATTGACCTCTCCTTCTATTTCCTGTCACGCAATCAACCTGTCATCCATCTATGGCTTCTGTTATTGAGGACGGTAGCGCGAGCGTTTTGGCCACGGCGCCACTCACCCCAGCACGTGTGGCCCGTCGGCTCCATATGTTGAGCTGCACATTTTGCAGAAATGACAAAAAGAAGGTAGGAACTTGCCTCATCCCAATACATTTATTCTGGATACCGCTGACGGTGCGAGCCTGATAGTGCGAGCCACAGGCGAGGAAGTGGCCACAGAAGTGCGCGCGCTGTTTGGCAAAAGGCCGATGTTGTTCCAAGCCTACGCGGAAGGACAGAGCAAAGCGCGAATCACCAAGCCCTGGCTGGGCCGGTAGAGGGATGCCCGACCCCGGTTTCGTCGGTGATGGCCAATTGAGATCGCCCAAAAGGCCCGCATCTGCCGCTCTGGTAGAGGCCAAGTTGGGCTCAAACGCGGTCATGTGGACTTGGAATTTCACCGACTTGTAAGCTGGAATCACTCTTCCTAATCTCCCAAAACCGACAGGATATGTGTTTTGCAGACCATTGTACTGACTCCATTTTCCCTTCGACTACACAGGAGCAATATGGTTGCTATCCTGCAGCTCGCAGCGGCGGAAATGTTTGAGCAGGAGTCGGCAGGTCCTGGCACAAACCGAATGCTAGCTGGCCTCTGGGAACCGCAACATTTCCCCACTTCCATCGAGCATCCCGAGTTGGAGTTCCTTAATAGGCGTCACGAGTTGCAGCGGTTCTTTCCCGAGTTGCAGAGCCATCTACAGGCTAAAATCATTCAGCGGCTCCAACAAACTCAGCAAAATTCCCCTGAACGCCTCCTGCTAGATGCGGCGATAGGTCTTGTTCTAGATCCCTTGGCTGGCGCTCTAGTGGCGTCTGGGACTCACGAAACACCAACCTCGCTCACAAAAGGGTGTCTATCTTTTGCCAGGTCGGCTGATTACCTGCGCGGGCAAGCTATCAGGCTTATCAGTGACGGACAGCCATGCCTGGCAATTCTGTACCACAGCAAAAGCCTGGTATTTGGACGGAAGGGCCCCGATCCGGATTTCTGCGAGGCCATTAAGAGGCAGAAAATACCAACATTTATGGCTTCTACATGCCGCAAGTTTGGGCTTCCAGATCAGTATTGTATGCCCGCCTTTTGGAGCTGGCCATCCATGATCCACCCAACTCTCACCGCTCACATTTCCCAGCAATCCGCTGCCGAGACAATCCTCCTCAAGACGTGGATTGGCTTTGATGACATCCTCGACTTGATGAAGAGTTGTCGACTGCAAGCGACATCATCAACCGACTGGAAAGACGTGTTCCGGGATGTATATCTGAAGCCGGCCAAGGCAACGAAAACAGATGACTATGGCCGCACGAATATTCACGTTGCGGCAATCCTCCGAATGGAACCGGCTGATATTCTCAACGCTGCTGGCAACCTTGCGCAAAAAGATCGCCGAGGACGACATCCAGTTTGGTATGCAGCCTCAGCTGGAAGCCGGCGGCTTTTTCAAGCGTTGTTAGAGGCAACGAAACTTCATGCGGCAAAATATAATTTGCCAGACATCTACTCTCATGCTGACGCCAATGGCGCTGACTTGATCCAGTTCGGCATGGGGCGTGGCCTAGACTATGGTGAAATGCTGGGATTAGATATTATCCGTTTTGCGCCGGCACTTGATACCATCGTTTCTACCATGCCTGGGGGAGAATTCAATCTGCCCCAGGGAGACCTTTCCGCGAAGGAAATAGGTGGCCTGCAGGTCATGGTGATGGGATACTCGGACCTTTAAGAGGTTATGACTACGGAAAGTGACGGTATGTGTTGTGCTTCACGGGATCACCCGAGGAAAGTGAGGAGAGGAACTGGGTATCTTCAGGTGTTGCTGGAAGCTGCTATTGTTGTTTTGCATTTTTTGCGTGCTCTGTTCGTTGGTCTTGGTTTGGCTGCTACGGTGTTTCATCTGAGTTCGCCTTGTGCGCGTCTCTAAGCCATGTCTGCTAGGATATTTCTGCCGAAAACGAAAACGATATCTAAACTGTGAAGAAAAGAGGCATCTACTCTATAAAATCGATTAGGCTTCCAAATCGAAGTTTGGGAATGTAGTCGTCAAACTCCAAGGAGACTCTAGCATTGCATTTAGCTTCGCGATGCACCATCACAACTTGGTTGAGCCTCGCGAGAGTCCTTCCTCCCATTGCAGACTAAGAGCATACCGAGAAGCTGTGAATCTCACTGCTCCACCATCGAAAACCCTTGTCGCGAATTAGGGCCAAAAGCTGGTACTTGCCGGCCTCGTGGCCTAATGGTAAGGGGTTAGATTTCGGATAGAAATCCTCTAAAGATTGCAGGTTCGAATCCTGTCGGGGTCGCCAGCTTCATTTTCCTTTTTGCGTTTCTTCCGATATTATCCATTCTCTACTTCAATTTTTTTTTTTTTTTTGGTGGTAACTTTGTTGCCCAAAGAAAATAAATTTAAAGGATTATCTCGAGGTCTTGGGCGTGGGGAAGGAAAACGTCACCTCGGAATTATAAGGGTTAGAATAAACTAACAAGTCATATTTAAGTAGACTCTTGTTGCCCTTTCTAAGCAACTGTTTGGGTGAGGAGGCTCGATTTTGATTACAAAACTTAACGCCCTCCTCTCATCACAATCCGTTATATAGAGGACACTAGGAGGATCAGATACTTCGCATAGATGGGTGTGGTCGCCAGATGGGCCCCTGAGACAGGAGCCAAGGAGCGCCTCCGTCCCTGATTCTCCTCACCTCACGCCATATTAGTAGCTTATTAATAGTAACGGATCTAGAATAGTTCCCACGTCGTCTACTTTTAACACACTGACGAAACCTTAATCTCTATCTCAAACCCCGAGTCGTTGTACAACCGAACCTTGAAATCCGAGGTCGCCTGTGGCGGGGGAAGGTCCATACCATCCTCCGTTGGAAGATCCATCACATTAACTCTGGTGGCGTCTCTCACTTTATGGGCATTGACCTCCTTCACGGACAACTTCCTAGAGGTTGCGGAAGCCAATTCAATGAGAATAGAGAGTTGCCCGAGTGACAGGTGAAACCGCGGAATTTCTGGGCAGATCAACTCTTCGTATGGCAAGTCTGAATTTGAGAGATGAAGTGAGGATACCGAGGAGCAAGAAGTAACGAGAGAAGACCTCGGCGATGCGGATCGTGTCGTATAGCTGGTTTCCCTCAACCCCGAAACTGGAGTCACCGTACCACTTTCTGATGAGGAGGCTGGCACTTCTTCGATTTCTCTCACTGGGGTGATGGCTCGGGAACTCTCCGGGTTCGATAGCTCCGTTGTTGACAGCTCGCTGCCGAGCAGCACCACGGTGCGACTTTCTCTCGCATAATTACCACTATAAATTCTATTTCCCCGGGATATCTCTCGTCTAGCTGTCGCCTCAAGACTCCGAAGCTCATCGGTCATTGATAGAACGATATATTGGAAAGAATCTGCCTGTTCCGACGTCATCCAAGGCGCATCGGGGATGGTCCATTGCGTGTAGAGACGACAATAGGAGTACGAGATTTGATACTTAGCCACCTTCTGGATGAAGAAGTCGCACATGAAACACGCACACTTACTGCCCCCGATGACACGGGGCCAAAGGCTGTCTGGGGGGTATCGCTCGTAGTGCAAGATAAGCTGGACCTCGGCGTGAACGTAACAAGACGTAGTGCTACCGCGACGGCTGAGTTGCGGAGGGGCCTCTAGGTGTTGTAAAGAGATTCTTTCAAAAAGATGACGGTATCTTGACTTGACTGCGATCCTCGAGATATCCTCGCAGAGGCCGTAGTAACGGGCCATTTTGTCAATGTCATTAACTGCCCGCCTTGAGGCCAGGTCGGAAATTTCGGGGATTCCCGCTATTTGGGCTTCAAGCGTGCCCTTCTCGTTGTAACAGGATATGTCGGCGCACTGCTTTACTATCCTGCGAAGGAGCGTATTGCGCGCATCCGCGTCCTCTTCCTGGTCGTCGAGGCTCTTCAAGCTGGACACCAATTCCCGCGATTGGTCGAAGATGCCTGGCAGTCGCTCGTTAAGAGGGGCTTGGAACTGGTTTAGTGCGGCGTCCAAGGTTTTCCATAGTGGCTTCAGGCGGTTAGGATTGTGAGGACGATTGCGGTTACGGATGTAGTCCGGAGGCTCCAGCCATGATGGTCGTATTCTTTGTAGGATCCTTGCCTGGCTTATTAACAGAACTTTGTCTAACAGTCGTCCCTCGAGATCACTCTGTGACTGCCCTGAGGTAGATCGGTCAATCTTTACGCCTGGTCTTGGACTGCTCTCCCCATTCATTGAGCTTTGCTTACTCTCAGCAATACCGACGCGTATCGTTTCCAAAAATTGTTCCAGTCCCGAAAGAGTGGCTTCCGATGGCGTGTGGTTACTGGCAAGGCGAATCACTAGTCGGTCGTCATGCTCTTCTACACAGGCCGCGGATATGGCCTCGACACTCTCCTGAGAGTGGGCAAGGTAGGCGATGTGGTCTGCAATTTGGCGCTCGTGCTCGAACTGAAGCTGGTGCGGGTCGGTTGATCTGTCTACAGAGTGTGCATCTCTGTACAATGTCTCACTGAGGGGTTGCTCAGTTACTCGGCGCAAAGACTCCAAGGCTCGGTGGAATTCCTCTTGCATTCTCGGGGTCCAAAAGTTTGGCATTGTAGTAAGACTCTCGTGAGGGATTCAGTCAAAAGCAGCCACAGTAACAGTAATCTGAAGGAAAAGACATCGACGGTGGTTTTGCAGCGAATCGAGTTAAGTTGGGCAGATCGTTGAGGAGCAGGCTGTGGCTTTAAAGATGTTCCTTGGAGCTTGAACCCTCCCCCTTCCATTCTTCAATTTTCCAACCCTGGCCGGCCTTAAACAGCATTCGGGCCAGCCAACTGTAGAAATGGCGGGGACGGCGGGGAACTGCATTGCAGGATGTCTTGAGGCGTCCAGTAAATATCTCTTCGTCTGCGAGCACCGATGTCGATTGGCCGGAGATGGCTGCGGGAGGCCAACCACTTAAGTGTGGTTCAACAGACGAATGGGTCATCAGCGCCCGGGGATGAGTGGCGCGAAGATACCGAAATTGGGAGGCAAAGCAGCACCGCCGCATGCGGAGTAATCAAGTCGGTTGGTCTCTGTCGCTATTAAATTATTGGAAAACACCGCCTCCGAATATTCTAGATACCGCGGACCGCAACAAGGCCGGCCACCACTGGAGTCAGAGCGCCAGGATCTAGACGCCCCGCTGCCTTCAGGAACCAAGCTAAGAATGGGAGGAAAACAGCCAACGTCGAGCGACCGTATGGCCACAAGCTGATTGCCAGCAGGCACGGCTTTGGACATTTCTCGACAGCTGCTTGTCTTTGACGCCTCGTTCCGTCATTTCTTTGCCACGTATTTTACCTTGTCACCCTCTCCTCGTTCTACAACCCGTGATAGATAATATCATTGGAATTCTCATAGCATCTGAAGACCTCCATTATAATCTATTCCTAACAATAATATTTCCTGAAATCTACGTCTTTATCCAAGATCTCCCACAACGGTTGGATCATAGAAAGGTTCACGTCCACGGAGGGACCATCTCGAGAACCAGGGCCGACCTGTTCCTCAGTCGCCAAGAGCATACCGAGTCCGTCAACGAGGGAGATTTGTGTAAACGGGGGAGACACGAGGCTTGGAAGAATACCAGCTCCACTGTCCATCACGTCGAAGGCATTTCCCTTGTACATGTTCATTTTGTTCCACTGACTGACCGTGAAGCTGCCTTTGCCAAATACGAAACCTATCCTGATTCGCCCCTTGTCCGGTTGAGCCGCAACCCATCGTATAGTCTTCTCCATCGTCTCGGGATCCACGGACCTGATCATATGGTGGGCAGAACTCGCCGCTTTCCATAATGGGCAGTCCGAAAGAGTCGGGTGCAGGGAGTTCGTATACGGAGCGTAGATGCAGTTGGGGAAGTATTGGGGCGGCATGTTCAGGCGATGGGGGGGACGCATGTCGATGGAAATGAAAAACCCGGGGTTAAGCTGCTGTGGCGCAGCCTCCTCGGCTTGCATCTTTCGGGACGTCAGGAACTGTAGCCGAGCTTGGTAGACGCGCTGGCAAAGGAACGCGGAAAGCGCCTCGGTGGATGAAACCCATCCATTGCCACTAGAATCAGTTCCCTGTTCTTTAAGGGCCGCCAGATCGCGGCCGGTAAAACGCAAAACGCGCCCGTCGATCTTGAAACCTGCGTCGGGGACTGTATCCGCAAGACTCGCGGACGCTGCAAGCTCCTTGAGTCTCGGGTCATCCTCAGTCATGTATATGGATGGCTTGTACTGCAAAGCAGCCTGCTGCTCGTCTGAAGAAAGTTGCTGCCGGAGATACGATCGAATATTGGGCGGTTGGGTAAGAATTGGTTGCGGGGTGGTTCCAAGACCTTGGTATATTTCGGCCAGGTCATTGACTAGATTGAAGAACCCCTGGGCATCGCAGACGATGTGATGCAATCTCACTCCCAGTGAGACCCTCCCGCATGCGAATCGCGTATGTTGAACGTGGAGAATAGGGTCACGGCAGACACCTTCCGGGGATGGGTCGAAAGGTGCGAGCAGACCATCTCCATGATCAGGCAAGTTTGTAACCAAGATCCGCCCAGATGCACTGCGGGCGGCAATGTCGTCCAAGCGTTGACTGCATTGGCCTTCTAGAAGCTCTGCCCCTGTTCCCAAAGCCGTGATCTCGGGGGCGTTTGTGTCTGGGTCAAAATTTAAGCGTCCCGTCAGATGAGGGTAATAGTCGAGAAGGCGACAAAGGGCCTGCTTCAGGCGGTGGACGGGGATTAGCTCGGCGTCGTATCCGCATGTCGGCCTTTCGTAGACGAACACCACTTGGATGGGTACACTACGGAACACGAGGTGATCGAGAGGCCCAAGCCTGAACGGTATCTCTAGGTCTGTCAATATCGTGGTGTCTGTGCACTGGAGCTCATGTCGTCCAGTTACGCGGACCAGCGTCTGAATTCCGGATGGTGCCATAAGAGTATGTTGTCCTGTGCATTTTAGCCGTCTTGATATCCTGGATGAATTTTCTAATCACGGTCCGCACGGCGTCTATACATCTTATATAAAACTCTTAGAGGAGGTGTTTATGATATGTCCTAAATCAGCGATGGTTCATAGGAGGTAGTTAATGACTCATAATGAGTCCTGACCTGGCCCAGGAGTTTTTTTGCCACTAAATTCCAAAGCGTAAAGACAAAATCCTCGGAACTCGTGCTCTGTCCTCTGCCCGAACGATAATGGTCCTTCAGCAAACGAAACATCCGATCCCGACCCTCCGATCCCATTGGGGCTGAAGGGATGAACTCCGGAAATGGGATGTCAATTTGAAGCTTAGATGGGAACTCACGCCAAAAGAGAACTTGCTGTTGAACTGACAACTGCCACAATCCCTGACCCCAGCCCTGAGTCGCCCGCCCGAAAGTCGCATCTAAAGCAGCCACAGATGGCACGACGTTGAGTGTACTCGCCGGGGGTAAGGTCAAGTGTGACGGGATGCGTGGACAATCAAGGTACATAGCATCTCAGGTTGAATGAAGAAGAAAAGTGTCACTTCAAAGATTGGTATCCTCCGTAATTCCCTATGACGAAATTTCGTTACTCACATCCACCGTTTACCAGAGCAAAGATTGTTTGACTGTTGCCCATCGTCCATCCTGATGTATATTATTGCGTTGAATGTCGCGATAGAGAATTGCCATCTCTGCGTAGAAACCCGTAAAAAAAAAAGTCACTAAAAATAATACAAAAATCTGCAATACTCTACACAAGAGTTTCATTTGTACGTCGAGTCTCCTCGAGACCTCGGTGCTCCGTCAAAATGGAAGACTTGGCGGACGGCAACGTCTGATATTCGCCATCCTCTCCTTTGTCAGACTGTCTATTTGAGCGCGACGGCTTCGAACCGACCGACAAGGGAATTTCGCCGAGATTGTACACGCGATTCTCACGCGTGCGGCGATGGCTCAAGAATGTGCTGGGCCAAAATTTGTTGATCAAGGGTTTGATGACGATGAGGCATGGGATGAGGATGGGTAAGTTGACCTCGATGGAGGTCCAGTTGTTTATGGCGGTGTAATCGTATGTGAGGTCTTGAGAATCGACGAGGGCTTTGATCCAGACGGCCCGAAGGATGGAAATGACGCAGACTCTGCGACTGGTTAGTTTAGTGAGTCTAGCGGAGTGTGGAGGGGGAAGCATACAAGAATCCCAGGGCGAAAACTAGCAAGAGACCAAGCTTCTGGGCAAGAGGGAGGGTCATCCTCGAGATGACTGGCATGGGTATCAAGAATATAAGGAAGTCGGTGGCAATGTGTAGTCCAATGGCGGCCCACATGAACGATACCGGATGGCATTTCCCCTCGACGGTGTCGTCCCAGAATGCGCGTAAGGGTCGACACAAGGTCATGGTGGAGATGAAACCGAGAGTATTATAGATGATGACGATGGCGAGGACGACGTAAGCAGCGCGACGAGCATAGTCGTATGTGAGGACGCGTATATAGAGGAAGAGAATGGAGATTTTAGAGAAGGCAAGACTGAGCTGGTAGAATATTACGTTGACGTATGACGCCTAATGTTCGTCTCTGGTCAGAGAGAGGGAGACGGAGAGGTATGGGGGGACTTGCGGGTAGACGACATACCTTTAAATATTTAGGCATAGAGTCTTCCTCAAGCTGCCACACATGACGGCCAATGGCGGCCTTGCACTCTAGCTGAGAGTCAGTAGACTGAACACGACAGAGGGTGGCCGGGCCCCTACCAAAGATGACCGCTACTGTATACCCAATCGCTAGAATCTGTTGCGGTCCACAATTAGTGTCAAGTCTGATGGCATTGGAGCCGGTGGAAGATTTACCCATGCTATGAGAATGCACCAATCCTCGCGACCAAGAACTCTCGTAATGACCCCCCTCGAATAGAAGCGCAGGCCTAGCACGATGCCAGAAACCACCAAGCTGACGATCGCACAGGCAATGACTGTCCCCGACAAATCATCCGTCGGGCCCATTCCAGGGTCAGACATGATGGTCTGTTCGAGATCGACACCTTAGTCGGTCCAAGTACGTATTATGGTCGCAGGGGCGACGTCTTGTCGCCGCACATGTTGGAGCGCTGAGTAACGATCGTGTACTCAGAACTAAGGTCCACCGCGATGGGAATGGTGTCACGAGAGTGGGACACGATGCTTTAGTTCCGGGTTCCACTAACGGTTCTAGCGTGATGTCGAGCGTTCGGAAATTCGATGTCCAGTGCTGGAGAGAAGGAGAAAAGCAAACCTCTTGCCCTACTGGGTCGTGCTAACCCTGAGACGACTCCGGCCGCGGGGATCAGGCCGGTTTATAAACATGTTCGGCTGTCAGGGGCAATCCAAGGCGTCGGATTCTTCTTCCGTGGTTGAAAGCCAAGTTTTTACGAAGGTTGCGCACAGACTCGTTAGTCGTTGAGCTGCAGTCGTGTGAAGTCAGTGAGGTCAGTGCCGGCCAAGATTACCGGCCTGGGGTCCCCTCAACGCCAATGCAGCCGCTGATGGAACGGGTAGGATTGTGATGGGCAAGACCGGGGCGGTTCGGGCCTGGTGTGGTAATGGATACACGACTAATCCTAGGCTGGGGTAATAAACTTTTAATGACCTGTTCCTCGGGGATGAGATCCCTGCTTCCGGATGATGAACAGGGAGATCAACACCACCATTATGCCACCAGCTAGTCGAATCGGAGGAACCAAGCAGTGACGGTGCAGAGGCAGTCTGGAAGCTCGGACAGGCTATTCCCTGTTGGGGTGGTATTTTTACGATTCTGGGCACCACACGGGAACGCCCCAGTCTCCCCAGAACCTGGAAACGGGAACACACTGAGACTTTGAAGCACTTTGCATGTGCAGGAAAAAGGAGAAACATCCCCCCCTGCTCAGGAGTACATACCACCACCATTAGCTTCAGGAAGCTGAAATCAAGGGATGATGCACAAATTCGACAACCGACCGCGCATATTGGTTAGGGTTTTCGGTTTACCTTCGGAATGAGGGCTGGATAACCCATTTATTACGTTACAAAGGCAGTTCCTGAGAACCCCAGCGCCGCGAAACTCTCCTTCTCCATCAGCCGGACAAATGAGGCATGATCTTTCACTAAGGGAAAGCTACATAGCCACGGGCAAGGTGCCCGATGCGGTGCTTAGCGTAGTGTAGAGCGGGCCAGTGCGCAAGATCCACGCAGGCACACACACTGGAAAACCAGATAATACGTAAATTCTCGGTGACCAATGACATCCTGCAAGATTTTGTTTGGTCAGTGCAGGAATCGGTCAAAGGTTGCGCCGTTTAGCTCTGGTTCAAGAGGACGTGACGAAAATGCTTCTCCGCGGTGCAGACAAATCACTGGACTCGGAGTGCAGAATCCGCGGCCGGAATCCGCATCACTTCATGTGCTTTAAATTTTTGCTTGAGGACAAACATGCACTAAGGCTAACATGCCCATTCACGTCGGTTCTTAGCAAGTACCGAGGATTCGGAAGCCGGACAATCCCTCCTCCCTCGGGTCCTCGCAACGATGCCGATGCTTCCGAGATTCGCAATGAATCGCGGGGCCCACATCGCAAGCCCGATCATCTGCCAACTTCTCGGGACTGAGAGGGCTCCGGCACGGACGACGCATGTTGGGAGAGCGAGTAGTAGACGCTGTCTTCGAACGACACACTAGATGCCCCAATGAGTAAATGAGATATCGTAAACATTTTAAGACCGTCCAATTGAGTCAACTTACTTTTATTCTCATCCACGGTTGTCTTGTGCTGGTCGAGCTCCAGATATGCATTGAGTAATAACCTCCCAAACTGGAGAGTAAAAGCCGAAGCCCCATTCATTTCCTGCCCCTTTGCCACCATTCAGACTTCTGAATCCTTTGCTCCATGAGGGAAGGTGCTTCTCAATGGATCAATTCTTTGATGATTCTAGAAGTTCTTTGTTCTGTAAATCTCACACTCGCCCCCTTCCTCCTCAACTTCAGGAACTGTCTTGATGAAAGAGAAGGAGCAGACCTGTAGATTTTCTCAATTCCAATAAAAAACCTATGGCGCCTTCCGTTTTCTATAACAACTCAGTGAATCACTATTTACGATTGTAGGTCTGAATCAGAACTGGAGCAAACCTCCTCGCTCCTTCCACCCTCTATACCCATTTCCGCTCTGAATCACCTCGCTTACTCTCAACTATAAATACCACCGGACCTCTCGAGTTGTGCTCTCTCTTCTCCCTAACATCATATTCACCCCATCTTCCAACTTCCAACTGGCCATCCAAACAAACCCATTTGCATCCATCGCAACACTTCGTTCGTCTTTGCTCATCCTCGGAACATTTCAACCATCATGTATGTCCCTACCCTCGCTACTCTTGGTGGCCTCCTCGCCCTCACTGTCAAGGTATGTTGTCTCCATTCTGTGTATTTCCACTCCCCCTTCCCCTTCCCTCAACCCTCATCCTAACAATTTCTTCTCTGACAGGGTATGCCCGCCATCGCCACGGATGACCCCATCACCCCGGCCGCCACCTCTTCTGCCGCCGACGAGTTCGCCGCCCAAGGCTACACCATTGTCCCCGCCACCTTCACCGGCGATTTTGGCTCCAACGGCGAGACCATGACCCTCAACGGCACCATCGAGGAGGTCATGGCCCAAGTCGCCGACATAAACCCCAACTACAAGTGGGCCGACGAGGACGACTCCTTCACCTCCAAGGGCGACCCCGAGGACGACGCCTGGCGCGAGCGCAAGGTCGCCAAGAAGGATTGCAACACCGACGCCGGCAAGGTGGTCCAGAGTACCATCCTCGCAGGTGTCCAGTACCTCTACAAGAAGCCCAAAGACGAGGCCCGCCTTGAGGTCAAGACTTGTTCTCGCATCAGTTGCTCGTACAATGCGGCCATCTACATGTGTTGGGACCCCGTCGACGGCGCTCCCGCTGTTTACACCCAGCCTTGGTGGTACGTGGCTGACTACGCCAAGGGCATCGCGCTCGAGTGGTGCCCTCACGAGTTTGATCGCGATATCGGTACCTACATGGTTGGCGGCAAGACTTGGGATCCCATGGGTCTTGCGGTTCATGTCCGTCGCGACAAGTGCTAAAATGGTTTTCGTCTCTTTCCCTTTGCCCTCGTTGGGCGTCCTTTGAGGGGAGTATTTGGCGCCATTGATTGATAGAAGCACTGAGAGAGAAGGACTGGAAGGAACGAAGCAAGGAACAATCGGAAGCCTGCAGTTGGGGATTTGTTTTTCGCCATGGCACAGGAATCGGGCTGTGAAGAGATGATTTCAATAGCCTGGTAATAAAACCACGTTCAAAACCACTTTTACTACTGTGTGTGTATCGACGTCTTGTGTCTTCGTAACTGCCTCTGCTCTTCATCGACTCTCGATTGACAAACCGTGAATATCCACATACTCTGCTGAACAGACTTCTGGCTAACTAAGGAAACCATTCTATTCATATCTCAACAATTTTTTTTAAAACATTTTCCGGCCGATTGATTCCGGAGATTTCCCGGTTACCAAGCGAGCTGGGGAAAGAGCGCAGTCCCCCCAGGTTGGCCTGGTCGCGATGATTGAACGCCTTTGACGCCACGAATAAACGAAACGTAGGGATTTTGCCAAAAAGCCGAAGGTAGATGCGATTTGAGGGTAGCTTCTCAATTTTCTTTCCTTCTCGGTGCACTCGCCGCCACCCGAACGAAATGCTAATAGGTAACGTTGTTCGTCCACCCCAGGACCCCAAACACTTCGGCGCGAATGAATCGTTTCTCATCCTAGCTTGATCAACTTTGGGGTATTGATTGAGGGTGCAGAGTCTCTTACCGTGAATCCAGCGTTGTTGTCTCGTTTTTATTACCCCCCACCGCCGCCGCCGCCGCCGCCTCCTCCATCACCACCACCGTATCCACCACCTCCACCATCTCCCCAGCCACCGCCGCCTCCATCATTCCCATTCCCACCGCCGAAACAAGAAAAGCAGCCGTCGGCTGCGCCGCCTACATCGGGGTCGGCATGGTGGCGATGGCGCTTTCCCTTCCGACGCCGCTCCTTACGGTTCCGAGAGGACCTTGAGCGCCTAAAAGGCCAACAGCACATAGGGGCCGATGTCAAGAGTGGTTTTATTGTGTGAAGAATGGTCAAGGAATAGGGCTATAGTAGTATTTCCAATATGTGTAGTTCGAATTTCTCGGGAAGTTGAGAGGAACCCTTGATGGTTTGGGTGCTCTGGATGGGGGGCAACGTCAAGGCTCAGACTTTTATACAAGAACGGGGTTGCACCACTTTATGAAAGAAATCGGGTCACGCGCATTCCGGTACATTCATAATCGGGCCGCAGCAAGGCGTATTCTTATCTGTCCCGGGAATGCAGGATAAGCCCGGTGCGTGAGATTTGGGTCAGAAAGAGGGGGGGCCGCGATGCAGCTGTGGCTCAGCGAGTTTTCCTCAGGTAACGCTGCCATCCCAACTTTTACCCTCTCATGCATTTGCTCGCCTTGAATGCGACGTCAAAGGTTGACGTTTCGTTAACCGCGTAATCGCACTCTTGCATATATCTGTGTGAGGCTCTTCGATGAGAGCCCCGACTTGCGCGGATGATAACATCATCCAAGCTTACAGGATGACGCGCCCAACGCTGGCCACCTGATAAACGCGTCATGTCTATAAACACCGGATGCAGCTACTTCTCGCTACTTCTCTATTTCAGAGATTGCCTGCGAGGCGAATTGCGGCTCTGCCCACTGCAGCCACTACCAGGGGCAATGCCGACACCGACCTACCGAGTAGCTTTATTTTTGATGTACAGTATCAACTATCAAGGCTCCTAGGAATCTGGAATCGACTGCCGATTCTCTCGTTCTTCAGCTGGTAAAGCACTTTATTGGATGTCAATACCTACAATCCGCAAATCTCGGCATCTCCTTTTAAGTCCGACAACGTGCGAGCGAGCCCTGTGTCCGTTTCCAGCACTCCCCAGCACTGAGGTTTTACGGGTCGCTTTTTCGGCAAAGAATTAATATTCACTGCTTAAGCTGAGACAGCTTTAAAGCCACGGCAAAGAGAAGAGCCTTTGCCAGTTCGAAGCATGTCCATTCGGGCTTGTGACATAGAGATGCCATGATTAGATTTCGCCACATTCGAGAACCTTGCTGCCGCGAAGAGCGCGTCGCAGCGTTGGCCGAGGAACGAGCTGAAGATGGAACTACCAGCCCACCTCTCTTTTTTCCTCCTTCGTCTTTTTTCTCCCTTTTCTTTTCGCTGTCCTTTTGCTTTAGTTTGGTTTTATCTCTATTCTTCCGCCGAGTCAGTATCCCGTTGATGTTCCAGATGGGAAATCATATGTCCTTTCCACCCACATCAGGTCCAGGTCATTTTTCGACTTTTTGCTTCTTTCGAGATGCGATTGATGGATTTTCAGCTCTTACTGTCTTGTGTGGCGCTTGGCCCAATGCAGAGATGATAGGCCCGTAGTTTGAGACTATTCTGCACGCCCCACGCAACGGTTACCATGCATAAATAGGGACGCAGCTCCCTCAGCAGGGCTCTCATGACCTCTTTTCCCCCGTATGCGTAGCCATTCGAGGCTTGATTTCCATCGTTCGACCTCGAGAATTGAGACTATCGGCATTTACGGCATGGGCATACTGTTCGGGAATGGGAAGCCACAAGGGCCGCCAATTGTGGCTTCCGACAAGGTCGTTCAATTGAGCGAGCATGACGATACTGACGTTTACCGCTCCATTGTTCTGAGCTTGATGCTTCGTTTCGATGACGTCCTAAACCCCGAGAAGTTGCACGGGGCCCTTGAAAAGCTCCTCAATCGGGACGGGTGGAGGAGGATAGGTGCCCGATTGAGGCTTAACGTCGGTATTGAGCCCTCGAATAATTTGAGACGCGCCTCGTCCTCGTCTCTTTCAACCCCCAAAATAGAATAGCACGGCGCGTCAACGTTCGCATTCAACTGACCCCTTGAAATAGAGCACAGGTAAACTCGAGTATCACATCCCCGAGCGATACGACGAGAACCGCCCATCGTTCGAGTACACCCATGTTCAGCACGGCATTCCGATCTCGGAACACCCGCTGGGTTCACAGGTCCCGAATGGCTTCACTGGCGACAGTCCAGCGATCCTACCCAGCGCACTCCACCTCGTTCCATTAATGCGCGCGCCCAATGCACCCAGGACGCTCAAGGATTACCTCGAGTACGACAGGCCCCAAATCCACCTCTACGTCATCTCCTTCACCGATGCTACTCTCGTCTCATTCACCTTTCCGCATACGCTTTGGGACGCCATGGGTATGGGAGAGTTCCTCACTGCCTGGACAGCTGTTTTGGCTGGTCGCGACCACGACGTGCGGCCCTTTCACAACTACGATACGGACCCGCTCAAGGACATGGGCCGGGAATGCAAAGAAACGCACAAGCTGGCGGACCAACAGCTCTCGATTCTGCAGCTGATTGTTTTCGGACTCCGTCGCTGGTGGGACCAGATGATGTTCAAGGAAGAAGGCCGCATTATATGCATCCCCAAATCCTACATCCAGTCTCTCCGCGAAACTGCCCTAGGCGAGCTCAAAGCGGGGCCTTCATTGCGCAATGATGGTGGTAGTGAGGATGAGTTGTTCCTCAGCGACGGTGACCTGCTAATGTCCTGGATCGGCCGGGTCGTGGTCAAGTACACGCCACTCAATCCCGGCCAAACAGTAGTCCTATATAACGCCTTTGGTATGCGGCCGCTATTGGCAGAGGACGTTATACCTTCGACCGCAGCGTACGTTGGGAACGCAGTATCTGCTGTTTACACCCTACTACGGGCCGGCGACATCTCGACCCGCCCGTTCGGCTTCGCGGCGACCGAAGCGAGGCGCAGCCTCACTGAGCAACGCACTCGCGAACAGCTCGAGGCATTGACGGCAATGACCAGGGAGAGTATCCAGAAAACGGGATACCCGCCTCTATTCGGCGACGGGACCATGCAACTAGTCATTATGACGAACTGGTCCAAGGCGAAGCTCTTCGAGATGGATTTCTCCCCCGCTGTTGTTTCGAAAGCCAACGCCTCGCCGCCTGAGGAAGGGGAAGAAACGAAGAAACGGGGTCCGGTTGGCAGGCCGAGCTTCATACAGCCTTTCGGTGACTCTGACTACTCTGTGAGGTACGCATTTCAAGTGTCTGGCAGGGATGCGGATGGCAATTACTGGTTATCTGCGATGTTGAGGAAGAAATCTTGGGCTCCGCTGGAGGAGGCCTTGAAGCGAGGGGAGATGATTTAGAGGAATGCTACCAAGGAGTTGGTCTGTTGTATAAAATGTTGTGTCCTGGATCCCAAGGAGTTGAACACTCCTCAAGACGCATCTACAACTAATCCGGTCAATGTATTTTTGATGCCCGATGTGAAATGGCCGTCGGGCGTCTTTGCCCCTTAGGAAGCTACTAATCGAAGGATTGTTAAAGAGGCTTTAGATACCATGGGACACGGCGCAGAGAATTTACAGCGTTGCCAGACGCCAGCCCGCGCCCAAAGTTGGCGAGCATGACGCCGTCTCTTGAACACTCATTGATTCAGTACAGAATAAATGCCCAAGACTTAATGCACGATGCGTGGACTGCCCGCATAGGTCGTATGGATGAGGCACCAATCGCTCATTGGTTCTGTTAAAATTCGCTCCATCATTGATGTCTGATGGGGGAGACAGCGCCTGGAACACCACTTCCCTCAAGTTCTCAACCGCAAGTCGTACAGTCTCGGACAGACTAAAGCACATATATTATCTAGCTAACCTAGAGTAAGCAGCACTCCCAACCGAGTCGTGGATCTTATCCCCTGTTCCTCAACATGTTCAACTCTTCCCAACCATGGAGTTTATAGGCAAGGTACGTTTCTACTCGACTCAGTCCCACTCTCGGCAAAAAGTCACTAAGAGAATGAAAATAGTTGATCACCGGCATCAACTACGTCGGGTTTTTGCTATCAGTTTACCTGGTGCTAGCCTTTGACGATTACCTGCGTGACTACATCCGCTTTTACGTTCTCCCGACTATTCTTCCTCGAAGGCAAAGGACGTTGCGGATGCAGGGCGATGATGCCCTGTCACTGCGTGTGCCACTCATGATCAACTTAATTTGCATCTTCTTGTCGTTTTTCATACGCTTAAATCACTGGCCATGGTTTATGGTAGCCGCTCTATGTCCTTGGCTGGTTTTGTGGATTGGCCCAGAATGAGGCAGCTGGGGGAGGGGGATGATAGATCTAGCTCTTCTGAACTATACTACTTCACCAAGCAACAGAACCCGGCACTCCTCACTCCCTTCGGGGACCAACATTATCACCGTGTAATTCACCAACGCAGACTCCGCGTCCTCCATCGCCTAGCTTAGGTCCTCGACCAGCTTTGTCTCTGTTTCGTGCCCTCGTTTACGCGATCTCTTGCAACTTTGGTGACCCTCGGAGGAAGGAGCCATTGATCCCCTCCCGTTCCTTCCCTATTCCCACCTTTTAAGAAATTCAGCTTGCCTATGCTATATAAGGGGGGATCTGGTGGCAAACTACCAGCCGAGTAGCTCAAGCATCTGCCAATGCAATGTGGTCTAGCCAACCCAAGCGCTCACAAAGCTAGAAAACCGCCCCGGACTGTTTTCGTAGGATGCGCGTGTTCGACACAAACTACCCTCGCTTTTTGCCCCCTTTTTTTTTCTCCCTCCAACTCACTGCAAATCAACCTTGGGTATATTATGATATGTCCTACAATTACAGATCGTCTTGTGGATACCGATTATTGAAATCGTATATAAGATTGGAGAAATGTCTTTCTTTGAATGTCATCGTATTAAGATCAGCCGACTTATCTTCGCTCTTCTACCTCGCCCAATACTGCTGCCACGCCCGTGGCGCCTCCCTGGCCATCGGAAGACATTGCAGAAGGAGGGTGGTAGTAGGACACAGCCACTCCAGCACCAGTGAGGGTGGTTGCACCTACAAACGTACATCGCTCTCAGAGAAAAATAAATCATCATTCCTGGACAATACTCAAGTAGCCACATTTGGGATTGGATTTTGAACTGGGTGCTCTCGGTCGTAGCGATTAATGGCCTCTGTTATCTGCTCCAGATGCTGTCTCGATTCGCTCGTTCCTTTCCCACTCTTTGTTTCCGACGCTTTGAGGAGACCAGGGAATGAATACGTAAAGGTCCCTATTGCCGCTGCAATTAGGAAGAATATCAGAATTCCCAATGATCCGCCCTTGCCGTTCTGTGGAATCAAGTCATCGGTGTAGATGCATCCCAGATATACGCCCAGTCCAATGATGAACGCATTTAGAGACAACCCGAGGAAGCCTGCGGGCGAAGCGATCCGAATTGCGGCAAGCGCAGATGCCTCTCGTTTCAATAACTGGCTCATGTCGACAGTAAGTCCCCTCGTTGGAACTACGGTTTGTATCTTGCTCTCGATGGGATTGTCTCCGGACACCTGGAAAGCCGGGTGGCTGGACACGGCATAAGCGCCCCGAAGTACTTCGACTGGTGTCAGGGGGCGGGAACACCAGTCGGCCACTTCCACAGTGCTCAGCAGACCGTTGAGCTCCTGCTGGACAATGAAGCTGGCATAGACGGACAGGATGCCCAGAACCAAGCTTGCGACGAAGAAAGCGGATGCAGTCCAATGCGCCTGCTCGACAGCTTCGAGAGATAGGGCTGAGATTCCAACCTGAGCGGCGATAGCTCCCTTCATTGCACGTCAGTTCTGTTACTATTTCCAATCAATAAATAGTGTATTGGAGCCTGGTACACTTCTAGGTATTGTTCCCGGACACTTACTGCGACAGAAATCATGTTGAGGTTAGACGCCAGAAGCGCGCGAACACTGAGGAAATCTGTGTCTGCTTTTGATAGGGCCGATTCTAACCTGTCCAAAGTGGCAGATGCGTCTGGCAATAGACCGAGGAGGAGATCCGGGATAATCCCATCTTTGGTATATACTTGATGATATTTCTTGAGCTTTTTCTCAACATCTCTCGAAACGAAGCCTGCGGTAAGAAGTACAGGCACGCTACCAAGGATGAGACCAGCGAGTTCGATTCTGGACATACTTATATATATATATATTTTTATAGCCAAAATGGCGAGATGCACACTCAGAGGGTTAATCCAACACCGTGTGGGCGAAGTATAATCGAGGGTGAACGGCGGAAGAAAGGCAAGTTTGGAGGCAAGTTTTCGGACCAGGCTGGAACCGAAGTGCGGGGTTTCCGCCAAGCAGTGGCGTCGCGCCTGGCGCAAGAACGTACCTGATGAAAGGAAGCCTATATCGCTGGAAACTGGAGTAGGGAGTGTAGTAAAATATTCGCGATCACGCCCAGACGAAATCATGGCCCAGGCTATCATAATACCACGGGCGCCCGCCAGCGCCCTGGGCTGTGCTGTACATCTGCCGCCCCTTATGTGCTCTATGGCAGCTTTCACTCTTTAATGGTTATATGGGTAAACACCCGGTCCCAGTGAGAACGTGTTAGAAGTTAGCGTTACAGTGGATTTAGTTGTTTGATAAACTGACATTGGGTGACACAGCACCACTCACCACGCCCCTAACAGGGACCATCGAAGAGAAGTAGGACACGGCGTGTCCCTAACGGTTGTCATCGGGGATATGGCATGGGAGAATAAGTGGAAACTCAAGGCCAAGGGTATAGAATGAGTTGTTGAGAATCTAGACCTAGGGCATTCTTCTTGCTAACCTTACCCTGGCGACCTCATTCCATCTTGGTAGAAATGATGGTGCTCCTCTTGACGTCAGGAAAGCGTCCTTCAACGGCCTCTGCCGTCCTAGATAACGACGTCTGCATGCAGTAAATAGGATACCAAACGGCAGCGGGAGGACTAGATTGCGTCTAAATCCCCGAAACGTCCACATCTGGCTAGCTGTTGCACTCCGTGAACTGTGAGGACTTCAATCTTGATTCTCAATATCAGCCCAACACCACGAGCCGGCCGGGGCCGAGAGAATGGAGACAGCCCCACCACCTCCCAGGTTAACCCGCCGGTAGAGTCGTAGTCGGACCCACAACAGAGGCCCCACGATTTCCCCTGACCGAATCTGGCACTCTGTGTACGCGTGTAACTGTGGATGCAGTCTAAACCTAACAGGCCTAGTCTCTGCTTTGATCTAGTCCCGCCAGGCACCATGCAGTGTGGCCGGATGGCTCGGTTTTATTGGACAAGTCGGTGGAGATTGGTATGTATTAAGTCTCAGGGGTTTCGTCTTCTTAACCGAGGAGCCGAAGTTTGTGAGCTACTTACTTGACCGCTATTCATCCAAAATGGCCTTGGCTCTCGGAGCCCTCTGGTAAGTGTATTTCGTGTTGCGAAAAGCCGTCATTGACGAGGTGACTGAACCTGTTTGAAGGGCCTGGAGTGTCTACGACAAAGCCGTCATATCTTACTATGCCAGAAAATACAAACCGGTGCCGTTACCCGAAAAGCCCAACTACGGCCTGGGAGATGTGAGCATTATAGTTCCGACAATTGACACCGAGTCGACCTTCACCGACTGCATACGCCTCTGGCTCAAGTCCAAGCCTCTTGAAATCATCATCGTAACCGTCGAGCGGAACAGAGACCGTGTCGTGCAGCTGGTCCTGCCGTTCCAAGAGGATGCTAGCAAAATCATCATTCTGCTTTCGCCTGTGGCCAATAAGCGTCAGCAGCTGATAGTCGGTGTCAAAGCTGCTCGAGGCAGAATCTTCGCTCTGGTGGACGACGATGTTTATTGGCGAGTTGATACCGTTGTCCCCTATCTCTTGGCTCCGTTTGAGGACCCTGAGGTAGGCGCGGTGGCTGGTATTCAAAGGTCAGTTTCACTCAGTTTAGGTCCAAGCTCCCCTGGTTAATACACAAGATTAACTGGAATCCCACTAGTGCTGAGATCCCGCCCGAGCGCCAAGATGAACGGGTCATCACACCGTGGGAAGCAATCTCAGCGTTTGATTTAAATCAGTGGAAACGCTCCCGAGAAGTGCACTTCGCAGCAGATGGGGGCTGCTGGTGCCTGTCCGCGCGGACGTTGCTCATCCGTCCCAGCATTGTCCAAGATCAGAGCTTCGCTGATGCGTACACGCATGAGACCATCGGCAAGAGGGTTGTGAACACTGCCGACGACGTCGTTTTGACTGGGTGGGTGTTCGATCGTGGATGGAAGGTCTGTATTCAGAATGTCTTCGAGGCCGAAGTCACTACCAATATTCCTCAAGATCACAGGTTTGCATGGCAGATTCTCCGCTGGGACCGTGGAAACTTTCGCACTTTCTTAGGGTACATCTTTGTTTACCCCGGCTACCGAAAACTGATGCAGTAAGTCATGCTTCGTCTCAGTTAGGAACATACATCGTTGTCGTGAGGCTGCTTGATTTGCATACTAACTCCGTACTAACAGGAGGCACCCGTACACAACTTCTAAAATGGTCGAGCGCCTCGTTCGACCCATCTGGGCCATGGCATACCTCGGTGCTTGGCTTCTAACGCTCCGTACAAGACCTTGGATCGCGTGAGTACTCAGCTCACCGTACCTCATGCATATGGATAATATTAAGTGCTTTACTGAACCCACTACTCAACAGGTTTGCATTTATAGTTTGGATGGCCTGCGGATGGGGCGGATATATTTCAACTTACCGAGAATTCCTCAAGCGGTACCCCTACTGTCGACGTCAAGTCTGGGCGTTCCTGCTCATGGACTTTATTGGTCCTGTCGTGGACATATACATCTACTTCACGATGAGCAACGACAACTGGTTAACTCGGACAGCGGATATTCAAGATATCAAGGAATAGGATGTTGCTAATGCTGTGGGAATGAAAGACGTGATCGGGTTCAGACACCGCTCTTGTCCGGCCAGTGCTCGATACAGGCATGTTCCTCGCTCGACAGCGTACCATGGGGCAGGTATTGAATACATTGTACTCCGGTGCCATTCTATATAATAGCCGTTAAAATTTGAACATATTTTGTTCCATGTCTGCTTCATTGATCAACCTGGCGTCGGCGCCATGTATTACCTGGTCAAACGGCCGCATTAGTCGACAATCCTCTCGTCTACACACGTACGGCTTCCGTTTCTAACAGATAATTCCACCTTTGCCTGAAAAAAAAAAAAAAATGTCTAACTTTAAGCAAAGTACGCAAAGATATTTGAAAGAAAAAACCACGGCAAAAAATAATGGAAGATGATTCCATCTCCTTCTTGACCTAGGCAGGGATCGAACCTGCAATCTCCTGATTCGTAGTCAGACGCCTTGCCATTGGGCCACTAGGCCATTTATTCCCATTTTGTGGGAACTTGAGTGATTGATCCCTCGCGCTAACGGGATCAAGTTTCTTTTTCCCCTGGCAGCGATGAAGTCATTGTCGAAGCTTCAATCTCCTTGCGAGTCAACTATTTCTCCAGGTCTTCCGTACCTGGAGCCCCAATCTTCTTCTTCTTCTTCGAATCCTCTGTAGCTGGAACTCCGGCGCTCTTCTCCAAGTCTGCATCCGGAGCTTGGGCAATCGTTCTCTTGGAGTCAGGCAATTGTCGCCACTCCATTGCCCAGCTCACAGCCCAAGCAATGGCCGGAGCAACGACGGCCACCCAAAACACATTTCTCAAAGCGGAATTGAATCCATCGACGACCGCATCCAACAATTGCGGCGGAACCATATCCCTGAACTCCCTCCCACCAGCCGCCACCACGGCCGCAGCGTCGACTCCCTCCACCTCCATGAGATTTCGCAAAAGTTTGTCGGTGAAGATGTTCTGCCCAACGCTCGGAGCCAAAGCGCCCCCGAGCACCTGGAAAAACATGACCATCACGAGGCCCGTCGGAATATCTGGCTTGCCAAGGACGACTTGAACCGCCAGTATTGGCATCTGGCTACAAATTCCGTATCCAATTCCCGATAGAATCTGGAACCCTATCCATTGCCCTCGAGGACTATCGGGGCGGACGAGTTGATACAGACCACCTCCGACGGTCAAGACTGGGGCGCCGACCCACATCAGCGGAACATAATGTCCGTACATTGACGCGATCCAACCAGCACAGACTGTGCCGATGCTATTAGACACGATCATCGGGAGCATATTGATCCCCGAGTCTCTGGCACTGGTATTCCTGACCGATTGGAAGTATATGGGCCAAAAATACGATTGCAACACCATCGCCACCTGGACGAGCATCATGAAGGCGCATGCTGCAGATACGGTACGGCTTCGGAAGATGCGAAGAGGAACAGTAGAGCTAGAGTTGCATTAGCAAGAGCGCTGGGTTTTCTCCGTGTGCGTGTGCATCAAATGAACCAACCTTTCTTTAAACCGGAATTGTAGGTATAAGAAAACAATCGTGAGTAAACCGAATCCAATCAGGCAGCCAAACACTTTGGCGTTAGACCATGGATAGACGATGCCGCCCCACTGTAGAGCCAAGTTTAAGCATGATGTTGCGCCGAGCAGTAGAGTAGCCCCCGGAATATCGAGTTGGCGTATCTTCTGGATCCATGGCAGTCCTCCTTTGACAGCCGGCGGGGGATTCCTCAGTGCGAACCAAACCAGAGCCAGCCCAACAGCCCCGAAAGCTTCAATTAGTTCGTCAGCTACAGTCACGACGTTAAGATTATTCTCCGTCGAACAGAAAAAACTTACGGAGATTAATCCAGAACACAAATCGCCAAGTAAGCGTTTTGCTGTCGGTTATAGAGCCACCCACGAGCGGTCCGATGGCAGATCCGATACTGTACATACCTAGGACAATGGGCGAAATTTTTGCCTGCGTCTTCAGAGCGACGCAATATGAGAGAATAGTTGTCGTCCCACTCACTATGCCAGCAGCACCTATGCCAGAAATGGCTCTCCCTATGATAAGCGCCACCGAATTTGGTGCGACTGCTGAGACGACAGACCCAAGCTCGAAGATGATGAGCGAACTGCAGTACATCCACTTGATATTGTAAAACGCGTAGAAGCGGCCGCAGGTTGGCAGCAGTGCCATTTGCGCGATCAAGTAGGAAGAGCCATACCAACCGATGTCGTTCAGACTGTGGAAGTCGCTCGTGATCTGCGGTATTGCGGTTGCTAGGCTTGGTATGAACATTCGGGGCACTACGGCTCAGGTTGATGGGCCAGGGGAAACCACGAACCGAGAATCGTATTGTCGAGTGCCAGCACGAAGCAAATGGACATGAAAGCTAAGGCTAAGCAGGCGAGAGCCCATCCTCGCATGTACTCATGATGCTCTTCGCTCTCCCGATTATCGATTGCCTGATCCTTATTCTGCCGGTTTTCTAGGATGCCTGGAGTCACTCCAACTGGAACCGTAGTCTCTACCGCAATGCCTGCCATGATTGTCGGTCATCCTTTGCGAGAGGAAACACGGAGGAAATCGGACGTAATGAATGTTTTCATGACGGATCCAATGTGAGGGAGGTTGCAAGAAAGGTTGAGGGTTTCCGGCATGAATATAACATGGAGCGGTGAGGGGAGGGGAATGTAACCCGGCCCGGATCACCCGGTCGGTTGTGATTGGATTGAATTCAACATTGTTAGACGAAAGCCGTCTTCGGGTGACGTGCCTTGTTTCTAGCTGCCTGACGCATTCGATACGAAGGTGAAATGAGGGGTCGCCGTTCCATTGAAAAGCTATAATGCGTATATTATATCCCCCACGCCTCAATCCTTATGCCCAGGCGACGTGGTATTACCGCCCGCTACGGATTCCCAGGCGGGGAGCCAGGTCAGTGGGCTCGCTCGGATCCCGCTACGACCGCAGATCCCTCGTCCTAGGGAGTCGGGACGAGAGGTTGTCGCGTGATATCCTCGTGTGAACCCCCATCGAGAATGAACGATGCGGTGCTCTAATCTTGCATTCTTGGGCTCATCTTTACGGGTCAGACTGTTCGTGGTTTCGGGTGGGTGCCAGAGTTTCGGATTCGATCACATTTCTCGTCCGCGATCTTCTATGTGCCTAACTGGACGCGTGGGGCCAGCTTAGAATCTGCAACCGGAAGTTCTAAACACTGCATCCAACGAAAAATGCGGGGATATCGACGACACAGCAAACAGACAGATGCGTACGGGCGTGAATGGCGAGGGCTCAATCGCATGTAATGGCTCACCCGAGGAAGAACGCGGAGCATTGATTACACTAAGAGACCGACTGTGTAGTCGATACCTTTCGCCTGGGAAGGGGCTGCCCACATGCTAGGAAGTTGTTCCGAGTTCGTCGAGCTCCTTCATAAGCGTCGGACACAAGTTGAAAGGACCGGCAAGAGCAGCCGTTGCCCATCAGCATGGGCCGTCTTCTTCCCCAGTAATCCTTTATACTGTTTAAAATGAATATTGAAGTAATTTGTCAAATATGAATACTTCCTACCGATTTGAGCTCACCCAAAAGCCGTAAGCGGTGGCGGATCCGATACCTACAGAGATCCTTCGTCCTTTGATATACGAGAGTGTGAGTGAAATGCGCAGCTGCGCATTTCAAACTCCACGCCAATGTTCATTGACTTGGCGATCCATTCACATCCCGCCCTGTGTCAGTCCATCCATTTCTCGTCATCTCCTCCCTGACTACTCGGAACTTTGGAGCCACGACTACATCAAGCGCTCCTCTAAACATAGCGGAAATACATGTTATCTGGAAGCATCCAGGATCTATATCATCTAGAACAATTTCCAAATTTTTATTATCTAGATCCAATACTTCACCAATCATCACCATTATTTAATTCTATCACATGAAAAAGAGGAGAGAATTGAATATTCCTGATATTGATTTCTGATCTCCTCATTCGAGCACGTGACATATCCACCCCCCTCCAATCTCATCTTCACCAGGTCCCGTTGGTCTAATCCAACTGCTGTTCCCTGGAAGGGGAAGGGGTTGACATATTTAAAAGAAAGGAGTAAGGGGCCAGAATTAGCTGTTCGTTTAGAGTTCAAACACGGTCATTATGCCAGGGTTTTCTGACCGACTTAGATGATTTCGTTTGAGGCTTTCAGCGCACGCTCTGGCTGAGTAGGAATAAACATGCGATTGCTAATGAAACCCTTGAATTACATCTAATTCTTTGTTCACACACCTCAGTACCTACACGCCGTATCAATCACCCCCCCTTCCTTTTCGTTCCAAGCCGCCTCAACCTAGACTGCATACAGAGCGCTCGGTCTTGGCTACTATTAAGATTTGAATACTGTAATCGCCCCGGCTAGAATGGCAAAAGTGTACTGTGTTAGTGTGCAGCAGTGTACATATGTGGCCAACGGCACATGTGGCTGCGATGGAGCACGTGATGTGTGGCAGCTGTGGCATGGAAGAAAAAGAGGAATTCCATGCTGGCGCAAGGAAGGAAAGTTTTCAAATTCCTTTTAAGTCTTTTCTTCAGTTCTTTCTAGACCATTACACCAACCCAATTATTCCTTCATTTCAGTTCTTTAGTTTTAAGATGTCTTTTCGTTTCGATTAGAGCCGGGGGCACGAAGTAGTCACAGCCAACTTTAGGTTTTAGGTTTTATTACTCGGCTCCGACAAACTAAGAGCTTATAATTAACTTAGTTACTGAAAATAAGCTCTAGAATACTTAAAATGCACTAAATACCTCTACTAAAACTCGTTGCTTATTAACTTTTTTATACTCTCTTCCTATTTAAATTCGGGCCTTATAATATATATTATAATTAATATATATTTAATTATATAAAACCTCACTTTTAGGGTTTATATCCTTCGTGCATGCTTGTACGCTTTTTCTCGTGATGAAATCCGGGGTAGATCTAGCGCTAGGCCTAATCAGAAGTAGGCGAACCCCTATTGGCGATCTTATTCCCTGACTCACCCCGCTATTCCCAGCTTTTGTTCCTCGCTTTTGTCTCAGAATCCGCCAGTAAGTTCTCTTCAGATTTCCTCCATCGTCGCTATGCCATCGAAGCCCGGATATGACGGAACCGGCATCTAGTGATGAGAACAGCCAGACGGGCCGGCCTGCTCCTATCTCATTTCTTCCCGTCAATCAGCCCGGATCTCCACCCCGGTTGAGAAGGCGCCGGGCACAATTATCCTGTGAGCCGTGTCGGAGACGGAAGTCGAGGTGTGAGCTTTTAGATGGCCAATCGAAGGCTTGTTTACGGTGTCTAAGGGAGGGCAAAACTTGCGACTTTCGCTCTGTCAAATACAAGCGTCGAGGAACAGCTACCCAACCTCTAACCCCAGCCCGAACTAATCCCGCCGCTCATCGTTCGCCAACGTCGATAGTCAATGATCAACCAGCAAACCTTTCGATCGATGTTGCAGTACTTGAGCACGCGCCGCATGGAGAATCAACGCCAAGCCAGCAGCCATGGCTTGATACTGCCACAGCACAAAGCGAGACACAATACGGGCTTTGTTCCGACAACCACCAATCCCCCCTGAGATACCCACCGGTGCCACACCCTGGAGACCTTCATAACAGTCCGGTAATCTCGGTGGATAGTGCAGTGAGATTAGACCCAAAGGCAAGGATCATATCGACGCAAGTTGACAATCCTGCCGACGCACTCGACCTCCTCACGTTCGCTGCCAGCGAGAGCGAGGAACAGCATTTTGCGGGGGTGGCTTCACCTCCAGAGCAAAGCGGTGCAGTAGAGAACACAAGGAGGAGCATCTCACGAGAGGACAACGGGCGGCAGGATAGCCTTCTCGAAAACGATATCCGATGGAAATATTTCAAGTTTATTCAACAAGGACTGATTGCGGTTCATGAAACCGTTGAGTTCATGGATTTCTTTTTCTCCAGCTTGTGGCCACTCAGGCCTGTGGTACCGGCGTACTACAACGATCGACGCAAGTACGTCTTACTGGCAACGGAGGAACCAGTGCTCTTGGAAGCAGTGATAACGTTGGCTTCACGATATCATGTCCTCAGCGGCGATCATGGCGAGATCAGATCTGAACGGATACATTGGGGAGCATGGAGGTCACTTCAGAGATGCTTGCAGTCGGCAATGTGGGGTTCAACGAAAACGAGATCGTTGGGGACAACCGCCGCTATGCTGCTACTGATCGATTGGCATTCGAAGGCTATCAACAACCCAGGCGCGTTCTCTACAGAAGACGACAACTTCGCATGTAATATGCCTTCGGATATTCGAGAAAATGATATCCAAGCAAGTCCCACTAGTCTGAATAGCAAGCAGAGACACAGCATGACAGCTCATTTGGAAAGCCTCGGTATTACGTCCTCTGCATATCGCAGCAATAAGATGTCGTGGTAGGTTCTTCCTTTCGTCGGAGCTGCTTCCCCTATAAGCATTTCCTTGATGCACATTATGTTAACACAATCAGGATGCTCCTTGCGAACGCCATCGCACTGGCACAAGAAGGCTGTTGCTTCGAGGTCGAGGCTCCCGGCCTGTCAGAGTGCATCAACAACGACAAGGCAGTGAAACGAGACTGGACTCATGTTATATGCGTCTTTATCTATCTGGCCGATGAACACTTGGCACTCCGGCTGGATTTGGAGCCCTTACTACCCGAGGCATCAAGAAGGATAATTGTTGACAGGCGCTCCAAAGTGTTCACTTGTACGCTGCCGGAGAAGGAACACTGGGAAAGCTACTTTGAATTAACAGAAGAAATGCGGAAGAGTCGAGAATATCTACGCGAGCTCAAACAAATTGCTTCGAGACCATACAAATACGAATTGCTTATGCCCGTTCTCGAGCATACGCAGAGAAGGTTAGAGCGCTGGAAACGCCATTTTTCAAGACTTGGTAAGGGCCGCGCATTCTATGAGGCAGAATCTCGCGCTGACCGATGCAGACCAAACGTCTCTCCTGAGCGCATGCCTGTCCATAGAGTTTGGATATGCCGTGATTTATAGTTTATCCCCGGTACGATATGTCGCACCCCCTGAGAACAATGAAGCGAAATCCAACATTCAGAGTCTCCGGCGTGAGACAATACAAGCCTCTCGTAATCTATTGGCCTTGGTGTCCGACGTACTACATCCTTCTGGTATGCTGCAGTATATACCAGTACGTTGTTGGGTTTTCATAATGGCCGCTTCGTTGCATTTGTTAAAGGTTAGTTTTGGGCACTTTACACGGAGCTTGATGGCGAGCTGACTTTCGAGCTTCACAGGAAACACTGCTTCACGAGCATAACACCACAGATCAAGACCCGGATATACAACTACTTCGGAGAACCGTTGGAGCTTTGCGTCGTGGTGCTCCAGATGATGTCCACACCGCAGGCCGATACTCTCGCTTCATCGGCATTCTACTAGATGCAGTAATACAGCCATCCACAAGCAGAACGGGATCTCAGGAAGTAACCGCTGAACTCGCCCAAGCTACGCCCAGGATCGCCGAAATTTCCGACTTGACCCACCTAAACGCGGCTTTTGGCTCGCCTTTGAACGACCTGACATGGTGCGATGACATCTGGGGCACGTCCTAACTTCTTTGCGTTACACTTATAACCACCGGTTTTGCCACAAGTAACTTTATTGAGATTCCTCACGGGCTGAGGGTGCGGTACAAACAGAGCAAGACAGCTCCTGCGGGGGTGATGAGGGTGACGAGGGAGGGTACGGCATTTCCGCCGGAATTTGGAGCTTGTATTGGAGGGGCCTTGGGGCGGGGGGGGAAGGGAGGGCAGTACATAGAAGACCCGGAATGAGGAGGTTGCGGGGTACGCGGAAGGTCCGCGGCAAGGGGATTGTGGGGTTCGGCAGGCAATATCGGACTCATAGGCCCTAACCCACTTTATTGAGACTAATGCTGTTTAGCAAAGAATAAAGTGCGATTAGGGGCACCCCAGCTTCTACAGTAGGACCGTCCTCTTCTCGCGATTCGACTAGTACTCTTCTATTTAAAAGGCGACACCCAACCAATAAGTAGCGTAGCTATATATAGATATTTTTTTACTATTTTTTAAATTTAGAAAAAAAAATCTTATAATTTTGAATGTAAACTTACATAATAAAAATATATTTATCTTTAAATTTAGCTTATTTACAATAGACCTATTTACGAAATCGCTGGGGGGAGCAGGTTCGGTTGGAGATTTTCAGTTACCGTGCTCCTCGGATAGACTTACAATGTAAATCTCAAATAAGCAAGACAAACAGAAGCAACCTCAAGCTACGCTTGGATCACTGGGCAGTTCGAGGTTCGCAAGGGCGCGTCGGCATTTCGACTGACGATCCATTTAACGGTAATTCGGAAAGATATTTGGTAAATATGGCGGCAATTCCAAATCAGGAAAAGTGCACAGAGAGGACCAATGATTTGCGGGTCATAGCATTCCCCATAAATCTCCCCACCCGTCGCCGCTACCTAACCAGCCTTGACGTCTAAACACTGGAGGACGACGTGGCGGCCGTAGTAACGTGTGAGCAAGGGCATAGGTAGTTTTGAAGTATGCCCCCTTTCTCAGAGGTAGACCAAGTCGTGTAATGCAGTTGATCATCAAACGCCATATTGATATTGCAAACGATCATGTTCAGTTGTGACTGCAGGGGGGAACGAAACATACTTCACATTAGCTTCGGCTGTAAAAGTAGCTAATTGCCTGGCTGCCTACAAACTCTCGCGTCTATGAATTGAAATCCTGCTTCCATGTCGTTTTGCCATTCTGTAGATAGTCATTACCAAGTGCCACGAGTCGGCTGTTTTCGGCTCCCAGCCACTGGGGCTCGAGCTTTTGCAGCTGCTCTTCAATCTCATAAGCTTTTCCTCCTGCTACAAACAGGATCTTTCCATGGAAAGGTGAGTCCACTCCATCGTGAGCCCGACCTTCGGCGCGATTCGCAGTCGCACATATCAACATTGAGGTTGCGACATCCTCAGGTTCGTTAACGGGAAGTTTCAGTTTCTCCCAACCCGCTATAATTCCTTTGGTCAATCGTGTTCCTGCCGCGCCTTTAGTACTCATACTACATGTTCTCAGCATGTGTTCTCACTTACGTGTTGTCCAGGGGCATACGACATTGACCCGGATATTGTCTTTCAGAGAGGTCACCCGAAGCCCTCGCATTAACCCAATGATCCCATGCTTGGTAGCGACGTACGGCGTGAGCTCCGCGGCTTCCTTGAAACCCCCTATGCTACTAACGAGGATGAGATCACCTCCACCACGCTGCCTCAGATAATACGTCGCGATTCGGCTTGTAAAAAGGGCACCCCTTAGGTTGATGTCAACCTCTGGGAGAGGAGGCTCCTCATTGACGTCGTCGATTACTGTGAGAGGGTCGGGAAGTTTACCGACGGCTGCATTTGCGATGGCGATGTCAACGCCGCCGAAAGACCTCTTTGCCTCTTCAAAAAGTGTAAGCTGGTCTTTATACTTTGTTACATCGCACTGGACGAAACGGAATCTCTCCCCAATACGCGAAGCCAGACTCTCGCCTTCCTTAGCATTGAGGTCTCCCACGACTACCTTTGCACCGTTGCCTTCGGATTACACATGGTTAGCATAACGATTGCGTGAAACTAAAAGCGAAGTAGAATGATGGCCGACACACCATGGAAAGCAAGAGCGGCAGAATACCCAATCCCACTCGCACCGCCTGTGATTATTACCACTTTGTCTTTCACCAACTTAGACAGGTCTTGATTCGGTTCGACCAGAGACATCGTGATCGCTGAACACTGAGCAGTCTATGTATGGGTGGGAAGGTGCTGAGAAAATGATTCGGTTACCATCTGATGATTCATACTGAAAACAATGAAAACCACCCCAGACATTATAGATATATCTGTGCATTCTGCCACGGACCCCACTATGCCGATAAAGAGCGCTATTCCGCATTTGTTCCGGAAAACCGTCGGCATTCTGAACCCGGTTGATGGAGCCCTCCTAAATTTGTCTAGCGCGGCGCCACAGCCAATATTTTTCTCCAGTAACTGTAACTCATTTGACTAGTCAACTGCCACGCGGAGTATCCGGGGATCCGGGGATCTGGGGAAGAATGTCACTCTGCACAACCACCCGGAATGTCCAATGTATGGTAGATACTAACCTCCTGCCCATGATCCGCAATACTATAGCGCTCCATCGGAATTCCATTTCTGGGCGACACAGAACGGACCAGTTTCTGGCTCTTTTGTTCCGGAACTTGTGAAGATGAAAAACTCGACTTTCCCCATAATATTTGACATCCCTCGACCTTCACTCACTGTATACTCGAAATACAAGTTCCACATACGGAAAGAAAAAAAAATGGCAATTGACCCCCAGGAAGTGCTTGAGCGACCTGTTAAGGTCCACCTACAAACATGGATCGTCGTCATTGTACATACTTACCCCTTTTCACCCCGTGCTAGTAGTCATCTGAGAGAGCAGAGTATAGCTAACAAACACCTCCTAGTGCATCAACTTTGTATACTTTTCTCAACTCACAGCAATCATCGGCGCGGGCTTCCTGGCCCAGCCTATTGCTGCCCTCATAGGCGGCGCTTCGCAGACCCTATGGTTCAGCCAGTCCATTAACCTCCTCGGCATTGCAATTTGCTTCCCTGTATGTCAGATGGCCGACTACTGGGGAAGGAAATGGGTCCTCGTGATCCTGCTTGGCATTGGCTTTGCGGGCACGCTGATGGTTGCTCGTGCCCAAAACGTCGCAACCGCGATTGCTGGATTCGTCCTGATAGGCATCAATTACGGCTCCCAGCCCATCTTGTTTGCGGTACCGTCTGAAATTCTGCCCAGGAAGCAACGCCCCGTAGCCCAGGCAACAGTCAACATGTCTGCCAGTGTTGGAGGAATTCTTAGTCTGGTCATGGGCGGAGCCCTCCTTCGATACGGTCATCTCGAGAACTACCGGACTTATTTCTATGTGGTGGCGGCCTTCTTCGGTGTTTCCTTCCTCGGCATCCTGCTTTTCTACTATCCACCACCACGAGAGGAACAAGTCTCCTTCACCTTGGCGCAAAATCTCCAAAAGCTCGATTGGGTCGGCTACGCCCTTTTCGCCCCAGGATTGACCCTGTTCTCTATGGCCCTCTCATGGTCTCAGAATCCGTATCCCTGGTCTGATGCACACGTTATTGGGCCCTTTGTCATAGGTGTCGCCATGATTATCGCCTTCATATTTTACGAGTGGCTCGTTAAAAAAGATGGTCAGCCGGTCCTCAGTTGTCCGTAGAGTAAAATTTTTCTTGCTAACCAAACATTCAGGTATCGCTCATCACGCTGTTTTCAGCCACCGGAACCTAGTTATCTCGCTTCTCGCCGTGTGGATCGATGGAGTTTCCTTCTTTTCGGCTAACACCTATTTCGCCCAGCAGTACGGAATGTTTACCGGCAGCGACATGCTAATCACGGGTGTCGCATTCGGCATGTTCTTTATCGTTGGTGGCGTAGCCACCGTCTTGTTTGGCTGGGTATCAACTAGGTTCCGGATTGTTCGCGTGCCCGGCACCATTGGTTTAGCTCTGATCGTCCTCTTCAACGTGTTGATGGCGACCACAAAACCTTCGACCTCTGAGGGAATCTACTGGGGCTACACCGTCTTTGCCGGGCTCGGTCTCGGAAGCGTCATTCCAACGTTCATGGTTGCCGCACAGCTAACAACGCCGCCGGAGATGATCTCTCTCGTGTCCGGTCTTGTCAGTGTCTCCAGGCCCATCGGCGGCGTCATTGGCCTAGCCATCAACAACGCCATCTTCCACAACACCCTCTCTACGCAAGTTCCTAAGAAGATCGGCTCGGCAGTCAGCCCTTTTGCCTTTCCCTCCTCCTCCCTCGGCGCTCTCATTACGGCTCTGACGAGCCAAGACAATGCCGCACTTAACAGCGTCCCCGGTGTCACGCCCGATATCCTCGCCGCAGCGAGAGGTGGCCTTCTGGATGCCTACGGACTTTCGTTCAGGAACTGCTGGATTGCTGCTGCATGTTTATGTCTGCCCGGTGTTATTGGTAAGTCCTAATCGTGTTGTTTTAAGCTAGTTGCTGAATATCACTAACAGCTTTCGTGCTAGTTGCCTGTTTCCTGAAGGATCCTCGCTCCGAATTCAAAGCGCACATAGACGCCCCGGTTGAAGTCGAGTTGATGGAACGACAGAAAGTGTCAGAAGTAATTCACTTAGAAAATGTAGATGGCGTGAGAAAGGGCGAGAATTGAAGGGAAGAGCTTATTTCAAGCTCACCTCCCCAATATCGATCTTTTGGAGATCTGAAAATTGCTATAGTTTCCAGGCCATCAGGTTAAAATGTAACGATGCCAACAATACCTTCGGCGTAGGGTGGTAATCGTGAATGAGGTTAGCTGCAAAAGAGCAGATTTCTTGTAATGCATGTCCCTCTATTCACAACGTCTATAAGTCATCCTACTACGTCGACTTTATCATTGGGCAGCCATATAAGTTGCTAATATCAAGTCTGTTCGTCGCATTATCCTTCAGAGTAGTGAACTGTCTAAGGAGGGAATGCTGAGGGATTTGATGTCTTTTTGAAAATAAGGCAACGAACGTAGTTCTACCCGTGGAAGATTTGAACACCAATTATCATGAAGCTAATCTACCTCGAAAAATTAACCTACACGTTTGTGTATTGCGATCTCACTTAAGTTATCCCGCCATAAGATTACTCCTGAGAATTGGTAGTCTATCATGGGGCTCTGGAGTTGGACCAAATGTTCATGCTTGCGCAAATAACGTGCTCACGGCATTCCCACAGCTAACCTTAGACTAATCCTTCCATTCAGGCAACAACTCGTCCCGTCCAACCAGGAGCTTAACCCTATAAGCATCTTCCTTCAAAATTCTGTCTTTGTCTACAAGATACTCCGCCACGCTCTTGGACGAATCCACATATCTTCCCGAGAGAAAGTCCAATCCTCCACTCGCCAATACCACGACCATGCCAGCCGGCATCTGTGGTGTATCCGAGGGAATATCCTTTAAGAAACTTACAGCCGTCTTGGCTGATTTCTCATCACCCGGCACGTCTTTTGACACGTAGCTACTCCCGTCACCTCTGACTTTCCCTTCCACCGCCTCAACAAAGTCTGAGTAGAACCTCGTATGAACCACCCCAGGGTGAAGGCTGAACGCTCTAATCCCAGCATCTTTGTTCTCGTGGTGCAAGATTTCTGCGAGCCTACTCACTCCAAGTTTTCCGATTGTATAGCTTCCCATGCCCGCAGTGACGTGCGCGCCCGCACTTGACGTGAAGATCAACGTTCCCCCGTTTGAAGATTGCCGCATGAGCGGCACGGCGGCGCGTGCAAAGTTGAATGACCCTCGCAACGAGATTTCAACCGTATCCCACCAGATGGTCGGCTCAGACTCGTGTACCGGCAGAAACTGGGGAGGGCGGCCAGCGTTCATGAAGACAACGTCGACGTGGCCAAACTCATGTGCTGTCCTGCCCACAAACTGCTGCACAGTGGGGAAATCGGCGACGTCAAATGCGGCTGTCCGCACCACGACAGCTGGATTGATGTCGATGCAGAGGCGGGCTGTTTCCTCGACCTCATTGAGTTCTAGAGCGACGAGGCTTAGGGACGAGATAGCCGTATGTGCGAAGAATTCTGCGGTGGCGCGACCAATACCTCGACCGGCACCAGCAATGATGACATGTTTTCCTCTGAGCGACCTGGCAAGTTGTTGGTTCCGGCGCGGATCAGAGTCGAGGTCGCAGTCGTGCATTTGACCTTGAGACATCTTCGTTCTAGACTTTGACGAGCAATCACATGAATTTATGAAGATGAGGTTATGTGCTGTGCCAGTACTAGGATAGGGCTCACTGAGGCTTGCGAGGTATGATGCTTTATGTCTCTGAGACCTATAGAGCCGTCCCAACTTGTTAAGATGGCTTGATGTAGTCTTTAATAATTGTAAGATCAAACATTCCAGATCCCACGGTCACCGCCGTCGGCAAGACTAAATTGGCTACTCCGGCAACTTGGTGTAGTGGCTTAGCGAGCAAATACGGAAATCCCGAGATTACGTTCATACTATAACCTAGGCACTTAGTAGTCCTCCTCCCACCCTGGGGGACCACCCTTCTCGACGAGTAACCCAAGCATATTGACTTTGCGATTTACAAGTATCGCATTTCCACGCAATCGTTCGGCAGCAAGAAATGCTGCCAAACACTTTGGAGGCGACTGAATTTGTGGTCTTTCTTGGTTTCCCAACTTATTACCGCAGCATTGATCGATTTGCCCTTGATCGTTTCGATTTCTCTATCAACACTACTCACTAATCAAGGGCCTTGGACAAGCAAAGATAGCGTCACTAGCTGATGGACACTATTGATTGTCTTCCCACGAGACATGTGAATCTTAATACGGCATCTTTTTGTTAGTACACAGAACGAGGGGTATAGAAGTTCTCCTGGTTCGATAGTACTGGTCGGGTCTACTTCAAGGGGTGTCGGAAGGACGACTTTGCCAAAGCCTTGCTTCCCACTTCCCACATAAACCAGCTTTTCCAAAGCTTCCTCCGCCGTAACATCGAGAACATTGACGGATGGGAGTCTGAATGCTGTACCATAGTTGTCAACAGCCCAATGCAGAGCCTTCCAGGCGTTCCAATGATCTGCTGGCCTCGCAGGGATGCTTATCGGCCCTGGTGCACCGAGGGGGTGGATACTTCAAACATCTTTTGTCATCGCTACGGGCATTTGAAACCTCCTGTCTGTGCGAAGAACAACGGAAGAGAGTATGGCCGATTCCCCGGCACATCGAACAATCAGATCCGCGGAGGTCGGGCTTTCCATCGTCCCAACAGCATCAAGAGCATGAGTGATTGATCCGTGGCCAAGCGCTCTGACAGCTGAAACAGTATCCTCCACAACCGTTGGAGAGACATAGTCAAATACAAGGTTTTCTCCAAGGCTCTTGAGTAGGTCATGGCGAGCTGCAGCTTTCCACGTAAATAACCTCATCGAAAACTACACACTCGGGCCCACCCCTCTGTCCAAGCACGTCCTACCAACACTTCACGACTCGCCCCTAGAGTGTAAGGCGGGACTCGGAGTGGAGCCGGGCCCGTCGGGCCTTGAAAGGTACCGAGCCTCCCTAGGCCCAGTGGCCAAAGGAATACCTGTTGATTGGGTTACAGCTTCGGGTAGCAGGCTGTCTGCGAGAATTCCGCGGGTACGGTGTTATTCTGAGCTTTAACGCTAAGACCTAACGCTAAGATCGGAGTTGGGGCGATTGGGGGGCAGCATCCTGGTGGGCCTCGTCGTTGGCTGCGGTAATTGTGATAGCTCATTAGGCTTGACACCATACCAAACACGACGGAGGCGGCCTGTTAGTAGATGGTTCCGACAATTCGATGCAGTAGGAACGACGCGGGGTAAGGACTGCTTGGAGAAACATGGCTTGAAGAGTAGAAAGGAGCTCGGGCGAGACATGTAATACCCCACAGCTCGCCTGGGGATCTGAAAGTTTCCGTTTTTGGTGCGGCCATTCGCACACGATATCTCGCGTGCGGCATCGGGCGCACAGCGGGCCCTGGCTCGCATCTCGTCTTTGCAGCATTACAAGGTCGGCACGCCTATGATGCTCTCGACGTATTATGCGTTAGCTTGTGACGACGAAGCGTATCGCTACCGATCAATCGATACTCCATGACATGGGAATAGAGCTACCTACGCAAGGTCCCGGACTGGATGACTGGGGAAATATTGGCCTGCCGATAGCGGACATTTGAGCCCATTGCGGAGAGCAGCACTTTGGTAATGGGGCGTGCAAGAAGGGACATTCTGATAGCGGTGAGAGCCCAGGGTACCGCTGTCAGCGTCCTGAGACTCCATTTTGTATGTCTTCGAGCACACGTATTATACCTGCGCCTTCCTTTCTCCCTCAGCTAAAGACTCAGCAGCCTAGGGGGTCGACAGTGAGTGGAGCGATCTCGCCGATCGGGGCCGTTGTCAGAAGGTCTTACGGGCGAATTGGACTATATCATAACACCGTCCGTCACGAAGCTGCCGAATGTGGAGGCTGTAGATGTCATGGCCCGTGAAAGAGTCTGTCGCAAAGATTGCGTCTTCTCAGTACTGTTCCAAAATAGAAGACAGCTGTTCGTGGGGCTCTGATTGTCAATAACCTGGACTTCAAGAGTCAGGTAGCCATCACGTCCGTTGCCACCATAAATACATACCACCTGTGCAACGCTCCCCACGTCTCCACTTCCCTTACCCGCATTGCGGCGTCTTCCGTCGGCACGGCAAGGAAAGGGAAAGCCGGGGCCCAGTTAAGGCCTGAACAGCGTTGTATCAGCTGTCCGCGACAGGACCCATCGTATACAACCCAGGATCCGTCCAATTAGATCCATGTATCTAGCCTCTGCCCAGCCATAGCCAAGGGAATTTCAGGTATTTCACTATTCACTTGGCCAAGAAAGACCGTCACACTTTCTGGGGTAATGTTGCTGGCCCCCATTTACCATACTATTCCGAAATCGTGGCGGTCAGGCCCCTAGTAGGCAGATCACACCTACGTCGCCTCTCCCATTCCTCCAACATTCCACTCTTGGGCACCTGGAAGGTCTGGTGGCCAGGAGAATGGGGTTCACACTACAGGCTGAGGACGTGCCAGCCGAAATGGTTGAGCTGGCGACGAGACATGGGGGGTCGTGGGCCGCCCTCTCGAAGGGGGATAATTTTACACGATAGATTTTCGCTTAGGTCCACTCTCAGCCATACACGCCACATCGATTCTGCTATTCAGGCCGAGTTTCGAACGACGCTATGGCGAAGACTTGGGATCCGAGGATGCTCTCATTGGAAAGAGTGGTCGTGGCACGTCTGCGATTGGCCTGCATTGCTGCCTGACCTCTCACCACGAACTGTCCATTGTCCACATGCTCTATGTCATACATGCAGCAGTAAATCAAGACCTATGATTTTTTTGTTTTCTTGTTTTCCTCCTTGGCTTCTGTTTGTTTTATTCGGGTTGTTGTGTCGTGAGAATACATGCGATGGCATAACTTGTATCTTCGACGATGAGGCATAAATGATTTAAACCGACTCCTCTCTCATCTCGTTCCCATTCCTATCACACCAGGATCCCCGTCAAATAACAAGGTTTGCACCCCCGTGTGGTAAGAAAAAGAATCCACATCTCGAAAAATAACGCAATAATATGGCAAGAGTTAAGCTTGTCGCTCTCCTGTCGAGTATAATTTCTTCCACGAGGGAGTTATACCAGGAGCTCAAGTTTGCCAGCATCCGTCATGCCGCTCTTTCAACTCAAGTCGACAGCACGAAAAAGGTAAGAAAAGAGAAGAACTTCACACATTTCCGATGCATCACTGTTCTTGTATGCTCGCTAACGTCACGGAAATAAAACAGACAATAGAATTCGCCGCTAATGCCCTCTCCGACCTCATCGGGCGCTGCCCCGACACGATATTAGGCCATGTCCTCGACTCCTCCCAACTCAAGTCCCTCCTCCGAGACTGCGTCTTCCACGTCGAAAAAGCCAAAGGCATTCTCCAAAAATGCCAAGTCGCCAACGTCCGCGGACGACTGAGGTTCGTCCTGAAGAAGGCGGACGTGCAGGCCATTATCCAAGACCTCAACCCTGTTGCACTATGGCTGTGTGTGAACCTCAGCTGCGTCATCGTCGGGCTCGTCCAGCGGTTTTCGAAGGGAGTGGCAGCGGGTGGCGTCACGGTTGATACCGGAGCGGAAGAGCTGTTGCTACTTACGCAGGCGTTTGTTGGCAGAGGGGATATTGAGGAGCAACTCAAGTCGGCGATGAGTTCCGTGGCCGAGTTGATGGCCGCCGATGGTTTTGCCAAGCGAAAGTCATCACCTAAGGTGGATAAGGACAAGCCCAGACGTGAAGGCAGTCGTGGGATCAGACGCAGGCTTTCGAAATCTCACCATCCACAAGAGGCTCTTCTGCGTCGGTCTGGGAAGCAGGGAAAGTCCGGTTATGCATGGCCGTTCCGAAGGATGAGCTTGACAGATCGGAGGACGGCACTACGAAGTGTCAGTGTTGAAGGCCTGGTAGACAAGAAGAAGGATCAGAAGCCCCCATCCAGCTGGTCAATACGCCGCATACAAACCGCTCCTGCCACAACGAGCCAGGGACCCCAAACTCTGCCCCAACCCGATACCGTGCCGGCTGAAATAACCCCTCACAGGTACGTCTCATTACCGACTCCCGATGTGACAGACTCGGATACCAGTACCCGGAAGACCGGACGCCTCAGTCCTTCCATGCTCCGCCCACCCCCGGCCGTCCCGACACCCCCCACCAACTCCGAGATCAACCATCAAGCCACATTCATGAGCGGAGCGCTTGCAGCGTTTGGCTCGAAGAGCAGCCTTGGATTTCAACGGAACCAACTGACGAGGGCGGGGATTGACGTATCGGGTACCACTCAGTCGTCTCCGATGCTCTTCCCGAGCTCGAAGGCATCCTCCAAGTCGTCGCGTGTGAGAAAAGGAGGAGCCGCTCTTGCTCCTTCCAGTGGCGAGGTCACGACCATGGACAACAGCTATTCGGTGATTACGCAGACGACTCATAGTTCCTGTACCTCGGCTAAGCCGCCGCCTACGCTTGCAGCCACGGAGCAGCAGTCGACAGCCGATGATGACGATGCCGATGGCCACTCTGAAGATTTTCTCGATGCCTTTACCAGAATGGCAACCCAAAGGGACACTCTGGCGTCGAATGGCGAAGGCGAGGCCGGACCCAAACTGAATTTGACTACCTGCGCGCCCGGTGCGTGGATAGGTCTGGCAGGCTGGTTCGATGCTTCGTGGGCGTTCCTTTTCTTCCAGAGGGAGGATGGTTGGGTTCAACTTGCTCTCCTACCAGACGATTCTAGCCGAAGTGCCGCCATTCTCGAGCCGATTATCCAGGTACCGCTCGACTCGCCGATGCATTGCGAGGTAGCCCGGGGATATCACGGAAGGACCGTCCTTCGGTTATTCATATTCCTTAAAGATGAAGAACAGGCTTGCTCGCTGGTAGAATGCAGACTCGACTTCGGTAAGGGACTTGAGAATGGAAAGTTGCCCAGCTGGGCGATGGAAAAGTTCGAAATACAGTCGTCAGAAGCCGGCGGCCCGCAAGTTGAGGACTTGGTGGCATGGGATACGGGAATGTCAATATTGCTTGCTGCTTCCTCGTCGGGTGGAGTTGTCAGCGTCTACGAGCGCACGAGTTTGACCGGGAATTGGGAGTCTATTCCCTACCCAGACAAAATCCCCGTGGAACCCGGCGATTACATCTTCCACACCGAATTGCCGGGAAGTCGCAAGGTACGCCTACGAAAGTTGAACCAGACTGGCATAACGCAGTACGAAGTCGACGGATACGAAAGCTGGCGCGACCTGCATGAAGAGCATCCCCAGCGAACCCCCTTGAACATTCACGACAAGGAGGTTAACTGGCACGGGCATCCCCCGAAGCGTTTGCCAGGGTCGTGTCGCGTTATTCACAATCACAACGGAACCGTCGCCGGAATCTTTTGCCAGACGGCCGAGGACGACATTTACTTGTTCCGAGGCCATCCGTGGTGGAACGAGCTCCATTCCCCGCAGTTTGTTTGCTCAGTTCAGGAGGGGTCAAAATTCCTCGTGTCGGAGAGCCGACGAGTCCTCCTTTTCGTATCTCGAGAGAACGAGATGAAGAGAATCGACTTTAGTTTGGATGAAGAGGGCGAAGTGACCATCGAGACGACCGGCCCCGTGTTTTCTGAACACTATTTCTCGACGACTTTGAGCGATTTGCTGCTGAAGAGCCCCATCAACGATTACCTTCAATATCGACCTTTGTACCAGTCGAGCAGTGCATATTACTACAGCACATCGTCGTCTTCGTCCTCCGAAACGCAAGAGGTAGAATGCGCTGACGGGGATTCCGCGTGGAGTTCTTTAAGAACGCGATCTGCGGAGGCAAGTCGATCTTGGTTGGGGTTACCAGAGACCGAGTCCGCGCCTTTGTTGGGTACACAAGGGCAGGCTTGATTCGAGCTGAGTTGATGTACATTTCGGCTGTCGGCTTTTAGGGAGGTAAGAGCACAATCTTTCATAGATGAATTGCATACTACTTTCGAGAGTGAACACTGACTTGGGACAATATACAGGCCCCCCATTAGCCCACGCAAGACGCTGCACTGAAGACCATCTCGACCCGGATATATGTGGGATTTAATCTTGGATAATGAATCATCGCGGATGGGCAACGGACGTCTTGGCTGGCGTTCCATCACGCACCCTACAGGCGTGGTATAACATGCGCCCTACTGCGCCGAGTGCCATCTCGACTTTGTATTATAAAAAAATGTGTGGGAGCAGATGGTCTCATCTCGGGCTGACATGGCGTTCTGCTATTCTTCTCTCCTTTGTACAGCATTTCTCTCCTTTACACGGCATTTATCTCCTTTGTACGGCAATAGACTTATTTACAAACGTTCCTCCTCAAGGCTAGCAACACTGGCCTTATCTCAACCTTCTTCGTAACCTTCTGCTTGGGCGTTGTATTTCGCGAGTTTAGATGGGATCTAAGCAAATTCAACACTGAAGGTTGACATGAATTAAGTTTCTACAGAGAGAGCTATATTCTCCAAGGCCCTAGAGGTACGAAGAAAGTTCGCTTAATCACAATCCTCATGCGTGCATTCTCCCAAGTCTACGACATCGACTTTTGTCCATGGCCGACATCTTCCGAATAACATTCTTCGGGCTATCGAACTGCGCGTCGGCGGCATCTCTTCTGCAAGGCGTGGCCAGACTGATTCCGTTGTAGGTCTCCAGTTGGAAGCATGCCAGTGGCCTAGATGATGTGCCCTAAATTTCTGAACGTGCCGGAGAGGTAAAAACTCTTGATCGCCGGGGGAAAGTTCTGGCGCATAGATGACCAGATGATGGTGGTATTGCTCACGGTCACGGCCTGATCTCCATCCGTCGTGGAGATGGAATACCAAACCTCTGTGTTCCATATTGTAGAATAAGCATGCGGTTCAGCAGTGGATGAACTGCCAAGGTTATCAACATTACGAGTACGGTACGGGTTGGGTACCAACCACCAACACCTGGGACAAATTTGGGCCTTTGGGACGCTCCAGGAGCGCCTTAGGTGGGAAATGGTCTTTACGACGTCGGCCTTGACGGAAGACCGGAAAACAAATAACATGAGCAGTGGCTTTCTGGCAATACGTTGGGTTCTTCGATTCGGAGTAGTGGTCGACCTCTGTTGCCCGGGATTTCTCGCGAGAAGAAAGTTCACGATCAATCCAAAGGCACTTGCCATCCTACAGAAATGAAAAGGTCATGGTGGCTCGTCAGTGGCTGATATCCTGCCCAGGTTCATGACGGCCCGGGAGGAAATCGCTAAAAGAGTCGAACAGACTCGGGCTCCCGGCTAGCTCCCCGGGTTTCTAGCAACGATAAATATAAGAAACGTCCTCTTGGACATTGGCAAGGGGTTCCCCAAAGGGCCCTGCTTTATTTAACGGGAAAGTCTACGGAGCCGTCGATAAGCCTCATGCAACTTTTACTCTTCATTCTGTATGTACATCTTCAACTCGTATTGACATAGCCGATCCTTTTCATCTTCTTAAAAAAACATGATGAAGTAACTTCGCATCGTATCGACCTATCCATAATGACACTTGCAAACACAGATTCCCGCTCCAGTTATAGATCTTGCCGAGCACTATTTATCAAGTCAGCAAGTGAGTAAGAAGTGGTCGACGGCCTTGAAGGCGATGTCTCATCGTAAATACATACATAAGAAGAGGCGCAGTTCATGTTAGAACTACCAACTGCCTTCTGGCAGTCATAGGCGCATGTGTTTTTCGAAACCGTACGGTCACAGCCGATCGAGCGAGAGGCGAGGGCGTGTTCGTTGGATTCAGTGGCAGGTGCGGCCAGGGTGACCGATAGGACGGAGGCAGCGAGCGTAAGGATTGACACGCGCATGGTGGATAGCCAAGGTAGTATTGAAACTGAAAAAAAAAAGGTTCTGGCTGACTTGAAGATTTGGTCGCTTGTCAAAAACCGTGTTCTTCTCCAGCATATTTATACTTGCACTTTGTGAAGTAGATATACAGCAGACACTGCATCACCTCCTTCACCTGATTGAGCAGTAGCTCCGTGGTCCTCATCGGTTCGTGGAAGAAACGGCGTCCGCTCACTCCGGATCCAATGAGACTCTGAGATACACCAGAGTCAGTCCTATGGACCATTTCCGGTCGGGTCGGCGCTGAGGATTGTCCCGGCTTATACTTGCGCTGGAACTTTTTTTTCTGGCGCTACTAATACATCTCCGTCACAACCCACCTGCAAGGCAACCCTCGGGCATTCAAGATGATTTTAAATAATTTTAATTTACGAGGACCGCTTCGCCTTGACCTCTCAAAAGGCGGCGAACTTTATTCGGTTCCATTTTCCAAGTGCCGTTTCCCCATGGAGCGCCAGAAGCGAAATTAATAATCACTTACAGTGGTGTATCTTACCAAGTTGTCGAAACCCTTGCCACAGCCCATAAAAACGTCGAGTTTATTGAAAGGATGGTTGCAGCGCGTCGTGCCATCGAGAGTCCTTTGATGCTGGGGCTATACTAGTGTCAACGATCGGATTCTGCGTGCATCTAGTTATTTGATTAGGTTGTATATAACGGTTAGTAGTGTTAGACAAGGAATGTACTCCCTCCTCTGATATACCGGTTTTGTTTTTCTACCAGATACCTCGACATCTCTCTCGACGCAACAATAGGTTTCCTTGGAAGCAAGGATCCCGCGAAGCTCAGAAAATCAACAATTACCCCGCATAGTAAGGGATAACATTAGTCTATATAAGCAACCCTTCCCCCGGCCCAGGCTTACTATTGAGCTCGATGATACTATAAGCACTGTAACGTAGCCAGGACACAAGGGCGATCCATATCTCCATTGACCACCAGGCTAAAACACCCACTGCCTCGGTCCGGGTACCGTGCTCCATGTGTGTATTCCTCAACGATTCAGTGGGCCTTTTTCTGACTTCTTTTTTCGGAATAGGGACGGGCGCGGACACCGCGGTCAGCCACCCCTCAATAATACATTAAGACACATTAAGAGATAAGTATTAATACTACAAAGTACAGGTAGGAATGTGGCATCTTCAGACAACCAGCGCTTTCGAGCGATTTCGAACTGCCTTTCCATAGTTTATATATACGGGACCAGCCGAGGGGCACAGATTATTTTATACCGTCCTGCAAGTCAGGAAAAGACGGACCAGCTTTTACATCAATAACCTTAATGAATGAGATCCGGTTATCATACTTCACAGACGAGCTGGCTTAATCTTCTGTATATCAGAAAGCTGAGGGCGGTTAAGCTAACCGCACATCACTTGAATTGAGGTCGTTTTAGCAAGTCTGAGTTGAAGGATAATCTTCCATGGACCTAGCCTCCCACTCTTACACCTGGTTTCAAGGAGCTGGGAGTCTCCCCAAGGCCTCGTCTAGTCCTCGCCACCAATAACTTGGCTTGTAGGCGGGCGGAGAAGCCCTAGGCATTCCCAGGTAAGAAAGCGCATGAAGTTACTTGGGGGTTTGGATCCGCGTTGGACCTAAAATCCCAAAGGATAGTCAACACGCCTGCCCTCGGCTTGGTAATGACTATTAAGGCCATTGCGAAGTGCAGTTTTTGGAACCCGGGACGGATGTTTAGCCCCTCGTCTTCTCTGACTATCTACAATACTATTCACACCCAATTGAATACGGTGTTCTGGGAATTGCTTTGACACATGAAAGAAAAGTAATATACGCCGAGATACGAATGCGGCCTCGCCTATGAGAACAAAAAGAAGGTGGTCGAGTGATTAAGTCCCTCAGCTCCGTCTCGAAGAAAAACTCTCGGGGGGGTTAGGAAGGTATGAGAATGATTCTTTTATAGTCCGAAAGAGTGCGCATGATAGGGAAATGCACACCTCATCCCGAATATGGCAAGACAGAATACTTAGCACATTATGAAACCGCTGGAACCCTTGTTAAATTGTGGGGTCGTTATCCAGGAAGTTAGAGCTTCCAAACCTGTGAGGGGTTCTTGGGACAGAATAAAACCAGACATAGACAAGACCTTCCATCTGAACACTCTGCCTTGTCAGATATCACTGAGGGAAGCTTAAAATAGATTGTTGTGTTAAAAATGGATTGATGCTCTCCCCATGGGCTGGTGGTCGACAAAGCGATCCGAAGGCCTGTTTAAGGTGCTGGTCGGGAAGGGCGAATCAAGCGGGCAGCGTAGGCGCCGCCATTTTCTCGACCCAATCCAGACGCCAGATATCGCAGGGGCTGAGCTCCGTTGATGCAGCTTGAACAGAGCAGAAAAGAAGAAGAGTATCCTGTAATTCGCCCCTGCGTGCCATCTTCAAACAATATTGGCCAATGCGGCTATCGATAAGAATCATTTTCCTCATGCATGGAAAGGGAATGAAGCTGAAGAATGTGGTGAAGGATTCGAGCCTCCCACACGAAACACAGGGGTACCAGACTGATTATCAACACACAAAACCCCCTGGACAGGACATGAAACGCCAACAAGCAGTGTGGCTGACAAGGTGAATGTCGGATTAAGCTCAATCGACGCACCCCGGAACTACGTCTGAGTAGGAGACTCCCATCCTATGAGACGGATACCACCTACTTCAGATGGCTAAGAGAGGAATCGGCTCCCAAGACACCTCTTTTCTCTACGTCCATACCGGAATCTCTGAAGGCCACGTACCCCATTCCACAATTCACATCCTCAATGGTCCGAAGCATCTCAACCATACAAAACGCCGCGCCTGATCAGCTGCTTCCCCTGCAGCGAAGCAGGGCCAATTCGGACGATACCCTCCACAACTTCAATCCGAGTCCAAGTCTTACACCAACGATTAACGATCAATTTATCTCGCGGAGCAAGTTCGGCGACCAGGACATCGGAAAACCGGCCGAGAGAGAGGGGAGAATTGGCAAATGGCTTATTCTGCTCATCGTTACGTGTCTCATCCTCCTTGCTGTATCCGTAGGGTTCCTCACCTGGCTCTGGTTTGGGAATCGGGATAGCGCGCTATGGCGGAGTCTCATTTCCGGAGCATACAACGCTCGATCCATTACCCTAACCGGAGTCGCCATCCGCTTCTCCATCGCGACACTTGCGTGGATCACAACTGCCATGATGGTGTCAGTAGTCGTCGAGAAGCACGGCGTCCCGTGGGATAAGATTGCCCAGGCGTCTGTTGCGCGGTACACAGGTGCCGTCACGCCGTTGATTCTGGGAGGCTACGCGTTCAGACGCTGGTTCGCCATCCTCATCCCCCTTCAATTCCTCTGCGGCATTGTGTCGCAATTCACATCCACCCTTCTGTTCAGCGACTTCGACAGCGGTCTGGTGGCCGGGTTTCGAACGCAACTCACGGTCAATTACGAGTTCAAACTGACAGAGAAGAACGGATCCATGGTCTACGATGATGTTTCCATGCCCGCTGTCAAGACGAAGTGGGATATGGCACCGCAACTGTCCGAGGTCTTCGCCGAATATGCCGAGCCCGAAAACAGAATCAACGATTCAAGCGTCGACGATACCGGCCCGGTATGGAGAGCTTTCCTGCCGATCGCCAGCGAAGAGACGAGGACGGGGATCATCGAATACGACGGCATTGCGAGGGTATTCGATGCTAGAACCGTGTGCGCCAATCCAAGGATCTCGAAGCTTGGCATAAGCGGGAAGAGCACCAGTTTGCCAAAATTCGTCGGCATCGGCAGCTTGGACCTCCGGTCTATTCCTAATCTCTTAAACACCAGCGAAGGAAACGTCGGCGACCCCGCGTCTTTCCCGTTCTACTTCGAGTGCCAAATGAGCAACATCAACAGCATAGCCTTGGGCAACAGCACATGCTCCGGGGTGACAGACTGCAAACAGGCTAGGGACTCGTTCCCGGTGTGGGAGGAGTGCGGCGTATGGAGCATTAGCGATACCAATGCCAGCCTCGAGGACTTGGTGGATTCTATGCTGCTTCCCAGGATCGGCAGGGCCGCGGATGTCCCCAACAGGATCCCCTCTCTTGACCCGCTTTCTTACACGGATACAATCCCCGGCTTTGGCGCAGAATTCCTCACGAACAACCACGTCTCCACAGACACGGATCCGTTAATCAAACGCCGGGATAGTTTCATTGATCAAGATGGACCTTTGGCTCGCTTCCTGGATGGGCGTGTCGGGAGGTCGTTTCTCCTCATGAACGCGAGGAACCCAGGAAACAACATCTTTTTCGCGTCCATCGACCCAGTTCCGAGGCCGAAGGACGCCTATATCGAGCTACCCATACTCGCGACCAAGCAAAACGGGGCCTGGCAGGAATTCAGCACTGTTGTGGACTTCTCGTCGATGGAATTCGACAACGTAACATGGGGGGACGACGTTTTGACTTCAGAATCGATGGACCTCATTCCTACGGAGAATCTTGATATTTCTACCCAGGCAACGGTTTGCTGGGATGTTTTCATGTAAGCGAAGCATCCGATATCTTCGTCTTCTTTTAGACTCAACTGGAGGTCTAGGGAGTGTTATTTCAGAGCTAATTAATATCTCCCAGGCCGGACAAAGCGCCGATCCGATACTTCAATGTGAAAGCCACCAGCGGCACAAATCGGTCTGAGCCAAGGTCGACGTGGGTACAGGACGAGGGCCGCTACGACTTAACAGAGGTTCTCAAGCAGCTCGGCGTCTCAAAGGAGCCGCTCTCCCACGCGGACCGCGGAATCCTATCCCTGGCGCGGGAGAGCATCTACGACGCCATCGAAAGAGAAGTCAAGACCACCGACATCATGACCTCCACCAATATCTCGGATTTTGCCAGCGACGCCGTCATCTTCCGGTCCGGCCTTGTCTTCTGTCCGAATTGCCCTTTCGGCGACATGGACAGGTATTGGGACAACCTGTTCCGCCAAGCGCTGAACGAGACCAACTCGCCGGCGCGTGCCATCCAGGCCGTGTATACGGCGAAGGCGAGGTTGGGATATATGCAAGTTGCGGCAGCGTACACTCAGCCGGAAGAGGCCGTAGTGGCGTCTCTCAATGTTGCCCAAGTACCGACACGCGTGATCGGTTACTCTCTAGCTCTCGCCATCATCGCCATCCAGCTCACTCTCCTGGTGGCTGCTGGTGCGCAGTTTAGGCGCACCCGTGATAGCATCCTTGGCAACGCGTGGCTGGTGGTTTCGCAGGTTTCGTCGTCGCCCGAAGTCGCCAACGTTTTGGCTCAGGCGAAGACTGTGACAGACAACGACGTCAAGCGGCATATTGAAGAAGAGAAGGCGGTAAGAGTGGAGGGGGCGTGGGATGAGTGGGGGCAGTCGAGTGGGAGATATGTCGTGTACGATGGCACTTTCAGACGGAAGCTTTGAAAAACGTGGTGTGGTTGTATAGTGGTGTATACTAGTAACGGTGATGAAACTATTGATTTTATTTGGATATTTGATTGACTCTCTTTACGAGAGCCTTGCATGATAACTACACGAACCGAACTAAGAGAGCTTGGCGTTTTGTCACGGATCCTGAATCTTCTATGACCTGCCATGAGGCTCTGTTTATCGTAAAAGAAAACAGGGCGAAGGTCCATCGTGGAAAATAGCGACTGCCTGTCCATTAGGGTGTCCTAAATAGTTTCTAGACCGTGGGCTCGGTGCCACTCATTATTCACTCGGGCCGGCCTTTGGCATTGCCTTGTGGGAGAATGGAATTTATGTCGTCGTTCATCTGGAATGAAGCACGTCTTCAACATGCTCAGACGTCCAGTAGGGCAAGGTTTGTGCCTTTCATAGTGCCTGGCGTCATCCAATCATAGATGTCGTGTCTTGACACAGTCCTATCCCACCCCTATCTCTCCCAAGTAATCTGCGCAGGCCTCTAAGCTTGTGTTTTCCGTCGCCTGTATTACTTGCCAGTAGACCCGCCATCCGAAATACCTGAAGGGCCGAATCCCTATCTTGAGCCGAGCATTCGAGGTACCTGGCCGCTCCGATTCCGTCCGAAACCATCATCGCCTAGCGCAGAACCCAAGCCCTGTCAGCTACCCTCAACGCCTCGTGGTTTGAGATTGAGTTACCTCTTCGAAAGTCACGGGAAGCTGGCTCTTCCGGTTTAGATCCTCGATGACCTCCTTATTATAACGAAGGTCGGATTTTAACCCAACGAGTAAAATCAGTTTGCCGGGACAATGGCGGCGGACCTCGTCGATCCACTATTCACCCGGTGAGCAACCCCGTCTTTAGTCTATGCAGCAGTAGTTTATACCATACCTTTTCCGTCACGTTCTCCAAAGAGTCCGGGCTGCCGACCGAGAACCAGATCAAGACAACATGGCAGTCGGCGTAGAAAGGCGTCCCAAGGCGGTGCAGGCCGTCGGAGCCGGGAGTGTCGCGCAGTGCGAGGTGGATGGGCCCGCCGTCTAGGTCAAGCTCGCCTCGGAATACGGTCGATATTTCTGTCGGATCCGGATCCTAGCCAAACACAATGAGCCGGGGACGTAAGCGAATTAGTTTAGTCGCATCGGAACTTACGATATCAAATCTACTACCCTCAGTAAACGTCCTGAACATGGCCCCATTAGCTCCGGCTCCTACGTTTCAGGAATGCAGAAATCGAAGACGACACGCATACTTACTCGATCAGTGCAGTTTTGCCGCATGCCGAGTCACCAATAAGTATTACTCGAACCATACTTGCAGAAGACCATACGCCTGGTAAGTCAGATGCGACATCGTTTCTCCCTTTCTCCAGGAGGGCCAAAGCGCGAGAGGGGAAACTCGAATGTCTGGCTGACTTTATTGGGGCCTTAATGTTGGCATCCTCCAGGGAAATCGCTCTATGTAGAATCACGGTCGGGGACGACTTAGTTAGCTGAGACATGCCGAACCGGAAAGGATCATATTTTTTCACGGGAGCGACAGCAAGTTTAAAGTCGCCTTGGGGTGTATTGCCGAAAGCTTGACAAAGGGCATTGCCTGAGCCTCCAGGATTGCACAGGGCTGAAGCCTGCGAAAGTTGGAAGAATGGCGTCGGTTTCTCGATCACTTGTTCTTTGTCACCTAGAACAACAGGCTCTATGGTTACATCCGGCGTAACATTATCGTTGTCTGTCTTGTTTAGTTTGGTATCGAGACGACTGCATAAATCCATCTTGACTAAACCCTCCCATGGAAGCAAGTCAGAAGTGGGCGATTCTGTATCCTTTGGGTCTATATTCTTTGGATCCTCCTGCCCCTCTTCGGATTCCACCCGCGGTCGATTTTCCTGCATCCGAGTAGGGTATGAGCTGCTGCCGCCCTCGGGTGGTATCCGTCCTGCTTCAGTAAGAACTTGTTCAGGTAGAGCATGCGTTAGCAAAGGACGTGTAACCAAATCGACCGTTGGCATGGGTTGTGAGGCCGCATTGGAATCCATATTAAGCCCATTCCCTTCGGTTCGATCGGGGAGAAGCAGCAAAGGACTTTGTGTCTCCGCTGCGATTTCTGTATTATCTTCTTGACCGACATCGGTCGTAGCACGTTCAGGATGTGGAGGGATGGGAGTCGAAAGGGAGTGCCCCAAGTCTGCGGAACTGGGCAGGGAAGTTTTGGCTCGTGGGTCAGGATGTCCTGGGCCCGAAAACCAAGCAACATCTCCCGCTCCCTGTTCTTCCGTATTACCTCGCACGCCGATATCAGCTGTTGCTGCAGCTAGACTCAGCTTCCTTGATGGGGCCGGGCTACTCCATTCTACCTCGTTTGAAATTGATTCCGCATAGGAGGTAAGGCAGTCGAGGTATTTCTGAAGGGTGTAGTTCTGATCCACAGTCGCAGGTGGGATCCTCCCACTAGCGATAATTGCCCTCAGCCTGGTCAGCTCCTCCATGATTTGCGGTATTTCCTTCGTATCATCTTTAATGTCTACTAGATCGTATCGAATGGCCCTTGTGTCCTCTTGTATCGCGCGAGAAACAGATACGGAAACAAGCTCGAGCACGAGATTCAACGACCCCCGGTGGGCCTCTAAGGACATCCGGAAGCCGGCGACCTCGCGCTTCCCGAAGGCGAGCCATTTCGCCACTCCGGCTTTTCCGCTGTGTCGGTCGAGGATGGTGTCGATCTGGGCGATTACGGCGGAACAGTTGTCGATGATGGAGAGGATCTGCGACTGCAGGGATTCGGGGATAATTTGGCTGTTACCGACGGCAGCATCGTCTTTGAGCAGCTCCAGGACAAGTTGGAGCTGGGAGAGCTCGGCAGCAATGGCGGCTAGGTCAGCTCGCGCTTCGCGGCATCCTCGTACAAAGTTTGTGATGGCTAGGGTCGTCTTGCCTGTAGCACCTAGAAGCGTGACGCAGCTGGCTGTTATTGAAAGAGGATCCATGTCGGGTCGGGTCTTTACACCTAGGCGCTATCACTCACTCTGCAGCGCATCAACTGGTATTGATGTTTCCCACCTCACATCAGGCCAGGGCGGGGTTCGAGGATGCTCCTGCCCGTCCATCCTGCGGACTTCTCTTTTCAGCTCATCGGACCGCATCAGCACGTATATTGGGGCTTATTGGTTGAGCAGAAATTACATTTCGCCAACTAGGTTGCCTAGGGATCACGTGTGATGGCGTCCGTGAAGTCCCCCGTTGCAGTTGCGGTTTCTCATCCGCCTTGTCAACGCGAGTATCACCTCGGAGACCGGTTTGGTCGCAGTGATCAAATATTTTCTACTTCGCTTCCTCGACAACGAGAAGTGCGATTCCCGGCCCTAGGTTCCGTCGTTCGTTACACGGCATTCGATTAAGATGTGATAATACAGGATCCTCTCTGGATTGAGTGGGCCATTCTGTCAATTACCATGCTCAAGCCACGGAACTGGCCGACAGGGCTCTCTGGTTCCTCTCTGGACGTGTTCAACTCTCGGGGACGCAGTATCGATGCGCCAACAGATGTAACGCAAACGAATGTACTCGCTCCTATTTAAACCTTCAAGGCCCCTCACACCATACGTTCACCAATGTTCTGCCCCCGGAAGCATCGCGAACGCGACATAAACTCCACGTTGGCGGGACAATTTTACCCATCCACCCCCGATGACACCAGTGAGCTTTTTTTTTTTTTTTTTTTTTTTTTTTTTAGGAGGACTGCCTAAAATCGCTATTATATCTTAAATCGCCGAAGATAGTCAGTCCGCTTCTCATCGGCGGTCTCGGCACTCTTCACTCGAAACCTGCGCTCTCCGCCGTTGTTGCGTTGTTGACTCTTTGAGGAGTCCTTTCCTAAATGAGACTTGGTGCTGTCGCCTACGCCGTTGGCGGCGAGACACCCGGCCCGACTCTTGGGAGTCCACGAGAATATAAAAGACGAGGAGAGCGATGTGTAAGTTAAATTAATCCCTCTCTATACATGCCTTAATAAGATTAATAGTCTAAGTCTATAGGTCGTATCCTGACTCGGTCTCCATCATTCCCCGTCACCTAGCAGGTGTAGCTGACATAGAAACCATTGTCTTGGTTCTGGGTGAGGTAAAGCTGTGTGTTGCTCTTGGGGTCCTTCAGAGAGACCTTGAAGTACACGGCTTCAGCACAGTCCACGCTTCCTCCATCGTGAGTCGTAGCTCCACTCGTCTGCCAATTGGTAAAGTCAACAGAGCCAATATCCCTCCCAGCATCGGCGAAAGGTCGGATCGAGTTGAAAGACACGTCCTGATTTCCCTCGGGGAAGCCCGACAGCTGCCTGACTTGCGATAGCGCATTTGCGCCGTCGATGACGAAGACCCTCTCAATCCTCTCGCCTTGCCTCCATTTGAAACGACATTCCTTTGCTTCAGCGGGGATCCCGGTGAAGACGAGGACCTGCTCGACCTGAGAGGCATCGTCGTAAGCCTCGACATGCACGCCGGACACGGTGCCTTTGACGAGATCCGGGTGTTTGGGGAAGATGTCGTAGAGGGCTGAGGGCACTAGCTCAGCAGCATCCGAGCCTGTGGGGCACTGTCCTGTCGTCGTGTCGGGCGTGGGGGCTTCGACGGGAGTGGTGGAGCAGGGGTCCGCCGCGAAGCAGCCATTGTGTTCGCCGCACCGGAAATAAGCGGTGCCGGCTTCGCAGTCGGTAAAGTGCTGTCGTGCAACGTTGTTTGCGGGCATAGCAGAGGCCACGGCTAGAAGGAAGGTGAGAGAGGCGGTGAAGATGCCAGTGAAAGAATGCATTTTTGCAGTTTGTTTTTTGTTTGAGGTGAAAAGTGATGGGCGGAACAGATGAAGGGGCGCCAGGAGAGCGATTAGGCGGTAGGTAGGATAGATTAGATCTGATCTGATGAGATAGCTGTGTTGGAGGTAGTTAAAGAATAAAAGGTTGTTTATGGGATGGTTGTAGATGAGAATGCTCTTTATGAGATGATTGATATGAATTGAAGGATGAAATCGAAAGAGGTTTGCGCATTAATATATACTATTTTCAATCAATGGGTGTTTCCGGAAACCATGCGCCGCATAGCAGCAGGTTGTGACCCATGAATCAATGAATCATGAATCACGATGCCTCTCGATGTGAATCTCACAGAGTCGCAAGCAGGGCAGGCATTGTCTCTTCCCGGCCCAGCCCACCGTCAGCCTCTGTCAGATTGAATCCTTCGCTGAGCCTCATCATCGACTCTGGGTTAGCGCCGTTGTAGGTTCGGTAAACCACAGAAGAGCTGCAATTAACTCAGCAAATCATCTTCTTGGCAAATTTCCGAGACTGAGCAGAGAACGTGCAGTGCGTGCAACCAGCGAGGCCGGACTGAGGCTGTGCACCTGACGGGAACAGGCCAGGGGATTGACCACAATTGCTATTTTCGGACTCAACCGCAGCGGCCGCACCCTGCCACAATACTCTGCTAAGGTTACCTATCAAATGCCCATTCAGCGAGACCCTAAGCGCCAAGCCCAAGTCATCAGCGAGTCTACCAAAACCGTCCCAAGCCCATTTCTCAGCACCATTGCGCCCCATACCTTCGTCCTTCGGGATACAACCACAAATCAAATTGATGTGCCAAGACCATGAATTCCAGTGACCTGGTTCCAACCGTGAAGAGGGCGAACCCACGTCGCTTACAAATGTCGCTGTCGTTGTCGGGGGCTGCATCCACAGATCGTTTTACGAAGCATAACAGCAACACCCCGTCCAATGAACACCACGTGCATAGGTTGGTCTTCACTATCACTTCGTATACATTTCATCTCTGAATACGTTGTGAGCTATAGTCTAGCTTGACTAATTTTATTCTTTTCGTAGTAATTATTCTCTGTCAAAGCGCAGCGCTGTTAACTCTTGCTACTTTGTCCGTCTTCGTGTAATGCAGATCCTCCGACCCCAGCTTCAATCCGTGTATCCACTCTCCAGAGAGTGCCCATTGGCCTTGTGGCCGCATGTGTACTTGAGCTGGCTGTGGTGCGCCAAGACATTTCTGCCACCATTCCCAATGTGACCAGTGTCAAAAATTGGCAGTGAACTATTCCATCGTGCTGACGTTACCTGCAGCTCCCAATATTTGATCAATAATACTTCGTACAATGGACCAATCGATGATATCTGATGCGACGATGATAGAGCCGAAGCTGGGTCGGTAATTAGTGATCACGGTATGGTATGGTACGGTAAGCGGCGACTGCTTGTGATGAGGGCCCGTAATGGTGATCTGGTCTAGTAGATCAAGTCTACTCATAAGCGCAGGGGAGCATGATTCATAATTGCCGTGGCGTCTTGGTGAACCCTTGTTCAAACAAGGAGCGTAAATATTAGGGGCTGGCAAATGATTATTGCTCGAAGATATCAGCAGTACACCGGCTTCTATCTTGCTCGCGCCCGGGGTTGGGGTTTTCGCCGGCGGGGTCAAATCTCGCGCTGTAGGTATGCAAAGCAGGCTTTAGTGCTACAACTTTCCACTTCAACGTCGTAGGAGCCTTGGAATTATGACACCTGCCCCTTTTATGGCGTTAGCTTTTGCATTTGACTTAATTTGAACTTTGAAGGCTATCTCTGATCCGAATCACCGCTTGGGGAAGCAGGCGGCTCAGCGACGGCACAGCCCATCAGTGTGTTCTTGCACTTGATCCCGCACCTGGCTAAGCACTAGGTGATCCTGCGCTTAAGTTGGCCCATGACATGGGGAGGAAGTACTACCCGCCCGTTCTCTATTAATAACAACATCCTAGTCGGTATACAGAAACATGTAGTCAGATTAAGATGACTTCCTGCCTAATGACGAGATCTATAGCCTCATGCCGGCCCGAAACGCCGAGAAGCCTCCGGATGGTCCGGAGATTCCTGAACAAGCCGGCCCCGCGACGCACGGCTCTGTTAAGATGGGATAGGTGAGTTCGGAGCCATCCGGTTGCAAACGCAAGTAATGCGACCCTTGGAGCGTGTTGACGGTTTGCGGCGTCAGTAGGGGGTGGTCATACGCGGCAATGGACACGCTATTATTTCATTCATACACGACCGGAGCCGATCCCCCAAGATACTTGTAGAAGAAACCATTCCTATCCGGAAACAGATTCTCCAACACAATTTTTCAAGTCTTCCAAGAGAGATTAAATTGTATGAACCACTTTCCAGTCAATCTCGTACAGCTGGGATACAAAGTAATAGTCATCCTCGAATTTGCAATCTCTTTTAATCGCCTTAAATCTTTGACCTAGATAGGGAAGAGGGACGAAAGGGAGGGTTAGCCACCTTAGCGTCTCGTGGGTGTGTTTATTTAGACTGGCGTACCGTTCTTTTCGACGAGCTCCACCGTCCGTTTGAGGAAGCGAACCTGCTCCTCATTTAGCTGGGCAAAGGAAATGTTACCAGGCCGGTCCCAGTCCATAGCGAACGGGCGACTGCCTTTGTTACAGTAGTGGAAGTGTGCCAGCATAATCTTGGCTCCATTGTGAAATTCTTCCACGAGAGTGTAGTTGTGATATCTGGCCTATGGAAGAGTATATCATTAGATGCTCGAGACAGCCTATATATACAGCGCGGGACTACTTGCCTGGGATCCAAGCTTCCCTTCTCGAGCCGCACGTATAGCTTCAGCCCGGGTCAGCATTGCGCAGCTGTGTAGCAGAATGAAAATGGCAAGGTACACGGTGAACCACGAGCGGACTTGGTTCTTCTCTACCAAAGTCTGCAACTGCTTTAGCACCATGTCTTTCATCGGGATCATGACAGCCCTCGTTGTCAGGAGCTCGATTTGGGCCTGCATGACGGGCGGGACAAGATATTTCCCGTAGTTGCTGGCCTTCGGATCCCAGTCCTGCGGAGTCATGCCTAGAACCTCGGCACTGCTGATCCGTTCTTGTTTTGACTCCATGCGGGCCGCCACCCAGAGCCGAAGGACTGATATGAGGAGCTTCCTCTCCTCCGGTATCTGCTATAGATTAGACTTTGGCTATTCGAGCGGTTATACCAACCACCAAACCAAGGGGCGCTTACCCTAGTCTCACGGATGTGATCATATGCCTTCCAGTAAGTGTTCCACAGAAGTTCTTCCTCGCGATCAACGTAGTGCGAAATGAAAGTCTCCGTATTAGCATCCACAAACTTGGAAATGGCATCGGCCGTCTCCTTCATGTTGTGGATGGCGTAAGGGGTACATGGGTGTGAATGAACCTTCGATGCGCTGTTCCAGCTCCGGTCGAGCGAGTCGCCGAGTACCGGGTTGAACTCCCGCACCTGAATATCATAGGATGAATCGCCAATGTCCTGCGTGAGTGTAATGGTTCTGATTTCGTCCGAGGCCCAGTCGACTATCTCCACTATTTCCATGGTCTTCCACCTCTGGGTCCAAGAGAACCTGGGATGCGGCCCTTTGTCGAGGAGTTTAGTGTCGGAGATCTTGTATCGGAGGCAGGGCAGTCTGTAGATGATCCGTCCCTTGAGATTCTTACAGACGAGACAGTCACCTTCGGGATCTAATGGATCGGCCAAACACTGAGAAACTGTTAGACCGTGACTGCCGTCACAGGAACACGAAAGAAAATCTAAGTCAAAAATGGAAGGAAAAATAAATAAGAAATAAGAAAACGAGATTGAGAAGAAGAAAATCATGATTCTATGCTAGGGAACCATACTCGACCACGCTGCATACGACATCGGATACAGGCTCCCACCTTCCGCGTGTCGTGTGTTTCCTGCCGTTTTTCAGGGGAGAACGCCTTGCGGCGCATTTTCACTGCGGAATTGTCCGATTCTCTCCCCGTCAGCCCTCGCTGCATCGACGGGGGCTTTGGGCGTATATTACGTGAGTGATGTAGAGACTTAGTGGGTCGGAATCTGGAGAGAGGCGTCGCCGGCATGGGTGAATTCGAACTTGATACCTGCGGCGTAAGACGAGGGTGGTCTGGAAAAGGCGTCAACAGTGACGTCAAATCCACCGAATCCGACTCATCGAGCAGAGATAGTGTGTTCGCGGGAAGGAGAGAACTCTGGGGTTGTGTGTGCCCGCTGACACGGCCGAGTTCAGCCGCCGCATCCAGATACCCCAATCCGCCCGCCGCCAGGGCGATGCTTTGGACAATGGCTAAGTCGTCGATGGGGGTGATTTTTGTTGATGTCCGAGAGTGGGTAGTTTCGAAAGAGGCTCCGGCTCCCAGATCCGCAGCCATGTACCAGGGACTTAAAGAAATGTCGTTTGGAACGCTCAAGCTATTGACGTCGCCTCCGAAGAGACCTTTCTCTAGAGTGAAGCCATCCGTTCCAAAGTCAAGGCCTACGTCCGGAGCATAACTGTGCTCCTGGAGTAAGTCCTGCCAATTCAGCCGTTCATTGGGCCATATAGGGAGATCTATATATGAGCCATTGCTCGGGGCAATGAGTGACGCGCCAGAACGAACAGGATACTCAAATCCAGGGCTCCAGGTTAAAGTCGGCCATAGTAACTGAGTTGGAGTCGTCACGTCCACGGGCGTGGTAACATCCGACGAGGACGAGGACGTAGACGAGACTACAGAACCAGGCGCAGCGTTCGGATCATGTCGTCGTGAGGCATGAGGATTTCGTTGTGAGACCAGCTCAGTAAAAGAAAGGCCGAGGAGTTCGGCTGCCCGTTGGAGGGCCTTCCGATCCTCATCTGAAAACAATCCCTCAAACTGCTGCTCGAGTTGCGACATATTGAGCACACACTGGACGAATCGTACGTTGCACTGGGCGCATGATCATTGACCGCCAAGAAGCTCCCTCAGCAAATGAGTGCGCTCTCGTTTCGGCAATTAGGACCACCCTGTCAAGATTCAATGTCGCTGAATACGCTCGATACCATGAATCAACCGGCCAAGGGCGGACCATCGGAAACAGGAGACCAGCAGTCGTGTTCCTTTTTAATGCGGAGTAGGACGTGTTAAATGAGGGGGACTGGTCGGTTTTCGAGGGAGCTGTGGATAGAGGAGACACACCGTCAACGCATCAGAGAAGCCTCATTAAATGGCAACTGGGTGGTAGGCAATGCCCGATAGATCATCAAATTGGGCAGCGTGAAGATGTTAGCGAATTGAATCGCGTCCACGTGTACTTCACAGCTTCACGCCGGAAATGCTTCTGAGGCGAAGCAGAGGAGGTGCCAGAAAGTGTGGGAGCGTCCGACACATGCAGATCTAGGTCTACTTCTTCCGCTGTTGAGAATCTCCTTGGCGGCTCGTTCACTTCGTGTGCAGTGGGCAGCAGCAGCCCAGCCCTGACCCTGAAACAACATGCACTCGAGTCCGGTAATTCCCAATCAGATTGCGTCGTTGCTATCAACCCACATCTATTTTCCATCAACATCGGCAAGTGAGACGTACCGTGGATGATGTGGTTGTCCATATATCGGGCCTCAATTTCGTATGAATGTTTTGACGAGTTTTCCATCCAGCGCCAATGGCCTCTCACACATCTTGATCGTTAGACGGATATGGGGATGCTGGACTTGAAGGAAGCCACCTCCCCAAGCTAGCGCTACATTAGAAGCCAGCACCTTCTCATTCCGCTAGATTGGAAATACTGAAAAAGCTGGATACCCCAGTCAAGAACCAAGCCTGGCAGAAAATGTCTCGTTCACATCCACACCCGAAATTAGAGCAGGCTCTGGGATTCTGCATCCCCCGCTTCTGTGACACCACCTTTCCCTTCATCGCCAATCACGCGCATCGCCAGATTCATTCTGATTCGGTTGTGGTTCTCTGTTGTCGTTGAAAGTGCAAAGGTGAAAATGAAGAGGGTGAAGAAAGTGAAGAAAGTGAAGAAGAAATCGGCAGATGTAGCCTCAGGTCCACGAAGACTACCTCCTTTCGCGATTTAATATTAGATAGCTTGCTCCAAAGTCGATAAACTTGTAAAAAGCGGACAAACCAGGCTGTTATATATCTCTGATGTCACCCTTGTCTGACATTTCGATCTTGGATCGCGAAGAACGCCCTGATTCACCTCCGCCAATAATTATACCTCCGCATCGCTACTGAAAATGCCACCAGACACTCCTCCTCCGGATCATATCGTTCCGGAGAGTATCGGAGATTCTCCCGTTGTTTCTTTTGACACTGCGGAGTGGCCCCGGGAGCTACACGGTCCGCTGGTATGGACTGGGGCCGCCTTTGCCAATGACGAGGACTACATCTTTTCGTTTTCCGAAGAGGATAAAGCAGAGATACACGCGGCTTTGGCGCACTTCAGAGGTAAATTCACGTGAGACTGGATGGGCCGCGGACTTCTTCTCAGAAACTGACTTTTCCGGCGCAGACCTCGAGCTTGATGGCAGTCAGGTAGATGCTGCGACGTTTCCGCTTCCCACTTTGGGCGATAAGCTTCGCCAGCTTTCTGATGATCTGCACGCAGGTCGAGGTTTCTTCATCCTCAGTGGCCTTGATGCGCTAGACTACTCACCAGAAGATAACGTGCTTCTATTCCTTGCGCTGTCGTCGTATATTGCCGAGAGTCGTGGAAGGCAAGATGATGTCGGCAATATGCTCAGTATGTGTACCTAGCCGCAACGTCTACCCACGACCGGAATACGTGCAGTCATTGCTTATATCTGACAACATGTGATAGTGCACATCCGTGACGCCAAATTCATGGCGGCACCTCAGTCGGAGCGACCTGCGAGGGATTCTAGCTTGAAGCTTGTAAGTATCTAGCGAGATGCCCTTATACACCAGGAGATCCAGTGCGAGTAGGAAACTGATGATTTTGTCTTTCCAGTACTTTCATTCCGATCTCTTCGCCGATATCCTCGGGCTCCACTGTCGAGGAGTCGCAGAGGAAGGCGGAGAACACGTCATAAGTTCCTCGTACAGGATCTACAACGAACTCATATCTCGGCAGCCAAATGTCATTGAGATTCTTTCAAGGCCGGATTGGTTCTTTGACTCGTAAGTAACGTCACCTGCCATACTTTCCGGGGACAATCATCGCGGGTTTCCGATGTCTTAACAGCTCTCGTCTTCGTTTAGGCGAAACCTGTCTCTGCAGCCAGAAAGTCGTCCTCTCCTCTTCAATCACGGAGGCCACATTATCCTGAATTTCGGGAGAATCCACGTACTGGGAGAAGAGATGGCTGAGGACGGTAAACAATTGCCCAAACCCAGTGCGGAACAAGTCGAAGCTCTCGACGCAGTCCAACGACTCGCCGAGCAACACAAACTTCGTTTGTCCATGAAGCCGGGTGACATTGCATTCATTAACAATTTTGCGCTGCTGCATGCCCGGGAGGGGTTTACAGACTCCTTGGAAAACACCCGCTACCTTGTGCGGCTGTGGCTAAAGAATAGGGAGAAGGCGTGGGAGCTCCCGCGAGCGCTGAAGCGTGGAAATGACCTTGCTTTCAACGAGGCGTTTGAGCCGGTCTGGAACGTCCTTCCGAGTGCGAGGATTACGTTCCAACTCCGGGAGAAGTTTAGTCCCTAGTAGTGGTCGTTCGGGAATTTGGTGATGTCTATATGTACCTTCCTGTGATTTATATTTATGAGATATGAGAGACCTGGAATGGGGGGTTCGTCCTTGACAGTTTTGGAGGAAACCTGTTTATCAGGCATGGGAAATTTGAACAGTAAATAGCACGTATGTATATGCCTTCAATTCGTCAATAAAGTAGATTGTGAGGCAATTTTATGCTATTCACGAGCTTCTGAATCTCCCCTCAGTACTATGATTTTGAGGAGGAAATGGACCGGCGTAAGGTATAAAGTGCTGGTATAAACAACGCACACTTCCCCCGAAAGCCGCATTCAGACTTGTTTCCCCGATCTCACTCACTCACTTGCTGATCCATCCATGGCACACTTTTAATACTACCAAGAAAATAAAGCGAAAATGAACAAATAGGTTTGGAAATTTTTTAAGTCAGCAAAAGAACGAAAGAAATGGAGCCAACTCCGCTTAACATTGCAACCTTCATGTTTCCAACTGCTGTACGTAGTCGAAACCCAACCCTTCAACCAGAATCGGTAAATGTCCCCTGGCTGGATTCCTCTCTCAACCCGAAAAACCGCATCGACAGTCTCGAGCCCCTAGGTCATGCCACATGGGCCGTCGATGGATGCGATCGGGCGGGAACGCGATTCTTCGCCATCCCACATTTCGCCCGAGGAAAGCCTCCTCTGCGGATAGATACGTACATCCCAGAGATCCACGAGCAGCCAGGATACCTGCGAGATGTTCTCCGACCAAGCTTTTCGTTGTTCCAGGACTCGTCCAAGGCGTCCACGTCTGAAATGTCGCGACACATTGTCAGGGCTTTGGAGGCTTGGTCGAAAAAATATCCGGATTTTGAAGAAGAGTACTTTTCCAGGCCCTTCGGCTCCCAGATCATTATCGAGAACATCGCTTGTCATCCCCAGGACATGAGAATACACCTCCTGCCGATATTCAACGTGGAGAGGCAATGGCTCTCCCTAAAGCAATTGCAACAAATGTGGCACGTCCCTCCGGGGGGCTGGCCCGAAACGATTGATCATGAACAGCTTCAACTTCAACGGCAGGTGCACGATACGGTTGCATGGGTTTCTATAGCCGCCGAGGACGGCCGGAAGGAGGATTATGTCTTCAAGGCCTTAACCGACGACTTGAAATATTTCTACCACGAGCTCAAACTTCTCATCCACATGATTCCACACCCAAACATCATCTCACGGCCTCGGTACATCGTCACAAAGAAAAGCCGATTTGGTGGAAAGGTTGGAGTCTGTGGGATGCTTCTCGAGCGCCATCAGTCCAACAATCTTCGACAAATCTTAATGTGGTCACCACCCTCCCCTTCGAAAAGTCTGGTAGTGGATAGTATTAAAACCCAGGTTACATGGGCTAAGCAGATAGTCGCGGCGCTCATCCATGTCCGGGATCATGGACCGGGTTTTTACACGAACCTCAAGCTGGATAACATTGTGCTCGCCCAGGACGGTGATGGCGATGGCGACACGGGAATACCACGAGTCGTGCTGATCGACTTTGAGCAACGTCTCGGGTCTCCCGCATGGACGCCCCCTGAGATACACTACATTACCTACCTCATTGAACTGGCGACGAAGAGCACGAGCCAAAGGGACAGGGAGCGATACAGACAGCTACTTCGAGATTCCAACATTGAGTTCCAAAGCCCGCCAAAGTCTGCGCTATATTCAAACCCCACACACGGGTATTCCGACCCGTGGCCGTCCCTCTCACCCACGGATCAGGAAGCCGCCCAAGCATACATGGTGGGCATGCTCCTCTGGTGTCTTTTTGAGAAAGCCACGATATTAAATACGCATATCGGCATCAACTCATTCGGTGACCAAGCTCCGGATCTAAACTTCCCCGAATTCCAGCGGACTCCGCCACCGCTGAGAGAATTGATCCTGCAGTGCACTGCAGGGTCGGAGGAGAGTCGGGGACGCACACCGCCTCTGGTGGTGAAGAATGGTTGGATTTGGCTAAATACTCACTGCCACACCGATGAAGGGGTGACGGCTGAAACGGTTCAAGTTGCAGCAAGGGCGTGGTGGAGGCAGCAGATTTTAGACGCCGAAGAATTTGTTCGTTCACGGACCCCTGCTGCATTCTTTTCATCGGCAAGGCCAACTTTGCAGCATGTCTTTGATGTCCTCCTCGAGCAGTTGTCATCGATTTACTAAGACAGTCCATGTAGGTAGTGTTCAGCTGCCCCTCCTTCGACGAGAGCAACGAAAGTACTTTTAGTATTACTCTACTTCAGCCAGCCCTGCCTTGAACCAAGGCTCTCCACGACAGTGAGGACTCGGAGCATGGTAGTATGGAAGCTTCGTATCAATAATGTCAACCTCTCAATGGCAGGTGCTTAGAGACCTCTGCCAAGCCTTAGCAATAACAACTGTACTATTCCTCTGAGGATCCCGCGGAAGAGTACTTCTTATGTTGTCGTCGTAAGTCCTCCGTTTCCCCGGTTGTACCAGAACTCAACTTTCCGCATCCTCACGGCTGCTCCGGTCTGGGCATCAATATGACTTCCTCGTACTCGGACCCAACAAACCTTTTCCAGACCAAGACACGTCTCACATTACTTGTAGTCATGGTAAGACGAGTGTTTAGCTGATTGGTAGCTGCCCCGTCACAGAGAGAGTCCTGAGCAGGCTGCCACCTCATCGTGCTTGCCCTGCCGCGGAGATCTGTTCCAATTGGTTCCAAGCGAGGACGGTGAGGTCTGATTCGTCCTTTCTCTCACCGGGTCACGCATTCCCCGAATCACAACAGAAAATACCCCCACTCATGCCCGACGGAAACATTCCACCGCGCTTGCCGGTGGGGCAAGGCCGGGAATGGTGCTTTTTACGGCTTCGGGAGTTCACAAACCACCAATATCTACTACCTCAATTGGCGATATACGTATGATTTTACGCACCGCAATCTCGGACCGTTGAGTATTGCAATGGCACGGTATTTGAGCTCCCGTCTTCTTTTGCTCATCTCGGGCGTCGTGTTTACCTTCACGTTCGCATCAGTCGTCCTCTTCTCTGCATCATCATCGTCATCACCATCGAGGCACCAACTGCTTTGGGAACGACCAACCGACAAAATGGGCTATTCGCAAAGCAAGCTTATGCCGATATCCATCCGGCCTGTTGAGCCCGGAGACCTCGATGCCCTTGTCGAGATTGTGATTGCGGCATTCCCTTTCGACGACCAATTCGCATATCGATATCCTTACCGAAAGGAATACCCCGAAGACCACTTGAAGTACACGAAACTCTACTACTCCGAGTACCTGCAGACAACATTCGCGGGCCAGAATACAATCATGGTGGCCGAAGCACCAGATCTCAAAGATCCCACCAAGACAAGGGTCATCTCCATGAGCATCTGGGACAACCCGGGCCACGAGCCTCCCAAGGACGGTCTACAACCCGTGAAGCCGCCGCAGAGTCACCCCGAGCGAAGGGACTGCAACCCCAAGCGCTTGGAAGCCTATTCGAGGGCGACAATGGCGGCGAGGAAGAAGTATTTCGTCGATCGTTTCGGCCAGAGACAGCTTTCCTTGCGCCAGCTGGCCACGCTCCCCGAATACTGGAATAATGGGGCGGGCACGAAGCTCTTATTGTGGGGCATGGATCGGGCGAGGGAGGAAGGCGTGGCGGTCCCGATGTTTGCTGGTTCTATGGGACAACGTCTGTATTCTAAGCATGGCTTCAAGGAACTGGGGACTGTGCATGTGCAGGTGGACGGCGAGGAGGAGGAGATATTCCTGAGTGCCATGGCTTGGGATCCAAAGGACGAGAAGCAGAAGGAGGCGGAGAAGGCAAAGGAGAATGACAACAAGAAGACCGGATTGAGAAGCTGGTTTGCATTTTGGTGAGCAAAAAAAAAAAAAAACCGATACGTTAACCTTTACCCTATCCATCGCTTGCATCCAATACGCAAAACAAACAGACCTCGAAAGACATAGTGAAAATTACGTCTCGAAGGACCAGTTATCGGCAAACAGGGCTTCCATATACCTATATGCATAGGGCTAATGCCGAGAGATTTGCGGGCTTAAACTGTTTTGCTTATGAATGATGAACTCTCTAGTATCCCTTCCGAGATACATATAGACAGGTCTAAGGCTCGCAATACAACAAGACTGCCCGTTATTTGATACTTCTATCAAGCTTCCTTGACATTTTAGCTGATCAAACAGTGATGAACAAACGGCCAAAAAGAGGCATATGGTGATGTATAGTTTACTAATCAGACTCGTGCGGTACTAGAAACAGAGCGTTTATTCAGCTTCGAGAGGATCTTATCAGATCAGATGTGAAAAGCACAGCCATCCCTCGCACCATATTTTGTTATTGTCTCCCCAAGCTGTTGGACCATTAAGCTTACACCGGGTGTGAGAAAGTGCAGACCCGATGTGTGCTGCTAGCGAATAAGAGGGGCCCGGGCAAACAAGGCAAGACGATACTCCTGCGTTGAGTGCCCTCGTCCCTAAGCACCTTGCTCGAAAGTTAGGCCAACGCCGAGCCGCAGTCCGGGAGACCCGGTGAGTGCCTTCTCAAATAGGAAGAGGGCTGAGAGGCTGGGACATATGCGAGGCGGCAGAAAAACCAATCCTGATATGAAGCTACTTCATAGGGCTCACAACAACTAGATAAAGAGACCAAAGAAATGTAAGGGCTCGAGAGCCTGATAGAACGGGATGAAGCGATGTATTTCTGACTGCCTAAGATATATAAATGTCTTATATATTCCATTCACAATGTTTCAAAGACGACGAAACAATCCCAAGTTTTCCCTCCGAACACCACAACCTCCGTGGCTATTTCAGCACTGCTCCCCGGTAAACTTCCTCATCACAACACGAGTACAGGTTGTACTATATCGCCTTACACTTCGCAAATAAGCCAACCACAAGAAAATACCTCGACCTCATCACCTGCAACGGTAGGTCAAAAAGGACGAAATGACACTCTCAACTCGGAAAAATTGATGAAACTAATCAACCCCCTCAGGCGATATGGGCATTCAGTACCAACACAACGTTACCCGGTCGAGTAGTGGGCGCGCCACCCAGGGAACTCTGACTGAAACGCCCGATGAAGACTCGTTTGGCGGCGATGGGGCAGAGGGTGTCGCGGCTTATTATTCGTGCTTCGATCGTGAGATGACTGAACTTGATCTTGTAGGACTCGGGGCTCAGTTTTTCCACTTCTGTGAGGCAGTAGAATCTGGGTGATGGGGATCGTTATAAAGGCATGCTAACTGGTTCGATGCAAGCAGAGATGGATAAGGCTACATAAGTTGTACATGTATAATGTCAGGTGGAAATGTGCTTTAAATCCCTTGCTCCGTAGATGACGAGAAGAATGTGTCTTCGTGGGGCAGGTGCAATGGTACCCAGAGCCGGCCGTGAACAGTCAACCCTCTGCCATTGCATCAAAGCTTATGGTATTGGAAGACGAAGAGTGTGCGAGATTTTAGTGTCGCCGCGGCTGCGAGACGGGGAGCGGATATCATTAGTGTGCATGACGTCGGGAAGAGGGCTTATGTTGACCACATTAGATCCAGCGACGATAATAATCCGTTCTCGGATTCGTGGCTCCTCTCGCATTTGAAGCACAATGTCTAAAACTTGTAAGCATATATGTCATATCGATCCAACCACTGTAGCATTCTCATAAGCTATTCTGCTGTAGCTTTACCTACAACGTAGTTTCAATAGGTAGATTCGCCCCAGGAGTGTCATCATCTAAATCGAAAGTAACTCGGCTGGCTCGCTTCACCCTGGAGCCAGGAGTTCGGGGTGCCACAACTGTTCCATCGGGAGGTTTGGTGTTCGCTCCAGCAACCAGAGAAGTGCCGAGTTCTTCCTCACTATCAAAAACAACCCTTCCTTTGGATAACGGTCAGCTTGTAGCTGCACGAGGAGTCAGAGGATCTTCTTCTAGTAGGCGTCGCCGCAGAAGGTTCCGTTGCGTTTTCAAATGAGACAGGCTTACCTCGAACCCGTTTGGATGTCTCCTCAGCGATTGGCAGTTCGGTTGCCGCAGACCTCAGGGACGCGTTGAACGAAATTATGGACTCCTTGAGCAACCTCAGTAGTTCTCGGATCGTCACGGGGCGGAGATCATCTTGGAGTGTCAAGAGATCAGGGATGCGGTTGAGCGAGTCCGCGAACGATGCTGAGTCTTTGGCCAATCTAGAGAGGGCATTCTCAGTTGGGGGGGAATTTGCTTTTCTTCTTCTAGTTGATCGCCCAACGCGATGGCACGACGAAAATAGGATTCGGCAAGTCCAGTACATCCTGTGGGCTCCGTGTTAGCAAGCGAATCCCCTGGGAAGGTGAATAAAAACCTAGAAGATGGCGACTTTTTTTTCAGCGTTTGTAGGCAGCCATAATCTTTAAATACTCTCTGCATTATGTCACGGCATTCTCGGACCTCTGGCATGAAGTCATACACCACTATATTCGCCTCACTGGCGAGCAGTTCGCCCTCTCAGCGTCTTTATACGTTAGCTTCAGACGTGCCTTAGCGGTAGGGATCGTACCTGTGAGAGCGGTTGACCTGAATGTTAGTAGAATGTCGATGTCATCACTCGGGCGTGGGATAAGCGCGATGAGGTTAATGGCCATGAGCATTCTCCAGCGTTGCCCAAAGAGTTCACCAATAGTTATTGCTGCTTGGAGTTCATCCTCGCTACTTCCTTGCCGATCTGTTTCCCCCTTGTAATAAAACTTTCCTCGAAGTTTAATTACTTCCTTTGGCCAGGGCGGCTTTGGTTGTGGTTCCCACTGCGCAAAGCTCTCGAGTTCGGGGAGTAGAACGTAAAGGCCCTCGTTAATCATTGCCTAAGCGGAAATAATTTCGCATTTGCCCTCGATTCGTAGAGCACCCTGTGACAGGTACTCTCCAAAGTAAAACTCCTTTTTCCTTAAGTTCTCCAACCTCCCCAGATCTGGGTCGAGGGGTCCATATGTCTGTATGAGATCCATATCTCGAATAAAAACACCCGGAAGGAAGCAAGTAGTTCCGATAACGCAAAGATAGATGTTTTCAAAAATCGTTCTGTCTCTTTTGTTGGCGCGCCGGTGGAAGATGTATACAAGGGCAAAAAGCAACGAGCTTGTCCAGGACACTAGATTATCACTACCCTCATTCCACCAGAGGTGCCTGCTGATCATGTCTGCAACTCGGTTCTTGTCGTCCCTGGCAAAGAGGTCTACGTTGTAGTCCTCGGCTGCATCTCTAGCATCTTTTGACTTCGCCCAGGTTTTGTTGGTTGTCCCGCAGGATTTTTCAGTGAAAACCCGGAACAGAGACCGCGGTATCTCATCGAATTTCCTCACCACGTCCTCGGTAGGACGAAACGGAAGATACTCTGCATCGGTGAGGTTCAGGTCCTCAAGCTGGTTCGCCAAGCCCTCGAGTGCCATTACTCAGTCTCAGGTCGGATGGGGAGAACTAATGATTCGAATAGTTCAACTCCGGGGCTTGTTATCTATGCATCTGGCGGTAATAAGACCTTGGACGACGGAAAGAGGCTGAATATGAAACCTGCTACTGGGGACAATGAATAGTAAACCATCAAATCATCACTCCGCCGTGGTTGGAAACGTTCAAGACAGTTGAAGACTCGCGAAAAGAGTCAAGTCCGGTCGAAAATGTCAAATCACACACGGACACACACACACACACATATTCTGATTCGGCCAGGGCTTCTGTCGTCATTAAAAGTGCGGAGATGGTAGCTGGTGATGGAAGCAAAGTTGGAGGCGAGGTTATATATCAAAACAGTAGATAGAAACGGCTTGTGAATTCTCTGCGCGTTAAGACAAAGAAAGGGCGCGAGTAATTACATCGAATCAACTATAGGCAATCACTATATCTGGACACGGAAGAATTGTCTTCCTGCTTTCACCATATAACTCGAACGGATCATAGAGTCGAGGAGGCGAATAGGAAGATCCTCGAATCTCGAGGATCGACGGATTCATAAGTCGATCATATATCCGTCACTCCTCTTACCGTTCCCGTATTGCTTGGGCGTAAAGAGAAATCCACTGCACTCGATCTATATATTATGAGATTAATTATCAATACAAACAAGCCAGTAACGAGGAAGAAGAAAAATTGAATCAAAGAGCGCAAAAAGGGGGTAAAAAGGGAAGGAGAAAAAAGAACGGTTCAGAATCATTTAGAGCAAAAAAGGGTCTCTCCCTCGGGGAATCGAACCCCGGCCACCTGCGAGTTGTTCGTTGACAAGCAGGTATCCTGACCACTAGACCAAGGAAGATGTTTCTGATTGGTTATTGACCGCTATCTTAATAAGCTCTATACTCTTATTTTGGCCTTGAACCTCGGTTTAAGCGGGAAAGCCATTACGAGGTACTTCGTACTAATGCGAAGTAAAGAAACGGTACCTCGGTACCTTTACGCCAAGGATTAGTCATGTGACTTTGTCTGCACCCCTCACATGATCAGACAGGATCAGGCATCATCAGGTTTGAAGAAGCAAAAAAAAAGTGAGTAGAATTGGTAATTGTATGTGTAGTACATGTTCCCCGATATCCCATCATCGTCATTTTTACCCGGAGGATTTCCGAGTAAATAAACTGTTGTTATTGGCTCCTCTCGCCCTTATCATCAAACGTAATAGCCCTTTCCTTCGACATGTTGGAATCGGAGGCGGAGGTAGGGTAGTCTTCCTTAGGATTGACAACAGGGAGCTCCACGGCGTCAAAGGTCGGCCGCGAGAAGCGGTTGTACTGGATGAACGTCTCCCTGTCGGCTTCGATGGCGTTGCTTGGAGTAGGGAGGTTGATCGACAAGCGGCGCGTCTCCACGGCGTCTTCCTGGATAGGCTTGATGTTGAGGCAGCGGTACGCAAAGTCGAGAGCTGGGATGGAGAGACCGTGGACGACAATGGAGAAAAAGACGAGCCACATGACGACGGGACCGATGGCTTGCACCAGGGAAGACACCTCAGGATCCCCGGCACCCGGATCGTGGAACAGATGATTCCGGGTATGCTCGAGATAAAAGACGGCACCGGCTCCAATGGGGCCAAAGTAGCCCATGAAGAGCGCCTCTTTCCAGTCCTTGCACACTCCCGGCATGAGCTTGTACATGACGAAAATGGCGGGGATGCGACGGAAAACAAGGACCAGGAAGCCAAGCGCGACGAGGCGTCCGTAGGTAAGTCCCGTGACATCGGGCTGGTTGAACTCGGACCAGGGCATGATGGCGCCGATGTACATGAACCCGCCAAAGTTGAGCAGCACGTCGACGCAGGCGTTGACCTCGTCGTGGCGCTGCTCGGTCTCTTCGAGGTATTCGCCGTCCCAGTTGAGGGCGTTGCCGGCGACGAAACAGGCGAGCAGGTCATCGGTGCCCAGCGCTCCGCAGGTTCCGATGAGGAAGAGGCCGAGCGCGGTAGGGAAGAGCAGATAGCTCTCGCCGTCAATCCACCTCCTATGTTTTTAAACGACATTTTGTTAATTTCCACTGTTTTTTTTTTTCAGTTTGTAGGAAAGAATACTTACTTGCTTAAGGCATATGTGATGGCCTTTCGTGCTAGCCATCCCACAGTGACACCGTAGACAACGGAGAGGATGACGACGTAGACCCACGTCTCGACGAACCAGTCCTTCATGGCCGCACCAACGCCTCCGCCCAGTCTGGCGAGTTCATGTTCGGATCTACCAAGGAGGTCTATGGCCCGACCGGCAAGATGACTAGCTATATCAGCAGCTACACCATGTCCTTCAGACGCGGCATCGCCCGCAGCACTCGCTGCGTGGCCCTCAGCATGCTTAATAAGGTACGTAGCCAGCATCAGAAACGGGAAGCCGAATCCATCGTTTGCACCCGCCTCGGACGAGATGATCTCTCGAAGGTCGCGGGCGACATATTTGTCAGCAAAGGGACCCTTGGCGATGGCCTGCGACAGAATAGGATCGGTGCAGGTGACACAGGAGCCGATGACGAGGGCGGCAAGGAAAGTGAGCTTAGGGACGGTGGCCATCATGCAGAGGGTGGTGCACAGCCACATCATGGTCATGATGGGCAGGAGACACATGGCCATTTCCTTCCATCGGGTGAGCTGGTATTTTGCCGGGAGCTGGAAGCCGGCGATGACCAGTTGGACGCCGATCATCACTCTCATGACACCCTGCGGAATGATTGTTAGTCACGACAAATCTTTTTTCTTCCTCGGCTTTGTTTCTTCGGAGAGGAGTGCAGCCTTTACCAGGGAGATGGCTTGGGTCTGGCCGCCTTGGGCAGATCCCCATCGTTCGCTATCGATAAATTTCGCTGCGATCGGACCTAGAATAATTCCAACAACCATGGCAGGGACTAGTTGATAAAGGTCGGCATCAGTTCACATCTTTGTCCTCCAGCTTTATTTGTTTTTTTTTTTTTTCCCATCACGGGGGGTCGCATACGGGCTTCGCCCAGGTACCAGACGCGTTTGATCTTGATGGAGATTACACCATACAAGACGGTAAAGGCTCCGAGTACACTCAGAACGATGTTGAGTTCGCTGACGTCGAGGCTCGGCATCTTGGCGGGTTTCGACGCAGACGATCGTTCAGGGGTGGAAGGGTGGAAAGGTGGGAAGAGAGAGGGAGAGAGGTGGAGAGGGGGGCAGAGAGCGAGAGAGGTAGAAAGAGGAGAGACAGAGAGAGAGTATGCGTGTGGGGGACGAGGAGGTTGATCGCCTTCCAGGCTATTTTCGACTTGATATTCCGTGTTCCTTCCTTCAGTTCGTTTTATTTAATTTTGCTCCATACTTCCCTCGACCTGCAAGGGAAACCAGAACCAAATCTCGTTAAGTACTTTGGCAGAGCAAACAAGAAAAATGCAAAGTTGACGAGAAATCAAAGAGGAATGTGGTCTTGTGGCCTCATGGTGGCGAGCAACTTGATATACGATTCCTTGATACGCGGAAAACGCTGAGGGATTTCTTTTCCCCAAGTTCTTACGATGTCCAAGAGTATGCGAGCGAGGCCTTTCCAGTTTTAGACAGAGGTCGTGGGGTCGTGGATCGATCTCTCCTGCCAAGACGCCAAGAATAATCCTGTCACTGTATCCGTCTCTCCATATCTTACGCGACGCCACCGTCGTCTGGGGGCATCTCGGCCGGAGCAAAGGAACCGGCGAAACTGGGATGATGGTTCCAAGTTTTTCTTGATTTTTAAAGTTTATTTCCATTTTGATTTAGATATTTTAAGGTATTTTTAGCAAGAGGCAGAGACGCCGGGCGTTGGAGCGCGCGATGTTGATCGTGGATGCGAACGGTCTCGCGTTTCATCAAGCTAAAACGCTCCCGGAAAAAGCCCCACAGATCGCCGTCTCAACTCCTTATCTTTTTCCATTTAAAATTCTTTTTCCGTAAGCCTTAATTTTGATTAAGGAATTACGCCGGGGATGCCGTTTTAAGGCGAATATATATAAAAAGGCTTTGTTTCCGGTTTGGGTTCTCGGATCGTGTCTGTCGTTCATTTGTCGAGGACGGTGCCCGACGTGGATCAGCGGGCGCCCGATGACCGAGATACTTCGTGCAAGTGCAGCGAAATCTTATTATATGGTTTTCTTATAATAACGGGGCTGGATCCGCTTCGGATCTTCGACGGCGGTACTATTTTTGACTGCGTCTCGTGGGAAACGATCCAAGGCTTGCTGGTTGAGAAGAGCCTCCAGTCTACATTTTCGATGCCTATTTTTATGATTCATGCCGTTACAGATTCCCGACTTCGAAAAATGTAAATGGCCACGAGAAAAAAAATAGAAAATACATGACATGGACATGTTCTGCGACATGTTCCGTCTTCCAGGATTCGCCAATCCCTTGGTTCCAACCTTGAGATTATCGGTGGAAAATGAAAGGCTGCGACGGAGAAAGTCGAGAAAATGCATATCCCAAGTCCCCCGCTACCGACGCAAGCAATGGGAACTCTTATTTTCGTAGAATTTCAGGTCAGTTTCCATGTCCACAGAGTCTCCCGTCCTAACCGCGATAATCCTTGTCCGCGGAATTGCCTGCTCAATATTTCTCATGCAAACCTTCATGCTTTGTCCGGGGATGATGAGCAGTGGAGCGCCAATGATGTGTTAACACTCCACCAAGTCTAATTGCTAGCATGTCATGAATCATGATTCATGACCTGTTGCAAGCATCAGTGCAATTACTATGATGTAAATCCCCTAGGGCGATTTTCGGCCGTTCGGGGTGTTTTTGGCGAATTGAGTTTGCCGTGGTCGACTTCAGCAATTCCATTCATCTGCCCTCGGTTCTATCTCGACTCATCTCACATTTCGCTCCAAGCACGATTTCGCCTTCCAGAATACCCATAAAAGACAGATTTTACTCTCCTGTCAAGTGCTACGATGAGTTGGGTATCCACACAAATGAGAAAATGCTACAGGGCAGCGTTCGACCTCACATCCCGCCGCAACGCCACTCCATCGACAAGGACTATTTCCTCGTCGCGATGCAGGTGGTCGTTACGCCCCAAGGATGGCCAAGAACGCAGTTCCGGGAAGGGCAATGGATCATCACCTTGTGTAACCGCCATGCATCGTGGCGTTCTCTTCCCGGCGACCATCGCCCTTGGCATTCTTGGCGTTGTGTCTTACGACGAACACCGTGACACAACCTTCCATATGGATTCAGGCCAAGATGCCGGGATGAGTCCAACGACTAGTTCCAAGATGATGGTCCATGAAGCTTTGAAAAACAAGCAGCCAGATGCTGCGAAGGTGCTGCCCAGGGAGGAGGCGACACTCACCAGCGCCCCGGACGTTCCACCACCCATCACGCGTGATTATCCGGTGCTACTGCAGGTGAAATTGACAGCAAGCACTAAAACGAGACAGCTCACGAACGCATACAAATACGAACAGTGGACGTTCAACGGCACGGTCCCAGGCCCGTTTATCCGCGCACGTGTCGGCGACGTCGTGGAACTGCACTTGACGAATCGAGACGAGACGGGCAACACACACAATGTCGATTGCCACGCATTCATGGGCCCGGGGGGAGGTGCACCGATTACATCTGCGGACGAAAACGAAACGAAAACAGCCAGGTTCAAGTTGTTGTGGCCGGGCCTTTTCGTTTACCACTGCGCCGCAGCGCCAGTACCTGTCCACATCGCTAATGGCATGTACGGACTGATGTACGTTCAGCCTGCGGAAGGTGATCTTCCTGCTGTCGATAGGGAATACTACGTGATGCAGAGCGAATTCTACCATGAGCCACCCGAAGTCTCGGACGAGAACGGACGACCATCGTCCACGGTGGAATTTTCCTACCCTGGTGGACTGCGCGAGGAGCCCAATGTCGTGGTTTTTAACGGCAGCGAGTCCGCTGTAACGCGGGAGCGGCCGCTGAAAGCTAAAACAGGCGAATCTATTCGCATCTTCTTTGGTAACGCCGGCCCTAATTTGACCAGTTCCTTCCACATCCTCGGCGGCAATTTCACCACCGCGTACCGGGACGGAGATGTCGTCAGTCCTCCGGGCCGATACCTCCAAACGGTCTCCGTTCCGCCCGGTGGCGCGGCGATCCTCGACACGGAACTTTTCGTCCCAGGTGTTTATTCGTTCGTGGATCACGCGATGTTCAGATTGGACAAAGGGGCCGTGGGATTCTTGAATGTATCGGGGAAGCCGAGGCCAGATATATATCAGGGCCTGCAAGAGCCTGCACCCTGCCCTGGATGTAAACTGCATCCCTGAGGCTCTGCTCAATTGCCGGCAGCAGCTTGGGATTCCCAACCATAAATTTCTTTGCATGTGATGCATGTGTGAGACACGTGGGGGGTGGATGAGACAAGGGGACGGGAGCGGGATTTGGGACGGGAACGGGCTTTGGGACGGAGCGGACTCGGCGAGACATAGCGCCGACTGTAGTGTACTTGGCAGGAGGGCAGTGCTGGCTGGTTTTTTCTTGTTTTTCCTGGTTTTGGTCAGGACGCGAGGAATGGTTCCACCGACGTGCGGAATCATCTCGCTGGTCCTTGTTATTGCTTGTTTGGGCTTAGCTTCTGGGTTAGGGTGAGCAGGGCTGAAGAGATCAATGGCCGTGACGTTTTCGACCCGACGCACACACTGACGATTAATCGGGCTACTACCCACCATTGTATCCCTGGCTTTAAGGTCGGAAATAGCATCAATTCCAAGTCCGTATGTCCCACTTTCACATGGGCCCTCGACTCGTTGAAAAGCTTCCAACTCAACACAGCATCACAACATCCATTGTTTTCTTCCACCTCGTAGCCGTTTCTTTCACTTTTTCTCTCCGACATCGTCAGGGCTCTAACGTTCCCACTTAGTGCCACTGCCACCTTTAGCGGATGATCAATTGATCTTATCTGATCGTTCTGCGTGTGGCCGAGTACCGAAGCCAAGCGGATCGTCGAAGCCTAGGCTAGTGTAGACAGCAGCAATGTGGAGCTGAAGTGGATTCGAAAACAAAAATCCGCAGCCACGTTCTTGTACTGGTCGTCTTTAGAATGTCGGGCCAAGAAGGAGAATCTTACTCCGTGCAGAGGTGACGCGTATCCGAGGGTTCCGATAGCGGCTCCCAACCCTAGGACCCATGGGACCCATGGGACTGGACCCTTGGATACGAGGATCTCTCGGTCCATCACTGACGCATTTGCAGACGGAGATGTCGTATCTTAAAATCAGGCCGTCTCCTGCCCTTCCTACGGACAAGGCCAAAGTCCGCCCCCTCCCATCTGCGAAGCTTTAAAACGGGTAGATCCGCCTCTTTAATCCTGACCCAAGAAAAAATATTCCCAAGGACAGGCCCCATTTCCCTCCGACACCCGACGCCGCCGAAGCTCGCGAACGAAAAGAAAACGCCCCCGGACGTACGAGCAAATAACAAACAGGACAAAAAAAAAAAAAAAAAAAAAGGGAAAAAAAAAAAAAAAAAAAAAAAAAGGGAAATAAAGAACAATGAGGGAGCTTCCAAACGGTTTAATCGCTTTTGGCCCCGAGGCCAACTGCACTCTCGACACGTGTCCACTCGAAGCGAGTCTCCTTCGGTATCAACCCAACACACCCTCCACGATCGTCTTCATCGTCGTCTTTGCTCTGTCGATGATTGCGCACACATGGCAGGGCGTACGGACAAAATCATGGGGCTTCATGGCGAGCATGATTAGCGGATGCATTCTAGAGATCATAGGATATATCGGACGGTTGATCATCCACGACAACCCATTTAACTTTAGCGGGTTCTTGATGCAAATTAGTACGCGGGATCCGTGACATTTTGCTCCCATCGCCGGAGGAGAATCAAAGCTAACTAAGGCAATTCTAGTTTGTATCACGGTCGCGCCTGTGTTTTTCTGCTCTGCCATCTACGTCCTTCTCTCCCAGGTGTATGTCCATCACCGTCACCGTCGCGACGTCGCGCTGTCCACATTCCTCTTCCTAACCATGTCTTTAGAGCCAACTATGTCGATGCTTCCGTCTCCCGCTTCAAGCCCCAGCTCTTCTACTGGGTCTTCATCCCCTGCGACATCGTCTCCCTCGTCCTCCAAGCCCTCGGCGGCGCACTCTCTTGTACCGGCGCCACCGAGCACGACATCAACGTGGGTGAGGATATATCTCTCGCCGGCCTTATCTTCCAAGTCGTCACCCTCGTGACCTTCTGCGTCGCCTTTGCCGACTACGTTCTTCGAGCCCGCCGCTCGTCCTCCCGCGATAGGCTCGACAGGCCATTGATGACCTTCCTCGGGTTCATGTTCGCCGCAACGTTTTTCGTCCTCATTCGTTGCGTTTACAGGATTGTTGAGCTCGGCCAGGGATACTTCAGCGAACTTTTCCGTGACGAGGGTCTCTTTATTGCCTTTGAGTCGGTGTATGTGCAATCCCACCCTCACACGCCCTCCCCCCACCCGTAGCCATGTATACATTCTGACCGTGTCTTAGGATGATGTGCATCGCCGTTCTCTTGCTCAATGCCGGCCACCCCGGCCCCGTCTTCAACCGCAGGCGGGCCTTGTCCAAGGAGGACCAGTCCCCTGAGCAATCGGTGTACCAAATGACTGAAGCCTCTCCCGCCGCATCCTTCAAGAATTAGGGGCGTAGTGTGTGCGTGTGTCGTCAGTATTTTAGATTGAGTGCAGTTGTGCACGGAGCGAGCGGTATTTAGCGATTGATATTTCACTTTGTTTTTTTCACTTTGTTTTGGGCAGGACATGATTTGGGAACACATAGACTTTAGACTTTTCGCTATTATCTTCGTAGCAATTGAGATTTCTTAGATACATACACCTCGGCCGCGTTGCTCACTCGTGCCGCTCGAGATCCATCCCACTACGCTCGGCAGCTTGCAAAAAATCAGCAAAACGCAAGTCAACCCCGACGAAGAAGCACCAGTTACTCTGAGAGGGTTCTGAACTTGGGTGATGAGAGTGAGAAGCTACGAGCTCTTCTGCCGGTCTTCGGCGCAAGTAAGTTTCGACTGTACGAATACCGCTTCACGTCTCCAATTTCCTTCTGCGAACCTGAACAGACTCAGGCGACCCGAATCCGCCTCAACGGGTCGTTCCGTCATCAACGTTAACGCTGGTAGTGTTGCTACCATTTCGGTTGACTCCAAAAGTCCGAACGCGCGAACAGAAATCAGACCACTTCTCCCTAGCACCAAACGTCTGCCCTTCCATCACCGCTCTCCTCGCACCCTCACCCAGCTCTTCCAATGTCCGATTCACGAGCTTGCCTTCGGCGTTGCGCCGGCCAATGTCCGGGAGATAGGCCCACGAGAAGAACGCGCCAACGGCACCGATACCGGCGAACAAGAGGAATATGAGTCCTTGCTTGTTCACGGCGTCGTACTGGTTCTTTATCCCGTAGATCATTAGGACCGCAATAATGCTCCCAATCTTCCCGGCTGCAGCCGAGATGCCGTGGCAGAAGCAACGATACGTCGTCGGGAAGATCTCGGCCGGGATCAGGAACGTGAGGCTGTTTGCGCCTATGGGCCACCCAATAGTATTAGCATCACAAGGAAATAGTGGAAGGCTGTTCGGCCTGAGATTACTTGCCAAAATTGAAGACAAAATGGCATATTCCAACCATAACTGCCGTTGCCATGGCGTGCTTCGTGTTATGCACTCTGTAATATATCGCTCCCGTAGCTCCAAAAAGGACCGTCAGACTGATGAAGGACCAGGTGAGAAACTGCCTTCTAGGTATGTAGTTGACGCCGACAATAAAGGCAGCGCACCCCAAGATTGAACCGATGGAAACAGTCAAGAGGTAGTGCTTCGTTTGGTCCAGCAGAACGTCATATATCGTGTTGCATGGCTTGGTTACATCCGTCTGCCAGTTCGGAAGGCCCTTTTCCGCCCATGTCGGCACAAGAGACTGGCCGCCAGGGATTGACGACTCCCAGCATCCGAGGCTCTCATTCACATCCACCGCGTGGATCTTCGCCCACATATCGGCCAAGACGGCGCGATTGTCAAGACCGAAACCGTACAGGGCAACATCCAGAATAAGCCAGGTCATAGACGTCCCCACTAGGTAGCGCCAGTTGCCTTCCTCTATGAAGTATTGATACATGTTCGCTCTGGAGAATTGCACCGGCCGCGGCTGCGGCTGGCCATTCCGTGCATCGAGTCGCCCAATGTTGGCGTCGGGCGTCCTGTCCAAATCCAGATAGGAGAAAGACATGCCGTAAATCTTGGCGGCCTGCTCCATAGCCAGACGCGACTTCATCTTGACTTCGAGGTTGTACAGGCCCGAATCCGGCAGCATAAAGCGGAATGCGATGGCGACTAAGGCCGGAATGGCACCCACCCCGACAACTATACGCCACATTCCGTCCACGGCTTGGCGGCATTCGAAATCGTGTGCTGTGTCCAATCCGCACTGCATCGTTCGGAGGCTGCGGGCCCTATCGCGGCCGAAGAGTACGGCGAGATTGATCAGCTGCGCCAGGGCTTGGCCGATAGGTTGCATTAAGAACACGCTGGCGATCATAGATGCTCGTGCCTTGGTTGAAGACCATTCCGAAGTGATAACAGCGCTCACACTACATGGTAAGTTAGTCTTCGCATGTAAACAAGGGCTTCGGATATTATGGTGACTCTTACGGATCTAGACAAAAAGAGTATTGTTATTCTCCGGAGGGTAATCACCGACGCCATCTTACACCATGATGGGACTTACATTCGGCACCCAATCCCACGCCAGTCAGAAAACGCCACCAAGTGAACATTGCAAGGAAGGACAAGTTAGACTCGTACCCTGTATTGCTGAAGACCAGACCGAGCGTCGAGATAATGACGATAACTAGTTCAATACCATACAGCCGCGTTCGACCAAATAAATCGGCAAGATAGCCGAAGAGAAGTTGGCCGACCACTGAGCCGAAGAGCGTGCAGCCATTGACAAGCAGACTTGGGCCTCGATCGTCGGGGAAGTAGACGAACGAGATCGATGCATTCACGACGTTGGCGACAAACAAGTTGTAGGATCCGGTCAAGAAGCCCGAAGCGGCGATTGCCCAGAGTCTCAGGTTCCATGAGTTCAGATCGATCTCGCTTCGCAGCTGATGACGGTCCTGGGGTGCAGGGTAAACGTAATTGTCAGCCATCTCAAGGTCACCTTTATACAGAGTGTAGGTGGGAGGGTTTAGAAGTTTCTAGGGGGGCGCTGATAGGGAATGGGTCGACGACCACTTGGCGGGGCGCATTTTGAATGTGATATTGATGCGTTGTCTTTCACGGCATTCAAGAAGCCCCGGGACGTGGGACGGATAATAGTCATACCTGCGTCTCGTCTGGCGAGAGGGCGGAACTATCGTAGCCCAAGAAACCCCGGTTCTTTCGGACGCGCAACGGGCCTAGAGCCCAATAGAGACCTTTTTCTTCTTCCATCTCGAAATACTATTCTGAGCTTTTAGTGAGTGAGGGTAGGATATGGTGCGCTGCCCGCGCTACAATTAGTGGTAGTCGGTATAGTAAGAAGCGTAGAATCTCGGGAGACCTGGTTGCAGGTCGTGGCGAGCGTCTCACGGAGCAGGAGGTGAGGCTGGCTGTCGATGTGCTGCGAAGAGTTGGCTTCCACTGGTGCCGCGCGGTTATCGAATCATCGACGCTAGATTACGGAGCGAAATTGAGAAACGTGGGGTATCAGAGAAGAGGGAATTTGGCGATATGGTTATTTTGGCACTTAATCCGGAGCTGATGCAAAGTCGAGAGCGGAGTTGGGAAGGCATCGTCATGGTTGCAAAAAAACCCGGCAAGGTTCCTACCGGGGACGTGACACTCCCGGATGTTGATTCGCGAACGCTAATAATGGAAGCCAAGAGGTCAAGTCACACAGAGGCGACGAGAATCCGTGATTTTACGTCAAGATTACAAGTATGTATACCTCCGGTGGAGCGGCAATGGGCGAGTCTCCGGTGTGCATGTGGCCCTTTGATAAGTGTTCCGTTGTACCCTGAAGTGTAGTAACTGAAGGGCCTAATGGAGGCTCTTCATTTCCCCTCGTTGTCTACCTCTCCGCCTGCGACTACATGAACCCTTCAAATATGATAGGATATCAGTTGCTCCGGTATCAAGTATCCATTACAGGGATTGATAGAAGCCACCCCGACGGGCATTCGGCCATGTAGAATAGGGGCAGCTCGTACGAAGTACATCTACACGATAGCCTCCAGCGGCTCCCTTGACAGACACATGCCAGGAAAAGCGTGCAGTCATCAAGGGATCGTAGTCTCGGGGTTCCACGTCGCAGGTAGTGAGTCCGGGGAAGCGAGAGAGTCGTGGCCCTTGATCTCTGGCCAATCAGCGCCGGAGGCTGACACCTTGAATCTGCCGCGACCTCGCCTCGGGATGCGAGAAAGGTGGGAAAGACTGGGGTCGAACGCTAATTGCCTCTTCGCTTGGATCCCGGACCCTTCCAACTTGGCGCCGACGGAGTCTGTCACGAAACGATTCTCATTGGCAGGGATGCCGATTCCTTTTCTTTAGGTTTGTGTCCCACGACCATCGATCCTACTTATCTTTCGGGAATATTGTCTCCCTGGAAATCCAATAATCGAGATCATGACTTCAACCACTGTACTGCTCTCTATTCCTTCCATCACTGTGAATGCCCTCAAGAAACACGAAAAGCGACACCGACTCAGGACAAAAACCGACCCCCATGATCAAGTCGTCTATCAAGACCGGTATCGAGGTTGACCTCGAGATCCTCAAATGTAAGGAATGCCGGCTCGGGTCGACCTCGTCGAATTGCGTACGGCCAGGAGATAGTATAGAGGGCCATGTTCGGCTATCCTCGAAGCAGGCTCTCAATATCATCAAGACAGAGGTACTCCTACAAGGTATGTTAGATAAGGGCAAAGGGCAAAGCCGTCAATCCCAATACTGAACGCGTCCATACAAAAGTTCGCAATAGTAGTAATGATCTGTAGTTGGCTAATTTAGGAGGCTTAGGAATGCAATTCGTAGCCGGTGTGGATAGTCGCAGCCAAGGATGTCCAACTTCAATCACTGTTAGTATCGCCCATTCCCACCAACACGACTTCGGACGGACATCGAGGCTCCTTTGCTAACCGGACCTACACCTGTCTCCTAGTTTCTCGATATTTTGAGCCGCCCTCCGACACCGCGGGGCATTGACGTCCATACGCAGAATGGCCAGTACATATACCTGATGCCCTTCTTTTTCGTCATGCCAGCTGGATCGGAAATCCGACGTAGTGGCGACTCGTCCCCATGGGACACTCTGCCTCCTTCCATCGACAGTCGCAACTCATACCTCCACGTTTGGAGTCCTACGCCTATCCCAGACATATTCACTTCTTATTCGGTGAAGGCGGTCCTCTTTTACCAGATACGCGAGACCCGCCCAACAAGCTCGACAGTATCCCAAGCTGTGGTCGAGGAGGTCTTCAACTTCCTTCCATACACCCCGCCACCCCCGCCCATACATGGCGAAAGCTTCCCCGGAGAGTTCACTCTCACGGCCACCCAGCCTCTTTTCAAACGCTTCTCGATCAGACGCCTGGGCGCAGCCACCGTTACATGCAAGGAGCCACCGCCGTTAATTTACCCAGCCTCGCATGACGCCGTAGTCCCCACGAGTTGCAAGGTCCACCTTTCTCTCGACCTAAATCTGATATCCGATCTCGAGAATCTACGATTCGCAGTGTTGGAGGTTAGTCCCGTCATTCGAGCAAAGACGTATTACTCCTCGACGGATATGACATACATGCCGAGACGGAGCGACCTGCGCGATGGTTATCTGCACCTCCACGATGACTTCGCGGCGTTAGATACCCAAAAGTTCCAGGATTTCCAGTGGGAGTTGGCGCGTGCGAAGGACATCACCGCAACTCCTCCCCACGAACCCTCGTCTCCTCGTCGCTCGACCTCTTCATGGCTTAGCGTCTATCCGCGACGGGGTTCGGATTCCGACTCATCAATATCTGATATTGGCACTTGGTCGACGTCAATCCATGTCCCCATCAGTCCCCCGCGGATGCTTCCGCCGACCTTCTGTAGTAAGCTGATCTCCCGGTCGTACACGGTGATTCTCGAAGTCAAGTTCCTTCAAGGCCTGTCGGCAAAACTGTACGTAGAGGTCCCGCTTCAAGTGGCGTATCCACCGCCGTCAACAGATTCTCCAGGATCAGAAGACCTGATTCATTTTATACCACTCGCGGAGCCTGAACCACCAAGCAACACTTGTATTGGACCCACTGGGATTCTCTCTCAACCTGATGTAAGTAATTCTCTTCTCCTTTTGAGTTTCATTGACCTGTTCACTTTGATTTGTGTCATACATATGGTTATCACAGCTACCGTTCATTTTCCATTCATGGCTTAACAGAGAGGTAGATCTTGCCCCAATACAAGGACCTCACAGGCCGTACAGGTTGACAAAGAGGACAAACCAGTCATCTCCCAATTTGTCTATGATGCATGATGAGAGAGCCTCGGTCCGAGTCACGGACTGTATTAAAAACAAGATCGTAGATTTGAAAACTCGTTCACGAATAAGTCTGCCTCTTGTCTTAAGTCGGTAGGGACCTAGAAATAACAACCTTCTACCCCCCCCCCCCCCCAAAAAAAAAAAAAAAAAAAAAAAAAAAAACCGTTGGGCGAGGATGGGTCACCAGGCGACTCCGAGCCCAGAGCCAAGGGCCACAGTCCTGATAGTTCCGTTTGTACGGTCACGGTCTAGGCGCTCTGCTCCATCCCGAAGGTCCTCGCTGCCACGGGGGTTACATAGGTGTTAGCCACGCTAGTACCGATGTTTGCCGAAGCAGCTGAAGTGAAAAGGGGTTTCTCGTCTTCTCCGCCCTGGGATCGCAGTACGGTCGCAGCATTGTATGAAGCGTCCAATTTGTGAGACGAGTGACAACTGTCGTACAGTTCGAGAGGGACCACCTTGCTGGGTACCTTGGGCAGAAAATCCCCGGACCCCGCGTGCCAGACTTGGTGGACTTGTCCACTGCGGTATTGCTCGGAGGGATCATGGCCAGGGACTTTGACTATGATGAAGATACTGTGAAGGGCTGGGTGGAACCAGTATATCATCGATATGCTTCAAAGTCGTGCGATGTATTTTCTGTGATGGATATCAAAGTATCCCTGCCCAGCGTAAAAATGCCTCCCGCATGTGAACTGCTTAATCATTCCCGAACTCCTCTCCGCGCATGTTTCGACTTCGGGCGGTGATAGCATCTGGTGAGAAGTTTGGGCAGCAGCGCAGGAAACTTCTCGGGCAGCGACGAGTCATCACTTGGTTTCCATGTTCCATTACGGGATATGTCTACCTACTTGTGTACTAATTCCCGCAAGTAAGGCGCGAGGTTAGGGACACACGCGGGATGCAAAAATTTGAGAATTGCTGATCTTGGCCCTCAGTTCAGTTCGCCTCTTCCCACTGCCTTCACCTAGGAAATATTGTCGAGGTCGCTCCCAAGCCCTTCCCCATTTTGCTACTCCGAACATACTCGCCAGCCGCTTTCAACACCGCCAGTAACGAGATGTCGACCGCTACATATGGAGTGCACTACATCATGAATATGAAGATCCCGGCCAAGGACGGGGCAGATATTCCCATTGATGCTTCGGATCTCGAGTTTGAGTACGGGGAATTCTGGTGCAAGGTTAATATCAAGCGAAGCACCGCCAGGAACGAACTGGACAGTTCGGTGGAAGATTACTGGCTGTTCGACGTCCATGCCCATGACGCTACATTGGAGTTTGCAATCTCAGAGTCCCCAGTGGTTGCGGGGAGGCAGCCGCCCCCGGTCCTTGAAAACTCCTCTTTCAACTGGAAAAACTTGAGCGAAACCGATAGCTATACTTTCGAACACGTCTCGCCAGAAATGGCCAAAACAAAGGGAAAGGTGACAGCACATGAGATCACGGTCGGTACGTATTGACAGGAGTAATGAAATGTAGACACGCGATGTTGAAGCCCATGAACTTCGTGCTTGCTGCGTGCCTCCCCATTCTATGAATCATATCTGATTACGGGATCTACCATTACTTAGACTTGGCCTGGAATCGCTACGTTGCTATACGATGTCCGAAAATGATCAATCCCCTGATTTCAATTCGCGGCACAGGTCACAGCAAGGGCAGGGGTTTCGCCGCAATACGAGCAGTCGGCTTACATCTCCATTTTGGCGTTGATAATAAGCACGATTCGTTGCGGTCAAAACCACCAACCGACTGCTTCCTGAATATGCCAAGTCGATAGAGAAATACAGCTGGTTCCATAGAGACGGAGGGGTCGACGTTACCGACCGAACTCTGACGCTCTATCCAAAGCAGTTGATGGGCTCGTCGGGAACGAGTAGCCAACTCTACGCGAAATTTGTGTCGTGCGACCCCAGTAATACAATAGGCGAGAAGCACTTTACACTTGTTCGGGAGAGGATAGCGGCCGGGGAACGAGCCAAGGCCCTCAAGTTTACGTGGAATGCGGAACGTAAGACCACGATCAAGGTTAGAGAGCCGGAACCGAGAGTAATCCCGTTTGGACCCCGGAGAGCTCGTTGGTGGGTCGACGTCGACTACGCTAGTGGCTTGGCAAAGGGGACGGACGATGCGAACGGCTTGAAGCTCATGTTGGTGTTCTACGCTAGTATCGCAACCGCGCTGACAAAGGTCATCTCAGGCAACGTCGGCCTCGCCATCAGTGGGCTGTTCGAGCTACCTGGGGAACTCCAAAGGGCACAGGAGAGTGTCGCCTCTCAGGCGGATGTTGTGGGTTTCGTGACAGCCGTGGTCAACGTTGGCCGGGCGGCGTATGCAGCGCGTGGGCAGGGTATGGAGGGCGGGGGAGGCGAGAGCCGGGCGTTGGTAGATGAACTATCCGCGGTTTCTACAACTCAGACAGTCGACGACGAGATTACTGCTGTATAAGACGAAATTGTGTTCGCTCGCTGTTCACCCGGTTACTGCTACGGTAGAAACTGCTATGCTAAGGTGAGTCGACGAGAATGTTCATGACAGAGCTTCCTGTACCAAGCAAAGATACACGGCGAAAGAGGACGGGGGGACGCTTGATGAACCTGCAAAATAGTTAGGCCAATTATGATCGATAACTGACAGGTCTGTGGTCTCTCTCCCGGCTTGTTTCTCCTTTCAAAGCGAGAAGCCTCAATCAAAGTCAACGTGCCGCCTCTGCTCCATAAGCGAAGGGCATCTGCATCATCGGAACTGGTCGCTATTGGCTACCCGCCTGTCATCATGGTGCACATTCCCGAGCAGCTGTGGAAGGGCAGGACCCATGACTGCACAATATCCAGTATTCACTCGTTTAGGGATCTGCATATGATGCGCTATGTCTTAGCCCAACTGGGATATTAGAAAGCCCTTCTTGCCTTATCAACCAGTTCTGACGATTGGTTGGTGCGTTTGCCGAGATTGAGATGCCTGGAGGCACCAATCCCGTGTCTTTTGAAATGTCTGTTCCACCTAGCTGTTTTGGGAAAAGGTAGAGTAAGTGGACACCATCGAAGACATGGAGGAGGAGTTTGTGAGGCTGTGAGGGGTGGTCGGAGTGCTTGCCACTTCGTTTCTGAAGGGGGGGCCAGGAGGCGAGCTCGGAAAGGTTCCCGCGATTTGCGGCACCACCACTTGGCGAAGCCCTGGGCAAGGGCATTAATTCTCATTAATTCTCGGCTCTAGCCCAACAGCCGGCGCCAAGCAAGCAAACGCCGCCCTAAATTAGCGAGAGGACCGGTCCAGTCAGAGTTGTTTAAAAGCCCACGGCTGGCAGCGAAGCTCATCACGCTCACATGGCCTGGCGATGTGACTGGCTAGAGGTCTTAGTTTCGGGATCCGGGGTCCCCTAGTCGTAAACTACGCCGAAGAACACATCCTCGATTTGTGGAAGGCCTGAGCGTTGTCAATGAGCAAAGTGGCGTCCATTGCTGATATTTCTTTGAGGGACTCGAGGAAAACTCACCAATGGGAGTGTGTCAGTCCCTGCCCGCTATTGGTCGGATACACAGAGAGCCAGGTGCATTGTTCTAGAACGCTCCCCTCGCCCGCATGGACTCTGGAGTCGAGCCCTGTCCCTTGTCATTTCCAATATCTGGTTGGCCTGATTAGAGTAGGGTGGCGAGTACGCATCCATTGTCCTCGAGAGTGTCCAGGTTGACTCTCCGAGATTAGAGTAGGAGCCGCATAGTGCGTTGCGGTGAATCTGGGTGCATTTCGGTATCAATTCTTATTCCTGACGCTGCTCAAACACTCTGCCAGTATTGAACTGACAACGGTAAAAAAGAAAATAAATAAATAAATAAATAAATAAATAAAAATGAATAAGAAAATAAATTCTAAAAATATTTAGAAAAAGAAAACGAAAAGGGCGAAATAACACCCAAAAAGTGGAGGAAAAAAAAAAAAAAAAAAAAAAAAAAAAAAAGAGATATTCACGTTCATTACGGTTTACCTGCCTACGACCAGAACGTGGCAAAGAAAGACCCCTCAATCACTTGTCTTCTCACCATGCATTCGAGCTTGTATACAGACGATGTAGCTGACAGCGGACTCGACAACCGCTAGCTTCGACCTCAAGGGCCCTGTCGACCATTCATCGCAGCATCCTTTCGACATGTAAGTCGCGAGCTTGTCAAGAGCATCTTTTAACTTGTCTCTTCGTTCCCTCTCGGCGCTTTTATTGCTTATACGTTTCAACCTCGCGGTTTCTGTGACTACCAGGGACATTTACGTTAGCTCCGACCGGCTCTCAAGCGAGGGATCCGTACTATATTCCTGCAGGCGATTCGGCAGGTTTGGTGTTGAGGTTTTGGGCCTGATGGCTCGGCGACTCGGCTTTTCAATGGGCTTAGGAGCCTCGATAAAAGTGTAAGTCTTCGTCTTGCGGTGACTCTGACCCGAGCCGGGGGCTACTGCTTGGTTCTGTGATGCTGGTTCCGTCGAGATCGTCGCAATCACCTTTGAATGGCAGTTGGTTATTGGAGAGTAGGTATCGTCGTTCCCGCCTGCCGGAGACATGATAAAATTCTAGGAGAATCGACGAGTTATTTGTCTCGAGTATTGAAATACGCAAAGTATATGGGAGCGATGGAGCGGACTCCGAGTCTTCCCTTTGTCACCCCCAGCCGTCATCGGGTGGCAGCGGCAACTAAATATACTTCGCGGGCGAACTCATCAGGACGTAAGTTTTCAATATTCGAGCCGATCGCCTCTCATCAGTTGTTAGGGAGTGTGCCACTCCCGGGCTCCGATTGGCTCAGTTCCTTTGCATTGGGATTGGTCCGTCTGGTCGCGGGGCAATTGTGGCTGATCCTTCAGGACGCTCTGACGCTAAACCATCTGGGAAAGACAGTGCTGAGACAGTGGGACCAGCGCAACCCTGCAAAATCAACCACGTGGAGTATCATGACCAGTTTTGCCGATGCTTCACCACAACCACCCCCCTCCTCCCCGAGCTCTTCGTAACTGCCGTACCATCACCGCGCAGGCCGGAGCCATTGGAGGCCATCGCGGTCTCGTCATCGCCGTCGAGCACTTATTCGTTGCCTCGTCTCAGTTCATGCTAAGAGACCTGATTCCACTGTTCCCATCATAATGCCCCGGAAGGTATAGTCTTTTGTCTTGTCAAAAGCTCGTCTTGACGGGCATTCAACATCGCCGAACCCTTATGCTTTCAGTATCACTGACTAGAGAATTTCGACAAAACAGTTCGAGACCCCAGCATCGAAAGCCCGGAACCGCGACAATCAGCGACGCTCCAGGGCGCGTCGACGGGAGCTGATCGACGAGCTCCAGGAACGATTATCGCAATACGAACGGCGCGGTGTCGCGGCAACGTTGGAGATGCAGCAGGCGGCCAGGGTGGTCGTCCTCGAGAACCAGTGCCTCCGAGAGCTTCTTGAGCTTCGGGGAGTCTCGAGAGATGAAGTTGGGATTTATTTATCGAACCGAATGGGCGCCGGCAGAGGGACGTCTAGTGATGTCGATAGAATATGGAATAAAGATTCCCAAAGACCTCACTCGACCCAGTCAGGCTTTTGCGAGTCGCGGATCTCGACTCTAGACACTTCGATTCCTAGTCCTGCCTCTCTGCCACATTCCCGAAGCTCGACGACGTACGCTCCGTCCTCAAATGGTACTGACGGTCCATCACCTTCAAGTCCAGCGTGGCCAACTTCTCCGGCACGACGCTCAACCCAAATACGGTATCCTACTGTAGGCCGTTCGCCGACGTCAGAGGAGCACACGTCCGAGGCGCCGTCACTCACGTCTCAACTTTGTAATGCACCACCAAGTCGCGATGCTGCGTTCGACATCCTGGGCCCCGTATCCGACTGCTTTTGCCCGCCTGACGCCGCGGACGTGGCGCCAGACCACAGCCCCGGACGCGACTCGACGTTAGAGATGTCCTGCGAAAACGCGGCACGAATCCTCGCGGAGCTCCAGGGATACGGGGACTCGGCCGAGCTTCGCTCCAGGTTGGGATGCCAGGAGTCGACTGATTGCCGAGTTAAAAACACCAAGTTGCTCCAGATGATGGATGAGCTGGGGTAAGCCTCCTGTCGAGAGATTCAAGAAGTAATGTTCTCTAGGGACGTCCTTTGAGCCTTCCGCTCGCTGGTAACCCACGACGGCGTTCCTTTGGCGAATTAGAAAGTGTAGAGCCGATGTAATATTAATAAACTAAGGTTGACGCTAATATCATATCTTTTATTTTGCATTTTGCCACTACTCCATCATTGCCATCATTTTCGCCAGCCAAGTCGTCACGTCCATGGCGGCTATTTTTTATGTTCTGCTCGCTGGATGTATCGAGGCTGGGCACAACATGGATATCGTCCACTTCTCCTCTCTCACACCAGTTTCTTCTACGCTTTCCACGCCCATCGCTTCCTCAACCAACGGACCAAGTACACCAGCCCAATCAAAACGGGCACCTCGATAAGCGGGCCAACCGTCGCCGCGAGCGCCTGGTCACTATCGGGACCAAAGGTGGCCACAGCGACAGCAATCGCCAGCTCAAAGTTGTTGCTTGCAGCGGTAAAGCTCTGCGTCACGGCAAGGGGATACACGAATCCAAGCCTGCGAGCGATGACGAGAGTGACAAAGAAGATGCAGATAAAGTACACGATGAGCGGCGCCGCGACGCGTACGACGGAAACGATCTGGTGCACGACTTGGCGACCCTGGGAGGCGAAGAGGACGAGGATAGTGTAGAGCAGGCCGATGAGGGACCAGGGGGACGCGAACTTGAGGAAGACGCGTTCGTACCAATCAGGACCAGCCGTCGCGCGTAGTGTGAACCGGGTCACGATGGCTGCTCCTAGTGGTATGCCTAGGAAAACGGCAACACTGGTGGCGACGACATCGTACGATACATCGATAGTGTGTGTTTCGCCGCCTATGATGCGGATGAAGAATACGGCTAAAGGTGCGAAGAGAACCATCTGGAGTACCGAGTTGATGGCGACGAGAATGGCGCAGTATTCGTTGTCACCAGCGGCGAGCCCGTTCCAGATCAGAACCTAAAGCAATTATGTGTATTAGCCTCGATTCGGTAACTTGCCGAAGTGCGAAAGCAGAAATAAACGGGGGCAAGTTCCGGGAACATACCATGGCAATGCATCGCCCCAATCCCACGAGGATCAGGCCGGTTCTCAAACCGCCCTCGTCGGGGAGAAAAGCCCAAGCAAGGGCAAGCTGGCAAATGAGCAGACCGTCGTTAGTGGCCGTTGGTATCTTATTTTCCCGAGTGGCAAGGGTTTCTCACCATGAAGAAAGGGGCCAGGATCCAGTTGACGCAGATGCTGAAAATAATCTGCTTCCACATCGATCGCTGCGAGAGGAGTCTGTGCAGAGACTCGTAGCGGACTTTACACAAAATTGGGTACATCATAACGAGGAGGCCAACGGCTACAAGTTCGTTGGGCAAGTGGGTCAGTATCGGCACAGGAGCAGAGCTGGCCCAGCAAGGCCTGGAAGTAAAAAGGCGGAAAGGGAGAAGGCAGAGAAGACAAAGCTGCAAGAAATGGAAAAGAATGAAAAAGAAAGTTCCTACATACCTATCGGCACAGACACGCCGACAAACTTGCCCTTCTGTAGGGCAGGCCCGGTGGAGGGGACAAAGTTTCCGAGAATTATGCCCACTGCCATGGCGAGGAAGATCCAGAGAGCGAGGAAGCGGTCGAGCCAACCCAGGGCTTTGAAGGCCGAAAAGTCCTCCCGGCGCGGGGCAAGCGCGCCGGGTGCCGTTTGGCTTTCCAGATCTGTCGATTTATTGTCTGGTATTGGTGTTGGGGCATCTTGCTTCTCCGTCTCTGTAGGGACGCTGGTAGTTTCTAGGTCGGGGATAGGTTTAGATTCGAAGGTCATTGTGGCAGGTGTCGATGGCATCTAATAGTTGGTGTGTTTTTCCTTTAATTTTTTTTTCCCGTGTCTTGTGCGAGAGGAATATTCGATCGAAAATAGAGTTGGTGACCCATTCGAAATCGCAACTCAGACGAACACACGAGCTGGGGACGTTTTTATAATGATGGCTTTAGTGGCAAAGGGGATCGGGACGAGAACGTCTTCCTATTTAAGGCTTCAGCAGCCAACCAGAGTGAGGGAGTGTCACACTCCCAGTCGACCAATGCAGCGACCGAAGAACTTTTCCCTTCCAAATAGCTCCGCGCTAACCCCCAAGCATGTATTATTTGATTGTTCGATTGCTACCGAAGCTATTTCCCCCGATTGACACACATAGATTCCCAACAAACACTGGTCTTCGAAAAGCTCGTCTGCTAATCCGTTGTCAGAATCGACCTGCGCTCTTCTCCAAGATGGCCTCTACACTGACGCTCGCTTCTGCTCCCTCAGCCGACGCCCCGGCACCGCCATGGCATGCGGCTTACCCAGCGCCGAGGAATCCGCAGCCGGAAGTAATAACTCGCGAGGAAGTCCTGGCAATGATGAAAGGCCCAGAATCTGCTGGTAAAGATTTTATTCTCGTCGATCTTGGGCGGGCCGACCACGAGGTAAGCACATGTATCTTGGATAATTCTGTCCATAATTATTCTCTTCTAGATTCCACATACGAGAATCGTCACTAACTTCGATTTGCTCTCTCAGGGTGGAACGATTCGAGGGTCGATTAACCTTCCCGCGCAGAGCCTGTACCCGACAATCCCTGCACTTTACAGCATGTTCAAAGCAGCCGGCCTTCGAAAGGTCATCTGGTACTGCTGTGCGTTGCCACTCGCCCCTCCCCAGTTGAAATTTGCCCAATGTCCACGACAAGCCCGTGAGCTCGCACATACATCTAATTATAACCGTATAGCCTCTTCGCGCGGGCGTGGCACCAGGGCTGCCGGCTGGTTCGCCGATTACATTGCCGACCGTGAGTGCACTGACATGCAGAGCTTGGTTTTGTTCGAGGGGATAAAGGGTTGGGCGAAGGCAGGTGAAGAATTCGTAGAATGGATGGATGAGTACAGCAAGGAGACCTGGGTTTGCAAATAATCCTACGCACTTGAATTGACGAGGGGCTGAGGTCTTTGCACTGTTGTATTAGACCCATCGATGTCCTAACTGTCCCCGGCGCCACGCGCCCCTTAAAGTAATTCATGTTGATTAACCTCAGTGGAAGAGAAGCTGTAGTGGGTAGACTAGTAAGTAAACGACGAGCCGCCCCGACCCATGGGAAGCCCACCAAAAGATCAATATCATCTTCTAAGCCCTTCCAGCTCCCAAGAACAGTCAATAAAAATAGTACAAAAATTGTCTACTTTTGTCTTTAAATCTTACCATCTTTTCGGTCCAATCTTTTAGATGACACCCCAGAGCGGTATTTCTTTGCTGGCTAAATTTTGTGGGGAGGGAAAAAACGTGTACTAATTGCAAATACGCCTAGTTGGTGCTTATAAGACTGGGAAGCCCACATAAACTACTGAGAGAATTTTCCTCTCCTTTACTCCCTAATTCTTTTCCTGCTTTAATAGGGCGTTCCTCCAAATGCCTGCCCTCAATCGCTTTGGCCCTAGGCTTCTTCCGCGTCTTCTAAGAACAAACAACAGACACTCACCGTCGTTCTCACCTCTGTTTGCGGCCACATCCTTCCCCAAATCCTTCTTCATTCGAGGCCCCTACCACCAAGTCCACCACAGTCGTATCTTCGCAAGGCATTTTCTCGCCCAACACCCATTCTACCAGCAGCAGAGTGTCGCCATGGACACCGGCCACGGCGACTTGAACAACCGATATGCCGCCCGGGAGACGGTGGAAATCGTAGTAGACTCTGAATTCCGCAACGTCTCCTTCGCCATCGCGGAGGATGAAGATGATGCGGAAATTCGGAATCGCTACCGTCCATTCTTGCTCAGCGATAGGCATGCCGCCGACGATTGGATCACTTCTCTTGAACTCAGCACGGCCTTGAAGATGGTAAAGAATGAAATCTTAGACAAGGGAGAGGATCGGCTGCGTATCCTCGTCCTCTATGGCAGCCTCCGGACTAGGTAATGCATAGTATCTTCTGCGACAACATGGTTGTTGGACGATTGCGTTCTCGTTAATTGGTTTGAAAGAAAATTAATGCCTAGTTCGCAAACAGATCGTATTCGCGTTTATTAGCCTACGAAGCTGCGCGTATCCTATTCCGTCTCGGCTGCGACGTCCGGGTTTACGATCCCAGTGGTCTACCCCAGAAGGATGACGTCCAACATTTGCACGACAAAGTTCAAGAGCTCAGGGAACTAAGCAAGTGGAGCGACGGCCACGTTTGGGTCAGCCCAGAGCAACACGGGAACTTGGTGAGTACTTGTAATTATCCAGAGCCGCTTCCGCCCCAATCTAACTACCAGAGCCGAATCGCGAGTTACATTCAAATGCACTACTCTTCACTCCACGATCTAACCTGTATTTTACTTTAGACTGGCATCTTTAAGCAGCAAATCGACTGGATCCCTTTATCAAGCGGCTCCGTCCGCCCAACGCAAGGCCGGACCCTTGCCATCGCGCAGGTTAGCGGGGGTTCTCAGTCCTTTAACGCGGTGAACTCGCTTAGGATCCTAGGACGATGGATGCGCATGTTTACTATCCCAAACCAGAGTTCCGTGCCCAAGGCTTACACGCAGTTCACTTCCGACGAGGAGGGCAGCCGCATGATGCCGAGCTCTAACCGCGAGAGGCTTGTCGACTGTATGGAGGAGCTGGTGAAGTATACTATTGTTATGAGGCCGCACTTTGCTTTGTTTGGCGATAGATATAGTGAGCGGGAGGAGCGCAGGGGCAAGATTGAGAAGGTAGGTTGAAGAAGGAGAAGAGAAAGTTGTGACATAGGTGAACGGATTGCCTCGCAGGCGCAGGGCAGAATTAATTAAATTGCTGATGTACATGCTTTGACGGAAGCTTAAAATAGGCGGATAGTAGCCAATTTAAGATAGCAATATAGCAATATATCTTCCATGTAACTGGGTTTAGTACACTCAATACAGACGCGTACACCCAAATTCTTCAGGCCTTCCTATCAGGGTGAATAGGGGGGAGAGTGAATAGCAATAACTTTGTTAGCTCTTCCCGGTCAGCATCACATCGCCAGTAACACCCTATGTTTCGGTACTCGACAGGACATGATTTGGAAATACACATTACACTCAAGACTTCATTACTCCAGTCGTAGCAATTGGCCATTCTTCGGTCCACCTCGGCCATATTGCACTTCCTTCTCTCTCGATTTCACTTGAAAGATCCAATTTGCGAAGACTATGCTAGTCTCGGTGGCTTTCCAGGTGCACCATGATCCGTGAGGCCAGTGACGAACGATAGGAATCGGTGGAAGGCACGTCCCCGTTCAGTATTGCTGTAAAAGACGACCAGGCTGAAGTAAGAGATAGAGTGTTCAAAGCTGATGCCTGATCTTGCACGTGGAAGGGCAGGCGATGAGGTCAAGGACACAAAATATATATGAGTAAATGAAGGCAGTGCGGCTCGCTACCTCTCTAAACCAATTCATCTTTCCCACACTTCACAAAACCTTCCCTCACGATTTACAACCTCTTAAGAGACCTATCGCCATCTCAAACGTCTACAAACCGTGATACCGTTAAGAGACAAGCCAAAGTGACCAGAATGGGTATGTCGAGTCCCCAAACCGTCACCACCACTCGCCTTTCTCACATCACCCAGTTGCTAACTTTCCCTTACTAGGTCTCTCCAGGGTCAAAAGAGCACCTATTCCTCTAGCATGGATGTATATTCAAGACTGACAGGTACTCATAGCCTCGCTGCCAATTTTGCGGCATACATTTCCTTATCGGCCGCCACAGAAAACCCGATGAGCCCCGTTCTGCTGCGTGGAGTGGAACTGATCGCACCCAATTTCCAATTGACTATGGTACGAGCATCCCGTTGAAGCCCAGTGAACGGGAAAAGAAACATGAGGCCATGACTGCCAAGCTAATTATCGTTGGTCATTCACTAGGAGAAGCATGCGATGAGACGACTGGGTGTCGTCTCGTATACCGTGGTGATATCTGGAACAGTGATCACGACCAGAATCTCTACAAGGACGACCCGGACCGGGTCGAGGAATCCACGGATGAAACATACCAGCCGCCATCGGGCTCAGAGAGCGGTGACGACCCTCTCGAATATGACTCCGACGTATCGGATGATTGCTCCTCTCCCCTTAATGCCGATTCTGAAGGAGACAGCGAGATCGAGGCCGGCGATGAGCAACCGTGGACATTCACCGTATCCGGTCCAGCCTCTCCTACTCACGACACTGACTTCCTACCCCTGAATGAGGCAAAAAAGGGACTGACCTCCCTGAACCGTATTGTCGAGGGTCCCCGACTGCTGTTTGAACATATCTCCGGCCCCGGATGCAATTCTCAGCTATGCTACTCTGGCTACCAAATCTCGGCAGAGGAAATGCGGGGCTGCATGACCATTCAAGCTCTTGTTTTAAAGGCGAATGACTGGGCCCCCGAAGAAGACGACTTTGACTTCGAGTCGAAGTCTCGATATCGTCTCACTGGCCTAGCTTCAATGACTGGGGGCATTTTTGGGAGGATAACTTTCGGCCCTCGGCGGCACGGAGTCGAAAGTCGTGATAGCTTAAACGGTGTTATTTCCTCCATGAGTTATCCTTTGAGTTGGCTGGTACATCTTAATCTTCGTCTTAGCCCTCTGTTCGTATTTCTGTTTCACTTGCCTTGCCCTTAAGAATTTATGAGAGCGCCTAAACTAAGACATATTCACCAGCCGCCGGCAGATCCCGATGACATTACCTTTCCCTTCCACCCAACCTGTTTCGAACTCTTTCGCCAAGTATCCCTGAAGGTCCTTGGTCAATTCGATATCGGCGGCTTGATTCTTCTGCACAAGATGATAGACTATGGAATGTGGAAAGACATGCTGGGTAGGATTCACCCTACGACGTGGCCTTGCTTGAAAGGCTCCGAGCATCTCGCCGCTAATCCGATCTTGATTCCACCTATGATGCCCATTATCGCCGCAGCACGTTTAACCACCCACGGGTCTCTCAAGATGGATGTGGATGACAGTCCGTTCCCGTCCAAAAGAGGTGGCAAGGATGAAACCGAGGGAGAGAGCGAGAGTCAGAGGGGGGCTACCAGCAAGTCAGGCACAGATATATTTTTCAAACTTCCGCAGGAGCTCATCCATGAAATTGTGGGCCATCTCGGGTCAAAGGATATCGCGTCACTGAGACTCGCCTCCCGCGCGTTTACCCACATCCCCATCTTTCTTTGGCACAGGCTCGTTGTCGAAGAGATGCCCTGGCTTTACGAAGCTTGGTCGACCACGGTGACCCCTTATCCGTGGGTGACGAATGACGCCGTGGAGCAAGTCCAGCTCGAAGAGATTCGGCGCAGGGCATCCGTCAACTATTCCGCTGAGAACAGGTCTCGGGCAGAAGCCGTCCGCCAGGAGATGCCGGAAATTTTCGATGAGTGGTACGCTGACTACATCGACTTCGAGTGGAGAGGACTGGAGAAGTCGGCGGAGGAAAGGGAAACGGAGAAACTCTGGCCAATGGCTCTACCCGTTGCTGGGACAAACTGGTACGTGTTGTACAGAGAGTTTACCGCGAATTGGGACAAGTTGAAGGGGTTGCAGAATCGGAAGAGGATCTGGGATGATGTGGTGGAGATTGTCAAGCGGATTAGAGATATTCGGGACCGCGAATAAGAGGCGTCGATCGGATTCTGCATTGACCTGATGGATGAGACAGATTGGAGAGTGCAAAAGTCCCCAGGACCGAGGAATACGATGCGTCGTGTGTCGTCGTATGTCTTTTCGGATGGATCATTAATCATGATTCAACCCCGTCGACTATTTAAAGCTCCTTCGGATATATTCCCCAATAGGAAACCACCGCGATACAGAAAGGGTCCGGAAATAGTCTGGGGTACCACAGAGCGTAGAGGAAATGTTAATAAGAAGGGAGTTTTATGCATGATTGAAAGCGCCGGCAAATCGGAACAAGCAAGTGATCTACAGCTTCTCATGTAAGGATCAGTAAACTAGCTCATAGGGCAGAGCTTGCCCAATTGCTTGTCCAATCCTGTCCACATCCCAGATTGCTTACGGTACTAGGTTGACGATCTCTCAACGACGCACCGCCTCCTTGCATGGCGGTCTGCAGTCGACTGCTAGAAACCTTCAATCTCATTCGAGAGTGCATAACAGCGTATACAACAGCCCACGTAGCGGGAAAACAATGATGTACCATTAAATGCGGAAAGACAAGTCGTGCGACTTTGAGAGAATGGGCATGGGGTGTATGGGTTGGCAATTGGCCTGCTCATATCAATGGCAGTCAGGCGTTGTGTCTTTTCCTTCCCATGCCGTGCGGTGACCTCTCAACGGAGTCGTATGCATGTCTCTGTCCATTACAGGACGCCATCGCACTTTACCAGTGGTAAGAATTCGTGGCCCGGGGACATGGAGCGCTCCGAGCTGACGCAAATTTAAATCGTCTCAACGGTCTAGAATCCTGTCGACAGTGCCGCCTCCATAGGTATAGATTGGGCCCAATTCCCAAGATACCAACCCGGCAGTATTACCCTACTGACTACGGCATACACGGCCCTTCCCTTAGCATGCACAATCCATTCAACAGCTATGAAATTTCACTACCTCTGCCTCTTCACTCTTCCCATCCCGATCCTTGCCCGGATTGGCGGTCGATGTTCCAGCTTCTGGGGCGAAACGAACTGCATCTGCCTCGATCATAACGTCTGTACGAATACCTACCACGGAGTGGCCATCCAAGGGTCGGCGCCCGACTGGCCGTGTCCCAACGACCCAGCCAATGTCTGGGGATGTCAGGTTTCTCCATGCCCTAAGCAGGGAGCAGGTACATTCTGTGCTTGGAGTGATAGATGCGTGATTCCACTCCCAGGTCAGTGGCGTACCTATTTTCTAGCCGTGGTGTTTACAAAAATGTGGCTAATATGAAAAGGCTAGACCCCGTGTGCCCCGGTGGGAATGACTTTGTTTGTTGTTATCTGTAATTTGCCGTTTCAAGAGACACCCTGGGTGAAGCTGGATGGATGATGGCACCCGGCTTTTCGGAACTGTTGACAGCCTTAGCGAAGTTTCTCCCCGAGACAAGCGTCGGCTGAAATAGAGAAGGGATACAATTCAGTGCCGTCCTCGATAATAGTATCGCTTGCTCTTGACGCCGTGGTCACTGCGCTCGTGTGATTCCTTCAAATGCATCTCGTTTTCAAAAGCATGCTCGCTCAATTGCCCTCAAATTCCAACCCCACGTAATCTGCCTCTAGCTTAAGGTGATAATATACCTCATTTAGGCCGTCTCGCATTTCTCTTCAACTTTCGTAATAGCAATCTTCGTCACAATTGATCGTTATCGATGGAACTCCTTGGATTAATCGCGGGGCCTGCGGGTGCCTTCAACCAGTCTGGAGGTTATTGAGAAGATCGATTGCCTATAAGGATTCTAATGTGGACTCTCGATCTTTCCGAGCCCTACTTGAGCAGGGCTGAACAGCTCAGGGAGAGTCGGATTTCGCTCTGAGTTGTCCGACACGCTCTTCAATCGTTCTACCATAGACCCACGTTCTACTAAGAATTTCGTCCTCAGCCCGGACACTTGGCCCTGAATATTAGTATTGACAGAACAGATCCGCTAAATCCACCGTAGGTTGGTACAGCGTTTACTTACAGGGTGAAGGCATGGCATCATCAGGAGTGTCTGGGAAGATAGCCCTGTAGATCTCATTCCACTTCTCCTCCGGAGTGCCCTTCCTAGAACGGTTAGGAAGGACGGATCTCTTGATCCTATCAATGTCGTGCCGCGGAACGAGACCGACTCTTTCGCATTTCACGTCGGCTCCAAGATGAGCGGTTAATTCCTTTTCACTAAAGAAGTCTAGCTCGCACCGGGGACAAACGTGCTCTCGTATCGTATGAACACGAAGGATGTGGTCCCTTTTGCGTAGATAAGTATATAAGCAACCCTGGCGAGCAATGCATTGGAACACAAGCTCACCTCAGCTTACGGACGTCTGGGAATCCCCGCTGTTGGCAGGCTATAAATTTAGACGGGTCGTGCTTGTAAAATGGGCATGCGAATCTCTGATTCTCGAGGTTGAAGCTGGGCTTTCGGCGACGAGTCGCCTTGTTTTCGTGAGTATCTATCGCGGTCGTGGAACCCTGGTCCATATTCCGTTTTTTAGCCGATCCGGGTTCGGAGGGGCTAGAGGAACGTTGGGGTGACGTAGTGGCCGCGTGCAAGCGACGCGCAGCCGGGGGAGTAGATATGGTCTCTTCCGGGATAGGATTGCTGTGAGAGGTCACCGTCCTAGGGCGTGCATTCAAACGCCGACCCCGCCCGGGGAGTTGCGGACGAAATCTGGGGAAAAACGACCAAATAACCCTCCGTCTGAATAATATAACAACCCCATGTGCAATTAGGACATCGAAGGCTAGAAAGGTAATACACTGAGCTAAGGATAGAGTAAGCTGAAGTCCCTGCAGCTCAAGTTCGCTCTCGCCGCCCAAGGTTAATTTTCGGCGTAGTATAGGAGGGGGGATGAGGAAAAGTTCGGTCTCGTTGCATCCTTTCGGTTCGGAATCATGCTGTTAAGCCTTAGCGCGTGTCGCCAACCCTCTCGCAAAATCTCCCTGAGCTTACCGATTCACAAAATTCAATAAAGTCCTTGATCGCGGTCCATCTCGCTAACTCGGTTGCCCTCCTCGTGTCTTCCGCCCCGGAGAAAGATGGCCACAGAGCAAAGCAGGCCAGAATTAGGGTGAGCATGACAATGCTCCTATCGAAATAAGCGCCCCTATTCTTCCAGAAGGTTTGAAGTATAGCGCAGGTATTCCCTATCCACATCGCTCGTGGAAGTGACAAAGCTGGAACCCAGTTTACCCATGACAAGTATACGTTCGTATTAGATGGTGGTTCGAATGATATCCGCGTTGGGCTCTCGACGCGGACGGCCTCGGAGCTATGTACTGCGGTCGCCGCGGACATCGTCGTGATCGGGATGTTCGCTGATAGGGGTGCTTTTGTGCCTAGGGATACATGGCATTCAAAAGAGGGATCTTTGTTGGGGTGGACCGCCTCAGCTAGAAAGAAGTGGGGGAGGCAGGTCCAAAGTGGCGAAGCAGCCCTACCTCGATAATTACATACCATGGAAATAACTGCATTCAGCTGAGATCTTGTCTTTCTGACCGACTTCTAGACTGGATTATTACTGCCACTGCCAAGCGATGCACCTGTGCGGCGCAGCTGCAAATGGCGGTGGCTGAGGCTGAGTTGCGACCTTTCAAGCAATGGACACACTCGGAAATAAGTGTAAAAAGTTCCGGGTTGTAAAGCTTTATCATTTCTGGCGTCGTGGAAGCCTTGAACGAGGAGTCAATGCAAATCGGCGTAAGTATCTTGGGAATTCCTGGTCAAATCTCTATGTTGGGCGGGAAGGCTGATTCTTTCTATTCTCTCGATGCCTTTGCGAAAAATCTCGGACTCAATACGTATGAGGGGGCGGCGGCGACCGCAGGCCGATCTAACGTAATGCATATTAGCACTCAGGAATGCCTAACGTCGCTCCCCTGGCAACTGGGTTAGTGGCCAACGAAAGTCAGCCTGATCGAAGGTCAGAGTTACGCACCTCATCTCGCTTCATCTCTTCGAGCAGACCGTGAGACTCTATCTCGTCCTTGTGCTTTCTCCACTGAAAAAGCGAATCTTGTTAGAGCTTAGGATTGTAGAAATGACTCCGGTTGTTCCTATGCTGTACCTCTACGACGGGATCGTCTCACTCTAGTCGCTCCCGATTGTGGTTGGGTTTGTAAAATCGGGGTCAGGTACGATTTTCAATCAAGAAGGTGACAGAAAAGTAATCAACGTGCATAAACACTGGGTGCTATGATGCTTTCCATTTCATGGCCCTGAAATGGGCTGGCAGCTGAAAATGATGAAAATGCTGATGGGCGACTGAGTATACGTTATAGGGACCAAATTGCCTCCCGGTAATCGTTGACGAACGGCGGGCGCTGGTTACAGTCAGGACAAAGCCGTGATGACTCAACTTCTCTCAACATATCCAACGACAATGTACCGAACCGAAGCGATCGAAACGAAGCGAGCGATACAACCCGACGACAAGAGATGTAGGCCCAACCGACGGGGGCCGAACTCTTTTTTGGCTAGTTGAAAAAGTCGGTTTAATTTTGTTTATTTAATTTGATGTTGTGGTGTTGGAAATCGATTTGGCTGGTGAGGCTGTGATAGTTTTGAAGTTGCGCAGCCTTGGGTGGGGTACTTTTGCGCAGGACAAAGGGCGAGAAAAGGTACTTAGTAATTAGGATTTGGCTCGGGGAGGTCGTTCGTTCGAAACGGGGACGTGATATATATTTTTTCCTTTTTTCCTTCTTTAGTGTTTGTACGGAGTACACAACCCCGTGATGAAGGAGGGAGGTCGGCGTCGAGATGAACCAGGCCACCGGATCTTATCTCGCGTCGGGGAGAAATATGCCGCCGACTGTATTTCCTATTCTAGTTCTTGAGTAAGGAGGTCCTCTGCTTTTTAAAACTTGATGGCTTGCTCCCTGTCCATTCTTCACGATGTCCCTTGACGGGAAGGAGCGTTGGGCCGTATTCTCTGCAGTAGGTTTGGCGTTCGGACACAGCTCCTAGTTTGATTTTCAATCAAAGCTTTGGCATCCCTCAGTTATGTAAAATGAGTCGACTGTTTCTAGTCCCCGCTCCATCCATGCCTTCGGGAGAGGCAGTAGACAATATCTAGCAGGACGATAGCCTGCTTGTCTAATTCTTATTTTCTGTGCTCTTGTCTGAAGCAAGCCAATCATGCACCCTCGCCCCTTTTCCACAGCCATCAGTGCGTATCCCTGTATGCAGGTTTCCCGTAAGCCCGTCTAGACAGTACTCGCTAGAATTGTCTTCTAACTCGTCAACGGCGCCATGCGAGCGGTTCGACCGGTGACCGCCGCTAGCGGAGGAAGATTTGGCGTAGGGGTCAGCGTTCGTGGTGTTAGGAGTGTGATATTTGGAGGACCCGACAAGCGGGCCGAGGAGCGGCACGCAGGCGAGAGGCCGGCAGATGAGGGAAGCGGCTAATATTGTAACGACCGTCTACGACGCAACGACACTGATGGTGGCTCAGGCGACGATATAACGGACAGGGACTGGGAAGATGCGGAGGTAGAAGAAGAAGGTGGGGAACTTGGTGAAGTGCGTCGTCGTTGTCTCAGGTTACAGGCAAGTTAAGGAAAGGGACCACGGACGAGCAGCCGGGCAAGTCTAAGTTGACCCTCATGCACGACTATGGCGCGGACCTGAAACTACACCACCGCATCCTCGTGCCGAGCTTGGGTCCTGTCGCGGCACCGCGCTACCAGACATTGATGGAGCTCGAGTCGAATCAGCTCCTCTTCGACCTCATGTCCGCCATCGACAGCACTGCGGACGGTGACGGTGTCGCCGACATCTCGGTTGCATACCCTCTGCTTGAGAGGACGCAAGCGAGCGTCATCCTCGCATTCCATTACGGCATATGATATTGAGGCGGTGGACGCCGTTGACCCTTACGATATGGTGGTCGTGGGGTTCATGACGGAGCCCAAGAGATTCCGATTCAGGTTGAAGCCCAGGGGGCCTTGGGTAGAGAAAGTCTTCACCAAGGCGTGGGCGGGCGCACATAGAGACTTGGGCAAGGTCCTGGGGATCACGAAGGACGTGGAGATTTAAATCAGACGCAGGAAACTAAAACGGCGACGAGAATGTGTGGTGAAGTGCTTCATTACTCGAAGTTGTGTCTGACAGAGAATATGATGGTGATTGGTGCGACGGTGCTTCGGTATTTCCTATTCATATTCCTCACTAATAAATTCTACTCCTTTTTGAAATTTGGGCTATTTTGGTTTGGGCTCAAGACTTTACACCAACGTGGTCTGGTGGTCGGACTCGTTCCCAGTCTGATGTCCATCTCGGAAATTTAGCATGGACCATCCAGTTTCGATTCTCCTCTCTTAAATTTTAGATACGAAGACCCTATGCTCTCTTCAATCTCCGTACGCCACGCACCATGCTTTTGTCCGCAAATCCTTTGATGGGCCAGCAGCTGTTAAATACCTGGACGTGATCGATTACCATGCATGCGCGGGGAGCGAAGCCCCAAAAATCAGCGGCATGGGTGACCGTGGTCTTCCTCGAGATGCAGGCCAGGACATACACGATTATCAATTGCCAATAGACTCTGCCAATAGGATGGGGGGAGTCTCGGTGACGATCTTCTTAGTTCATCCCCGAGAAGAGATGCCCTAATCCAAATGTTCACAATGCTCAAGCACCTCCGTAAGGATCAGCTGCACTTCGGTACCGTGGATACTGAGCGAAAGAGAGAATTTCATTGGCTCACCCGCAAGATCACCCCGGTTCTGCATGACAACGGCCCGAAGACAGGGGACCGCGCCTCGCTACTGCAAGACGAGTGAAGAAAATTCCTGGGACGGGATTCCTCCGACTGTGTGTTGTGCCGCACGCCAGCGTTGGGATGAAACTCGTGGGATTCAGACCCCGGTTCAGCCCCAGTTACACAGAAGCACAGCCAGCATCTCCATTGCGCCACCACACCCAACTTTGGACGGGGGAGAATTGAAAGGCATTGAGAGAGTTAGCGAAAATGGTCGAGAGATGGGCCTGTAATGATCTTCGTGGCAGCTCAAGCTGACTGGGAAGGAATCGAAGGATCAATGATCACCACCCAAAAAACCCAGCGATGGACAGAAGGAAGGAGGAAGGAGTAAAGAGGGCGCAAGAAGGTCGAAGGTGCTGGGTATAAACTGGCCCAGTCCCGCATGGAGGTGTTTGGATGGAAAAGACCAGTTTCAGTATAGCTCGATTTTCTCTGTATCTCTATTCCAGAAAATGGCTGCGTGCGTATTGCTTCTTCACCTTTTGTTTTTCATCTTTACCTTGGGCCCTGTCACGGCCAGGCCAAGTGCACCTTCTTCTCGAAGTCCCTCCCAACGTCGTCAAAACGAATGTGCCGTCAGCATCACAGAAGATGAGATAAGAGCTGGTCTCAGAGAGAAAGCCATGGATCTAGGTCCAGGTTCTTTTCGCATCACCACCAACGCAGCCAACGGAAAAGCCTTCCTAGATGCCCGCCGATACACCGACGCCTGTGCTATCGAGGTCGTTTTCCAGCCCATGGAAAGCGGCGCAACCCAGGGTACAGGAAACGACATCAGATTCGCATTGTACCTCCCAAATCAAGGACAGTGGAATCAAAGGTTCCTCACCGTTGGCAACGGCGGCTATAGTGGCGAGATTAATTACAACAACATGTACGTGCGTGTGCGCCACGGCTTTGCCGTCATGAGTACCAATACGGGCCACGAGGGCGACATCAATCGAATGCAAAGCCTCGAGGTCCAGAAGGACTGGGCCTACAGAGCTATGAAGTACTCGGTGCCGATCGCCAAGGCCGTAGTCGGCAAATTCTACGGCGAAGATGCGGCCTGGTCTTACTACGCCGGTTGCTCTACGGGCGGAAGACAGGGCTTGAGGCAGCTCGAGGAGGATCTGGATAGCTTCGACGGGCTCTTGATTGGAGCGCCAGAGTTGGGGCGCGTACATTTACCAGCTGAACCAAGCCGCTCCCGCGCCGGATAGGATTGAAGGCACGAAGGTTGCTCTCATCAATGAAACAGTCTTCAAGGGCTGCGCTGATATGGTAGACAATACCTACCCTGTAATCAAGACACCCGAGGCGTGTCGCAAGAGATTCCAAGAGGACCCGATCCTGTGGAACGCCGGGTCAGAAACGGAAATGAACCTTCTCAATGGGTTGATATCCAGCCTGATGGACCCTGAGGACCCCAGCAATGTATTATACGAAGGTTACGATATTACAGCAGCCCCGTACTTCAATATCTTCATCGACAGAACATCGCTACTCTTCGCGTGGACCATCCACGATGGGTTTAGCGCACTTCTTCGCGAGGGCGGATTGGCGTGGGGCGACGGCCTCGAATATATCCAGGCGGCTCGAGCATGGAACGAAAGGGTGGGGAAATCGGAGGCAACCCCTATTAATCTGGTAGGATACGGGGGCAAGATTCTCATGTACACGGGCATGATAGACAGCTTCGTTCCGGGGCCCCATACGTTCAAGTATTTCGACGAAGCCTCCAAAGTAGTCGAGAACATCAAGTACTTTGAGGTGCCGGGCATGGAGCACTGCGCGGTCGGGGACCCGTCCTTGAGTCCCTGGTTCATCGGCGTTGATGGAATACCCGGCAGCAGTTTCAAGGTGACGGATAATCCGATCCCTGCCGACAGATTCAACACAACTCAGCGCGATGCGCTCATGGCCTTGATTGAGTGGACAGAAGGAGGAACGGAGGTTACTACGTTAGAGGCTGTTGTTTTTGAGGATAGCACATGGGGAACAACGTATGAAGAGAAAGGTAGTATGATATTAACAGCGAAAACGGTGAGGAGCTAGGGGAAGAGATGAGATGAGTGGAAGTGGAACCCAACCCTTCAGGCAAGGAAAGCCACATGTACGCAAATGATTCTATATTAAGTGTTAAAGAGTCTGTTCTTTGAGTGACTTACTATCGTCTCTGTCTGTAAGTAGAAGTGAAAGCGGAATTATACCAACCTAACCTCCAGATGGCAGGTCCAGTACTGATTCGGTCATTGCTTTTTGGCCTGGCTGTGTTCTTCATCCATCCTCTCCCCGTAGAACCCGTTCTGATATCGAGGTAAAACTGTGGAACGAAAAGCCGCCCTTCTTTTCCTGGGTGCAGGAAGCGGATAGTTACATAAGTCTCCTTGCCATCATCGCGGTCTTGAAGATGGCTGGCAAGGCCGGCAAGAGCTCAAAGCTGCTCGAGTCTGGGCTGATGTCCCACTGGTGCTTTGTCATCAAAACGGATTGGTCAATTGTTGTTCTACTTCACGTTCAGCGACGGAAATTAAACACGAATGTTTCCGTATTCATCCACCTCCCCGAGGGGCCAGCATGAATCCCTCCTCGCGGCCAATACTTATATCATTCAGCGTGATACTGCGTAAGGGTTCCCGGCCATCTGCAAATCAAAAGTGCGCCCCAGTTCTTCGACAGACAAAGCGGCCATTTTCTTCCCAGCCCAGATCATCAGTTCCAACCCACGGCCCGATTTTCCGGTATGAGTGGATGGATGGTGTTGAAAGCCTCGACAACTATCGGCCTGGAGGCTTCCACCCTGTCATAATCGGCGACGTCATTCATGATCGTTACAGAATCATCAACAAGCTTGGTTTCGGCTCCAACAGTACAATATGGCTCGCACGCGACGATCGACGGAGAACATACCTCTCTTTAAAGATCTCCACGGCAGATTCGATGGCGCCTAAAGCGGCAATCCTCCAGGATATCTCTGGGCCACCCTCCAGTACCGATGACTGCAGGGAGATTCCCATCCCGGTAATCCTAGATCAGTTCACCATCAAAGGCCCGAATGGTACCCACCAGGCCTACACGACGGCACCTGCTCGAAGCAGTGTATCGGATGCCTGCGCTTCGACGCTCTTCCCTCTGGAGACGGCTCGTACCATAGCTGCGCAGCTTGTTTCGGCAGTCAAGTTCGTTCATTCTAGGGGATATATACATGGAGGTAAGGGGCTAAAGTTGTGACCCGTTACCGTATCTTCGACAAACAACCGCCTAATCCAGCTCCCAGATATCCACCTCGGCAATGTTTTGATACGGCTACCATCGAGTTTCGACGGCTACACACCTTGTCAGCTCTCCCAACATTTTGGACCGCCACAAACAGCCCCCGTCATCCGACTCGACGGCCAACCGCTATCGTCGAATGTCACTCCCTACGGAGTCACTCCAATGTGGCTTGGGAAGCGCGCCAGAGACCTCTCGCCCGCCGAAGCTAGGATAACTCTTAGCGATTTCGGCGAGGCCTTCAAGCCCTCACTGGAGTCTCGCATAGGAGAGCAGTGCCACGCCCCCCTCCCCGTCACACCTCCTGAGGTCCTTCTCGAACCGGAGCAGCCCTTCTCTTACCCGTCCGACATCTGGTCTCTTGCCTGCGCGATCTGGTCAATTGTCGGGCCGCGGCCCATTATCGACGCCACTCTGGCAACATGCGACGATGTCATTTCTCAACTAGTCGATATACTAGGGCCTTTGCCGCTGACCTGGGATGCGAAATGGGAGGCCCGCCACGCATATTTCGACGACGCGGGACGGCGGAAGGGTGGCCGTTATGTCTACCCTAGCCTTGAAACTTTATTCCAACCTAACATCCAGCAGCCACGATTAAGGGACAAAATGGATATGATGGATGATGAAGAGAAGAAAGCTTTCCTCGATCTGCTTCGTCATATGTTGGCCTTTAATCCAGCCGATAGACTAACTGCTGCGGAAGCTCTAGAATCCGGGTGGATGATTCGATGGGCGAGGCCGGAGTTGGAGAAATGGACTCAAACGTCTCGTAGTTTTGCTTGAGATACTGAAGAAATATACCCCTTGCAAAGAACTTGACTGCCAATACAATCACATTATACGAGATTGAGAATGGTAAAGCATGCCATAATACTTTTATTGAGATGCCCATCTTCATCGTGACGGGTGTACGACCTCTCCACACTCAGGGCATTTCTGGTGGTGTAATAGCAGTCCTGAAATCCTCACCGCCTCAACCAGGCGTCATGCAAGCAAGCCTATATCCATTTATACGGGTTGTACTTCTCGATACGCCCTTCTCCGGGCACACATCCCGCTGGAATATCGCCGTCAAGACATGGTTTGAAAAGTGCATGGCCCGTGTTATTCGCCAACCAACACACCCTTCCGATGCCCATTTGGTAGTGGTTCAGAGGATTTTGCGGACACAAGAGAACGCCGTCGGACTCCTGACACTGGCCCAAACATCCCGTGTAAGCACCAAGCTCGGTACACTCGTCCTCCGGCTCGAACTCCTCCTCAGTGCCTGAGCAAGGCATATCTGAAGCACGGCTTGAGGCGGCAGTCATGTACGTGGACTCGGATTCGAAGGCGGTAAACGTTGTGTAATGGGTCGCGTTTCCACCTTCTGTCAGGAATGCGGAGGGGCATTCGCTCTCTTGGTAGATAGTACCCAGGCTGATGTATTGGTCCACTGCCGTATGAACCACCTGGTGCGGATAGGTCGCCGCTGTTGCTGGCTCGATTATCCATGTGACGAAGGTGAGTATGGTCAACACTACGGTTCGGTCCGCAACCCCAGGGAAAGGGAGAAGGGTCTGTGTTCCCATAAAGAGCTGGACCGCTGACCCGCCGAAATCCGGATAGGCAGGACAGTCTTCGGTTGCGGTCTCGGCTGGTTCTAGGTATGATTCTTCCTGGGCTACTCCGTTCTGGAGATATGAAAACAGAATGAGGCCGAAGAGGTAAAGTCGATTGCCACGCCAAGCAAACATGGTGGATTATTATCCTGTTTCACTTTTTTTTCTTTTTTTTTTTTTTTTCTTTTCTTGTGGGTCAACTGGAAAAGGATTATGATGGTCTAGTAGCGAGCGGCTGGATGTGTGCGGATATTTCTATGCCAGTGAAAGCTAGAGAATGAGAAGTGACGAGATTTTGATTGCATCCCACGATCCCCACCGGGCCTGAAAAGGAATTCTCTCGTTTATATTCGGTCGTATACCACATTATCTATACTACGATATTGTTACACAGCAATAACCTTGATCATTTATTCATGACGCAGATGGCACGCATTCGAGTTTGGTCTACGAATCAATGCCCAAGTCGGACATAGGCTATGTTGAATGTAATATCGAGAATGGGACCGGAGCGGAGATATCCATGGAACCGTACCGGACGTAAATTCGTTTTCATCCTTTCCATCTATTAATACCAATGATCGCGGGCGGTAAATTAGGCTCGTCAAGATTAGATTTGCATGCAAAGTGCCACCAATGCTCGGCTCTTTCTCTCGCATGGCCAGGGTACTCAAGCCAATCGATTATTGGCTTCACGTCCCGGAAAGAGAAGCACCGCAGTTTAGGATGTTGAAAGTCGTCCCAGGTCATCAGCAGATGGCCTCCAGGGCGCTCGCTTCGTCAATAGGTGCAGGTATAACCCTCGCTCTGGATGCGAAGTGGCTGGGAGTAAACGAAGTCTGGAAAATTCATGCGATAATTTACCGTGTCACATGACTGGTGGCGCTGGGCGTGGCCAGAAGCCGAGGCGGAAATTCCTCCTCACGAGGCCGATCAACAGGACTGGGACCGTGGGCGGCCAGCGATAATAATCAATCCTAGATTCCCAATAAGCCGAGTGCTGGTATTCCGCTTCTCCCCTCCCCTGAAGCAGACGACGGACTTCGTACTCCCCCTTACTTCGTAATGTTAACTCGACAATAACTATCCTAACTCGGAGTATCCGCTCCCTCACCCCTGGGCAGCTAGAGGCCGGATTGATCTGAAGATACGTAAATTCTGAGTCCTGAAGCGGGAAATCGATATTCGATATCCAGTCCATCATGAGCTTAAGCCATCTTTGCACGCGATGCCGAACCGGCTTCCAAGTGCTCACTACCAGTCAGCACATGACGAAAAACTCCGCAATGATCCACGCCCAATACGTTCCCGAGGATCAGCTCCCAACCCAAACCGGCGAAGAAGGCGTGGTTGATCTCTACTCTCTAGCGGTCCGGGATATGAAGGACGGGGTGAACGAAGGGTGCCACTTCTGCATCCTTGTCCAGGGATACATTTCTTCAACATCAGATACTACGCCCTTCATCCAAATCTCGTTGTACCCGCGTCTTCCGGAAAGAAACTTGGGGATGATGATCTTGCAGCCGTCGAATGAGCCACCAGGAGAAGCCAAACCTGCGCCAGTCTTCCAGACCTTGATAATCCCTGACGGCGGTGACCTGAACTTCAGAGAATCAAATTCGACACGGTCTGATTCTCATCAACGACTCGTCGAATCTTGGGTTAGCGAGTGTCGTCTCAGTCATCCAAGTTGTAATCAGCGTGTAAATGGCTCAATCTTTGTTCCGACACGCCTACTTAAGCTTGATCTCGTCGATCCGCAGTCGGTTTCCCTTCACTGCCCTGATTCACAGAAGGAAAACCCACGATATACAACTCTGAGCCATTGCTGGGGCGGCGCGACGACGATCCCCAAGTTGACGCACCAAACACTTTCGCAATTCAAGTCCGGCATCAGGTTCAAAGACCTCCCTCGCAATTTTCAGGATGCCATATCCATCACGCGGAACTTAGGCCTCGAATACGTCTGGATCGACTCTCTGTGCATTATTCAAGATTCACCCTCGGACTGGAGAACGGAAGCCTCTCGCATGGCGTCGGTATATGAGAATGCATACGTGACAATCGCTGCGGCGGCAGCGAAGGATCCTTTCGGCGGGTGTTTTAGCGCTCGTGATAGCGCTCTCCAGTCAGCTTGCCACATCCCGGCGGGAATATCGGGGACGGACTTCCATGTCGTCCCGCCCTGGAACGTATCACGGAACAAGGTTAATGCAGTGAGAAAATCTGCTCTGCTCTCCCGCGGCTGGGTCTTCCAGGAAATGGTTCTCTCGCCGAGTGTGGTCTTCTTTCTTGAGGACGGCATCGTGTGGAGCTGTCGAAAGGGTGAGGCGTCCGAACAGGTTCCTACCGGTCAAGTTCCCGACCGCTCTCTGGACGGAAGGCCTACAGCCATAGTTAGCCCTTCTTCTAACTCTCGATATCAGAACAAGGCAATTCATGATCAGACTACTCAGCAATTTGTTCCCGCGCGAGGACTCTTCAAAACCATCCTAGACACTTCCATACGCGTGTGCAGTCCATCCCAAGGCCAGAAACCGTGGGTAGACTTCAGCCAACAGTGGTTATCCATAATTGCGCAATATACTAGGTTAAATCTGACATTCATTACCGACCGCGCGATTGCACTATCCGCAATCGCACAGCGTGTGAAGGAACATTCCGGTCTGACTTATGCCGCCGGCTTGTGGGAAGAATCCCTCGCGGTCGACCTTTTATGGACCACAAAGGACCCGAAGGCGGCCGCGCGGCCAACTTCCTACCTGGGACCATCTTGGTCTTGGATCTCTGTAGAAGGGGAAATCAGCAAGGATCTTTGGGGAAGTGGGCATTACCTTGGCCGTGATCCGATCGTATGCATTGAAAATGCACGGCCCAAGATTCTGACATATCCGGAGGACGTCCACAAAACAGGTCAGGTTCAAACAGGCAGCAGCCTTGAGCTAGAAGGGGCCATTCTTCCATGCACCCATGTTGACACCCCAGGGAAGGATCATTTTGGTAGATCCACCTGGAGGATATGGCCGAAGCCAATAGGCCGAGTGGATCCTGACAGCGAGGATTGGTTTTCTTTCTACCCAGACATAGTCGCTGAGGTGGTCACGGTCGACTTTGGCCAAGTCTACCTGCTCCCTACGGTTTTATCCAAGTATATGATGTTCCAGGGAAAGGAAAACACCTGGGGACTTGCGCTTCTGTGCCACGGATCCTATTATACCCGTGTTGGAACGTTCGCTACAAGGACAGATATGGGCCGTTTTGTACGGAGCAGCTCGACTATCATAATCAAGTAGTATTGAGACAAAATTTCCCTCCCTCGCACAATTTCTCCAGATGGATCGCGCTCCATGAGAGGAGGTAATGACGAATAAATGGGAGCCCCTTCATGTTATACTATTCAGTTCCCAGTTCCATACAAGTGGCTATTGTCCCGACCCATAAGGCTCGTACATATGGACACAGGTGCCAGTCTGGTCCGAGAATTTTTCGAACCGGCATCATCGAAGTCGAGATTAGGCCTGCCTGTTCCAGACTACAGTAGATTAGTGATGCAGCATTTGGGTCGTATTCCATTAATTAGCCCGAAGTGTTACGAGTCGTATGTCGGCGCCTTCTAGCAGCTAAAGCTCATAGGCCATAATATCGCGCAGCAATCCATGTTGAGCGGATGCTCGAGTCAAAGTTTACTTCATAGTCAGGAGACTAAGAAAGGAAGACTAGCTTAACTCCTACTTAGACACCACGGTAGGTATGGGGCTTAAACATCGTAGCGATGGTGGATACTAAGCCCTCTCTGCTTCTCCCTCAGCTCACCTAGTTTCCTACTTGTCTCCTATGTAGAGCTCCGATTGGTTTCCCACCAACCTGTTAGGCACCAATCCCACTAGTTTGCTCATTCTCCAGCTAGGAAAGGATTCTCCTCAACTCTACAGGTATACTCTAGTTCCTGTCGTTTCCTTCATGCTGTTCCAAGTATAGTGCCAATTGCCATTTCGTGCTGGCTCGCTCCCGTGTTCTGTGGCTGTTCCGGCACCCCACCCGGCCTACCGGGGTACTGCCGTGTCGTGGCCGCCCTGTGCCGTGATACAGTATTCACAGTATAGAGAGAAGTGTGTATTCAAGTGTCCTGTAGGCGCGTAGTTGTAGCTGAATTAATTGACTACTGAAGAGTATTGAAAGTAGGCCTAATTGAAAGACAAGCCATTGGCGATCATGGTAGGATCGTGGCTTCTATAGCTGTTTCTCCTCCCAAGCTGTGCGCTTGGTGCAATCACCATTTCACCAGAGTGATTACCGCCCATAATTCTTTGGCTCCGACAAGCTTTACCCGTGGCTGGTGTTTCTGTCGGGTGGTTGGATGGCTCGTGCCTCGATACCGCGGATTCCCCTTTCTGCTGCAGTTTACATACACTTGGGCCTTGATAAGGTCCTCAGTTGCGGCAGCCCGGATGATAATAATATTAGATCTTCCCGAATGAAGCCCTTCTTCAATTACTCGGCCAAGGACAGCTGTTATGCCCCATGTAATGTCAAATAAATAAACCAAAAACACCGCAACGCCTCTTCCCATGAGTGTAGTCGTCCTGGCTCCCCTGGTTTGTTCCCTTCGATCTGGAGCAAAGGTCGTCCGTGATGCTTGAAGCTGTAATCGGGGCCTATGTGTGACCGGGAGCCGGATTCTCCCTTACCGTCGGCCCTACCATGGCCCTCCGAGCCCCACTGCGTTTATGGTTTTTACGGCACCACGCTGCACAGCACAACCCCACCACCAGAGAACCGATCAACGGAAGTCCAATAACTAGGAAGAAATACCCGCGCATGTCTGCATGCGATAGCCCGTCCTTACTCCCATCGCATACTCCTAGCACTTTTGGATCAACCGTCTCACCAGGCACCCACGAACTTAATGATGAAGTTATGCAGGAAAACTGTGGCGGGGGCGGGCTGAGAGTGGTAATATCAGTGGTTTCCCACGAGATGTGCCAGGCGTTGTGTACTTCCAAACCGTTGGGAAAGTGCTGGCTTTCAGTTTGGGCTGAAGGTGTGGAATCCACGGAAATGTCCTTAAAGCATGCAGAGGTTGAGATGCCGTAAATCGGCAAGCCGGTGATGTAAGAAAAACTAAACCCACTGATCCATGAAAAAATACATGATTAGCAATTAAGGACATCCTCGCCAAGGTAGATTTGAAAGATCCAAAATGCCGGGATAGAACGGAATGTACCTCGAGCAACAATGTGCAGTCCAGACAGTCCTTTGAGAAGTCGCAGGTGATATGACGGCCGGAAACCTGGGCGCGAGATCATACGCCGTCCATCCGCTGGGGCAGACAGCTGGGCTGAAATGGAAGGAGGACGTGCCCTGGTCCCATCCCGGAGGCTGGCAAGCAGCAAACCGATAGTCAGCTGGACCGGAGGCAAGAATGCTAACGGTGGTATTCGAACCGCTGTGCCAATAGAAGCTTGACTCGAAGCTAGTCGTAACGAATTGGTCGGAACAGTTTTGCGGTGGAACAAAAGGTGTTGTTAGCGCGTGAGGCGCTGCCGCTGTCGAAGACATTCTTGTGTGATGTTGTCCTATCCCAGGACTCTCATACTCACCAGGTTGTGAGAGTTTTGAAAAAGCATAATGAGGATAGCTAGCCTACCTTCCAGTCGTATTGGGATGGAAGAAGGGATAAGAGTGAGAAGCCGGATTCATGGGTTATGCGTTACACCGTAGGGTAGCATTAGACGCGAAATTACACTGCCCTTTGGGGACAACCAGTAAGTAGTCTCTGCAACCAGTCAGACATCGTGAAACCACCCCCGTGCTTCTCCTGGGAAGTGAAATGCTGCCCTTTTGTTCCTGCATTTTCATTCTGCAAGTGTCACGCAGAAGCACAGCCGTAATGGATCGATTATGTGGTTTTCGGTGAGTGCGCCCCTGCTGCAAGAAGCTCGAATCAGACAAGCTGGAAATTAGCAGCCGTAAATGGCAGTCTTGTCCGGTGATTCGTGAACTAGCATACGCAGCGGATAGGACGGCAGACTTGTATCACCACCATCCGTTTCCAGTACCGTTTCCACCAGTACCGTCGCAGCCAAAGCACTCGGTGGAGTGCAATTTAGGGTCGACTGTTCCGTCTTGAGCAACCGCGCAGAGCGCCATTGTCCTACATACAATATAAAGTGCAGTAAAGATGACTGAGGTAGGGGCACGGACTCATTGAACTTTGTCTGTGTCGCATACAGGGATTATGAACGGTGCGCCAAATTGTGCATTTGCACATGGCGATCGAGAGGCCAGAGAATACCTCCATTCCCTGTGAGGACGAATGGGAATTTACGCTAAATAGCAGGGCCACTCTTGCAATATATAGCTGATAATTAGTTGCGTTTTTGTAAGATGATGGTAGTCTAATGGTCTGATGCCTCACTCTTTCTTCTTGGCCAGTTCAGCCATTCCACCTTTTCGACACTCAACTTTCTCTCGCCAAGAAACGTCTCTCTCCGGAGCCCAATATATATGTCCATTCTCGATTATATTCTTGTAAAATTCTTTTTCTTCTAGTACTCATGTGCATCTGCCAGCCCTTTCACAGCCCACTCTTCAAGTAGCGGACATGCCGATATGGCGATGGCTCAAAGTGCAAATGAAGCGGGTACCACTCACATATTCCCCTCATTCTATGCGGTAGGCCGATTACTGGGAATTGGCCCGTCTTGCCGTGTGCTGGGTACCCGGTCCAAGATTCGTTTCCTGGAACATCCATCCCTCATCAACATGCCGTTGTAGTACGGTAGACGACCATCCCGAGCGTCCCTCGGCGTGAGCGCGATCCCGATAGGAGGGACGTCGTTGCCACTGTCGAAAGTTTTGTATAGGTTTCTATATCCCGGTCTGATAGCGGCTTCCACTTGAAGATCGGGGCAGTGAGGAAAGACATGCCAGCGCCGTAGGACAACTTAGGGCAAGCGTTAGGTCACCTTAAGTTTTAGAAGTCTCTTACAGGTAAATAAAAAGGCTACATCTCCTGTACCATCTCCTTTGAAACTGATCTCACATGTGGCAGGGGCGACCCACCACCACCAGCCGTCAAGAAGGGAGCGGTAGCAAAATAACAAACCCAATTGATCGCCAGCTTAGCACTACGACGATTGGACATGGTAATCGACGCAATCATATATCTGGCCTTTGTATTAGAGGAAGATGTCTAATGGATTGTCACAATCGGCCCACTCGAACCTACAAAAGAAGGCTCTGCAGCAGGGATCAATGGAATTTGAAGGAGGAAAAAACAGACCCTCCGAGAGAGGACAGCAGCGTTCAATGCTATGCTACCTTCCTATCATTATCTGATGGGCTTCTACAAAGACCCTAAGGGTGCTGCGCCACTCCAACAGCCGCCATCTAGGGACGGCGTTAACACGATTATCTGGTCGGTATTATAAGGTAGCGCTCCCACCACCATATTCTGGAAGGGAGGTCGGCCGAATGTACTCCATACTTCGCAGTTGCAATGCCAAGAGCCGGGAAGGAAAAGACCAAGACGAGAAACCCGGAGTGGGGTCTGTGATACGCTAGGGACTGACCAGCTCAACCGCGGCCTTTCTTGGCGTACCTTGCCACGAGCTGGTAGTTCCATACACCCTTGTCTGTTCCTTCCAGTTGACGCGATGGGGCATCGGGTAGGCTGACAAATCTCGACGTCGCCCACGACCCTTGGTTCTTTCCCTCTCCCGAGAGGCAGACGGACTGCCGATGTCTGTGGTGTCTGATATCAAAGGCACACTCTACGCTGTAGCTTTCAAAGATTCCTTAATTGCAATATTAATGAATCTGAGGGACTGTTAATTATGGGAGCCCATGAGCCTCGCAGCGCCCCAGAAGCGTTGAAGATGATGGCAGAAGAACAACACATCGAGCATGAAACCATCAACTTTCTCTGTTATAGCCGCAGCATCCTCGTCCGTAAACTCCCATTCGCAAATCCAATTTAGCTGCCGTCTGGAGATGGGCTTGTTGGTGTGTTGCTCGGCAGAATGCCCCCAGGTCCGGTCCTCCGCGACCAGTCCCAGTATGGTTGGCGACTGGCCGTCCCGCTCAGATCTCTACTACCCGTTATTGGCCAGGCTGAGTGCCGTGGCTGAAACAAATCGAAATCTTGGGTCCCGCTGGAGTGGTGGGCAGCAATTCTCCGACAATAAATATATACAATATAAATTATAGGGCGGGGTTGCGCTGAGCCGAATACCCGCACTGATTAAATTTATATGACAGGGAGGGTATTGGTAGAGGCTGGATTGGACCGCATTCAGGATCATTTTTCTACTATAGCTCGTTTCTTATTTACTGTTATCTCATTTAATCTACGCGAAATAGATTTGGATGGTCATGTTCGCCCCGGCATCTACAAATCGGGACAATGACCACACGGCACTTACACAACAGGAACCGCTGGAACCGTAGAAAGTATTAAGAGCCCGTCTCCACTCCGATGCAGGTCCGCTTCCTCTTCCTCGCCTCCTTGTGCACATCTCTACCATCGAAGCCAACCCGTAGCCGAGATGAAGCCTTTCTCAGCCACCGCTCTCGCCCTCGCCCTCGTCGCCCCTGCCAAGGCAGGTCTGCGCTTCGGATGCTCGACGCTGACTATCCAGCGACTCGACCCCATCGTCGAGCCTGGCGCGGTCCCTTCGTCCCATCTTCACCATATCGTTGGTGGAAATGCCTTCAACGCCTCCATGGGCGCTGATATCGGAGACAGGGGCACCTGCACTACGTGCCAGATGAGCGAAGACTTTAGCAATTACTGGACTGCCGTCCTTTATTTCAAGCACCCTACGAACGGTTCCTATCATCGCGTGCCGGTCACGAATAACGCCGCCCTGGCTCCGGGGACGACCGGCGGGATCACCGTCTACTACACTCAGTTCGATTTCAATACTGATGCACTGAACAGGCAGCCTATCAAGGCTTTCCCTCCAGTGAGTGCCTCTTATTGCGGTGGTATCACTCGCCTACATAATTCTAACCTCCTCTGTCTCCCAGGGCTTCCGTATGACAGTTGGAAACCCCGGCGCCAACGACCCTGCTGCAGCCAGGTCCGCCGTCGGATTGCGTTACAACTGCCTTCAGACTCTGATTAACAGAGGTCCCGAGCTGGCCGACTTCCCCGACAGGCCATGCCCGGCCGGCATCTTCGCGGTCCACCACTTCCCCGCGTCAGTAACCGATTCCACCACAACACAAAAGAGCAACTTATGCTAACCTTTTTTTAGATGCTGGGACGGCAAGAACCTTGACAGCCCTGACCACCAGTCTCACATGTTTAACACTATGGACCGTGGCGGTTTTACTAATGCTCCCCCGTGCCCGGCATCCCATCCCGTCCGCATGCCCCAAGTCACATACGAGACTGTCTGGGATACTCGACAGTTCAACAGCATGTGGCCGGCAGGAACTCCCAACCCCTTCGTATGGAGCTTCGAAGGTAGCGCCTTCGGCACTCACGGTCCGTTGAACCACGAGTTTGATTCTATTATTCTATACTAATGTATTTGAGCGTAGCCGACTACCTCTTCGGCTGGAAGGGCGATGCGCTCCAGCGCGCCATGGACAAGTCTGAATGTTTCTACGATGGATGTGGGTCTATTACTAAGCAAGACATGTCCGAGGCCAACAAATGCAAGGTCGAGACTTTGGTGAACGAGGAAACCGACGGATGTATGTTTTGAGTGTCTTGTTGTTTTCTTCGGATCTATGCTAACTTTGATATTAGGGCTCACGTCGCGTCCGGGACAGTCGGATGTATAAGTATGTGTACTTCATCGCAAGGGAAATCTCGCTTCGGTCACTCGTTGGTCAAATTTAATCTACTTCTGCTGTCTGGGACGAGGAATCGTTCGAGTGCTCCTCAGCCCTCCAACTGCGGCTCATCGACTTCACCCCACATCTTCATCTCTTGATTGTTCAAATTGTTTCGAAGTCGATGAGTCAGCGAACAGGTACTTTGTATTTTCTTTCTGGCGGCCAGTGTTTCTGCTGCCAGCTGGCATTATGCTTGTCAAACCAAGTCCAGCATCATTCTTTCCTCCCACGAAACCTGTCCCTTCTTCAGCAACATTCCGTTCCACCGACCTCTTGGTATAATATAAGTTCTGATACCTCAACGAATCCTCTCGTTCAGTCACACTCTGTCGAAGTTGGGACTAGAGCACATAGAGAAATTCAGATCACAATGGCACATGATAAAATCCGTAGATCGATTTCCTCCTCGTTTTCCCGCAGATAATGAGATCATTGGTAAATTCATCGGAGGTTATTGTAGTAAGTGCAGCACCATAGCTCTCTAGCCGCTGCGCTACTTCTGGGCTCTATACCCTGGGCTCGAATTTCAGTTAACGCATACATGAAATGACCATCGCCGGCATCAACTTGACTTATTCTGCAGTTCTCGATAGAGACTTTCGGCATAGCCACTCCATCAGATCAAAAGTACTACTCTCTTCACCAGGCTCCTCCTGCTCATCGTCTTCATCGTCTTCATCGTCTTCATTGTCTTCACCATCTCCGAAAAAATCCAACCCCGTCGTGCTAACTTCAGAACGCGGAAGCCAGAATGGCCTGGTTGCGTATGGCTCAATTGCAAGTGAGACGTCGGGTCTGATGGCGGCTGCGATACTGGCCGTTGTAACCTCATCGAGAGCGTGATTGATCACTTGTCTCGAGGATGAGACGGTCGAGAACCCGGCGACACCGAGAATCTCCATCCGCTGCAGGCGGTCCCAAGCACTTTTTAAGATTGTGGGGAGAATGTACCGACAGAATCTCTCATCCATAGCACGCCTTCCTAGTTGCCCCGAAAATGGGTGCCTGGCGCCGCATCGTTGCGTGTGTGGTCTGTACCACCCATCGAGCCATTGGACATTTGTCACACTTTGCTGGAATCTAAAATACCGCAAACCGGGCGCCATCGCCGCGACGAAATCCGCTATTTCTCTATATCTTTCGTCCTCCTTCGAATCATACCAGCCAGGGCTGAAACGACCTCTCATCATGTCCTCGGTGATCGTGACCGACTCTGCAACGGTATCCACTGTGAGAACCTCGAGGCCTTTCCATTTTCCCAAGAACGGCCATAAATGAGTTCGCATCGGCCCGGGAATCCCATCTTGTGGAGTCGTGCGATTGAGTTTGCGCATAACATCAAAGGGCGTATCCGAGTCGACACCTTTAAGCTCTGCAAACTCGTTCAGGTTGGCCAGATGGAGGCTTCGGAGTGTGTCTTGACCGGTGGATTCCAGGAGAGATTTAATGAGCCGTCTTGATGCAATGCCGCCTATCCTTAGAGATTTGACTGTCGAAAAGAGACGCGGCGGTATTGCCCTCTCTCTGCTCTCCTCACAGGCGAAGGCAATGTCAACCAGCTCCACGTTGGTCATGGCTGAAAATGCCATCCACAGAAGATCTGGAGGTTAGAGTATTGTATGAGCGCACAGCACTAGAACATACAAGGAGGATGTATAGTAACCAGTTGGCTCATACCGTTGCACCAAGGAAAATCAAGCCATGGCCTGCACTGCTCAATTTCTTGCTTGGTCATTTTAGTATCCGTGTCTAACTCGTCTAAAGGTTCGCACCATCTCTCCTGAGTTTCGTCAGACATGGGGACGCCGGCAGTCCATCTCAGCTGCCTGACGTGGTGGCCGAGGGCTGGATTCAACTTTACAAGCGTGCGTATTAAAAAGAATTGCCTCTCGTACAAATCGGCCGGGAAGCAATCCCCGACGGCTTCGACAACTCCTGTTGCGGAGCTAAGGTAATGGGACAAGCGCTTGAAGCCCTGGTCGCCGGGCCCTTTCCATGGTGGTGCCGGGCCACTGGTCTCGATTCCGCCAGTCTTCTTCCAGGTCGGCTCCGGATAATGGCATGCTAAATCGATGGTTTTATACAGGATTTTGTTGGCCAGATTGTAAAACTCTCTGCTCACGAGACAAACATTGGCAAGGTCGCCTTGGCTCAAAAGTTCCAGAACACAGATCTGCAGTTCGGGCTGCAGGCGCTGGTAGAGATGCCCTGTCATATTGTGCCAGTAATGCGTGAACTGCGGACAAAAAGTGAGTGGATAATACTGGGCGGATAAGAATCTAGATTACTCGAGGGAGGGGCTCTGCAATATGCCAACGGAATGAAGGGAGAGTAGCGTGAATGGGGTTTAAATAATCCTAAAAGAGAACGACCAGCCACCGCACAGGCCCCCAACCAACACACAGTTCCATCCATGAGCTACCCCGGCTTCTCTTATCCACCACTCAAAGTTGTTGAGCTCGCACCAAGGCCATTGTTCTAGAGACCATCTTTGATGACGCTCACACGTTTGGGTATGCCATCCTTCTTGTGGAGGTACTGGTATATCGGCCCAGGAAGAACAGGGCCTTATGCGGTCCTACTGGAGCAGGGAATTTTCTGGGAGCACCTGGGGGTATTTGGTGGGAGAACTTGGGCGTAGGCGTGCACATTTAGGCATGCGGCAACGATCATTGAACCGGGGCGCCTGGCATCGGGGACGAGTGAAGCGTCGAGGGGGAACGCATGACGGTAACGGCGCACAGGAAGTGATCAAAAGAAATACATTCCATTAGGAGAGAACGACGAACAAAGAACCCCGATGGATTATCCCGCTAAGTAACACATCAGGCCGCTTGCACCGCGGAAGCCTCAGCCATAAACCCGACGCGTGAGCACGTGATTACGTGACGTCTCCGGATCTCTCCATGAAGAAAGACCAAACGATGTGTTCTGACATCACAGACCGAACTTCACGCGCGGCCAATCAGAACTGTGGATTCAAACTACAGCCCGGTAGCCCTACTTCTTCCTCTCCTCTCATTCTCACAACCCGTTGCCATCCCTTCACCATCCCCTCATCCACTCCCAACCTCGCCATCGCGCATAGAACGGTAGGAGGCCCATACGTCCCTCATTGGTCTCGAGACATACAGTTGTTTGGAAATTCTAACGCGCATCACAGTCTCCTCGATCTCTTGATAGTCTTGAAGAAGTTCTCGCCTGCCCTCGCTCGCTCCTCATTTGGCAATTGCGGTGATATCAAGCCGCAGTTCCATCGCTCTCCTCCAAGGCAAGCTCTGCTAAACACAAACTCCAAGGCGTTATGCCCATTCTCACATATCTAGAAAACTCTAGACCTCTCCGAACTTCCGAAGTTCCGGGCTCGCTCTGTTTTCGACACTGCATTTGCTCCCTGTCTCGCCTTTTTACCCTCTCTTTTTTACCATCTTTTCCCCTTGGCTATCTCTTCCCCCAGCCGATATCGATCCAGGTAAGATCCACTCCGTCTACGCCATCTCCATGTTTTAGCTGTCCTTTTGGACACCGCTAATTATTCGTTTCCCTAGCTGGTGCTCTCAAGCACGCCGAACATCACATTGGGTTTTACGACCTTCTGCTCCGGACCCTCCAACATCGCTGTCGGATCATATCGACCGCGAGACCTACGACCGGTACAATTGCGTCGTTCCTATCCCCTGCAAAGAAGACCGATGCATCCGCCGCCTCGTTATCCGAGGGTATGCGGCGAAGCAGGAGCTGGCAGCCTTCAATCGCCTCTTGGAGAATCCGGAAGCGCTCGAAGTCGTTCAGTCAAGTTAGACGCAGGGGGAAGTTTATCGCTTCTAACAATTTCTGTAACGGACAAGCCGCTTTCCCCCTCGGCCAGAATTAGGCGGAAATCATCAAGCGTTTATGCGTGTCGCTCCTTCGACTGCCTCAACCAAGTTAGAGGCAAGGGGAAGTTTATCGCTTCTGACAATTCCGACGAGTCAACAAACCCGATGAGCCCGGCACAATTATGATAATCGCACCCTACCGAACTGCCATCAATAATTGCCGCTCGCTCGTTCAGTCGGCCAAGGGGAGAGTGGGCGTACGGACGGTCGACACGGCGCAGGGCAATGAGGAGGACGTACCTAGCTCGCACAAGGACGCCCAGCTTCATTGACGATCCACAGGCTGAACGTCGCGATTACAAGGGCACGCCAAGCGGAGATTATCCTGATGCATCCTCATACGGCCAAGAGGAAGGTGGGCATGGAGCTAGAGAGCATGAAAATCTGCTCGAGATGGGGGAGGAATGTGATCGCTGGAGAGGGGGCAAGATGGTCATCGACACATCGGACCGACGCACGGCCTCGCTGGGATTTAATGGACTGTTTTATTATGATGACGGTGGAATGACGCTTGATGTACTACTGGATTGATGACGAATTTAACAGAGACAGCCCCCGTTTGGTTGAGGACTTGACGATGGATTCTAGTCTGAAAGGAGCCAAAGCTGTTGGCATACAATATACACAGCCCCAGTTGGAACCCTGCATTGTGTGCTTTGTAAAGAAAACCTTCACGTGATTGTCTCTACAAATCTGGAGCGAAACTGCCCGTCGCGTTCTCGAGACGCGATCTGTGTGATCACGTACTCGCCTTGACGCGCAGCCAATGAGAAATGCTCATTCAAACTTCAGCCCTACCCCACATCTGAATGTACTGCCTCTCAATAGCGAGCCAATCAGAAATTGCTATTCAAACTGCAGCCCTGCAGCCCTACATTTCCGTCTCCTCCCATTCTCGCAACTGAAACCATCCCACCATCCCTCTGCCGTCTCTCTCACCATCTCCAGACTTCCCCATCGCGTTTGGAAAGGTAGGCTCCCAGGTCTCTCATTGGTTTTCAGACGTGGTCATTTGGAAATTCTAACATGGCTCACAGTCTCCTAGATTTCTTCGCCTGCATTCACTCTGCATGCCAATTGCCGTTATCTCAAACCAAAGGTCGCTCGTCGTCGTCAAGGGTAAGCAAGCTCTGCTCAACATCCCCAGGTCTAGGGCGTGATGATCATTCTGACATATCTGGAAAACTCTAGGCCTCTTGACGAACCAGCTGCGATCTCCCAGCTGCTGGCACGCTGCTTTCCTCGATCGATTCCGTCTTCACCAACGTTATCTGGCGGCTGCCTCGAGGCGCTGCCAATTTCGTTCCATCCTCCCAACTTCGCCATCGTCTGTAGAAAGGTAGGCTCAAACGTCTCTCATGGGTCTCGAGACATGGTCGTTTGGAAATTCTAACGCGCCTCACAGTCTCCTCGTTCTCGCCTGCTCCCTCGCCGTTCTCAAGGGTAAGCCCTGCTAGACGCAAACTCCGAGGCGTCATGGTCATTCTGACATATCTGGGAAGCTCTAGAACTCTCCCAGGTGCCGGGCTCTCTTTGCTTTCGGCGCCCTCTTTGTTCCGCGTCTCGCTTTTCCTTTTTTTAATATCCTTTCTGGCGGCGCCTTAGGGCGCTTCCGTTTTTCAGGTAAGATCAGTTCCGTCTACGCCATTTTTATGTTTTAACTGTGCTTCTGGGCACCGCTGATTTCGTTTCCTTAGGTGGCGCTTCCGAGCACACCTAACATAAAATTGGATCCTCTCACCATGTCGACACAAGGTACCCCCGCGGGGCCCTCGATGCAGCCTCCCACCGCATCGAAAAAGGCTAGCAAGCCTAGCCGCGGCAGCAACATGACCAAGGACTGTGTCGTTCTCATGGGCTCCCCGCCGCAATTTGTCCTTGGGGCTGGCGAGGAGTTTGGTGGTGCCTCCAAGGTCCGCACCAAAATCCTCTGCTGGGTTTCTTCGGATGCGCACCGTTTCCTCGGGTTTAGCCTATTCTTCCCCCTTGGCGAAGCCCAGCAAAGGAACGAGGATGATGGCTATGGCGTCCACTATACAGGTAGGTCATCCGTAGCCCCTATTCAGTTTCTTTACTAATGTTATCTTTAGCCAACCGAAGTACGAGCGATTTCGATATCTACCGGGACGACTTCCAAAGACTCACCGTGATGTTCCCCCGAGACGGAGTCGATATTACCTACGAGGAGACGAGCAAAGAGATCATGGATCTCTTGCCTGGCGTGCCAGATAGGGATTATAGTCTCATCACCGTCAAGCTCAAGGCGGGGAAAAGAGTCCGGGTTGACGGCTATGGTTGGCCGTATCGGAATGCGGACGAGCCCGAGATGGAGAAGTGGCTGAACCAGGACGAGCCAATCTTCTCGGGGATCACGCTTCGTGACTTCTTCAATGGAGACAGCTTTTCCCTTGTCTTCCCCGAAAGGCTCGAAATGGCAAAGAAGAAGTTTAACGAGTCCAACCTCCCCGGGCCCTTCAAATACCCTTACGGCACGGAGCACTCGTACGACCTGGCGCGATATGGCCCACTGCTGGACGCGAACAAGGACCCTCGACGCTTCTTGACGGCACTCAGGTAAGTGACCTCGCTCACTTGTCTGGAATCGGCTAACGAAGAATTGATTAGCTTCTATGACGAGAATGCGATGCTCACAGTCCTGACCCAATCCGTCGTCCAAGATGCCTTTTGGGTGTACAAGGCTTCAGTGGCTATCCGATCGGTCAAATCCGCTGCCTACTTCATCCCGATCGGACCTCGAAACCTCGATGCCGCCGACATCAACGACTTCTACGTCGTTGTATCTCTTCCAAAACAATTGAAGGCGTCGTACGAGAAGGCCTGGCTGCGGTTGGCCGACGGGCGGAAACCTCTGAAAGTTGAGCTATACAACGAGCGGGCGGACGGACAATGTGCCGCGACTTGGGATTGCCAACTCGTCCACCATCTCGACATGGTCCCAGAGTTGGCCGAGCATCCCATTCACAAATGGGAGGTCGTGGTGAAGGTCCGGCGGTCGACTAAGGAGGACGAGCCTTACGTCGTCAAGACGTTCGATAGCCGCATCGCTGCTGACAGGGCCGGAACGGCGCAATAGAACTGCGCAGCCCTAGCTTTCGACGCGGTACGTTTCTCTTTTATCATGGACTCCTCGGTATCTTAAAAACTCCGTCTCTAACTCTTAAGTATCAGGATATGAGTGAGGTCAAGCGAAAAGTCAATTCCCTCTGCACCCTCCAAGCCAGTGCCAAGCCGACCGGTCGTACAATTTACAAGGACATGGACTCGGCGAGAGAGCTGCATAGGGCGATCTGGCGCGCCACCGGCTTCTGGGAGTACTCCCAGGAGCATGGACCAGCCACAAAGAAGTGCCTCGACCTCATCAAGTCCGGAATTCCCTCGGACTGTGAAGTTCTCCCCAGCGGCCTCCCGGTTCTTGACGTCGTGGGGGAGTGGAAGAACCCGGAGTATGTCGATGCTCTCTTCGAGCAGGTTGTCTCGGACGAACGCACTGCGTTCCGGTTTTACATGACGAAGAGACCCGGAGGCATCGGCGGTCTCAATGCTGTGAGTTCCACCCATTAGAATCCTTTGTGATCAATCGAAACAAATCTAACAAAATTATTACAGCTACCCGGCTCGGGAAAGACGACGCTTTCGGCGGTAGTGGTCCTGCTGTACCTCTTCACCTTTGGGACGACCCTTTGCTCCGGACCCTCCAACGTCGCCGTCGACAACCTCGCAGAGAGGACGGATCGCGTCGACCGCGAGACTTGCGACCGGTACAATAGCATCGTCCCTCTCACCTGCAAAGAAGACCGATGCATCCGCCGCCTGGTCATCCGCGGGTATGCGATGAAGCAGGAACTAGCAGCCTTCAATCGCCTCCTGGAAGATCCGGAAGCGCTCGAGGCGCCAGAGCATGGATGGAGTCTCGCGTCCAAGTGGAAACTTCCGAATTCTCTGGCCTTCTGGCTCCTTGTTTGTCTTAACAGCCGCGCTACTCGCGAAATTCGGACGATCGACCAGGACGACAACCCGGTCCTCCACGATATTCAGGACCTCCTCCAAGACCAGCAATACGAGTCACTGCGGGACGTCGCCGCCGGTACCATAACCTGGGAGGAGTACACGGCCGGAGACCCGATCGATGATGACACGATTCAGGACTTCTTCGTCAACCACCTCATCCGCCTCGGAGACGTTCTCTGCACGACGCCGGCCCTCACGGAGACCGAGCCCGCCTACCGTAAATTCAAGCAGCTCAGAACTCAAGCCGTGGTCGTCGATGAGGCGGGAAACATGGAACGCGCCGACCTGGCGTGCGTGTGGGGAAACACCGCTTTGCCCTGCTTCGTGGCAGGTGATCCCCTACAGCTCCCCCCCACGGTCCTCAGCGGAATGGAGAAGGACGCGCAGGGGAACGTCTGCAACCGCTTCGCGAACGACGGGGCCGTGTCGGCGCTGGAGTGGCTCCAGAAGTCCGGGATGACTGTGTTCCGTCCCCGTTTCCAATTCCGCATGGCGGAGGGTCTCTTTGACTACGTCGGGGAGCTCGTGTATTCGCACGTCAACTTCACGTACGGACCCAACTGCGGCGTGCATCTCCCAAAGTTTGCGCCTGGCCGTGCCTTGGAGGCCTTCATCCAGGCGACCGACTCCCGCGTCACGCCCGCCCCCTCCGGCAAATTCCTCCCCGCCTTTCTGCATTGCCCCCGCACGAAGGTGAAAATGTCGGCCCACAACACGACCTCGAGACTATCCCCAGACCAGGCCGAGGCGGGGCTCAACTTCATCCTGGGCTTCCTCAACCACGCCGGGCGGCAGGGCGAGGCCTTAGAGCCCGAAAACATCACCGTCATCGCCCCATACGCCGCGAACGTGCAGTGCATAAACAAGCTGCTGCGTTCACCCGAATACGCCGACTTGGCCGGGATGGCCCCTGCATCGACGGTGGACTCCTTCCAGGGCCGCGAGGGCGATATTGTGGTGCTCATAATGGGTACCAACGACATCACCGGCCCGGGCTTCACCGCCAACGAGAAGCGACTGAACGTGATGGTGACCCGCCAGCGATGCGGGCTCGTGATCGTGGGCGACTTCGGCGTCGTGGGAAGCGTCGAGGGAGGGCCGAGGGAGCGGGTGGTGCGGATGCACAGGGGCGTCGATGGCAAGATAAAGCAGGTGAATATGACCATGCTTTGGAACCTGATGAACCGACTCTATGTAGATGGTCGGGTCATGCATCTCCCCGCAGACCACCGCGAGCTCTGGGGGCGTAAGGGCGGAGGCTGGATGTCTGGTCCCAGTGCTAAACCTAGACTCCACGGCAGGTGGGAGTAGGGGCGGCACTTGGCTGGGCCGTTTTCCTTTGCTTTTCTTTTTTTTTTTTCCTTTTTCTTCCTCCTCTTTTTTCTTTTTTTTTCTTTTTTTTTTTTTCTTTTTCCTTGTTTCTTGCCTTCATATAAGACAAGTGTATCATTATCAGTTTGGTAGTCATGGTAGTTTTTCAAATTCCAATTAAGTGTTCAATTATTATTCAATTACTGCCGAGTTGTTTAAATACGCCAAATTCTTCCTACCATCAAGTTTCACCCCACACACGACGCGTGTTTCCTGTTGATCAACAGATCCGACATCTGGCAGTTCTTACAGAGGCTTTGAAGCAGACTCGTAAGGGAACTGTCCCAGATCATTGGCTACGTCCACTTCTCCATCCGGGGCCCATCGGCATTGCGATCGAGTCAACCGTAACTCTCAACCGGACTTTAGCGTCGGCCTCGAGCTTCACGGTGATGAAAGTGTAAAGCTTATCCGGCGCTTCGGGTAAGAGATCCATGATCTCTTTCTTCGCATCCTCGTAAGCAATATCAATTGCATCTCGAGGGAACTTGACGACATCGAGCCTGTGGAAGTAATCCTGGCTGATCTGGAAAGGGTCGATATTGCGAATGGCTAAAGATAAAATATTAGCAAAGAAACTACAGAGGTGACTACCCATAACATACCTTAGTAGCGCACGCCATGGCCGTCCTCTTCGTTCTTGGTTTGGTCGGTCCCCAGAGGGAAGGCTGTGCTGAACCCAAGGAAAGAGTCGGTATCGGCAGAAACCCACCCGAGGATTTTCGCCAGGACCTTTGACGTGCCTTAGAACTTTTCGCCAGCTTCGAGGATGGATTTGGGCGGAGAGCCCATCAGAATCGCACAGTCTCGTGTGAGGTCCTTCCTGGCTTTGCCGGTCTTCTTCGCGGCTGTGGTGGTTTGCATCCCCGGCTGCGAGGGGGGTGCATTGCAGGTTGCCATGATGAGATGAGATGGAGATGGAACCCGAATTAATGCTAGTGGTAGCCGAGAGTGCCCACTAACCACGTCGAAATCGAAGGGATCGGACCCGAATGGACATCGGTGGTGTTCGAAAGTGGCGTCTAAGAATAAATGAAGTTAGTAGTGCCCAAAAATACAATTAAAAATGTGGAGGAGACGGAATAGATCGGACCTGAATCGGGATCAACTGGCGTGGGCTGTATGGACCAATGACGATACATCGGTGGTGTCCGAAGGCGCCGACCAAAATAACGCCGAGGCAAGACACGGAAAAAACACAACGCCGAAACAAGAGCGGCAATGCCGGTAGGGACCTGCCTACCCTTCCAAATGCGAGGACGAATTCCAGCGGAGAACCCATGAGAATAGCTGGAAATGGTTCGGCCGATAGCCGTTCCACCTCTTTCCACGGCCGAGACTCGCGTTCGAAGTCGAATGAGCAGGTCGTCATGCTCTGGAAGCCACGCGTCACGGCGGACAATGTGGTCGGAGGCTCTCGCAGACCTTTATCTCTGACTAAGCAGTTGAAATAATGGGCCTGCATACTGGTAAAGCTTCGCCCTGGAAATTGGGCCGAAAACAGTCGATGGATCTCTCTCCAACCCCCAGCCAGACCGACGGCTACAAGTTGGAAAGCAGAGTGTCTTCTTTTGCGGTCCACATGCGGCGCTGGGAAGCCTGCTCCTTCGGTCTTTGGCTGTTCAGAGCTCGCATGACTTTGGCGTGATGGGATTGTATGGTCCAAACTCTCCTTCCGTGAAACCGCTCGGAGAACAGCTGATGGAATTCCTCCCAACTCTGGTTCTGGTCTGCCCGAAGTTGGAGAAGTAGCTTATTCTCCTCTTCTGTCCACTTCAGCATCTTCGGTCCCGGGGCCGCTCCAGGTCGCCTATTCCTCTTCTTGCGTTCCTCCTTTTGCGCTGATGTCATCCTCTGATATCTGTCGGAGGCTCTCTTCCTGCTCCTCAACTTGGCGAAATCTGCAGAGAACGCACCTCTGGTCGCGTTAAGCTCATTCAGCGGGTTCTCTCCAGTATTAGTCCCAATCCATTCTATTGGGACTGTCCACGCAGACTGTCGGCCTGGGGGGGCCTTCCATGAACACAGCAAATCATGGAACAATGCTTCAGCCAGGAAGGCGAGGAACTGGTTGTAAGTGCGGGCCTCCGAGTCTTTCTCCTTCTGACTGTCCACGATTTGCCACATCACAACCCACACTGGTTCCCGGCCCTTCCCATCCCTGAGAAGGTGTGGAAGTAACTGGGGATGAGGGTTGGCTTGTCTCGGTCCATCACCCTCTTCTTGATACCACCTAAATTTCGGCCGGGGATTGCGGTCGATGTAGCCGAGCCGACGTAAAGGTGATGGTGATGCTTCCCCTGCTCCGTGGCCAGGAGCATACACGCGTATACACCGAACGCATCCGTCTCATACGCGTTCGGGAGCTTTGTAAAGTCCTTGGCTCTTGGTGGAACACCCTGGAGGATGAATTTTTTTACCTCCTCTGAAGTGTGGGAGTCGATTGCATTTGCCCACTCTTCGTCGGTGCCACTCTGCAACGCGACCCGGGACACTTCCGACATGGTGGTGTGCTTGGTGTCTCCGCGGATTTTCACGATTGCCTTCTCGATGAGCGCCACGAACCTGGAATTGGGCTTGTAACCGGTCGGGACTCTCGGGCGGTATCCACCAGCCTCGGCCATCAGCATGCCCATTGTCTCTGCCGAGATCCCCAGCCAATCCTGAAGTTTGGCTTCCTTGAGCTTGTGGCGGGCCCGTTGGTTGGCACCCTCACTGACATCCAGCTCACAGTGTTCCTCGACATCGGCCCCTTGGGCCCCACCAGCGTCCGATTGTTCGTCCTGGCCGACTTCGGTCTGCCCGTCTCCGTCGACGTCGGACTCGTCACAGCTCCAATCACTGGACGGACAGTACTGGTCACTGTCCTCTGCGTCGCGGTAGTCGGCGGCGTCGGCGGCGTCGGCGATGTCAGAACAAGAATCCCCGCTCTCGATGGTATCAACAGGGGCGTCGACGTCATCGTCGCTCCGGGCCTCCTCTTCTGGGACTGCGGGGCTCCCTGGGAGGCGTAGCCTAAATACCGACTCGAAGCTAACGTCAGACCAGCCGGCTTTGCTGTCTGCGATCTCGGAGCAGGACTAGGGGGCGGTGCGGTGCGCCCAACCTCAATGTCTTCGGGCTTACCAGTGGCAACGACAATGGTATCTTCCACGTGAGGCGACCGGATTCCCAAATAATTGCTTGTGCGCGAGAGCCCGAGGTTTTCGGCGTTGTCATTGTGGATCCACACGACCCTCTGTACGCCGTTCCGAGGAGGCGCAGGGACAACGTAATCATCAGCGCCGTCAGCCGAGACTCCCAGGTGGAGGTTGAGGTTACAGGCCTCGCCCAAGATTCCGAGCACAAGTGCCAGTTGGTCGGCCGTGTACTCGTTGGCGTTTTCCATGCTAAACTTAAGCATGGTTGCCAGCACTTCGTCGGATTAGAACAGCTCGTGGAGCTCCTCGACGGTGGGAATGTTGGGAAGGCCGAAATGCTGGGCGTGCATAGGGGCTTCTGCTTGTCGGTCATTCGCTGCCAGGCATTCTCGTACTCAACCTTGAGTTGTACGGGAAGAGCGACAACAACATTAAAGACGTCGATGTCGGTAGGATCGAGGTCATGGGGCGTGATCCCCGAGAACAGCTGGAAATGTTTCGGCAAATAGCCGTTCCACCTCTCGCAGAGTATTTACCGCTCGTCCGGGGGAGAGGATGATGTTGAGGAGAAGAGAGAAGAGAACTGGAAGCGGGAGATTTGGCCTAATTTATAGTTGTTGGTGAGCGGGATGATTCAGCCTGGAATCAGATGTCTGAACAGTGATTCACTAGAGTACGATGGAAATGGAAGGAGATTTGGGGCTTCTCTTATATTAGTGCAATCTACCAAAATGATTCTTGAAGTTGAGGAAGAAGGCGTGAATGTTGATGTTGGGAAAAGAAGTTCGAGAATCATCAAATTTAATTTCGCGATGGATGGTCGCTTGCCTTTTACGTGGGCTGTACCTCTCGGGCCGGCAGGCGGCACCTTCTTTCTGATTGGAAGGTACAATATGCAGCACTCATTAAGAGAAGGAGCGGAGAGAGTCTGGGAAGGCGCTGAAAGAGTGCCAGTCTCTTGAGGAAGGTGTGGAAAGAGTATTAATTTATCGAGAAATATGTGGAAAGAGGGTTGGTGTTGTGGTATCTCCCATCCGGAGAAGGACCGGATGAAGTGTTTGGCTTGTGCTCGTGTCTAGTCGCGTCTTGGAAGGTACGAGAAGAAAACATTCTAGGAAGCAGAGGAAGGTGATGTGGTGTCTCTCATCCGCAACTTCCTCTACTAAGACGAGCACATGAGATCGCAATCATCACATGATTAGAGCGCGTAGTGTGTGGCACTCGTCTGGGGAAGGAGTAGATCCAGTTTCAGCTTGCGCTTGTGCCTCAGTCACGTTTAGGAAGGCCCAGAAAGGATCTGGGAAGGTATTATGCTGTCCTTCGTCCGCACCTTCCTCCTCCACCGACACTGGCAGATCAGATCACATGGTTGGAGGGCACAAGATGCAGCACTCATCTAGAGAAGGAGTGGATAAGATGTTCGGACTGCGCTCGCTTCTGGTCGCGTCCGAAAAGGAGTGGAGATAGTCAAGGAAGGAGAAGAATAAGTCTAAGAAGATATTATAATATTTCTCATCTACACCTTCCTCCTCCCACGCCCGCCCTACGTAGGAGATCAAATCACATCGCTGCTCTAGGGAGATGTTCCGAGTTGAAAGGCCGATGGGTGCAAGATGCCGTACAGTGATATTGAATCTTCAGTGGCTTTTACGGAAATGGGATGTAAATACCTCACTCGAGTCTAGGCTGTCTAGGTACAGGAGAGCCTCTTCCGCTTGTGCTCAATATGTAGCGTGGTACGGCGCACACCTTAATTACGCGCATACACCTCCATTGCCATCGTAACAGTCTCCCGTTGTGAACCTGAAATTTTAGGCCCTATTCCACACCCCCGATGATCAATGACGCTGAGTCCGTCCCCGGCGAGGCCTGCTGAGGTCTGCCCTGGCCGGCTGCGGGGCTTCCTTGAGAATTGGAGAGTCAGTGGTGTCTGTATTCTCGGCATCAGAAACGGCCTCGTCTCGTGTACGGCTGTACCAGCGGCTGAAGCTTCCACGCTTCTCGATAGTAGATGTAGAATCTTCTCCAGGAGCGGGGTTATCATCGACAACTGTGGCAGAGCCCTCAGCGGTGGGCACGTCAGAGGCGGGCTCGATGGTGTCCTCTGCGACGACTCGTGTCGTGCCTGATTCGCCTGCAGCAACAGCCGAAGTTGCGGCCGTGGCAGCAGGGCAAACGGGGGGCTCGATGAAGACGCCGGTCTGCGGGAAGGGATTGATTGGTCCCCAAAGATTACCCTCGGAATCTCGGCCCACGCCCTGTGTGAGGAACTCCATCTGGGAGAAATCGAAGGGGACTGGAGGAACTCCGGGAACATCCTGCTCCCCATGGACCCAGACATTAACCGGCTGGACGTACTTGCCCATAGTAATACCATTCTTTGTGACGCGAGTCTTGGGGACACCATTAATCTCGGCGACGACCTTATACTCGCGAGTATATCGGCTGAGAATCTCGTTGCGGTACTCAAACTTGTTCTGGGCGTTGCGTCCACCTCGGAGCCCGAGAGCGGCGATGAGGCGGTCTGTAGTTTGGCCAGTGCAAGGATCGACGTCCATTGCATACAGGGCAACAGTAGCTCGAGGGTTGGAGACGAAGCCAATGAACTGATGAGGAATTAGAAAACGACGAAAGTATTTTGTCTGACACCCCAGTGAAAACATACCCTGGATTCGGCAATCTCAGCATTGGGGCTCGGGTTATCGATGCCCAGGAGACCAACCTCCATGCGGACATAGACGAGGTCGCCAAGCGTGTTAATCATGGTATTCTGTGCGACGATACTGGATGCGATAATCTCGCTTCCTTTCCGGAAACCAGTAATGGTTATGAAGTCACCCGGCAAGAAGGGGGCCATGACGAGGGGATCAGGGGCAGTGCTGTTAAAGAGTTAGAAACTAAGATGCAAGTATTTGGCATTGTGCAAGCTGAATGGTGCAGGGATGGATGGGTCTTACAACGTGCCAGGGCCATTAAAGGGACGGTTGGACATGGGACAGAGTGGATCGGTAGTGTTTCGAGGAATGCACATGGGAAAACCAGAGAAGGATGTGATACTAGGGCTGACGTCGTCTGCTGCCATGAGAGGAGCCCCAGTGTACCCAACAGAGAAGACGGCGTTGGGATCATTGATTCGGACAGTTGGCCCATTCTCAATCTTCATGCTTCCGTCGGCGTGGTCGATGGACTCGATAAATCCGCTAGCCATGCCTTCGAAGAACTCGTAGATTTGCACCTGACCGACTCGCGGGACGCCATTGATGCTGTTTCCAATAACCTGTAGAGGATTGTTAGCTACTGCCTTAGAATCTACATTTGAGGGAGGAGAGCCAAACCAAAGTCTCGAATCCGATAAAGTCAGCCTTGCTAGCCACAAAGTCCTTCCACGGGACCCACGCGGCAGGGAACTGAACCAAGAGGTTTTCTGGGACATTCATCTCAAATCCGTTTAATGTGATTACGCCGCCAGCGTTGTACTGAGGGCCAGAAACGGTGGCGTCCTCGAAGCCACCCTGGACCCAGAGCGGCGCATCTTGACCGAAGACGAGGAAGGACAAGCTGATGATCTGTAGGCTCAACGAGATGAGGAACGAAGGTTTGATGAAGAGTCTCATTTTGAACAAAGGTCACGAACGGGGGACGGACTTAGGCGAGATGTTGATATCTACTCGCAAGAGTCTGAAGATGAGGAGAAGATACTCATCGAAATAATACAATTTTACGAGAGAAAAAGGCCCTATTTGTACACGGAGTTATTTGATGATGCCAAGAGCAAAAGCTATTCTTCGTATTTCAAGACCTTGACTGCGAAGGCATAAGAGTCAAGGATGCGAGGACTGCCAAGATGTAGGCACAATCACTCGTAGTCTCGGCCGCAGTTTCTGTCCAGTTATCGTAGTTGCGAACGTTCACGACGCCCGAGAACGCTGGATGGACGCGGACATCTTGCCCGATACATCAAACCCCGTGATTCCCGAAGACGAACAAAATGCTCCCTTAACCGGGCGTATTAGGTTATGGAAATTCTTCATCTTGGTCGATGGCTCTAGGAAAAGGAGGAGGCAATTACCTGCTCCCTGGTGCGAACTGCACGAGGTCTCTCGAAGGCGCATGTGTCAAGGCTTGGTAATAGAAATGAACACAACCCCAAAAGAAGAAGAAAAAGGCAGGCGCAGACAAAAGGAGGACTTGCAGCGTCGGCAGCCATCCAATCACAGCCCTGGCGATTCTCTATGCCGGCAGACATTAGGTTGCGCTGACCTACAAGGTTTCATCTTCCCATGCCACCGTAGGCGAATGGGTTGGCCGCAGCCTTTGTGGTCGGAAACCTCGGAGAGCCAACCCCACGGAATTGAAGCCAGGGCCACGGGCAACGAATGTGGGCTCAACGTTGTATTTGGACCCGTACTTCGCACAAGACTCACAAAAGCTCTTCATCGCCTTCCAGGATTTAGTCAATCTATTGACTATTACCTGCACTGTAACCCTCATGACCCGTGAGCGCCCTTCCTTCATCCCCGGTTCCCCGCTCGGGTCGGGCCTCTCGATCTATGAAGAACCTCGAGTGGTTCCCCCCAAATAATCTGCCCCTGCATGGAGCTTACTGGATCCTCGCAGGATTGGCAGGGGTAACCGCAGGATTGAGGAAAATGGGACGGAAACGTGGAGCGGATAAGCTTGATCAGACAGATCAGACAAGCGGGGGTGTGAACATAACTCTGACGAGAATCCTTCTGGCTTAACGTTCATTCTTCTTCCCTCATTTTTTGATACGGCGTAATTTTCGTAGTATCGGAGAATTCCAAACACCGGATACCTTACTCGAGAGCTACACGGATGCAAAGGACTCTCTCTCGTCTTGCGGTAGTGAGGGTAGGCATAGAAACAACCTCCTCCTTACCAACCCACGCTTTTTATACGTCCAGCATCTGCATGCGACTCATCGTGATTTCGTAAATGCTTTTCGGTTTCCAAAGGCGTGGGCCCCTTTTAGCTTTCGTGATGGTGTCGCTTACACGATGATTGTCAAGCGAACCCCATCACTCTTTCCCAGCTGGCTATTTCACGGGATGCCCGTAAGAGGAGTGCTCGGAGTGTAAATTACCCCGGGCGAGGCAAGTTCGCGGTAGTTCTTATTGCCGTCCCGTAGCCAGTGTTGCCAAGGCCTGCCAATTGCTACGTCGCGTCCAAAAGGTTATTATGATATTATCTACGAAATATGCATTTCGACCCCCGACGCGGGTCTCGCTATCCTCCAATCCTTCCTTAGTCTTCCCGCTGAAATGGTGGGGGTATGAGAAAAAGAGGTGAAATTTGCCGATGACTTAGAGTTAAAATCCCTGTCGGGTAGTACCAAAGCGACATTTGTAAAGGGAGGTAGCATTCGGGATGCTACGCCGGCATACGTGTGCCAATTTTAGCTCTCACCCGTCATGGCGTAGGAGTCTCGGCGAGGCAAGTTTACACGAGATCCTATCAAGCCGGGCGTCTAAAAATGCTACCGAGGGCCGCCTTCGTATAGGACGGAGAGAGCAGCCACTTCTGCGTCTGATTTATTGTTTCCCCGTCCCGTCCCGCCTCCGAAGTAGCAGGGTCGTCAAATCTTTCCCTCAATATTGTCGCAGCACGTGGGCGGGGCAAGGTTGTATTCGTTTCTTATGCCGACGACTAGTGTATTTGCGGTACGGGAAGCGAAGAGCAAAAGCACACTCGTATTCGAAGCTCGAAGAATATCAAATACAGCTGCCGCTTTTTCTCAACCAGTTGTACACCTCGTAGTCTGTACTCCTATTGTCCAAAGTCTTCTCCTTTCCAAGGCAGAAATGGCAATATTGGTTCTCATTTTTGCACCTAGTGAATCGCTAACCTCTGTGAAGGAGTGATACTACGCTAGAGTAGTCTCCACGGAAGTCAAAGTCACAGATATTGAGTGGGGAGAATGAAGAGGTCATGGCCGCCGCCTCGCATCCGTCCATGAGCAGCAGGCCATAGACAGCTCGTCTACCATTGGCTCTAGACAGCTGACTCCATAAATTGTGCTCCCGGGCTGCCTGTGAGGAGGGACGCGAAGTTCCATAGAGAGATGGCCTAGCCAGAGCCCCCAGTGCTTCCCCATTACTTCAACAGGAGAAAACGAAATGAACAATGCAACCTGGTGAGGCCCCGACTCTTCCCACTATCCCGCTAGAACATACATCTTCATTACAACTTTCCCGTCCTCGTGGTCGATATTATGCAACTGCACCTTAGCGCCTCTCGTCTACAAAGCGCGAGCTGCCCTTTCCTCTCTTGCCCTGAGGCCGAGTGGGATGCCATGGCCACCTCCAATATCAATATCCCACGCCCACCCCATCTAGGATATCACATCACAATCCCCAGCTCAAGCGTCTTCCTACGCGACCGGATGGCAGCCTCTCCCCTGTGAGACTTTCGTTAGAAGCCGGCATTACTCACAGCCGAACAGGCCACTTCGAAGCTAGTCATGGGGATGCTATAAATGGAAAATTGGATTTCCTGCGTGGCCTCAATGGGCACTTGACGGCCTTGCATATCACTAGCCTCGGACGTGTTTCCTAGTCGAGCAACTCTCTTTCATAAAAGGAGGAAGAGAAGTCAACAGTTTGTTTTCATGTTGCATGGAAGTGAGGGTGAAGTAGGATTCCGGTGCCTCTGGTATGTCTGCAGACCATCACATTCTCCGTCATGAGAGAGACCAGTCTGTCTTCGGTAATCCAAGGCAGCACCATCATCTTTCAACCTTGGGCCTGAGCGCGGACGATGTTGAAGCGTCTCAATGATGAACCACCCTATGCTACTCATCTCCATAGGAGGGAGGCATTCATGGAAATTGGTATAAAACGGCAGCTTCTCATCGATCGTCTGGATCTGAGTTGCGGAATTATAGAGCCACCCGGTTCCAAGTCCCTCTTCAATTGTCCGGCCCTCGTGATCTCAAGTCTATTCTTTCGTGTTCATCATGGTTATAAACATCTTTGGGGTCTTATCCCTAGGCTTGCTGCTTCTCAAAGGAAGCCTTGCCCAGACGGACCGGGACCTGCAGTCCAACATTCCCGCTGAGGAGGCAAAGGCCCTTGAAAGCATTGTTGAAGATGAGCCCAACGTTTTCAAGCTCCTCAAGGATTGGGAAAGCCCAGAGTACAATTTGATCTACCGTGTTCCCCTGCCAATCCCTCCCGTCAAGCAACCACTCAAGTAGGAAACTCCTGCCTGCCCCACACCTTCTCAAACACTTGCTAACGCTAACGACTGATGCAGGAAAATCACCAGCCCAGTCACCGGCCAGGAGATCTGGTACTACGAGTTTGAGATCAAGCCCTTTTCTCAACAGGTGTACCCGAACCTTCGTGCTGCCAGGCTGGTAGGCTACGATGGCATGTCGCCGGGGCCCACCATAATCATCCCAAGAGGCACAGAGAGCATCGTGAGGTTTGCCAATAATGCTGATGTTGAAAACTCTGTCCATTTGCATGGCTCTTACTCCCGTGCTCCTTTCGATGGATGGGCGGAAGATATTACCAACCCCGGAGAGTACAAGGATTACTACTATCCTAACCGCCAGTCTGCTCGTATGCTCTGGTATCATGACCACGCCATGGGAATTGTAAGACGCTTGCTATCAGCATAACCAGTACTCAATTATGCTAACCTCTGGACCAGACCGCCGAGAATGCCTACATGGGTCAGGCCGGTGCTTACATCATCACCGATGAAGCGGAGGATGCGCTTAACCTTCCCAGCGGTTACGGAGTCTACGATATTCCTCTTGTCCTGTCCTCCAAGCAATACAATAGCGACGGAACTCTTTTTTCTACCCATGGCGAGACGGACAGCCTCTGGGGGGATATTATCCATGTCGTAAGTGATTCTATCTTTCCGCAGGGCAAATTGTATTCTAACCGGCCACCCTAGAACGGACAACCCTGGCCGTACTTCAACGTTGAGCCTCGGAAATACCGGCTGAGATTCCTCAATGCGGCCGTGTCTCGATCTTTTGCCCTCTACTTTGTCAACAGCGAGGCATCCAACGCCAGGCTGCCGTTCAAGGTCATTGCTTCCGATGCGGGGCTTCTTTCTCAGCCCGTTCAAGTCTCCGATATGGCACGTTATTGATCTATGATGGCCCCTTCCCGATACGTCCGCTAACCAACCCATCGTTGCAGTATGTCTCGATGGCTGAACGATACGAAATTGTCTTTGATTTTTCCGCCTACGCGGGCAAGTCCATCGAGCTCCGGAACCAAGCCAAGGTTGGAGGAAGAGGTACCGATGAGGATTTCTTGAACACAGACAAGGTCATGCGCTTCAACGTTGGACCCGGGCCTCTCAGCGAGCCGGATACGTCAACTGTCCCCGACAGCCTCCGTGATGTCCACTTCCCTCCCGCATCCAGCGGCATCGACCACCACTTCCGCTTCCACCGCACAAACGGCGAGTGGCGGATCAACGGTGTCGGCTTCGCGGACGTTCAAAACCGCGTGCTCGCCAATGTCCCGCGTGGCACTGTTGAAATCTGGGAGCTCGAGAACAGCTCTGGCGGCTGGACGCACCCCATCCACGTGCACCTCGTTGACTTCAGGGTTCTTTCCAGGACTGGTGACCGCGGTGTTATGCCGTACGAGGCCGAGGCTCTTAAGGATGTCGTCTGGCTTGGTCGAGGGGAGACTGTTATCGTTGAAGCTCATTATGCTCCTGTAAGTGACTTCCACGTAACCGAGGGCTTGAAATCGATAGTAACTAACCGAATATCACAGTGGGATGGCGTGTACATGTTCCATTGCCACAATTTAGTTAGTCCACCTCTCCTCCTCGTCAATCCCACAACCTAACCGTCTTCCCCGCGACTAACACTACATCTTTCCCGCACAGATTCATGAGGATGTGGACATGATGGCTGCGTTCAACGTCACTGCCCTCCCAAACTTTGGCTACAACGAGACCTCCTACATCGACCCCATGGAGGAGCGCTGGAGAGCCAAGCCCTACGTCCAGTCGGACTACACGGGCCGCACCGGCGACTTTAGTGACTCCGCCATTGTCGACCGCGTGGAGTACATGGCGGGCCTTAATCCCTACGCCCATGTAGCCAATCTTACCGAGGCTTTGGATGCCTACTGGGCTAACCAGAATACTCGCCGGGATGCCGGGTCCGATGAGCGGACTGCTCCCATTCCCCGTTACCGAAGATTCCAGGTCTGAGCGATGGGATCGGGGCAGGATGTCATTTCATACTTGTGCACTGACATTCGTTTATACTTTCCTTTGGTTTCTGTATCATTCCTGTACATATTTCTCATGGCTTCCATTAGGCACCCATTTTTGCTGCTTGCGGTACGAATTAACTTGATCCTGCACTCCTGCACTCCTGCCTCTAGAACTGCTGAGTCATGCTTGTGCTTTGTCGTAACATCGTTGCGGTCTGAAATTGTGGGGAAATAGCCCTGATTGGCTGGTTTCCTGGCCAACTTCAACCGAACCTCTACCGAAACGCTAACTTGTTCCCAGTTCCAGGAATTCCCTCTTCCCCAATCAAGAACAGGTTATTCCAATAGAAATGTCTTTCGTGATATGAACGATGCGCTTTCATTCATCAGAATGACCGAAGACAATAAAGTCCCTAGAAACATATTATTCGCTGATGAATAAGAAGATATAAGACACATTCTGCGGTAAGATACCAGCCTAGCTACCATGGCCTAGGTACAGTAAAAGGTGGTAGTTGAATGCTGTGTACATATGGCTTCGGAAGAGACGCGACACGAGTTTCATCCTTATGACTGAACACACGGCCAGGAGTTGGGCAACATCATGGGGGCGGCAGGACAGAAATTCCAATGGTCATGTTCATATCAACCTATTATTTACAAACAAAAACTCCAACAACCAAATTATTCGAAACGTCGCAGACAACGCAATACAATGCTCTCCGGCAGCAATCTCCCTCTGTGTTAGTGTTCCCATCAAACGCTTCAGAGTCGTGTCTCTTCTATACTCGAATATCAACATTGGTAGCAATTTAGTACGCGGGAGTTGAGAACCAGGACATCCTCCTCAGAGGCTTCGTCTCAGAGCTTCCGCTGCTAGTGCTGAGCCGGCGATCGACTCGGTTTGTTATCTCGCTACCGCCGACAGAAGGATGCCTTCCCGTGATGATTTTGTTCGTCATGCCTAGAAAGAAGCAGAAATATTAGCCAGGTATCGCTTGCATACACAAGGCAAATAGTTCTTGAGAGTGCTCACCACTGGAGTCAGTCCTCCCAGGGTCATTTAGGACCTCTGCAAGCTTGGCCTTTGCCTTCTCCGATGCTCGTGTCATTGTGAGATCAATTGATGTGTGTTTGTTCAGATTTTGATGAGTATTTTTTTTTCATTCAGTAAAATGATGGTGCACAGTCGATCATGAACTTTTTCAGACACGAAAGGGAGTACGGATTATATGTTCCCCCCATGACTCCCGTCAAAAGTATCTACATTGCTGTGCTTCTATCCTCTGCCGCATCGACACTCGGTGTAATGGGTGGCGTGAATAGTGCAAGACTCCCCGATGGTGACCGCATCAAGCATGATCTGCAGTCATAGCTCAAGATAGAGTTCGACTCCGCACTTCACGAACCAACCAATTATTAATGCAACGCTACAATTAGTGATAATCGGTTTGTGGTGGAGGGGCGCGCCGACCAATCCTCATCTGAGTATCACGAACAATCCAGACTTGGAGGGTCAAGGTCACAGTTGAAGGAGGTCAGATGGTGCTCTGCCTGCATGATTTTGAAATGTTGATTTGAATTGATTTGAATGGAATCCGAGGATGCTTTCTAATATTAGCTAATGCAATTATCTATAAGTCTATGTTGAAATGCAAATGAAGCCGCCCATTCGCCGGGTTACATAGGAAAATCTATCCCCTCCTTTTTATGATCCAACGGCCCAGGGTTAGGAAAGGAAACAACTCTAGCGCCATCATGCCCCCGATAGCCGACCCCCCTAAGAGATGATAATAACGTGGTATCTTAGTAGTAGTAATGCCGCCCCAACTGTAGTGTTTAGTGTGCCGTACCCTTCTCCTCATCCGAGGGTCCCGCCACCTCATCATCCCCAGCATAGGCGTACTTGCTCCTAGCTCGAATCCTAGCGCCGTACCTCCAGAACAAGAAGGGAATACCGCAGCACGCGAGACTAATGAAGCCCAACAAGCTAGAGGCCCACTGATCGCCGAGCCTGTCGTACATCTGCTCCGTGAACAGGACGACGGCGGCACCCCAGAAGGATCGGATACAAGTCTTGGCGGCCAGGGCCGAAGCGGCTTGGTGCTGGTAGCAGTCGACGAGGTAGTTGTTGGCGGCGTTGTAGAGGAAAATGAAACCGAAGCCCACGGGGAAACCGCCGAGACAGGGGCCGACCCAGATGAGCCAGGGATAGGACGTCCAGGCGAAGATGAACAAGCCGATGGGGATGAACCAGCAGCTGAGCATCATGGGGATGAGACGGACTTCGGCGGGGGGGTTGCCGTCGTGCTTGGCGACCATCTTTAGGTAGTGCTTGTTGACCCAGGGAGAGCAAGCGGCGGAGGAAACGGTCTGAAGATTTAAGAGTTAGCGAAAGTGTTCGAAGACATACAACTAGATATTTCATATAGGGTATTAACTTACTCCGACAGCGATAGGGATAAACATGAGACCCGTCATTCCCGAAGACCATCCCTTGCCCTTCATGAAGACAATGGGGTAGGCAACGAAGAACATGTAGAGAAGACCGTACAGAACAGACATGTAGAGGCTGATGAGAAAGACAATGAGCTCGCCAAACAGCAGCTGGAACGGTCGGATCAAGAAGATGACAAGACGCTCGCTCAAGGGGCGGAGGTCGAGATCCTGCTCAGTGACAAAGTCGTCGTTTCCAGTCTCCTTCCGGAGCTTCTTGGCACGGCTGGAGAGAATGGTGGGGGCATAGGTCTCGGGGATAGTGAAGGTGATGAGGATCCAGGCGATCCCGGCGAGGATCAGCTGGAGCCAATAGAGCCATCGCCAGCCGGCAGCATCGGAGAGGAAACCACCGGCAAGGGGACCGATTGCAGGACCGATGAAGGGAGCGGCGGAGAAGACGGCCATGGGAACACCGCGCTCCTCGTTCTTCCAGAGATCGGCAAGGGTGCCACCGACGAGGGTCATGGGTGCCGAAAAGGCGATGCCGTCAATGGCTCTGCACACAAGCAGCGTTTCGATGTTCTGGGAAACCGCACAGGGAATGATGAAGATGACGGCAAGTGCCAAGGTCGAGGCGCTGAGAACTGGTTAGCAAGATATGTCTTAACGGATGTGTGTGGATAGGTATACTTGAGTATACACGGGTATCCATGGGTAAATGGTAGAAAGATAGGTAATATCAGGGGGATATATAGATCGGGAGTACTCACTAGATGATTCGTCTACCGTAAATCTCAGATAGAGGAGCGAATATCATGGGACCTGTGCATCATCTGTTAGACAAGAAGAGATATCAAAAGGGGGATATGAAATTCAAAGCATAGAGTTCAGACCACATACCAATACCGAATCCCATGACGAACAGAGAAATGCTGGCCAATGTCAATTCATAGCTAGCATCAAACTCTCTCGCGACACCAATGATATCCGCCGTGATAACACTGGACTCGAACGCGACGACGAAGCACGTAAACGCGACGATCAGGGTGCAGTACCATTTCCTAGTCTTAGTCCAGTTCTTCGGGTTCCCAGGGTCGCCGGGCTCGAATGTGACGAGTCGGTAGTTACCCTTCCCCACACCGGGCTTAGGCGGCCCGGGAATCTCACCGGTCCTACTCTCGACCCGGTACTCGTCCATGTTCGCCTCCGTCGTGAGGGTACGGTAGGGCAGGTTGACATCGAGATCGGCATCGCGGGCTTCCTTCCTCGACTCGGTCGTGGTCGTCCGCCTTATGCGGTGCAGGCTCAGCGACCGGGAGCGCCTGGTATTTTGCCTGGAGACATTGTCGTGGCTGATGATGGGCGCGAACTGGACTTCTTCGGTCTCGCTCGCGTCGTCCTCCCCTAACCTAGTGCGCGAGCCTCGAGGGGACGGCACCAGGGTGGGGAGGGTGGTAGAGGAGGCAGTGGCTGCTGGAGGATCCATTGTGGTGGAAAGAATGTTTGTTGTTGTCGTTGCTCTCTTTTTATATTAGAGGGGGCGTATCTATGAGTGAGGGCATTCGGGCTCAGGGATCGTCGCCTTTACAAGGGGAACTTGTTGATACACTGCTTATCAAGAGGAACAAGGGAACCATCATCACGCCCCCCTGGAACAATATACGGGAGGATATCTCTCCTATTTATCTTTCATAAAACCTTTGTACCCACATTGTAGATTTCTCTCGGAAGGCCCGCAAATATGACAAAATTTGAAAAAAAGAAATGAATTCCAGACTCCGAAGCTCCTGTCAGGCACCAAAGCCGGCCTTTTCGGTGTCCCACTTTGAACCTTGAGGAGACCCATATCTAGGGGCTTCCATGCCGCCGGTCTGGCCCCGGGATCTTGGGATACGTACACAGCGGGAGGGCCGTTGGGCCAATGGAATGTCTTCGATAAGGTATAATGTCCGCTTCTGGTAATACAACCATCTCTTTTAGGCCCATATTAGTGGGGACGGAGTGTTCTGTGTCGGTTTTTCTGCTTGGGATGGGGATATCTCGGGATCTTGTGCGTGCTTCTAGATTCTAGACTCTTCGTGTTGGTGACTCTTGTCAACAACGAAGGTGCATGAAAAGCATGAAAAAGAAAAGTGGACAAAAAAAAAGAATATCGAGTATCTCTCTGGGACTTGAGGGGGGAAAAGGACGAGCTGTATCGATCAAGATGCGGTGAAACAGGTGCGGCTGTAGGGTTGATGCGACGGTGGCTGCTCGAGACGGCCCGCCACGAACCCTCTATGACGAACCAATTTTTCCCTTCCTTCCTTTCTTTCTTTTCAGAAAATTTCTTGGCCCCTCCAACAGGGCGTGGCGGCGAAAAGTCGGCGTTCCTTAGCGTGGCAAAGTCAAACTTTGATCCAGAACCTCTCAGCAAAAGCTGCCAGGGTTGTGGAGCCAAGCTTTTATTTGAAGCGTGGTTACCTCGGTAACTAGTGCGGCAGACTTTGCTTCTTCGGGAATAGCCCTAGCCTTTTTCTGTCATGCAGCTGCAACCCTATGAGTCCATGACCTTGTATCAGGTCCATCGGATTCTTCGAGGGGCCACCGAACTGTGTCCGTGAAAGACCGGAGCATCACAAAGATTACTCGGTTGGGGTTAGTGCATGTCCATGCATCACCCAGCGTTTAGGTTCCGCGAGAGGGATCCAGAACCAGCGGGTGCCCAATGCGAGGTGTCAACTTTCAAGAGAGATGATGGATTGGCTTAGCATTAATGATGCCGATCCACCGGCCGAGCCCGGCCCCAGCAGCATGAAAGCCGCAATGGGTTTTGTAAGTCCCCTGTGCCGAACATTCCGCGAACAAAGTCCACTGCAACGAAGAGGGGGAAAAAAAGGAAAAAGTGCAACTCGAGAGAACCGCACATCTGTGACTTACTAGCGCCGTGTTCAAACCTCCGACGGAGATTGGAAGCCCATGCCACCCTCTTCCCTCCTTCCCCCTCCCTAGGGAAACGTGGCTGATGACGAAATTTCCATGCCCAACGACGCTAACTCGTTGATCACTCGATGATCATGCCCCCAAGTGTGACTCTTGATAAGACCGGGTTGCGCCGGAGGAAACCCCCCCCGGCCCAAGGCTGCCCCCCAAACTCAGTGGCCTCGAACGCGTGGGGGATTGAAGTTTGTGGTGTTTGGCCTCCAATCTCTAACCGGCATCTCGGTTATAGCCTTCCATCCCTCCCGGGACTATACCCTTTCTCGCTGGGCAGACTTACTCTTTTTTTCCAAGCGCACAAAGTCACGTTTCTCCGAACCATCTGATGACACGGCGAGGATATGAAGACAATGAGCAACAGGTGTCTGTCATAAACAAGGCTCTGGTTGTAGCACACCAACGGATGCCAAGCTGTGGCGCGGCTCCCTTTTTGTTGTTCTCTTACGATGGCACAATGGATGTCATCAAAAAAATCATCAATATCCCATTCAACATCAAACGATGATTGAGTGACAGGGGGCACTGGAATAGGGGGTCTTCACCATGCCCAACGCAAGACACCATGTCTTTCATTGATGCCCGATCCCGCTGAATGTTGAACGGGATCCAATCGATGGTACACGCAGCACTAAATCATCATTTCTTCAACACCCATCGAACGGTTCAATATTATTATACCTGAGCATCAACTCTCACCTGCACCTCCTTGCACAAATCAGCCATCGCCTGCGCCAACGGAGCAAAATCCGTCTGCTCCTTTGAAACCCTCTCCAGCGCTTTAGCAACCCTCTCTAGCAACACAATATCATCGGCATAGTCCCCGGGCCTACTGGCCCTCAAGATGGTCTTGAACAAGCATCCACAGGAAATGAGAGCCTGGCCAGCACCGAACAAGAACGAAATCATCGACGCGTAGGGGTGGTCCCGCAGGACGACGTCGCAGATTTCGAGGCCCTGCCGCGCCGCTCGGAGGACGATGGGGTGGTCCGGAATGTCGTCGTCGCAGGTGATTGGCGTAGGTGATCCGGAACGGAGCGCGGCAATCTTGCGCATGATGAAGATGATGGAGACGTAGCCCGTTTGCAACACATCTCCTACCGCCCAGACGAGGTTGATGTCTTCGGAGCAGGTTCTGAACCAGTCGTGCTATTTTCTTGGTGTCAGCATCATTCTCGGCCTTTCCCCCTTTATTTTCCGGACACTTTTTCCACTCCCTTTCTTTTCTTTCTTTTTTTTTATTGGCCCCTTTCTAGGTTTCATCTGAGACTGTAGGACTTGACGGGGCTGTACACTTACAAACTGCCACTCATCAAACACCTTCTCAATTTCATCGCACAGGGCCAAAGCCTCGTCGAACAGCGTCTCGTCGTTCCTCGTCGGCGCCTCAAGCAGCTGGAAGAACTGCGCCAAGATCAAGGTGACCCGTGACCCCACGATGAAGCACGACGTCGTCACGGCCCTCGGACCAGTCTCGCTCTCTTCGGCGGATATCGTCGGCAGGTTCACGCGCCAGTTGTCGAGGTTCGCCGTCAGCACGGGGGGCGTGTCGCATAGAAGGCGGAAGAAGAGGTCGATCTGGATGAGCATCCACAGGCTTTTCCTGTCCCAGCTGGCGACGACGCTTCGTACGCTCGAGGACATGGCGTTGCTGTCGAGGTTGTGGAGGTTGAGCCCCTGGGCATACCGACAGGCGTCCTTGAAGGTTTGCCAGAAGAGATCGTGATCGAAATATTCAACTGATGCCCTGGCCTAGGAAACATGTTAACTGAACAGAACCGCGTGAACAGGAAAGAAAGAAAGAAAGATGGCGCGTGATATAAGAGACGAGAGAAAGCCAATGGCTTACAATAAACAATGCCGCCAAAAAGTCTGTTATAGTCCCGGTCGCCTGCTTCCTCCAGACGGGCAGCGACCGAAGACAGCAAATGTAGAGTCTCCTTTGATGGCTCTGATAGTCCGGCGGCGGCGTATTCTTCGGAGGGAACCAGCACCCTTGGTAGAGAATGCAGTAATAGATGACCCAAATGGACGCGTCGATGTCGACGTGCGGCATGCCCACGAGGTCGGGCATCATCTCGAGCAGTTTCCTGGGGAGGAAACTCGAAAAAGTGTCTTCGGGTTCTCGGCTGAAATAATCTACATGAGAGCACGAGAGAAAATCGCAGGCAATGGTTAGCCAATATTAGATGCCAACAGTCGTCTTCCGAAGCTGCTCCTCACTTTTGATCCAGAGTTTGGACATTTCCGGAGTTATCGCCACATCTTCAGTAATAGTGGCTGTCGTGAGACTCTTTGCCCTCACCCTTTCCACCTGGGCCACGGCATCGCTGAGAATGGCAGTCGCATCTAGCGCGGTCGGCGCAGAAGGCTCCAGGTGTAGTCGCGGCGAAGGTGTCGTTCCCGTGAAGATCGCCGATGGCGCAGAGGAGATGCTACTACTAATAGCTCCATGACTCTGACTTGTCTGGCTTGGGGACTCGACATTTATGGTGTAGGAAGGAGTGCTGATGTCCGACACTGCCCGCGCATGTGTGATGGATTCTTCTACACGCTGTAGACGTTCAAGGATGGCCGATAAGGCGGAGTTATCGCCGGCAGTCGCCGTGCTAAGAGAAGCGTTAATAGCCGATGGTCGGTCCTAATCGGCGATGAGGAGCGGAGCGGAATATTTCCTCCTCCGTTGCGATGTCCCGAATCGTGATCGGTGTTAACTTACCTCGGCCCCGGTGGGGGTTTCTGGGCCCGTTTCACTCTTTGGGGATAGACGCAGTGGATACCTCTCGCTTTGCATCTTTCGCACTGAGGCAGGATACGATTGCATCGGATCTATGAAGCGGTCGCCGACCGTTTAGCGATGCGTTCCCGTGACCCGCGCACACCGATCACATTATTAATTTTTTTCTGCTAACTCACCTTGCGTTCCTTGCATCGTTTGCACTGCGTGTTAAAATGAAAGACGAGGCTTCCGTGTCAGTTAGGCGGGTCCACGAAGTTGCCAAGTGCGGAGTGCGGACAATGGACTTTGAAAGTCCGTCACTCACAGCGATAGGGTTAAGGTTGTTGGATTCGTCCATGGCCAGGCCAGCCCTATGGAAATTAAAAATTCCAACCGGGACTAAGAAATGGACGACGGAGGCCAGGAGGAAACTGCGGAGGTAAATCGTCCGATTTTATCGTAGGGCTGAGTATTGTTGCCTATCGCCGATTGCGAGTATGCTCGGGCGACATCAGGGAGGGAGTGCGGTAGTTGACGGAGATTCCTCAGTCCGTCCCACCGCGCTCCTTTTGAAGAGATTCGAAATGCTACAGTTGCAGTTTGTCAACTTCCAGTTACGCGGACTCCGCGGGCAGCGAAGCGCTCGATTTGATTAGACGGTGTGGTGCCCTGAGCGTTCCTGAGACGGTTCTTGCAGATTCCGTCCCAAGAGCTAAACGGGGAGACCGTCCAAGTTGTCCTTGTCGACCTGCCGTTTTCGGACTAGGTACCCCAATAACGGTCGGCACTCACTGACACCGACCGTGGTTCGGTTCGATAGCCCGGCTCGTCTGTGCAATTTAAACGGCAGCCAAGAACACGACGTTGGAGCTCCAGATTCAAAGATGGGCCACATTGTCTTAGTTTATTTGGTTGTAGGGCTGAACCTGTCGTTCTGCTTGTTTCTGAACAGACAGATGAGAAGCGAAGACAGTGAGCCACATTCCTTCGTGTTGAAATTGTACGGTTTGCAGGTTCCGTTTCAGCTTTGCCCCGATTCCTTCCCAATATCATGCCACAAGTATTTCGTACCTCGTGCAAGGGGCGGCGGTCTGGACCGGTCTAGAACAATCACGTGATCATTTATGCTCGTTCCTCTCGTACCCGGAAATACCCAGGTGAAATACTGAGTACTTCAGCACGTGTTCTTGATGAGATCACGGGATCACAAGACTACGCATCTCATCACGATCCGGTGACTGTGGTTTATTAAGATCGTCGGACCGGTTCTTCGACTACTCTTTGCAGTTTTACTAGATCTGTATGGAAGCTGCTTAGACGAGTCAGAAAGGGGGCGAGCTATTGCTCGGATTTGTCCGAGAGCAGTAGATTAGCTCGCCCAACGAGATACCCAATCTAAGATTAAAGTTTACGTCCCAGGTGTCTCTGCCGTGTCACACCACTATAGTGCCCAGGCCGGGTAAAGGGTAGTAAAGAGCTCAATGAAACCAAAGCTTATTGCAAGAATAGAACCTTTTTTTTTAATTTGTGTTTTTTCGTCGTAACTTTAAAAGCTAAATTTGTTTGGTAAAAATTTTCGGTATATTATTAGGGGAGCGCTGGATTCCCGCCCAGGCAGACGACATCTAATCTAATACAAACAATATATTCAGTACGGCATGGACCATTCATTCCTGGCACCTGCCGGATCTACATCGTGACTTCAAACTGCATTGACGAAATCTTAAACATCCAGCGTAGACTTATACTGGCTGACTTCGTACGTCTTCGTCACTATTATACCCTCCTGGTGCGCGCTATGATCACTGTTCGTGCTGCCGGCGCGGATGTCGTGCATGACCACCTTCCCGTACTCCGAGTTGGCTGCCTTGACGATGTGCTCCTCGCTGGTGTTGTCGCCGAGATCGGTAATGTCGTGGTGGCGTTTGGTCGACAAGGTCGGACGAACGCCCGAGTTGCCGATCCGGGACAGAGAGTAGCCGTACTTGTCGAGGCGGCCGCTGGTCTTCCGGCTGCTGTCCTTGTTGCTCGAGCTGAGCCAGCGGGACTTGGAGAAGAGGGGCTTGATGCTGGCGGCGTTGACGGCGATGATACCGACGAACTAGATTCAGACGTGGCGTGTGAGTGCGCCGCGGAAAAAGGAAGAAAATTCGAAAGCATGGAAATGGGGTGTGGTGGCGTGAGGTGGCGTGGGGTGGGATTGCGGGGGGAACAAGGGAGGGAACGGAAGGATTGAGGGTGCAGAAAAAAAAGCAAGCAGGACAGAGATCCCTGTACTTACCGTCTCTCGAATGGCCCAGATGGTACTAATGTTGATACCCTGAATGTCCCTGAGCGACAAGATGCAACGGAGAAGAGTAGCAATCATGATGAAGACACCCGAGCAAAGGAGGAGGCCGATGATCAGCTTCCGCTTAATACTGAGCTTCACCTTCCAGAGCAATGGCACTGGGATCATGACGATGACAAGATCGGTCCTGTTGTTTTTAATATGATTAATCGTTTGTCAACATGATCTGCCATCTTGCAAGGTTGCCCTGGAAAAGACAGGCATAAAAGTTTAGGATTCAATGACGTCTGGTTCGACTTACGAGATGTTCAGGACGACAAGGGACAAATAATTGGCCACGCCAAGAGTGCATCGGTCTGTGTGGAGATTAGCGCCATCGGCCGAGGGACAAGGGATAATTTGCTGGGGATCGGAAATATCCTGAAAAGAAACGAAACACACGCACCTCCGGGATATGGCACGACCTGCCAGTTCTTTTGGACGGGTGTGCAGTGAGCCCAGATAACGCCGATCACGGCGATGTAGGCCAACACGGTTGCCAGTCCTGTCCATTTGACAACTTTTTGCTGTTTTAGACCGAGACTAGTAGAAGTCAATTGCGAAATGTTAGAATTGGAACGCCAAGTGGCTCATGCCGATTCGTGGACTGGAACTCAAAGGTGAAGGGTGAAGGCAAGCGTACGTGATACGGTTGTAGTAGCAGAGCATGCAGCCCTTCAGGCACCAAATCAGAGTGACGTAGAAATTCCATCCAGCCATCAAGCACTTCGATCCAAACACCAGTTTGGCAATCTGTTCTTCGCTCAACGTAGCCCCGATCTCGTCTGTTATACCGATGTTGGTTCCGTTTTGTCCTGCAAGGAGTGAGAAAAAGAAAAAATAAGCAAAACAAGCCTTCCGGGAGAGAGTATCGCGGCGCACTCTGGGAAAGAAAAAAAAAAAAAAAAATCCCTACCAATAAGTTCCAACATCAACAGTTCCAGCTGCAAGGAACCGAAGAATATCGCTCAGTTACACGTCCCACTTCTCCGCTCCGACGAGCAAAATCGGAATCATAAAATCGTCGACTTACAGTCCAGAATACCAGAGCCAGGACGGCAAAGTAATCGTCACCCTGCCACCCCTTGAATCCCACGGCTTTCCATCGAGCAAAATAACGGAGGAATAAGATGAGGCAGCCGAGACCGTACTCGGTCCAGGCCTCGGTCTGGAACGGCGTCGCCGTCATCTTTCAAGGCGTTCTTGATCTTTTCTGTCCGACTTGTCCGATTCTACTGTCTCACACACTCTCTCCCAATTGTGAGAGTGGAATGACACACCGGGAGGAGCGGAAGAACAGCACAGCACAATTGAAGACGGAGAGCTCAGTCAACGTTTGCGAATAAGCAGAACAAGAACAAACACAAACAGCACACATGTGGAGTGTCGTGCTGACCGAGAAAAACAGAAGCAAAAAACAAAGGATCAATGGATTTTAAGACTGTGGGCTTATCATGCCGGGGTAGTGGCTAGTCTTATTCGCACGACGATGACATTCCAAGACGTCGATCTTAGAGCACTTGGGTGCATTTAGACTGGGTTAGACCAGGCACGCAAAGACCAACGCCTTTTCGCCACTAATTCCTTTCTAATTCAAACTAAAATTCATTTCAAAATTTGGCGTGTTCTTGTTTCGTCCTAGCCTCCACCTTAGCCCCCTTTTTTTTTTTCTCGCCCTTGCCCCGGATCCTTTGCCAGTCGAGAGTTGCTGGGACCCGCTAGCAGGCATCACCCGTGCAGAGAAAGGCCGCTCGAAGCAAGTTTACGACGTTAGTTTATGAGCCCACCGAACAAGGGCTGTTCGGATCCGCTCCATACGAGGACCCCTGTCGACGATCGATTGCGCTATCTTAGTTCTTACGAAGTTGATTCGAATAATCAGGCCGGGCTGTGAGTGGTCGTAAGACCTCGGCATATGCAGCAAATTGATAACTCCGCTGCACGAGCTGCCCGAGGGAAGGGGAGGGTAACGCTTGGAGAGTGAGAGGGGGAGGAAGAAGACTTAGGAGGGGGCTAAAGGGGGGGAACCAACATTTCATGATCCGAGAACGTGTTAACGGACCCCCAACTTAAAAGCCACTAGAAGAAAATGATCTTGGCTAGATCCTGCGTCGTATGTTTGAAGAAAAAATCCAATCAAATTAGAGGAAGCCACAGGAAATAGAGCGGAAAAAAGAACAGACATCGCCCCGTCGATGCTTCCATCTTGGGTCATGATTCCACCGGCGAGCGCCAATAGACTCGAATCGTCTTGTCACGTTATGGATTGACAGCTGAATTTCCTTATTTAGTAACTGGACACCTGCAACCTCTTGCAACATGGCCGCCCGCCAGCTGGACTCCCCAGTGACACTCATGCAACCTGCATCCGCACCTACTCACCTGTCTCCACCCCGCAGCTACCCTGCAACCTCCCTGCAACCTCCTCCACCTTCATGCTCCTCCCTGCATGCTCCCTGCACCTCCCCTGCTCCTTGGCTTTTCCCCCCTGCAAGGCTTACTCCAACAAGGATCGAATCGGCGTTACGAGCACGTCGCAGTAGCATCGAGTCGCACTGCAAGGGTGGACGAAGTAGCCTCGCCAGGGCCCAGGCTTCTATTTTGTCACTTCTCCTGCTTCAACCTGCTTCTACTGTGCTTCATCTTTGCTTCGACCTGCTTCAATGTCGTATGAGACGCTCCTCTCATTGCTACGGTTTTATTCCCGATACCCGAACGCAATGCAGATCTTAATCTGGCGGTGACGACTGCATTGCCGATTTGCGAGCCGCCAAGGTCCCAATTTCCCGCATGAGAAAAAGAGGAGGTGCGAGGCATCATGATGGAGAAAGATGGAGAAAGCATGGCAAATGGCTTGTATATAAAATGCCCATGTTGTCTACGACTTCGTAGTGTCACTGTCACCGTCACTGTTCAGGGTACTGCCTGGCACGTTGGTACTCAGCTCCCTGACGCTAACTTGCTTCTACCGTTTTCTCTATTCTCCTTTCAGCATTATTGTTCTTATTACCTTCGTCCTTATTGTCCGAACTTGCCAATTAAGACGAGAAAAAAACGCCATGGCCTCGAGTGAGCAATCGGAAAAGATCTACGATTTTATCGTATGTGGGTAAGTGATCGGCGACCAGAACCAGACTTTTGAAGCTTTGAATGAAAGCTCCGAGAAAAAAACGCCCCCAGGATACCACTGCATGAAGAAACATTCTCTAACCGAAGCCCTTGATGTTTGCTTTTTGTTTCGCAGAGGCGGCACGTCCGGCTGTGTGGTCGCGGGCCGACTTGCAGAGGATCCCAACGTCAGTGTGTTGGTCATCGAGGCTGGCCAGCACAATGAGAACCTGGAGAATGTCCATATGACCGGAGGGTAAGTAACAAACAATCTCGTGTGTAGATTGTGTAGATCGCGGCCGATGTTTTTGATTGTCAATCATCGATAATAATTCCCTGGTTTCCCCAATTTATAGCTGGTCCAAGAACTTCGACAGCGAAACCGACTGGAATATCATCTCCGAGAAGCGCCCTGCCGTCAATGATCGCCAAGTCAAGTTGAGCCGAGGAAAATTCCTCGGTGGCTGCTCTGGATGCAACGGCACGTTGTGCATTCGCGGGTCCCGACAGGATTACGACGACTGGGGTCTTGACGGATGGAGCGGCGATGAGTTCTTCAAGTACATGGCCAAGGTAATTGATGCCAATCCGCTTTTGTTTCTATTTCTATTTCTATTTTCATGATTATTTTCAAGGTTGTTATTATTATTATTTTCTTTTCGGCCAAATGTCGACTTTCTTTCCTTGTCTCTCTCTCTGTCCATCTACATCTCCGAGGGCATTCGCTAGAATTTTCTTTTGCGATTTTCATCTAGGCCGAAACCTTCCACACCAAGCCTTGGTTCAACGAGACCAAGGAGGAGCACGGCTACGATGGCCACCTCCACGTCGAGCCCCACGATCTCGCCCCCATCTCGAATCTCCTGATGGAGTCCATGGTCTCCAAGGGTCTCCCCCTCGACCATGACATGTTCACGCACGGAAACAACCCTCACGGCTGCGGACACGTCCCGCGATCAGTTTACAAGGGCCTCCGAACCACCGGCGCCGACTTCATCACGAGGGAGAACGAGAAGAAGAACATCGATCTCCTCGTCGAGACGCACGTCGACAAGGTCATTATCGAAAAGGACGCCGACGGCGAGCTCAAGGCCACGGGCGTCAGGGCCGTCAAGGCAGACGGCACCGTCGTCGAGATCAAGGCCCGGAAGGAGGTCATCGTCAGTGGCGGTTCGTACTGCAGCCCCAACATCCTCAACCGCTCTGGCATTGGTGCCAAGGACGAGTTGGAGAAGCATGGCATCACCACCCTCGTCGATCTCCCCGGCGTCGGAAAGAATCTGATGGATCATTTGGTGCGTTGAGCGAATTTTTATTGAAGGATCCTTCCCGCCCCCTCCCTCCCTCCCCCCTGCCTTTTATTTTCCCCACCTTGTGGCGCCCAACCATGTTCGTGTTAAAAAACTGACTCGTCACAAAACTAGATTGTCTTCATCTTCTACGAAACCGAGAAACCCGGTCTCACGAATGACTACCTCGTCTACCACGGCAACGCCCTCGAAAAGACCTACGAGCAATGGAAAAATGAAAAGACCGGCTTCCTCTCCACCTTCCCTTTCGGCATCTTCGCCTTTGCGCGTCTCGATGACCGCCTCGCCGATTCCGCCGTCTGGAACGCCGCCCCGCGCGAGCCCGGTCGCGACCCCATGGGCCTGACGCCGAAGCAGCCCAACATTGAGTTCTTCTCCACCGAGTGCTACGGCGGGCCGAAGCAGTTCGACAAGTTCCCCGGAGATGGCCAGCACGCTTTCAGTATCATTGCTGAGCTGTTCGCGCCCAAGTCGCGAGGCACTGTTACTCTCCGCAGCGCGAACCCCGCGGATGGTCCCATTGTAGACTGCAATTACCTTGCCGACCCGCTCGATGTCGAGGTTTTGGCCGAGGCTTGCCGGTTCGGCAACGAGATTGTCACGCAGGGCGCCGGGACCAAGGATATCGTCAAGGGTTCGTGGCCGTCTGATTTGACGCATCATACCTACAGCTCCAGGGAGGACTGGATCCCCTACGTGAGGGATAACGCGACTACTTGTGAGTGCATCGAATTTTACTTTATTTTTTTTCTTTTACTTTTTTATGCACTGTTATTTCGTTTTGTGTGTCTTTTTTAAGTTGTGGGGATGTGTGCGGGGCTTGGAGCGGAAAGAAGGGATTCCTGACGGGGGCTAGACTAGCTTCAACGTTCTCTTCCTGCAACGTAACCATAACCATGCTAACTCTACCACACCAAAAAGGCTACCATGCGGCGGGCACTTGTGCCATGGGCAAGGAATCTGATCCTAATGCCGTCGTCAACGAGAAGCTCTTCGCCAAGGGCGTCAAGGGCCTCAGGGTTGCCGACTGCAGCGTCATGCCGACTTTGAACGGTGGTCACACTCAGATTCCAGCGTTCGGAATTGGTGAGAAGGCCGCTAGCCTCATTAAGGAGACCTGGGGCTTGAAGTCGGCTTAAGCATTAAGCAGTCGCAAAGCACAGAGAGAACAGACAAGTCGATGCTTGAAGCCTCACAAAAATGGGCGTCTGAAGGGAAATGCCATTGATGTTGTTATGACATGCATTAGGAAATTGGAGAAATTGAACAATGAGACAATTGATTCATGACTTGACTGTCTTTTCATCCAAGTTCACTTCTCCCCAAGAGTCCGTTCGTGCACTAAATGTTGATCACCGCTCACCCGCACTTGTCCCTTTTCGGAAAAGTTAACGAGCTGATGGTTGACAGCTCACAACGCTTAGCCATAACCGCGACGAAAACACAGCACCACCGTGACCGTGAATAGTGCTTGATACCTCTTTGACCTCCACAAACCAGCGGATATCTGACGTGATCCATTCTGGTTAGTGTGTGTGTGTAGTGCAGCATACTTCTTCTCAATTGCACCTGAATAAACTAGATCCCATCTCGGGTCTGTCCCCCAGATTCGCAGGTAGGTGGGCCGTGGTACTCTAAATGTTATTTGCAGAAACGGTAGCCAAAAACGGGAAAAACAGCCCGCGTTGCAGGACAAAAGTAAACTAATTCGGGGCCCGCGGAGAGCGGCGTGAGTAAGAATGACGCGCACACCGGAACCAAAAAGTGGAAACCGGGTCCTTCCCTTGCGCGTTTTGGGAACTAGGCAACAATAAAAGGATTCGAGCGGTCTTGGCAAAGTCCGCGACTCCACGTTCGGAAGGAATGTGTGCATCGACGGGCTGTGGGCGGGTCTCCGTCTGCAGTCGACAGTGGTCAGGGAACGGGGTTTTCTCAGCTCGTTACGAAGGCCAAGAGATTGATTAAAAATGTAGAAACAAAAAATAAAATAAATGGCGGAAGCCCGCGCCGAGACGATGCAAGGTCCGAGAAAACATATAAGTCTAATTTCGTTCCTTTTTTTTTTTTTTTTTCTTTTTTTTGCATTCAGCTCTTTTTTTGTTCTTCATGTAATCATTGATCACACTTCTTTTGATTCTCTCTTCTTCGGACAACCCAGGGTCGGCCTGGTTGTGCGTGCCAGTTTAATAGTGTCATTCCCTAACAAACACACCTTTTGTCTTCCTGCGCCATCATGGCTTCCAACGCGAAAGGCGAGGGGGAGGACCCCGCGCAGTCTCTCGCGCCGGAGAAAACCCACCCGCCAACGGCGCGCTCCGCCGCCGAATCCACAACCACCGTCGTCGAGAAGGACTGGCACGCTCGACGCTCAACCACGGACCCAATGGCCGACGAGGAGGAGCGCATGAACGAGGAGGTCCACGAGCTTGCCCGGAGACTGACGACGACCCAATCCAACGCTGCGCCCGGTTCCCTCTTCCCGCTCCCCATCGAAGGACCCCTCGACCCCAGCAGCCCCAAGTTCGACGCGCGCCAATGGGCCAAGGCATTCTACGCTCTTCGGGTTGATACTTCCGAAGGGAGCCCGCCTAGAACGACCGGCGTGGCTTTCAAGGGACTCAGCGCGTACGGATTTGGCACCTCTACGTCCTTCCAGAAGAGCGTCGGGAATGTCTTCCTCAAGGGCGTTTCTGCGCTCAAGAAGATCAGCGGTGCAAAGGAGCAGCGCATCGATATCCTGCACGACCTCGAGGGTATCGTCCGCGCGGGTGAAATGCTCGCCGTGCTGGGTCCTCCCGGTTCCGGCTGCTCGACTTTCCTGAAGACCATTGCAGGAGACACCCACGGGTTCCACGTCTCCAAGGACGCCGTCGTCAACTACCAGGGCGTGCACCCCAACGAGATGAGAACGGCTTTCCGCGGCGAGGCCATCTACACCGCCGAGGTTGATCACCATTTCCCCCATTTGACCGTCGGTGATACGCTGTACTTTGCCGCCCGCGCCCGCTGCCCGAAGAACATCCCCGAGGGCGTTTCGCGGAAGGAATACGCCGAGCATCTCCGAGACGTGACGATGGCCATGTTTGGCATCTCGCATACCAAGAATACCCGTGTCGGTGACGACTTTATTCGCGGCGTCAGCGGAGGCGAGAGGAAGCGTGTTACTATTGCAGAGGCGGCGCTGAGCTATTCCCCCCTTCAATGCTGGGATAACAGTACGAGGGGTTTGGATAGTGCGAACGCGCTGGAATTTTGTCGGACGCTGAGGACGCAGGCGGATATCATGGGGAGCACGTCTTGTGTTGCCATTTATCAGGCGTCGCAAGATGCATATGATGTGAGTATTAGGGGCAAAGGGAGGGGAAACGAAAAAAAAAAAAAAAAAAAAAAAAAAAAAAAAAACTGTTCAACCTACTAACTGCATTCAGATCTTTGACAAAGTCATTGTTCTTTACGATGGAAGACAGATCTTCTTTGGCAAAACTGGCGAAGCCAAGTCCTACTTCGAAGGTCTCGGGTTCATCTGTCCCGAACAGCAAACCACCGCCGACTTCCTAACTTCCATGACCAGCGCCCACGAGCGCATTGTTCGCCCCGGATGGGAGGGAAAAGCCCCGCGTAGCGCCGACGAATTCGCCGACGCCTGGAAGGCTAGCAAGCACCGAAACCAGCTCATGGCTGAGGTGGAAGACTACTTTGAGCGCCATCCTTTTGGTGGCGAGCACTACCAAATGTTCCTCGAGTCGCGCAAGGCCGACCAGTCCAAGTCCCAGCGGGCTAAATCGCCGTTCACGCTTTCGTACATGGAGCAGATGGGCCTCACGCTCTGGCGCAGCGCCGTCATGCTCAAGACCGACCCGAGTATTCCCATTGTCATGCTCTTCAGCAACTTTTTCGAGGCCCTCATCGTTAGCAGCGTGTTTTACAACTTGCCGGCCAACACATCGACATTTTTCAGGCGCGGCGTTCTCATCTTTTACGTCGTTCTCATGAACGCGTTTTCCAGCGTCCTCGAGATCCTGTCCCTCTACGCCAAGAGAAAGATTGTTGAAAAGCACTCCCGCTACGCCTTCTACCACCCAAGCGCCGAAGCCCTCTCTTCCATGGTCGTTGACCTTCCCTACAAGATCCTCAACACAATCTTCCTCAATACGACCATGTACTTCATGGGGCATCTTCGACGCGAGGCGGGTCCGTACTTCTTCTTCCTCCTCATCTCCTTCACCGTCACTATGTCTATGTCCATGCTGTTCCGCTTCATCGCCTCCATCACAAAGTCCATCGACCAAGCCCTCGCGCCGGCGTCCATCTTCCTTCTCGCCATCGTGACGTATACCGGCTTCGCCATCCCGCCGGACTACATGGAAAAGTGGATCGGGTGGTTCCGCTGGATTAACCCCGTGTACTACGGCTTGGAGAGTCTCTTCCTCAATGAATTCACTGGCCGCTCGTTTCCCTGCACGACTTACGTGCCTTCGGGGCCGGGGTACGACTCGGTTGCGGCCGACCAGCGGGTTTGTGCTACCACGGGATCCGTACCGGGCCAGCCTTTTGTTTTCGGAAGCGACTATCTCAAGAGCGCGTACGGATTCGTGAATGTGCATCGCTGGAGGAATTTTGGCGTCGTTGTTGCTTTTGCCGTATTGTACATGATTCTTCATCTTGTCGCCACAGAATATATTGCCTCGGAGCGATCTCGCGGCGAAGTCCTCTTGTTTACTCGCAGGGGTATGAAGAAGCAGACGAAGCAGTCAACGGGTGATGTCGAGACAGGCCCTGGTGGTAATAAGGTCGTACGAAGAGAGGCCGAGGACTCTGATGCTCCGTCGAACATGGATACACAGGTTTCTGTTTTCCACTGGAAAGACGTGTGTTATGACATCAAGATTAAGGGAGAGCCGAGGAGACTCCTTGATAATGTGGACGGATGGGTGAAGCCGGGAACATTGACTGCTCTAATGGTAAGTTTATTGGAATCCCAAGCACTTGTCTCCCGATGTGCTGATCCAGACTATTAACACCTTCATCGACAGGGCGTATCTGGAGCCGGCAAAACAACTCTCCTCGATGTCCTCGCCAGCCGCGTCACCATGGGCGTAATCACAGGAGAAATGCTGGTAAATGGCAAACAACGCGACCAATCCTTCCAACGGAAAACCGGATACGTTCAGCAGCAGGATCTCCACCTTCACACGTCCACCGTCCGGGAAGCCCTCAACTTCAGCGCCCTCCTCCGCCAGCCGTCACGCTACACACAGGCCGAAAAGCTCGCATACGTCGATACCGTCATCAATCTCTTGGACATGGAAGAATACTCGGATGCCATCATCGGCGTCCCGGGAGAAGGTCTCAACGTTGAGCAGAGGAAGAGGCTCACGATCGGCGTCGAGCTGGCGGCAAGGCCCCAGCTTCTGCTATTCCTTGATGAACCTACCTCTGGGCTTGACAGCCAAACGTCGTGGTCAATCTGCAATTTGATGGAGAAGTTGACCAAGAGCGGTCAAGCAATCTTGTGCACGATCCACCAACCTTCTGCTATGCTCTTCCAGCGATTCGACCGTCTCCTTCTCCTGGCTAGCGGTGGCAAGACTGTCTACTTTGGTGAAATTGGAAAAAATGCCAACATCATGATCGATTACTTTGTTCGCAACGGTGGTCCACCTTGTCCACCTGGCGCCAACCCAGCCGAGTACATGCTCGAGGTTATCGGTGCAGCTCCCGGTGCGCACACCGATATCGATTGGCCTGCCGCGTGGCGGAACAGTCCGGAGTATCGCGGAATTCAGAATGAACTGGCTCGTCTTGCGCGTGGAGAGGGTGCTCCGGAGCCCCAGGATGTCGACAAGGATCCATCTGCCTACAGGCAGTTTGCTGCTCCGTTCACTACTCAGCTCTTTGAAGTAACCAAGCGTGTGTTCCAGCAGTACTGGCGAAGCCCGACATACATCTACTCCAAGGGTCTTTTGTCGTTCGGCAGTGTAAGTTGAAACTAACCTTTGCATGGTCCACTCTTCAAATTTCACCTACTAACAGTGCCCCAGGCTCTCTTCGTCGGATTATCCTTCCTCAACGCCGAAAACACACAGCGCGGCCTACAAAACCAAATGTTCGGCATTTTCATCTTCCTCTTCACCTTCGCCCAAATCGTCCAGCAAATCATGCCCCTCTTCGTCACCCAGCGAACGCTCTACGAGGCGCGAGAGCGTCCGTCAAAAGCCTACTCGTGGCAATCTTTCCTTATCGCCAACGTCTTGGTCGAGATTGCCTGGAATTCTCTCATGTCTGTGTTCTGCTTCGTGTGCTGGTACTTCCCCATTGGTCTCTATCGTAACGCGTACGCGACGGACGCCGTTGATTCTCGTGGAATTACCATGTTTATGCAGGTCTGGGTGTTCTTCGTCTTTACAAGCACCTTCGCCGATATGGCTATTGCGGCCATCGGGAGCGTCGAGATTGCTGGTGCCATTGTGAACCTCTTCGTCATTATGATGTTCACATTCTGCGGGTAAGTCAAATATCCGGCCACCTTTACCTAGGAATCGTGCGCTAATCGGTTTTCACAGTGTCCTTGCCGGTCCTAACGACCTTCCCGGCTTCTGGATCTTCATGTACCGCGTGAACCCAATCACTTACGTGATCGAAGGCTTCCTCGGCACATCTCTCGCCAACACCGCCGTCCACTGCGCCAACAACGAGTTCCTCTCTTTCAAGTCCCCCGAAGGAATGACCTGCGCCGAGTACATGGAACCCTACATGTCCGTCGTCGGCGGCTACCTCGTCAATCCCGAGGCAGGCAACGGAACCGAGTGCCAGTACTGTCAGATGGACAACACGAACACGTTCCTGTCGAGCATCAACGTCAGTTTCGACCACCGATGGAGGAACTTTGGGTTCATGTGGGCGTTTGCCGTGTTTAATATTGCGGCTGCTGTGATTCTTTATTGGCTGGTTCGCGTCCCGAAGAAGAAGGGCAAGGGGCTCAAATAAAAATGAGACGCGATACTAGATATTATTCAACCGGGGCTACACTTCATTCGACAAGTTTACAAGGTTCCTGCCACAACTGCATTTCCATTCTTTCATAGATATTCTCTTAGACACACTCTCATAGAGTTATTATACTCATGGGGTTATAAACTCTTAATTTACAGAACTTTTCTTTGATCATCCACGTATCGAACCCATGAATGGCGTTGGGGAGGATGCGCTCCCTCCATGCAGTCTCAATGGTTGAGTCCTGTGACACCACTGTTCGCCTGGGACTTTCGGTGGATTCCGTAAAATACCTCGTATGGTGAATGTCCCCCCAGCGATTAATCAAAATGCACCTTCGGTTGTCCTATTTCCGAGGGAGGCGTAAAGTTATATTAGGTGTTAGAAAAGAAAAAGCCTCATCTGAAGATCGTAGATAGACTCCGAAACGCCCTTCAAACATACGAAGTATTGACGGGAACTGCCGAGCTGTTCGGGCTGACCCATGGCATGATAGACCTATAGAAAGGATCTCAAGCACTGGTCGCTAGCTCGTGGCCTGACCGCTTCTTTCTGCCAGATGGAAAAGAGGGCGACTTGGTGGAGATTGCTTCGTACATCCCTATGAGAATAAGCTGACACACTGCCAATCTCGGCTTACATGCATGTGTAGGGTCGCCCGAACCCTGCAAGGTTCGGTGTTGAAGAGAAACATTTCTCCTGTTCACGATCTCGACTGGGTATCTCTCACCTCTCTTCATCTTAACTCATACAAAGTGGATGTTTAATAGTTCCATTCATGTCTGTAATTCTTGTCCTCCCAATCCTAGGCTCCGAGGATCGGATATCAGAGACCAACCACGGATTGTGGCTTGCATGCCAAGTCTGACGTTGAACACTGTGTAAGACTGACGATGACACCTCGCAGGATTTGACCCCTGTTAGCCATACCTTATTGGGCATAACACGATGCATGATCCTTCCCTGTGGCACCCGTCGTTTTTTCAGCTCCCACTGCAAAGCAACCTCCAACATGGGTTATTATGGCCGCCCACGGAATGAGTCCTCGAGCTTGAGCCCGAGCTAAGCTCGCCAAAAAGCTCCATCGAGTCCTTATCAGGATCGCCTCGCCTCATCCCAGATGCATTCAGTTTGATCTGCCCGGAGGAGGTCTCCTTTCGACATACCCACGATCCCATCATGTCGTTGCCTATCCGCTCCCCAATAACAGCGTTGGCTGCCGTGGGATTAATAGCTGCTGTTGCCATCCCGTTTCTCCTCTCTCACGACTCGAACTTCTTCGCCCCGCATGTCCAAGGAAAAAACAACACCGTCTTGTTTCTGGTGAACTCCAATCATGGGTACTCGAACGTCCACCTCGCAACGGCCTTTGCCATGGCTGAAAAGGACTCGGATGTCTCCATCCACTTCGGCACGTTCGAGAAGATGAGGTCCAGAATCCAGAGGATTGAGCAAGCCGCCCGCGAGAGAAACCCCGACGTGGAGCCCATCAGCTTTCACCTGCTCCCCAGCACGGATTATCTAGATGCTCTAAATGCCAGGGACATCATGACGGTGGATAACATGATCACTCCACCCGGTCTCGAAGGGAATAAGCACTTTAGCAGCAGTTTCCGCTGGATTTTCGCGCCTTGGACGGACGAGGATCATCTGGCAATCTATCGCCGCAGCGTCGAGTTGATCGAGGAAATTGACCCTGCTCTTGTGGTTCTTGATCCGATGTTTCGTCCAGCCATGGAAGCGACGCAGGACCAGAATCGCATGTATACTGTCGTGTCGCCGAATACCCTAGAACTCTTCCTCCTCGATCAGAAATGGGGCAAAGCGTTGTGGAAATATCCCGCGTAAGTTTCTCAAACCTTTGCCATGATCCCCTGCGGGAGCTACCCTCCACTGAACAAATCGCATCCTAGGGTCGCATCTGGCTACGACTATCCGCTGCCATGGAGCCAGATCCCTGCCAACGCCATGTCGGTTGTTCGACTTGTCTACCACATCCTCACCGTTCCCGGCGCCTCAGAATCTCGAGCATTCCTACGAAAGAACGGCATCAAGAATCCTCTCGACTTTATCCATTCGCATCGCGTAGACCGGCCGTGGATCTGCCAGGCCATGCTGGAAGCCGCCGTTCCGCTCGATTACATTCCGGCGAACGTCACTGCTGTCGGCCCCATCGCGTTGTCGCTGGAGCCAGCGGAGGAGCAGGATCCCGAATTGACCGCGTGGGCTAAAAGGAAGCCGACTGTTTTAATCAACTTGGGAAGCATATTCGTTTATGACCAGGAGAGGGCTAGGGCTATGGCTGAAGCCATGGCCAACATCGCTGCCCAGGTGGATATCCAGTTCCTGTGGAAATTCAAGAAGTTGCATACCTATAGTGACGATTTCATGAAGCCGTTGCAGCCATTCATCGATGAGGGTCGAGTTAGGATAGTTAACTGGCTGACTATTGATCCCGCGGCGCTCTTGGAAGGCGGTGATGTTATTGCTTCAGTCCATCACGGCGGTTCAAATTCCTATCACGAAGCTCTGAGGTATGTACTACTCTTGGTGATTATGGCTACTCTACTGACAGCCTTTCTTTAGCGCCGGTGTTCCTCACGTTATCCTCCCATTGTGGGTAGATCTCTACGATTTTGCCACATACTCCGAATACTACGGCATTGGTGTCTGGGGATGCAAGAAGACGGCCCCCGAGTGGACTGCCGAGGGACTCACCGAGGCATTTCTCAGGGTAGTGAGCGACCGCGAGGAGGCCGTGGCGAGAAGAGAGAAGGCGCGGGAGTTGGGACGAAAGGCGCGCGAGAGACCTGGAAGAGATATTGCTGCGGGATTGGTGCTGGATCTTGCAAAGACTGGTTACGAGGATGAAGTGTTGTCTCCATCGGAGAACAATGTTTAAAGTACCTAGTGGCCTGTACCCGTTACTATTACGTGTGTGTGTACGTGTGTGTCTATATTTCTCATATAATGGTTCTGGGTGCATATACAAAAGAAATATTTAAAAAGAAAGAAAATGTTCCTATCGAGGGGCCAGAAGGCAAAAATGAAGCGAGCGACGCAAGACTCGAACTTGCAACCTTTGCTTGATGCTCCCTGTTTAGTAGGAGAGCAACGCGCTACCATTGCGCCAGCCGCCCGATCCGGATATTCGTTCCCTCACTGCCAAGTACTATCAACATCACAGGGGCTGTGTTAACAAGACACGGCAAGATATATGCTTGCATACCGTCTAAGATAATTAAAGAGAGTAAAACTGCGTTTTAATTTATCGATCCATTACTGTCATTAGAAGATTTCTCAGCTTCTCCTCTAATAACTCGATCTAACTACTCCGGCCCAAAGAAATCGTCCTGGGCAGTTATGAACAAGAAATCTGGAGGTCTTCAAAGGAGGGTTATTACGAGAACGGCAGTCCTTTCGGCCGTCACAAGTCACCTGGAAAAGAACCGCCCAGAGGAGAACTGCCCAGCGCTACGGCTGATTTCTGGGCAGTGGTCCTTTAAGGGATGATGTTCCCACCAGGTCATGTACACAGAAAATACAATCAAGCTTCCTCATCTTAACCTCCTACCAATATTACTTGCGATCCGTTATGACTCCTGACTGCCGCCCGAACAAGCGACGACAAGTCCCCTAGAGTACTGGAGGCAAGTGGTTATTCTATATCCGAGACAAGTAACGCCTACGCCGCGAGTTTACACTGCCCTCCATTGACGTGAGGGAGCGGGATAAGGCTCTTCCACTCCCAATCCCGGATATACTGCTTCTCCCCAGCCACCCCTTAACAGACACAGATCGGTTAGGCAGGTGGCTGAGTCTATATAGAGATCACGACGGTAGTGGTTAATACTAGAAGGGGTCAGTGAAATCGGTGATGCTGCTCAGTCCGATCTGGCAGAGCGTACAAGTTCGACGATGACACGAGTCTCCACTGGCTCGGACAGTGCAAAGGACGGGTTGAGCCGTTGCTATCCGAGAGAGAATAGTTGGGAGGATCTAGACGTGTTCTTTGACAGGGATATTAAACCTGCAAGATCGGCAGACTCAGAAGTCCACGATGATATTGCCCATGATCTTACCATCTTGAGCGCCATCTCTCATTGCCCTCCTCATCAACAGGGAGGAAGTCTCCACGAGCTAGTTGTCTTGTTCTATCAATGTGGAAATGTGGAAAGTAATGGTCCAGGGCTAGGGCTAAATATCTTGAAGAATGGCCAGAAAATTCTGTCCACATGCGTCGGCGTCCCACAGACTACAACCTTCACCGAAAGAAACTAGTCCCACAGCTCATGCACTTCGCGAATTATCCCTCAGACCAAACGTCCACATAGGCAGATCTGCCCTTGGCCACCCAACAACAACAGGGAATAAAAGCTCAAGTCGTATAGTGGTTAGTACGCCACGTTGTGGCCGTGGAAACGGAGGTTCGATTCCTCCCTTGGGCATTTCATTCCTTCTTTTTTTTTTTTCCTCTGCTCTTCCCCCATGTCTCTAGCAACCATATGTGCGGATATGTTGATAAAAAAATGCGTCACCTACTCGACTTCTTCACTTAGAGGATGTGCCCCCTTCTCGGTGCGTTAACTCAACACTTTTCTTTTTGCCCGGTCCGTCCCATGGTGGTCGTGAGAGTAAATGACACCCCCCTCCCTCCATCTGTTTGCGACTGGTGCTCAGAGGAATATGAAGCCCTTGTCAATGGAATTCAGACTGACAGAGAACGCACCTTTCTCCAATGATTCGATTGGACCTGGCCGAAGCCAACGATGCCCGTCAATGAATCTGTCAGAGGACGCATGTGACAGTGGTGCGACAACAAGAAGGCCGGGCTAAACAAGAAAGGGATCAAACCTAACTGGGCGATGTTCTTGCGCGGACCTGGACGGTCAAAAGGTAAAACTTATTCCTATTCGGTGGTTCACTCTACCCCCAAGACTCGTGATTGTGATTCATAAAGGCTTCTGTATGCGGAACATCGGCTGCCTGTCATGTCTTGGCGTAATTCAGATCCTCGATGCGTCACGGAGCGTACTCCGGCTTTTCAAAGCGAGGCTTCAGCTTCAACTTCACAGCGTTGGAAAATCATGCCCTTTTTTGTTAAGTTTTTTTGTCGTTGAACACTGTCTCTATTGTGGTCCTCATTTACTCTTCTAGAGCTTGTCTTGCTCCGTCAGTGTTTGAAGCATCACCGTTGCCACTATCTTGCAATTGCCGGTCACAATGTCCGGATAGCAAAAAAAGAGAGTGGTAGCTACGGCATCAAGTTTAAATCGACATTGCTTGGCGTTTTGGGGAAAGCCCTATCTTTGCGTGGAGGTAGATATTGATCTAGTTTCTGAACCCTTCCAATTGGCCTTTCGGAGAATACCCCATGCTTTCACATTATTGCAAAATGGAGCTTCCTTAAATTCTGGCAATGTCGGATGTCTTGATCGGGTAATTGGCGATGATGTCTTGTCCTCTTTAGTGAGATCTGTATCTAACTATAGCTTTTAGCCTGATGAAGGCGAAGAAGCTCGTCAATTTTCAGCACCCCAGAGATAATAATACGAGTAAAAGAAGGCCAATGGATCCTTATCCACAACTTCCTCTCGCTGCCTATCCTCAAATCCCCGGCCTCAAGCTCGAGTAAGAGCCCTGCGTAGGATGATGCAACCCCGAGCGTCCTGGTCACGCATCATCGCGCTCCTGTGCGGCTCGGCGCTCATCCGCCCAGCAGCCAGCTTAGAATGCCGCCCCGAAGGTCCCATATTCCCTAAGCCAGACCTCACCAAGTCGGCAACATTCGACGCGGCCATCGGAAAGCTCGAAGCGACCATCAACTCCGCGATAGCTGGAGAGATAAATGCAGGATGGAACGTACCAAACACGACAATCTCAGTTGCATTCGTAGCCAAGGGTCAGAAGAGTCCCGGAGAGCCTCTATGGGAGTATCACCATCTCGCGGAGAACACCGAGTTAGGCACGAAGAACCTTGATCGGAATGCGCAGTATCAGATTGGGTCCGTTTCGAAAGCCATTACGGATGCCGTGTTGATTAGGAGCAATCTGAACCTGGATGATCCAATTACGAAATATCTTCCTGGGTTGGGAGGATCGCCGTCTTTGATTCCTTGGGATACCGTTACTTTGCGGGCCCTTGCGTCGAATCTGGCTGGCATTCCGCCGAATTGTACGTGAAGTCCTAGAGGATATGTTATCTTGTGGTCGGCTGCTGACAAGTTCATGCTAGATGGATATTCAGAGTTCTACTACCTCAAGGACATGTTCGAGGACCTCGGACTACCGCCAATACCAAACAGTGACTATCTCATGTGCGATGTTTTCGGCCTCAACCTTGGGTGCGCAAAGTCACGTAAGTAGCACAAACAACCAGCTCAGTGCCGAACCTTGCCGATGATAGGACTGACTTATCGTGCTGGCCCTAGAATACATCGTTGGGCTTAAAGACTCACACCCAGTGGCTCCTCCAATGCAGCGTCCCGTCTACTCTAACGTCGCCTTTACCCTCCTAATGTACGCTGTCAGCGCCGCCACGGACCAGACCTACAGCCAAGTGCTCTACGAGTACATCACAGGTCCCCTCGGAATGGTAAACACCTACGCAAGCCCGGGCCTCCTCAACTCGTCCGTTGTCCCGCCCGTAGACAACAGCTACGGCTTCTGGTTCGGTGACGCTACCCCAGGAGGCGGTCTCGTGTCATCGCTGTCCGACCTCACGAGTTTCGTCTACCGCATCATCACGTACACCATCTTCGATAGCCCGATGGCGGTCCGGCAGTGGCTCCAGCCTCGGTCGTTTGCCGGAAGTCGGCACTCGTTCTTCGGCATGCCATGGGAGATTTACCGACCTCCCCCCAACGCGGTATTTCCCAATTACGATCCAGAGACGGAGACCGGAGGTCACACGTTTTCTGTGTTTACCAAGGATGGAGCCGCGTACGGTTATCGAGCGCGAGTATCGATTATCGACGAGTACAGCGTTGGGCTGGTCATTTTGGCGGCAGGTGACTCCAGTGCTGTCACCATCGTGAACGACGCCATGATTGCAACGCTCATCCCGGCCATTCATCAAGCGGCAAGGGAGCAGACGGGAGAACTAGGATATGTGGGGACATTCACTGGATGTTCTGACGCTGCATTCAACGGGACGATAGCCATCGACGAGAACAGCCTAGTTCTAGACTCGCTTAGTTACAACGGCTCAGATATCATCCACGCCTTGAGGGAAATATTCGGCGTCACCTACAAGAATTTAATTCCAAACTACGAGCCGGGGCCTATCTTGCGTTTATACCCAACCGAGGTCGAAGTGGAGGATGAGACGGATGACCGAAACGTCGTCATTCGGGAGGATTGGCGTTTCGTTTGGGACGTGAAGAGGGAGAGGACGAGCGACTTGCCCGGCCAAACGGTCAGCTCTTACGATTGCCTTGCGTGGGAGGCTGTCGATTGGATTTACTACGGGAGTGAGGCAGTAGACCGTATCGTGTTTGTCAAGGATCCGCGGACGAGTGAAGTGCTATGGATGGAGGTTCCATTTTTGAGGAGTCGGGGGAGCCGGGGTAGTGAATGTGCCCCGGCTGCAACGCCGAAAGCTGGGGGCGGAGACGAGGATGGGGAACCGAGCGGGGAAGAGGGTGATGAGGTCGGAGAGGAGGTCGGCGATGTGGAGGACAAGCCTAATGAGGGGGTTGAGCCATAGGAGCCAGGGAGATGAACTACGTGCCTGGAGTAATGTTTCAGCATCTTAAGTGTAGGAATATTATATTTATTCCATACATTAAACACTCACTATTTCGCATGGGCAGTTGACATTGCCAATAGCAGAAAGCGCAATCAGCTTTTCCCGGTCACGTCGCAGAAACGCCTATTGTCAACAGGCAGAATACAGAGTGATGTTTTGACGAGCGGATTGCCCACCGAGCCTGCCTCCGAGCGGAGGATAATAACGTTAGTATTTCAAATTACAGTATCGCGCCGGTCACGAACTCCTTCCGGTTCTCTCCACAGCGCTAAATATCATCGTGAAAATTCTGGGAATCCTCGGAGCATGAAGCAGGCCCCGCCCAGAATGTGTTCAAGCGCTTCAACTCCGCGGTCAGGCTCATTAGTTCGGTCGCCCTAAGACTTTTGACACTGCCTAGAAACACGAAGACGTAATAGACCCTGCGGAGAACCCGTGTGCGGAGTGTTGGGTAGTGGAGTCATCAGCTCCGGGTTCATCCGGCGCACGCTCTTTAGCGGTGAGGCACTTACTGGGCTACTAACCCGCGGGCAGGTACATGTTGCGTGCCGGCCTCGTTGTCTTGAAATGGGGTAGCACCGATGAGATCCGACTATCCGACAACAACATAGCCTACCGGCCGAGTCCGGGGATCCGATCCATCTATATCCCGTTAAATGTGGCCTTATAATTGAAAGGGGCGATCTCGGATACTCATTGATCCTACCACATCCACATCAAATACGATACAGGCAAAAAGGCCTTGGCGAACCCTCAGAATTCTTCACTTCCTCGGGCGGGGTTTACTGATGCTCGACAGTTCGTCTTGGAGACGTCGGACCCCCGCTCGAACCAGGAACGCGTGTTGATGCAACACAGTCTAATGCAGAAAAATGGAAAATTGCCCGAGTTCCTGGTCTTATGATCCCGGCAACCGATCCAGATCCAGGCACTGCAAGGGGTGGAATACGATTCAATCTTGAAGAAAGAAAAAAAAAGAAGAAAAAGATTCCAAATACTTCGCGTGGCATGAGACGGTCCAATGACTTTGCCGGCATTGCAAATGTGCAAATGATGTGGATCTCGATCTTCCGCGGCGGCTCGACGCAGGGAGAGTTGGGATTTTGGCAACTCCGCGGACATCGCATCCGGGCCCACGGGATTACGAGATACAGGACAAAAAGCATGAGCAGAGCCCGCCAAGCCATAAGAACCTACACAGTGTTTTCCAGGCCCGGGTGCTCCGGTTGTATCCGACGGAGATATTAACTATACGAATAGCCAAAAATCAGCCCATTAGCGATGCATTCGTTGTGGGAATCCGAGTGTCGTCAGGAGAGACTTGGTGGAAGCATCTCCGCTGCTCCCTCCTTCACACGGTCTTTGGCAAAGGGTGTGAAGTGAGTTTCTAACCTCGTACGGAGAGCACGGCAAGGCGGAAACTCTATCCCTGGAACTAAAAATCATCTCGATGCTGATTCGCCCATGATGTAATTAAACCGTCGTGGCATTGATTTCACGCCATTAAACGGGTTGCGTGGGGACGGGGTATAACAAGGGCGAAGCGGGACCAGGACTGATGGCCATGCATCTCGCTTCGATGCCGTTGAACGGAGACACAGAACACCAAAAACCGAAACGCGGAGATAGAGAGACGCAAAGAAAGATTTATATTAACTTAGCCCACCTATAGCTCACGTATAGCTCATCTCAAGTCTATAAAAGCAAAAGCCACCGCTCTCCCAGACCCTCTTCAGAAAGTTTATTTCCCGTTTCCTTCGACAGAATGAATCGCCTACTCTCGCCAAGGACTCTTGTTCCCCGATCTCAACTCACTTTTTGCACTTGCCCAGCTCGAAGATTCTCTGCGACCGCCATGGCTCAGGCCGAAGTCCCCAGGTTCCCTTTCAACCGCGCCTCCGGCCCCGAGCCGCCCGCCGAATTTGCTAGGCTTCGCAAGACAGCGCCGGTTTCCAAGGTTAAGCTGTTCAATGATGCCGAGGCATGGCTTGTGACCAAGTATCACGATGTCTGCAAGGTCGCGACCGATCAGCGATTGTCCAAGGTGTGTTGAGTTGTCTCCATCTCCTGGAGAGAAGAATTGGGATTTTAACTTGAAGGATAGCAACGGACGAGACCTGGATTCCCAGAGCTGTCGGCTGGAGGTGTGGCTGCTGCCAAGAATAAGCCTACCTTTGTCGATATGGATGCCCCAGACCACATGCACCAGAGGTAGGGCGAATTGGAACGATTGTGATTTAGTCGGTCAATGATTTACTCACTGCGAATAGGAGCATGGTCGAACCCATTTTCACCAAGGAGCACGTTGAATCGTTGAAGCCCTATATCCAGTCGACTACCAATCAGTTGCTCGATGCAATGATCAAGGGCGGCTGTGCCAAGCCCGTTGATCTTGTCGAGAAGTTTGCTCTGCCACTGCCTTCATATGTAGGTCCGCGCATAGTCTCTCCAAGCTAGGACACGCCCCTTTTAATACGGCCATCATAGGTCATCTACACAATCCTCGGCGTTCCGTTTGAAGATCTCGCCTACCTCACGACCCAGAACGCCATTCGCACCAACGGCAGCTCCACTGCCCTCGAGGCCGCCAACGCGAACAAGTGAGCAATATGACGCGAACCGGGATTTTTAACGCGGTGAAAAAAAAACACTAATCGGTGTATAGGGAGCTCCTCGACTACCTCGAAAACCTCGTCGAACTCCGTAGCGTTGAACCCAAAGACGATCTTATCAGCAAGCTCGTCGTTGAGCAGCTCAAGACCGGCGAGATCGAAAAGTCCGACGCCGTCCAAATCGCCTTCCTCCTCCTCGTTGCTGGAAATGCCACCATGGTGAATATGATTGCGCTGGTGTGTCTTTTCACTATTACTCCGCAGTATTTACATTGCGATAACTAAAACTGACATCTTGCAGGGTGTCGTGGAGCTGTTGAAGCACCCGGATCAGCTCAAGGAGCTCATCTCCAAGCCTGCGCTCGCCAAGGAATTCGTCAATGAGCTTTGCAGGTACCACACAGCTTCTGCTATGGCGATGAAGCGCGTCGCCAAGGTGGATATCGAACTCGGCGGACAGGTAAGACATCCCCTTCGAGAAAAAGCTCCGGATCGCAATGCTGACAGCAGCAACAGCACATCAAGGCTGGCGAGGGCATCATCGCCTCGAACCAGTCTGCCAACCGCGACGAGGACGTGTTCCCCAACCCGGACGTCTTCGACATGCACCGAGAGTTCAAGGTCGATGGACTGGGCTACGGATATGGCCCCCACAGGTGTATCGCCGAGCATCTTGCCCGCGCTGAGCTCGAGGCTGTTTTCAGTATGTCTATACCCCTTTCGTTTTACCACAGAACCTTTCTCGAGAAGCTAACGAGGGTCATTTTAGGCACACTCTTCCAAAGACTACCTAACCTCCGTCTCGGTGTTCCGTTTGACCAGGTCGCGTATAGCCCGCTCAGCAAGGATGTTGGCATCACGGAGTTGCCCGTTGTTTGGTAAATGAACGAGCGCCGGGTCCACTCATGGATTGATCGTTTCGACTGTCGTGTCTTGGATGTCTTTCTCTTTTGATCATTCGCTCTTTTGAAATTCCCCCCTCCCCTTCGCAAAAAAAACTGAATTAGAAAGTTACTGCTACTTTTGGCATCGTGCAATGATCAGATGTCTCTCCCGACCTACCCACCGCCATGTCGCACCTCATGCAAGTGATTAATGCAGATAAGTGCAATGGATGCATGCAAGCTGTCCCGAGTGACTTGGTGTCGCCTCATCCACGTTCCTTTCTCGTGGGGGCAAATTGTTGGTACATATCGAGGTACTGGCTGAAGTTACTAGACAGCGGTTCGCTGTTCCGGTGCCTATATTTCAATGCCTTCGACTTTGGTCTTCGCGATGTGCTAGATACTGTTTCTGGTTGTGTAGAAGGGGATTCGTTGCTGTCCTTATTAATATCTTCACCGAAAAAAGAGACATATAACTCTAATGAAGGGTTGCCATAATAAGAAATACAATATATAGAATAATATATAGAGAACCTCGGGCTAAAAATAGACTGCGCGAAGTCCGCCCTAGGTCTTACCGTCCAGCTATATCATCCTCTGAAACTCAACAGGATCCGAGCTTCCATCACGTCTCCGACTAACAACATCTACCACTAGGCAAAGCTCCTCGACAGAGGTACTGCTAGCTCTCCTCACTACAGATTTACCTATTAGTAACTACGTGGGGTACGTTTGGTATCCTACTTCTTTCTACCTTCTAGAATCACTACCGAGGAACTCAGGGCATGGGTTGTAAACTAAGCTCAGAGGACCAACGACGCCTCTGGAGCCTCATCTCGACAAGGTGAACGGAACCCCAACCGTTTCCTACTGGTGAATGACGATGGTGCTGCCCAAGTTAAGTCAAGATGTTTTCAGAACGAGCAAAGTTTCATATTCCCAAGAGACGTTTGTACACCTCCAAGGACATCTCTGAAAGTAGCGCAAGCACCGCTAGATCTTTTATAGTACAGTGCCTGCGTAATCATGAACCCTCTATAAGTCTTGGATATCTGGGCTATGAGTGGGGAGTATCACATGCTGTTTTCTTGAAAGAATCGAAAGGGGGCATGTTTGCGGTATATGTATTATTCCATGAGGTTTGTACAGATAATACTAGAATCACTATCAGCATGTACCTTTGTACTTCATAATGTAAGGACTCCGTCCTTCATGCAAGTACTTGGTAACTTTGTAACCTGTCCATCCACTCTGCAGGGGTATGAATTGGGGAAGGGAGAACGCGTCGACTCTCATCGCACTGAACGTGCGACAGAGCGGACAGATCTTATTGGCCGGAAGAGTGGTTCAACAGCTGCTGCCGACTGTGAACATGCGTTGTTCTGCCTTCAGCTGATGCCTGCGAGGCCTGTACGACGTGAGATCTGCCTTTCACACAAAAGTAGCTGTGAATTGTGGCTTTGAGGAAGGGGGATCATTGGCCAGTGCCTGGGGAGGCCAGAGATCGCCAGGGCAGAGCTGTATCCTTCGAATTTGCTAGAAATATGCTCCTCAGCAACCCCTCGACCAAGGGATTGCTCTCCTTCCGTCCTTCTCCGTGAAGTGTTTTCTCTCCCTCCCCCCCCCCTCTCTCTCTCTCATCCTCTCTTTTCATTGTTCTTTTTCCATTCATTTTTCCCCCAAGGATTACTCGAAATGCCAAAGAAAGCCCGGCGACTCAACTTCGAAAAGTGCACTCAGTGCCGAAGAGACAAGCAGAAAGTACGGCTCTCCCTCCCTATACAGTTCCCACCCTCGCCGAGCTTACTCTTTTCGCTAACATTCAGAAACGAGTAAGTGCGAACCAGTCGACCGAGAATGGCCTCAGCAGAAATGCAACCGGTGTGTGTTGAAGGGCTGGCCATGCTCTGAAAACGTGAGAGCCGGATCACTCCAGGTCGGCGATGCCCATAGAGTCCCGGGGCCGGATTTTCAGCAATACGTTAACTTGTGAGGGTACTTCCCAAAAGAAATCAGGAAATTTGATGGCTGTAGCTAACATGCCTGACGACTGTCGCAGGTGCTTGAGGCACTCAGCCCTGAATATGATGAGGCGGAACAGACGAGATCCCAATGTGGAGCTTCTCGATGCGGAGATAGCTGAGCAGAATTCCATTCTGCTTTCAGCATATCGCCTAACGAAAAGCACCGAATCTACCTATATCAAGTTTGCAACTCTGTCCCTGGTTGAGAGCGTGATTCTCAACAGTCCCCGAGAAGATTTTCACTCGATGGGTGTCGAAAGGTTCACGGCTTTGGTTGAAACGGCCCGGCAGGTCGGACACTTGGGAGCTGCCTCCTCTATTAGCCTACGTCTATTGTCCAAGCAAGCATTAGTGCGGGGTATAACGGACTTAGGTGTTATAACGCGGTTCGTCGACGATTGTAGTCATCTCAGTCGGCTCATCGACACAACAGCGGCTCTAGGAGGGTCGGATCTTCCATCGAATTTCTCCATCGGCCACAACAGTTTTTCAGTCGCCGCCCGGAATGGCGTAGGATGGTTTCCTTTACTCCTCGCGACGGCATCGGTAGACATCACGCCTACATTTGATGCACATGGTCGCACATTGCTTCACATCATAATGGAACTTCTGCCTCATAAGAGTCTCGTTTTCAACGGATGCCTATTTGAAGGCGAAAGCAGATACATAAGTATAAATGAAGATACAGCTTCACCACTTGAGCGCATTCTCAGAGCCGTGGACATTGACAGGAAAGATTTGCAGGGCTGCACCGCTTTGCATATCGCATGCTCACACGGTCAGGTCCTGGTCGCCAGGTTTCTCATCGAGAAAGGGGCAAAACCACATCTCCAAGATGATACTGGTCGAACCCCTATCGATTTAGCACTAGGCGTTGGTGAGCTAGGTCTTGTGGTCGACTTGTGCAGAAAAGCGCCGCCAGAGCGTCGTGCATGTTTCCTCGTCCACGATGCCCGCGATGCCCGTGCGGAACGGGCGACCCCGCTGTTGGCGGCCTACAATAAGGCTTCTTTCCCCGCCATCAAAATTATGCACGAGATTTGGTGTACGCATCTCGCGGCCAACGACTCCTGTCAAGATGAAGGTTTGGGATTCTTGCATCTCGCCGCGAGCAAAGGGGATACCTCCATGCTCCGCCGCCTTCTTGATAGAAAGCTGCGGCCGTTTGATTGCCTCAGTCGATCCGGTCGAACGCCATTATCCCTCGCTGCCCAGCGCGGATATCCGAAAGCGGTCGAACTTCTGCTCCAGTCTCGCGAAGTAGATCCAGATGCCTGCGATAATTCTGGACGAACGCCTCTCTCGTTCGCGGCTGAAAGCGGACACCATGACGTTGTCAAAATGCTCCTTCTTTTCCGACCTACAAATCCCGACCTTCGGCCCGTCGACTCGAATAGGAAGGATAAGGCGGGCTTCACACCCTTAGACTATGCTACAGCGCAATCGCACCTTCATATTGTCGACCTCCTGCGCCATAGGAACGATTTATTATATGTGAGAACCGCGTCCTGGACTAGGCCCAAAAACCCCTGGCCCCCTGAAGAGCTCGACGCCTCCACGACCAAGGATCTCTTTACGGACCTTGAAAAGGCTATGGGTTCCCTGCCGTCTCCTAGACTTATGGAAAGAAGTGAAGTCCTCTTTTCCTCGAATTTTTCCGGAAAAGTTCTCGAGGGAAACAAAAGGAAGTACGCAGGATCAATCATGTCGAAATCATCCAAAACGACGCAATCCACCAACAGCCACTCCACCAACAACCAACGATTGCGATTTGAAATTGAGTGGCCGGACACCGGGTCCATAAAATCCCACTCATCCATTGGGAGAGACTATGGATGCTGCGGCCAGCAGTTTTCAAACTTGCATGATTTACTCGCCCATGAGGAAGAATTGCATGGGAACAGGGATGAGGGCGAGTACGGAGTAAATGGGACGGGGACACGGAAGCTGGCCGTCGTCAAATTTGGCGCAGAGGAGAGAATACTGGAGGAAGAGGTAGTGGAAGTGGGACGGTTTGCGTAAGAGGAGTTTTTCGTCTCATTGTCATAAATTGCTGGTTATATGAGAGTGTTGTCACCACATAAACTCCGTTAACCCAAGAGTAATGAAACAGATAGTCTGATGATCCAAAGGCGGCGGTAATTTTATCACGTCTTATGGTTATGGACGTTTGCCGTCCGTGGGCAAACTTCAAGTGCGCCCTCGGAAAGCGGTTTCCTCGCGACCCGATTGCCGAGCATGTTAGCGACAAAAATGATGGCGCTAACTCGGAAACGGGCGAGATCCCGTCTCCTCCGGAGTCACGTCGCAAAGCAGTAGGAAAAGCATGATCGGTTTTGCACAGCGTGGAAGCGTTGAAGAGCTTTACTACGGCTCTCTGCTCAACTCCGTCATCTTGCTCTTATTAGAGAAATCAAGTACAGACCTGATAGATCGCGCCAAGCTCGACACGTTGGCACGCATCAGATTCCACTCGATGAGTACTTCGTATACTAACTACACTAGAGGACTGCAGGCCCACCTCCGGGGTATTATGATAAGAGCTAAATTTATGCACCGATGGGTAAGAGTACCTGGTTGGCTCATGGCTGCGCTAAGGGACACGAGGGATGAGACCCACTTCCGCGGGATCTCCAGTGACCCGGGATTGGGCTGGTACTAGGGGGTGGATGACGAGAGAGAGAGAGAGAGGGATGGAGGGAGGGGAGTGGCTTTGCCTGCACTGCAGTTGTGCATTGGGAGGTGACACTTGGAGACGAGCAAGTTTTTTTGTTCCTATGTCCTTGGAGGCTACCGAATGACACCATCCCTGCTTTGACCTTCTACTTCTAGGGAGGAGTACAAAATCTACAAATAGTCAAATGTTCTTGTCGAGAAGCCCACGAGATGAGATGATTCTGAAAGCAGATCCGATCTAGAATGCACCGATAGTACTGGAGCACAAAAACTCAGTCCGCACTCGCTAAGCAACATGGAGTCTCAGATGGCCCACATGAACCACAGTCATGGCACGGCCACTACTACCACTTCTTCGACCGTTCAGGGCGACACGATGCCAATGTCCATGGCAGACATGGCAATGACCTTTTTCGTGTCTTCCACGACGCCACTCTTTTCCGACGCCTGGAGTCCCAAGAAGCCGGGCCAGTACGCGGCGACTTGCTTGTTCATAGTTTTCCTTGGCGTTGTTCTACGGATGCTGCTCGCTCTCAAACCTACCCTAGAGAGCACGCTGTGGCACGACGAAGCCTCGAGTTACAACGACGTCGACCGGACGGAGGAGAGCGCCCTCGAAACGATAATTCCCAAGAGTCAATTCGAGACCTCCGGCCCAAAGAGCCCGCGCCACCGGCACCAGGAGCCTCGGTTTAATCTAGTTCTGCTCAGGCTTCGCTTGTGGTGGCGGACGTGGAGATTCTGGCCCGCTCTAGGGCGCGGCGCCTTCGAGGCCGTGGTGGCGAGCGTTGCCTACCTCCTGTGAGTGTATCCGAGCCTGCGGACACAATTCTATCGAAGGAGGGAAGATGAACAATGAAAAGACTAATTGATGTGTCTACGGGCGTTGACTAGAATGGTGGCTGTGATGACAATGAACGTCGGCTATTTTCTCTCTGCGTTACTAGGGATTTTCTTGGGAACTTTTATCCACGGTTCACCGATGTCCTCGTCGAGTAGTGACGGCACTCACTGCTAGAGAGGCTCGGCGGCCCTCGTTTCTTACTTTCAGAGCGGGGCATACTGGGCGTCTATATGGGTATGGGATTCACTTTTAATCGTGGTTTTTTTCTGATTTTCTAGCCCTCGAACATCCTCCTCGGCATCTACTCGAGACGGCCTCAGGTGTTGCGCAAATTTCAAAGCTTTTTGACAGGAAAAACAACTTTTTGCTTCTGATGTAAATATATATAATACTTCAATTTTATATAGTGGGTAATTGTATTTTAATTCATTCTTAAACATTTAGTAACTAGCTTATATTCTCCACAAAATCTAGGTTCCAGACACAGGTACAGGGCTAAGGAGCACTAGAACCTGCTAGAGTTTGACCCGTACAACAAGAGAGAGACGGGTGCGATGGTCCAGAGGCTAGGGGCTAGTCGACGGAGGTATATCTCTCCAGGTCATGAGTCGGTATTGTAAGAGCTTCCGCCCCGGACAATTCGGAGATTCCAGGGCCGCTATTCTGCGGGATCGTATGTATTGCAGTATGGCAACATGTTGTGATAACCCCCCAAGTCGCGGGATCTCGGCAACGGGGATTTCGTAGTATTCGCGAGTTCCTCTATAGATGAACGGGCCTGGCGTCGGTGTATCGTTGTAGTATTCGTCAATGAAGTCTTTCAGATGAACCGTAACGTACCCTTCGCTGAAAGTTGGGAGGCTCAAAGCTCCATCCCGAGGCCAGGGCACCTTTGCGGCCATGACAAGTTGCTCTGGACTGCAAACGAAGTACAAGACCATCGGCCTGTAAATATTGTACAAGTTGTGGGCCTCTTCCGCCGAGAACGTATCAGAAGAGCTGTCCAGGGGCGGAATGGCGAGGTAGCTCACGGGTTGCTGATTCCGACCAGGAGCCCTTTGTATGAAATCATCCCAGTGGGGACGGAGGAGAATTAGATCCCGACCTGAGTCGAAGCGACGAGGATAAAAGCCATAGGCCGTGGCAGTGGCAGCCGCAGGTGGGGGCGCATATCCGGTTCTGCGAAGAGGCGGGTTCAGGACGGCCTCGTGTGCGAATCGCCTCTCCCTCAGAATACGCTCTCCGGCCGTACGCGCCGAGCGGCAAGTGATGAGGAGTGCGGCGATGGACGTATCGGGGTCCGTCCAGTCCGGGGGCTCCTCGAAGTAATTTTGAGGTACCACCTGATGCAAATAGAGAACACGGCCGTGTCCATGCGGCCATAGAGGCTTCCACAGGACGTGGAGTCGCGCTACGTGTACCAGTGGTTTTCGGGGCGGGACGAAGAAGTCCCAGATCTTATCTTGCAGTTCAAGTGGCAGGTCGGAGAAACGCGGAAAGGTCGACATTTCGTCTTTGTCTTATTCGTCTTATGCCTCTTCTTCTTCTTCCTTCGTTGATACTAAACCGAGGCGAAAATGGTGAGCTGAGTCGAAGTTTTGGAGATTAAGGAGTGATTACTGAACTTCGTAGTAGCTGGTCAATTGATCCAAACTGGTGCCTGGTGCAGTAAAAATACGCTTAATTTCGGAGTACAAATTACGCCGATTCCTTCGTAATATTATTTAGCAAATAATTGCTCGATCTTCGAGTTTTATTCATTAGTTTATTCCCTTCACGATGAACTGAAACCTGGAGAAGTGAACAGTCGACAAAATCACTGAATAGATAAAACTGAGATGACTTGCTGAACCTGTAAGCGAAAAGAATGAAAGGAAACAAGAAAAGACGGCATCCATCTCAGCGTCTTCACGTCTTGGCTCAGGGAAATGTGAGTTATGAGGTACTACTCGACTGGCTGGCAGTCGCCTGGCCGATCCTAACGTCCGTCCCCTTCAGGGGTGTGCGTGGATTGATAGACGACATTGGGATGGATCCAGCATGCTGGCACCCTGCCTGTCCTGTGAGGTCGCAGATGAACCGACCTATCCCCCCCCCCCCCCCCGGGACCTCACCCGACCAGGCAGGGAGTTGAGCACGTTTGAGCTCTTTAATTTCGCCTTGCTCTGCACTATGCTTGTTTCTCACCTGCCTGCAACATCCACGCCATCCCCCGTAATACCTCAGGTCCCCTTCCCTGACTTCGTTACATTGTAATTAACCTCTTATTCCTAAATCGGGGTATAGCGTCATTGTTGTTTCTTGCGTAGCAAAGGGCTTTATTTTGTCGCTAGCCTCCCCGACAAGTACCAAGTATGCCTGCTTCTTATGCCAAGACACTTACTACCCGGCAGATGTTGTTATTGTTTTGATCTACAGGAGCAAAATAAACTCGCAGCGGTTTCTCATCACGGCAGGGCTCTACTTACTTGATATCTCACCCTACTTCGCAGGCCTGTCGCACCCCGACAGCAAGCTCACGATCATGACTACGTCACGATTGCCAACGCTGCACCTCCTGCCTCCGCAGCATTGATTGTTAATGCGGGCACTGCCAGATCACATCCGGCCCCAGTCACAGCCATAGCATGAGCCAGGACGCCTTCAACTTTCACGCCCTCTGGCATCCCCTGGCCTCATCGCTCTGGGACCACTCCTGCGCCGTGCGCCTTAAATACCTTCTCTAAGCCTGCCTAACGTTACCTCCTGCCCTCTACGAAGTATTCTGACCGGAAATACGGCCTTCGGCTCGCCGCTTGCACAGAATTGCCTCTTAATGGATGCACACGCAGGGCTGTGCGTTGGCCGTTACATCGTAGAAAGCACCCCGAAGCTATCCTCCGGGGTCGCGATCGATAGCTCCTTGTGGTCGCCAAACGTGCGCAAACTCGCTCGGGTTGGGCTGTGCGGTAGCATCAGCTCGCTCCTACGCCATCTATAGCAATGCCGCACTATCAATTGCACGATGGTCTCACTTAGGATAGAGGTAGTACCGATAGATAGGGAGAGCCTAGACTGAAAGAGGAAATAGCCTCATTCCCCAGCTCTTCCTTGGTACAGCTGGCTGGGCTCCCTAGAAAGAAGGCCGGCATGAGTCTATCACTGACTTGCCTGGTGCTTGGTAACGGTGGTATCTATCGGAGCAAATTTGTCAAAGAGCTGGCCCTCGATAGCCTTTGGGCTGCTCACATAAAGGGGAGCGCCAACAGATAGTCTTCGTGAACCCGTACCAGCAATTTTACTGACGATCATTGAAGAGAGCAAAAACATAAACCAAAAAGAAAATAGAAGAGAAAAGAAGAATATGAAAAAAAAGAAGGGAAAATCTGATCGTGGCAGGGATCGAACCTGCGATCCCGTGCGACCTCCGTTGTGAAGCACGTGCCTTAACCACTGGGCCACACGATCATTGAACTTCCCTCTGCGCTTTTGGAATATACACAGCTTCCCCTATGCACTACACAGCTACCTGAGATTGCCATGAATGAACAAGCAAGAAGGTTTGTATCGAGGCCACTTGGGAAAACATCAATTGGCCTCTCTCGACTCTTCATTCGCGGATTGGCGGCAAAAGTGGAGCTTGGACGAGAGCCTCCTTCTCATAGCGTTGCTGATGAGGCATCCTTTGTTACCTTCTTCGCGGGGGGGGGGTATTAGGATGTATAATACACAGGCATCTTCGCTGGTGGAATATATTGCGTCGCGAGGTGGGCCTGGACATCTCCATAGTTGTTATAAACATCCCCGTGCCAGTCGACTTCCTTTCTACCGGACAAGAACACGATCACCAAGAGAGTCTCCCGCTGACATGCCCCAGCCCTGCGTCTGGAGCCTAAGATATTACCGCCTAGCGATGAACTCAACACTACCCAATATATTTCTCTCATTTCAGATCAGGCGCTACCTATTTCTCGCTCCCTTCTCCGCGCTGTTCTCCTCGCTGTTCTCTGCGCGGACGATACTCACGAAACGCACTTAGCACTGGCGTATCAGGTCAGGTCAGCTCTCAGCCCACTAAGCTGCCTTCTTCCATGCGCTCAACCCTCTGCCGTATCCTCAGCACAACCTCCAAATGCCTCAGTCTCAGCGGCTTATCCTTGTTCGCCAGCACCAGGGCTGTCTTGATCGAGTTCTTAATCTCCCGGCCGTTGAGGTCCGACTCGGCAAGCTTGTCGAAATCGGCGTCGTCGAGGGAGGCGACGCCGGGGCCGAGCTTTTGGATGAAGTTGACCCAGATCTTACGGCGGGCGGGCTTATCGAGGTCGGAGTAGGGGAGGATGAGGTCGATTCGGGACTTGAAGGCCTTGTCGATGGCTGTGATGCGGTTGGTGGTGAGGAACATTAGACCCCTGTAGTATTCCAGGCGACGAAGGAAGACTGAAAAGCACGGAAGGAAGCAATCAGGTCAGTTCCTTGCAACATTGGATAGGGCTTAGAATCCTCCAAGACTGACTTGAGACTAGTTCATTTCTTTGCAGATTGTACGAAGTCCTGGACTCGAGGAAAACATCCGCCTCGTCGATGAGAAGCACAGCGTCCCAGAGTTGACAACATTCGAGGGCACTCATCAGGGCGCGCTCGACGCTTCCGGCTTCGGTGCCTAAGTCGCTGGCGCTGAGGATGTAGAGGGGGACGCATGATCTTTCGGCGACTAAGGGTATGGATCGATTAGCGCAACTTTCGTTAGCCTATCAAGCTTCGAAATGGACTGGGTTCGCTTTACCAGCCTCGGCCGTGAGGGTTTTCCCAACACCCGGTGGGCCACAGAGAAGTATGATGATTCCCTCGCCTGCGCGTGGCGGTTTCTGTTAGCTTCGACGGCCCGTGAAATAAATCTCGAATAATCACCGAAGGCAAACCTTTGTGAGAGACAAAGTCGTCGAATCCCTGCTTGCTGAGACGCGGCCGGTCGGCAAACGCAAAGATAAGGTCCTTCTCTCCATCGGGGAGAACCAAGTTATCGTAAGGAGACGCATCCCATACGGTCTCTTGAATTCCGTCGATGTCAAACTCGCCTAGTCAAACTCCTAGTTAGAAAAGGAACAATAAAACTTGTTTGGTGGCTTGCGGACCGCGAAATAACTTACACCACTCCTTAGCAGCTAAATCGAACCCTCGGACTCTCGGAGACGCAATTATGCACTCAAGGTCAGTCAAAGGCGTGAGGATTTCATCCCGCCCGAAGCTCGGCTCAGACGGATCGTCATGACGGACTATGGGAGATCTTATCGAGCCCACAGATTTTTTCAATGGGCGGCGACGGGCCTTGACTCTTCTGCCTTCGTCGCTATCGGAGCTGCCACTGGTAGAAGATGAACTGTCGGTGGAGTGCTTATCAGCGTCCGAGTCGCGGGGGCGGCCATCCACGAAGCTCACGTCGGAAGAGGCCGGGCTGACTGTCTTGACTGTTTTGACCGCCTTGGCTGCCTTGACTGACTCGGCTGCCTTGGCTGCCTTGCGAAACTGGGGCAGCGGTGGACGTGGGGGACGCATGCCGGTTGAGTGTGGGCGACGAGAATGCGGCGGGGATTTCTTCATACGGAGAGTCCCCAACTGGGAAATGGACCCCAAGCGAGGTGCGACCTGCTTTTGCACCTTCCAGTAGGCGTACGCATCGATAATGATGCGCCCGGAGATCTGCAGGAGGAGGTTAGTTGTCACCATCTTTCCTAGGTACTGGCAGTGGCTAAAAGGTGTCAAATAAACACACATACCGGCTTCTCCGCAATGCGTCCGGGGCCCACTTCCACGTATTTGGTCCCAGCGTAAGCCTTGACATGGAATCCGCGAAGGGCCTCAAACTTCCTCCCTCGGGCTAGCAGCTTCTCTTCTATCAGACGAGCCCTAGGCGAGAAGTCGAGCGGGTAGAAGGGTAACTTGTCAACCGACCGCGGCTGGTTAAACTCATAAATGCGCAGGTTGCGGCCTGCCACGCCCGAGACAGCACCGTTCCAGTCGACGTAGGCGAGTACGGCGGTGTAGTAGGCTGGCTGCGGCCCGCATCGTGGGGTGAATTCCACGTCGACCAACCTGAATGCCTTAGTGCAGTCGTTGCTAACTATCAGGCAGCCCGGCCCCAGGATAAGCCACAGGTCGTCGAAAGAGACGGTTCCCGTTTCCTTGACCCTCTTGAGCGCCGAGAGCTGATTGGCGATCCGTGGTTCAAGGGTGTCCTTGAGCAGTCGTAACTCATCATCCAGAAGTTCGTCCGCCCTCGCCCGCTCCACCTCCTCCAGGAGGGCGGACCACCTGTGCACGTACGGCTTAAAGGGCGGCGACACGGCGTAGGGTGATGCGTCCGCATACCATGACGGATAGTTCCGGAAGACGCTGTCGAGCACGGCACGGAGTCCGGGGCTCTTCGCCTCGATGGAAGAGGTCGCCCATCCGACTTCGTCGCCTTCGCCGACTTTTATCATGCGGTGGACGACGGCGAAGCCGTGGGCGAGGTCGCGGAGACGGCGTTCCTCGTGGACAGGGTCTTGGAACTCGGACCAACGTGCCATTCGCGGTGAGGGGTCCGTCGAGTGGTTGTAGAAGGTCATAATCTTATAATCGGGAGCACTTTGGTCTTCTTTGACCTGAGAGAATTCCACCTTGGAGGCTTCGGGCTTAGCGGCCGTCTCGCTGACATCTCCGGTGGAGTTGGAGACGTTCGCCTCCCGTGGAAGCTCTTCAGAAGGCAGGGTCATTGTCTTTGCTGTCGCTTCTCAAGACAGTTTCAACTTATCAATTTATGTTTGAGGTGTACTATTTGGGAGTTGAAGGTGGCGAGGGACGTGTAAGCTGAATTGCCGGGACAAGCTTTATTATTTATTATCCATAACAGACACTACCAACGGGACAGTATCCTAGGTAGCCATGTGACTAGGTCTAGGCTTTCTAACGTCAGGCAGCACAGCATGAAGGCTTGCATGTTGACCCTCGGTAGATCGGAGGAACTCCTCTTTCTCGGGAAGCCCTCCAGTTATAAAAGGGCGCGAACCGTTCTTACCCACGGAATATCATCCCCTTTGCAGCATAGCAATTTTAAGGCGAACGCTGACTGCGTCTCGTGTCGCCAGAGAAAGAGGGGGTCGAGGTCTCATGGTTGCCTGAAAATCTTCGTCTCGAGTGCTAATTCGTCGGAGCCAGCAGATGGGCCGCATGTCGTGTAGCACAGGCGAAATCAGCGATGCAGGTAGATGGGGGCACTGTCATAACCTGCATGTTTGTAGCCGGATCCGGACGGAGTTAGTCAGACGACGCTGACTTGCAATGTCAGGATTGCCCGCCCACATTGAGAGCGGAGTTGCATACAAATCCCGCATCCTGTTGCAATCATTTTCGATGCCTAACAGCCCCCGAAAGAGAGCTCGCCCCAGCCCGACTGCCAATCGAAGTGCCGCTACCGCTTGGACTGGGACGAGCGCCGCGTGCCTGCATGTCGTACGGGACGCAAGGGAATGCCGCTATCCACCACCACATTACAAAGATCATTGTAACCCCCAATGATCTATCTATGCCCCATATACTAGAGTAAAGTGAAAATATCCTTGCCTCAAATCTAGGTGTTACACTAGACAGGCACACGTGGGCATTAGGGCATCCGGATCTGAATCGTGGTCTCCAGCTCCTCTCATCTCCGTGTCGTATCCGTGTCATGATCTCTGCGGAGAGACCACATTTCCCAAGTTATGTTTCCTTTTCAAGCAGAGAATAATACCTTATTTTCATAGATGTAAATGAACTTGCATTCACAAAGGCTGTCGATGAGAATGTGCATCCCAGCGTTTGGCTTTGGCGAGTGTGTAAAGTTTGTCTTAATGTACGCTGTAATTTGAGGATCGGGAGGCTTAATCAGAATCGTCTGGGAATTTGGCTCGAGGTCGACTCGGCCCAAAGTAGAAAAATAGATGACAGAGAGGACAGAGATGATTATGGGATGTGGGACTTCGTTTCTGTCCAGTTCATGCCGTATTCGCATGCAGAGACTGTGGAAGACGGGACCGGGTGTGAATTGTGCGCCTGTTCTAAAACATATTCTGCTCGTCTGCTACATGAGGGAAACAAAAACAAAGACAAAAGAGAGTTGTTGGAATTTTGGATCTGGCAAACTGTTAACCCACGTAGATACTGGGTGAGTGAGTCTCTGTGCTCTTTCTTGTGGTACTTTGCGACCAATGCAACAACCCCCATCATCGAACAAGTCCGTCAGCCAACATCGCCTCCGAAAGAAAGACTTGGCCATGACGGCGTCGCCAGTTCAGACTTTCCGTGGCAGCTGCAGACCCTCCTGCATGAAAGCGCGCCTCGCGAAGGAGAATAGCGTATATGTTATGGACAAGATCTGTGTGAGGAGAGCATGGGTACAGATGCAGAGGTGGCAGATCACTCCACCTCTACCAGCCACGATCTTGTTTTTATTTACAGTTTTGTTATAATATGCTTAATTCAACTCGTGGCTCAGTTTTCAGACATGGTGGCGACGTATTTGTGCTTTGCGATTGCTCCTCATCATCGCGCCTGGGTTCAAGATGCAGACGGCATCGCCACCTTCTTTGAGTCTTTAATACATGCTGTCATGACAGCCCACTGCAATGGTGGGTCGGACCGAAGGTCTGTACTGAGTTCGAGCAATGACTATCCAGTTCGGCACAAACTCCCCAATCCCTTAAGATATACTCTCCCAGTTCAATCTCATGAAAACATTGCTGGGGGAGTGCGAGGGTGGCTTGAAGTGCAGAGCCGAACGTTACCCCCCGTACATTACTGAGAATCAAAGCTAACGAAAAGAGGTACTTGAAGGAAAGTCGTGTCGTTTGGAACTAGGATGGATTGGGAGATGGAATTTGCTCATGGGGCTAAATGGTAAACAAGTTCGCCGTGCCCATCAGAGCAGCTCTCCGGGGCGGAAAGGACTTGGAGGGCGGCCATGCAGGTCCCAGGCAGGTCCATTTCCCGCAATGGAAGGCTAGATTCACGACTTTTGGTTCCTGTCGACCAGGGACCTAGCCGTCACACCATGCCCACTTTTAGTAGCGATCAGGGGGACCCTAATTTCCGTCTCCGGCGCCCAAATCCGTCGCCGTGGGGTTAAGATCCAACCATTCTTGATCATCGTTTCCACAAGTTCTTGCATATAACGAGATTCTCATTGGCTTAAACAATCGCTTTCCCACAGCTGCAGGAGACAAGCTTTGAACTGCACTAGTTTAGTTGTAGTGTTGAAGTCGGCGGAGCTGATATTGTTGATGTTGGCATTATCAAACGTTAAGACGCCATCGCGTCTTGGCATCGGCGCCACTTTGAGCAAGATTGAGCGTATTTTCTCAGCTTTAGCCGCATCCGTCTCTCGCATCCGGAAGCGCTTCCGCCCACCACGGGACGTTTCCTTCCTAGATGAGAGATCCTTGACGCTTTACTGCGTCGGCGGTGGTGGGATAACGCTAGTGAACAATGATGCGATGGACTCGTGATTTTGCAATTTTGGTAAATTGGAGCAAGATCGTTGGGGGCCACCACCTTGGCTATTTAACTGCTCATCTGCCCTCGACGTTCTGATGCCATTTCTTTTGCCCAAGCTCTATCCCAGGTCTCTTGTTTGCTCTCGTCTCACACTAAAGCTAAAACAAATCACACTCGTTTTGAAGAATCAAACCAAATCACAATCGTTCAAAATGGTCAAGCCAACCGTCTGCCTCACTCTCTTTGCGGCCGCCGCTCTCGCCGCCAGCCCTGCCCGACGCCACGAGGGCCACGATCACGGTGACAACTCCGTAGCCGTCAGCAGCGATGTTCCCGCAGAGACGAGCACCACCGGCCACGAGCACCACCACGAAGAGCCCTCCGCCACCGTCTCTAGCGCAGCTCCTGCCGAGACGACCCCGGTCCACAGCCACGATGGCGGTGAACACCACGACCACGGAAACACGACCTCGTCGGCGTCCGGCAGCTCTGCGCCGCCCGCGTCGACGTCTTCTGTCCCCGTAGCGGGCGCCAGCACTACTGGCCTCTCTTGGACTTTGGCCGCTGCTGTCGCTGCCTTGGTTGGATATATGGCCTAAGTGCTTGGAAGAGAATATGATTTGAAATGAGAGAAGAGGAAAGGGGTTGGGGGGAAGGAACATGGTTGACTTGTCATGATATCTGTGATATCTGGTTGTACGGAAGGAGTTGACTGGTTATAATGCTGTAATGCGATGTTAATTATACGTGTACATGTGCACTTAGCAATTAAGAATGTGACTGCTAGGACCAGCCATTGAAGTCGAGCAGAATATGAATCCGCTTGACGGGTTTCCAGTTTTTACGTATCAGCTGAAAGCGAAGGAGGAGAAGAGGGTCTCGTCACAAGGGCCTTGGACCCCATGTTCATGAACCCCACTACGCCATACCACATTAAACACTCAGGCCTACTTGGTACATGGGTAGATCAGGAGTGTTTTAGACGTTGTATCGCTCTGCCAGGTGGCCGTTCATGAGTAGGAGGCGGCGTAGGAATGCCGAGCCGCGACCGGTGTCCAGCGTTTGCATCATGTTGAATCTCAAGCTGCAAAGGAAACTTCCTTGAAGCGGCAGTCACAAGAACAAGGCACTGATTTGACTCTTCCACACATCACTCTAAATTGAAGTCCGGGAGCATCTATTGTGGGCCACCCAGCTACCTAATTTCGCTCTTGGCCCTGACAATACTTATTCGCTCCCAGTCCAGCCACCCCAAACGATGGACTTGGTTCTAGCCTTCGCATCACTGACCGATGCCAGCGAAGAAGCATTTCCAGTCAATATGAGTCGATTTCGTTATGAAATTGCACTGAAAATCAAGGCACGACCAATTTTCCATGGTGAGAATGGCAAAGGTGAATCAATTCAATATCGATAGGCCTCAGAAAACAGTTTCGCATCGTCCCAGGCCTATTGGTGTCTAGTTTCTGCGGGGCGCCTGCCTATCTGCCATAAGATTACTAGCCCATTCACCTTCCCTCACTAGCTTGCTTCTCTCGAATCTTCTTCAACAGAAAGGGATAGACCCCGTTCGCCGGGATCTGTGGACTGCCTGTTCCAGGATGACTACAGCATCGTGATTTAGCTGCTCGGGCGTCATCTCCACCCATGGATGTGACGGATAGAAGAAGTCCCGTGCATCTGTCGTAATCTTGTCCGCCATCATACGGTACTCGGGTGAGCCTCTGGCAATGTCGTGAACCTGTGCTGTTTTTTGCATCCAGATGTCGTGGAATCTAGATCCATCAAGAGTATACGAATTGGTCGTAAACCAGAACATGGGATGTCTAAGTGTGTGATCCGACTCGCGCATCTCGCTCAGATGCTTGATAAGCCCCGCCGTCTCGCTGGCGCCGAGGTTCGAATAGGCGTTCTCGAGGTATCGCCTAGCGTTGACGATGTCGTCAGAGTCCTCCGAAAAATAGGGACTCCCGCCTCGGGTTAGCGCGGTGCGACAGTCCTCGAACGAATCGGCGAGGGCTCTGAACAAGTCTCGATCCCTGACAATGATGCTTGGGTTATCCCGCGTCAGGTTGCCCACGGCCGAGTGCATCCTCGATAGGCTGTAGGCGTGGAAACCGTAGCTGCGATTGAAGAGCTGCTGGACGACCAACTGCCCATCAGGAAAGTAGCTATCGATCCCGGACTGGTCAAATTGCGTATGGGGAGGGTTGAAATCGGACGAGGGACCTTGAATGTTCTGGACGAACTCGTAAAAGTTGCAGACTTCGGTCAGATCGGCGCCGACGCACCCTGAACCGGCCTTGGCGTTGTCAGCGCCGTACATGGCGGCCTCCATCTTGTAAACATAGTAGGCATGGAGAATAATGTACGCGAGGCCGGCTCTCCGGAGCTGGCCTGGGGACTTGACCCTGGGCCGCTCTGGGTCGAGCAGCACTGCTAAGGTTGGCGATGCTACGGATGAGAGGAGAAGTACCATGAGGTAGGAAAGACTTGAAAGTTTCATTTCGTGAGATGTACGGTAGTCGACGTTGAGAAATGAGACTCTAAATTGGAGCTTAGAGGTTGTGAGTAGAAGAGGCGGAATGGGGGATCGATAGGGGATCCTCTGAAGCGATGTGCTCCTGGAAGTTGACGGATGCTTCCTCAATACGACACCCTTCCTATTGTTGCTTCCGATACACGAATCGAGTGAAAATCGAGTCAAAATCACGTTCATGCGATGGTGAATCACTTGAATTATTTAAGTAATGGCTCTTCTCCAACCTCATCGACATCGGGCGTTTCTTATTGTTCCCTTCTCTCAATTCCGCGTAGTATCTACCGAGTCTCTTTCACATACTTCCTTCCTATACTGTCCATCCTCGATTCAACTAACTACACATTCTCCCCCTCCCCGGCATACCTCTTACTCTACGCCCCACGGTAAAACCGCTCGAGAGTATCAACATGACATCGCGATCACACCCTCCCTAGTTGCCTTGCTGGCAATCATAGTCGGCTCGGTGACCTCAACCTCTTCTCCACGAGCTCTGGGGCTTACGGGCAACGATACTTCCGACTTTGGTAGATCCCGAATGGCTTTTTACGATGCCTTCAACACCAAGGACCGCCCCAACTGCTACGATATCAATGTCTCCGCAATCCCGGATTACTTCAGTCACATTCACTTCGCCTTTGCCGATCTAACCGCGGACTACCAGCTCGATGTCAGCCGCACCAGCGACCAATTTGAGGCCCTCAAGAAGATGCCCAACAAGAAGATCATCTCCATCGGAATCGGAGAGAAGTTCAACAGCACAATGTCTAAGATGCTCCATGCGGGCGTGCAGAGTGACAAGGCCGACCTTTTTTCCCAGAGTATCGGCGCGTTTATCGATTCACATGGCCTTGATGGTGTCTCTCTCGCCTGGAGCCCGTATGCCGGGGAGGTCGACCAGTATATTTCATTTCTCGGTACCTTGAGGAGCCAGCTGCCGGCCGGAAAGACAATCTCCGTCGCTATCGACAGGCATTTCCAGGATCCGAAGTATAAGATTAAACAGATCGCTGATGCTATCGATCACTTTATCTTCAAAGCTTTCGATTATCACGGATATCTAGATGTTCTCTCCCAGCCTCAACTGTACGTTCCTCACTCTTCCCGTTCCCTTTCCTTCCCACCCTACCTCCTAGAAAAAAAGGAGAAAAAGAAAAAAAAAGATACTAACAAGTGGGCGTCCCCGAATCTACAGGATTGACTGCCCAGAAGGACATTGTCAGGTCTCATGTCAATTGGACTGAAACTGAATTGGCCTTGTCCAGTTTCACCAATTCTGGAGTCCCCTCTACGAAGATCTTCATCGGCATGGCCCACCATGGCAGAAGTGTCAAGTTGGCCGACGCCGAGTGCTTTAACACTACCTGTCAGTTTCTCACAGACATCCCCATCTGAGGAGAGTGCACCGACGCCACGGGATTTCTCTCCGAATACGAAATCCTCACCCTCCGCACGGAACTAGATCCTGCATTTGAAACTTATTTCCCGTTCGATGAAGACGACAAGGATAAACCCCCCATTGTCCGGGACATTTACGATTCCGCGTCCAAGGCCAATATCTTCATCTATAACGACGATCAGTACATTTCTTGGCTTGATAGAGAGGCCAGGATGGATTGGTTTAGCGCGCTTGTCGACTATGATATTGGCGGCATCGTGGACTGGATGTACGATCTTACCTTTGGCGTTGATACCCTCATCAGGCCCATGAAGGCCAACGACACGAACATTGCTCCTCGGTGCGACTTCAGCCGAAAATTCAAGGACCTCAACGAAGTGGACAGAGCCATGTCGGAAGAAGGCGTGAACCCGGAATGCGCCGGGTACTACTCCCTCATAGCGCTCGAAAGCATGCTCGATGATGCAATACAGGCGTACGAGGACATCGATAGCGATAACTTCAACGAGAACTGGGACTCATACGGGAGCCACATCAACAACACCATTCAGATCCAGCTCGATAGGTGCATCAACTGGATAGACAATGGTCCTTGCAACAAGTACTTCCATTGCGCAATGGAGGAGGCGGACCAGTTCTTGGATGAAGGAACCTGTCCGTTGGGCAAATACGACCCAGCCCGCTTTTCCGATTACGTTGTCACATACACTCTAGAAGACGAAGACGGTTTTTACAGAACACTTTCGGAGGAATACGGAATCGAGAGGGACTGGGTCAAGTTTGGCGAGACTCTAGAACAACAGAAATGCCACACTCAACCCCAGCAGTCCGACAGCCCACAACACGACGGACCGGGACGCCGCCTGTCCCGGCGACAAGAGTGCCACTCCTACCGACGGGAAGTCAAGAACAAGCCCATGAAGGCCGACGACATCCAGGTCTCCAACCCCAAGGAATTAATCAAGCAAGTCAGCGCAAACCTCACAAGCATCCAGGCCGCCTTCACCGAGCAGCGCATGGCCATCATCTCGAGCCTATGGAATGGAACCTACCACGAGCCGGCCGAGGCGTACTCCATGCCCGTCTTCATGTTCATGCAGGCCGTCGAGTCGATGAACCAGGCCGCCGCGATCGGGGAAGAGTACCGAAAGGAAAAGGACGAGAAGAAGAGGAAAGAAATGGTTCTCTCGATCATCACCGGCATGCTCATCTTCATCCCATTCGCCGGAGAGGCAGCTGCCGCCATCGGTTGGGCCTCGTCCACCATTGCGAAGATCGGCATCCTTATCGGCGCCGCGGGGGACGCTGGTCTTATGGGCGTGGACCTTGTTCAGAATCCGGAGGCAGCTCCGATGGCCGCTCTGGGGATGCTTCTCATGGGAGGTGGCGCGAGAAGTGCTAAGCGGGTTGCCGAACTTGCGGAGGCGAAGAAGGCGATGGGTGGCGATGATCTGGCTAAGCTTGGAGCGGTATTCAAGGCTAATGAGGACAAGTTACAGGCGATTCTCAATGTCTGTCGCAAGCAGTGAAGCTCGACTCGAGCGACGTGTATAGGAAAGTGAGGAAGAACTGGTGCGGATGGTTAATACTACCCTGGCAACAGCCATATGGCTGACAACCCGGGTTGGTGATAAAGAACTAAAAGAGGCCGCATAACAGCCAGAGAATTTAGATCATTGTACAGCTCAACTCGGTATTGAATGCCTCCGTAATATGTAATTAACTTCCTCAGTTCGATTTCTCCTTAGGCCATGTCTAGTGATGTTGATGTTGTGGTTGAGAGCTTAGCCATGCCTGGCTGCCTAGACCGACTCGAATTTGACCGGATCCGAGGGTCACACAGGCAGGGCACTAAACTTAGGTATGCCCTGTCCAACAGTGCAGCACAGGCACCGCATTCCGATACCCTAGTTAAGCGAAAGATGCGGAAGTGTTCGTCGTTCGGTTTCATTTGATGATCCTATCTCCTTTCAGACGCCAACCTCGCGCCATATCTCCATGGCGCACGGAGCTGAAGACAATTATGTACTATTGCTGGTATTCTATTCAGCGGTGAGAAGTTTCACAGGCCGGATCCACATCTCAGACAGGGGTTACATTTAGGCAGGAGGGCTTCTGCCTAGAGCCAGGGATGGAATTGCCCAGGATGCCGGCGCTTCCCTTGTCTCCCTTGCCTTGGAGGCATGGAAAGGGGTCAAGGCGGTCCTGGCCTCGCATCTGTGGCGTGAAAGATTGCACGTTCCCATCCCTACACGGAAGCGTCCTTACTCTAAGAAGCAGAGTCTGACCAGATAAATTCAATGAACATCCCGTCAGTCAAGCAAGATATAGCTCATCCTCTCCATCCATCCATCCATCCATCCATCCATCCATCCATCCCTACATCCACCACTTCAGCTCACCTTGATCATGGGGTAGGTTAGACTCCAAAGCTTTACAGACGCACACAGCATGATCTGACACACCTAGGTATACTCATTACTGGACCATCAAAGACGCCGCTTCATGGCGCAAATGCCTACCGCAATTGGTGGATGATAGCGGTCTCATCATCAAGCATTCCGGCGTCGCCATCTGTGGCAACGATTATGACTTGCCCCCGATGCTCGACAAAGACGAGGGCATTTCTATAAACGGGAAAGATGAGTGAGTAATCCGGTTCCTGCACACAAAAGCAAAGACATTATGTCGTGTTCATAACACCACTAAGCCATCTCAGTGGATTTGAGCCCTTCTGTCTTGCCCTCGATGAGGGATTTGACTTCTGCAAGACTGGGAGGAGACCGTATGATTTGGTGGTGTGCGCAATTCTCCTGAGGGCTCATCAGCTGGCACCGAAGGTTCTGGATATCCAGTATGTCCTTTCCCCCTGCTATCCGCGTTTTCGATAGCGGAGGCTAACCAGTGAGCAGCTCCGATGGCCGTTGGAATGAAGTGGGGTGGCGGAATGCTCGCGAGTTGATCAATCAACTTTGGCCGGATGAAGCCGTAACTTGTCCTTGGGGAGACGCACCGGACGAGTGAGCCAGTTGACATGAGGATGAGTCCAGACGGGGAGTGAATAGATAACGGTGACAAGGGCATACATAGTAGGGTCTGTCTCATTTTGAGTGGCCGACTTATACAGAGAACAGTAGATGGGTTTTTATTATATATTTCGTTATCCATTACCTTAAAACACTCCAGTTTACAAGAAAACATTTTGATACCTCGGGACCCTTCTTACTCTTTACTTGGCCCTGGGAATACGCCGCCTTCTGTACCCTCTTCCGGGGCAGAAGACGCCCACGATTAAAGACAATGGACCTCACAAGGAGAATCCCATTTCTAGTCCCTACCCCATCGGAAGAGTTAGAGCCCATTCAAGTTCCATACGTTGGCACCCAGGTGATGTCAGGTATTCAAAGCCTGAATACATCGAACTGGTCTTCCGTGATAATATCCTGCCAGCTTGTTTGCATTCCGCCATTCTCGCGGCGTTGCCACAGCGCCTTCACCATATTTTTCAGCACGACCAAATTCCTGAAGCCGAGTTTTTGCCTTACATGGAACCAGGAGAGGACACGCGCCTGCAAAGCAGAGGTTCCACACTCCGATGCTATGACGATGGCGGGCCACATCATGATGGAGCCGGCTTCTCCTTCTCCAACCTCCTCGATAGCTTCAAGTTGCCTCACACCTTGCTCGACAATGGTCTGCACTGTCTCGACGGGAGCACGCCGTACGGAGCGCTGGAAGAATACAAGCGAGGCGTAGTAGAAAGCCTGCGCCATGTGATGTAGCATGAGTGCGTGCTTCTTCGGGAGGGCGCTGTCTGTCCTCGCAGCGGGGAAGTTCAAGTACAGCTGCAGCTCGAATGCGTCAAGTTCCCGCGGCTCTGGAAGCACTTCATTCGCGATAAGAGTGTTCATGTAATCCATGTTTCTCAAGAACGAGGTTGTCGCTCCGTAGTAAGGGAAACACAGCTGTGCGTTGTCCCCCATTTTCTCCAGGAATGACTTCATTTGCTCACGCGGCACCTCGCATCCGCACAGGATGGCCATACAGACGATGTGCGACTGAAAATCTGACGAGATGTCCCGCGAACGCAGTTTTCCTAGATAGGCAATTCCACCATCGACGTGCATCCGCCACCGCCTGGTGTGACCTGAGATGGCCTCAATAGTGATGCAAGCCATGATAGCCATCGCAAAAGATTGGTCGCGGTGTTGGTCTACCTGGGTGAGATTGTGGCTCAAATGTCGGATGCCTTCTTCCTCGTGGTGCAGCGCCAGGACGTGATCTTCTTTCCGCGTCCGGCCGCTCAGCTCGTACAAGTTGAAGGCGGCGCAAGCACAGATGGCGTGGAAAGTTGCGATATCTGCGTTGGAGCTCGTTACGCTGGATGTGAGGCCCCGCAAGGCCATCGGCAGCATCAACGATCGGCAAGGGTTGTTGGGTTCGTCGATTAACACGAGCTTTCTGCTCGTGAATGTCATCCAGTGGTGGATCAGACGCTTTTCCGACCCAGGGATTTGAAGGAGGTCCAAGTGAGTTGGAGGACGGCTTTCGGCGGACCAACGGCCTACTTGTGGAGTTCCCACTACTAATTGTCGAGCGGTTCCAGGATGCGAGATGCCTTGTCTTCCAACAGCATCTTGGGAATGAAGGGGAGGGCCTTGGTGTGGAACTTCAAGAGGTGACGGCCCGGTCTCAAAGACGTCTTCCGCTGGTGTATGGAAGCCTAAACTATCGTCCCCAGGGCTCGGAAGGGAAATGGCTGGTGCAGATGCTGCTACGACGCCAATCTCGATCCGTCCAGGCCCAGAATTCTGTGCAGTCATCGACGGTTGCAGGGCTGAATTTGGCGACGCATCCCTGAGTATTGATTCCTCAACTGGCCCGGATTCATGTGGGCTCCGTGATGACTCCGGGAGCGGCTGCGGATCCGGGGACACCCCTGGGTTTGGTGGGTCCGATTCTCGTACTGAAAACACAGAGAAAATACCTCCCTCAGAATGCGGGTATCTCAAAGGCTCGTCATCAATCTGCGTGAGCATAGCGTCAACCTCTGGAGACGACAGGCGTGGGGCACAAGAAGACAGCAACTGCGTAGTCGATCGCCTGCTCGGCTTCGCTCTCGGAGCTCGGCCGGCCAGTGGCTCTTCTCTCTCTGCCCCTTGGTCGGGGTCACCAGTCGTCGTGAACCAGCTGAGGCGGATTCCGTATCCCTCGCAGGGGATCTTGGCGAGACGACACCTGCGGCAACTCGGGGTTTCCTCGTCACATTTGAGCCGACGCGACCGGCACGTCCAGCAGCCAGTAAATGTTTTGGTCCGTTTTCGTTTCCCAGGGTGCCTTGCCGCGAAGGGGGCAATCTCCCAGGTTCCGTCATCATCGTTGGGCTCGACCATGTTGTTGCTTGTTGTGGTAGGCAAGGAAACTACAGCAAGGTGGGCTCGGCATCACTTTCTCCCCAAAAGCCAAAAAAAAAAAGGAAAGCGGAGGCGATTACGATTCACTTCCTTGACCGCTTGAAATTGTCGAGCAGCAACAGAGCTCTCCGATTGGTTCGCTGTCACCTTCCAGAGATTAAAATCGTGGTGCTGGCTCTGATTGGGTCGTCGTAGCTTGCCCTGCCAATTTTTCTCGGCATACTTTGCCATCTTCTCGCTAAACCTTTCCTAGACGGCCGCACGTCACCCAAGCTCATCGGGTTTCCTCGCAAGCAAAGCAGGGATATACGACGTTTTAATCAAAAGGAGAGATGGGCCCAATTCCTATCGTGAGGAGACGTTGGACCGAGTATCTACTCGTACCAGTCGATCCGGGACATTTCCGTATATTTAAAAGAGTTTCCTGTCGAGGCCTACAACCCATTGCTTCCGGTTCCCCATCTTCCCCTTTCACCACCTCAAACCTATTCATCCATTGCCTGAGGTAGAAATGGGCTCGACCAAGCGCACCCGTACCGTGGAGGCGAAGAAGGGGGACGGAACCCAAACTCGACTCGACTCTCTGGTGAATGAAGGCGTCCCTGATGATCACATCGAATTCGGTGGTTCATTCGGCAATGCCGCACTCATAATCGGGTTTCCTTTACTGATGTGGTACATGTGGATCGGAGCAGAATACTACGACGGCCAGCTTCCACTCCCATCGCCCGACCAATCTTGGTCCGACTTCGCCCGCCATCTGTTTAACCTCGCGTACGAGGGCGCATTCCCGACAGCGAGAGCATGGAAGATCTACTGGGTCTTTTTCGGAACCCAGATGCTTTTCTACTACACTCTGCCAGGTGTCACAGGCTACGGCAAGCCTCTTCGTCACGAGAACGGGAAGCAGCTAAAATACTTCTGCAACGCCTATGCCAGCTTCTACACCACGATTGTCCTGGCGGCTCTCCTTCATGTCACTGGCGTCTTCCGCCTCTATACTTTGATCGATGAGTTTGGCCCAATCATGTCCGTAGCCATCCTCTCCGGCTTCCTCAACAGCATCATCGTGTACGTCTCTGCCCTCCTCTGGGGCAGGGGCCATCGGCTTACCGGCTACCCCATCTACGACTTCTTCATGGGAGCAGAGCTCAACCCCCGAATTGGGATTCTCGACCTGAAGATGTTTTACGAGGTTCGAATCCCTTGGTTCATCCTCTTCCTAATCTCCTGCGCCGCAGCCACCCGTCAGTATGAGACGTATGGGTATGTATCCGGCGAGGTTCTGTTTCTCGTCATGGCGCACTACCTCTATGCCAATGCCTGCGCCAAGGGAGAGCAGCTAATTATTACGAGCTGGTATGTAAACACTCTTATCCAAATCACCTAGTACTTCCATATGCTGACATGGCCAAGGGACATGTACTTCGAAAAGCTCGGCTTCATGCTGACATTCTGGAACATGGCTGGCGTCCCCTTCTCTTACTGCCATTGCGCCCTATACCTGGCAAGCCACGATCCCTCGACCTACCGTTGGAACAGAACCGCTTTGGTGGCTTTTACCGTTCTCTATCTCTTCGTCTACTGGGTGTGGGACACCACGAACAGCCAGAAGAATGGATTTAGGCAGATGGAACGCGGCCAACTCGTGCAACGCAAAACCTTCCCACAGTTGCCGTGGCAGGTGGTCAAGAACCCGCGAGTCATTGAAACAGACGCGGGTGATCGTATCCTTGCCGACGGCTGGTTTGGACTGGTTCGTAAGCCGCATTACCCCTGCGACGCGTTCTTTGCCACTGCCTGGGCCTTGATCACTGGATTCAAGTATGTATCGGCCGCTTCCGGCTCCTCCACTTTCCTTTTCCATAAACCAAAATAGGTCGTTAACTTTTCCCATTAGCTCGCCATTCCCCTGGTTTTACCCGGTCTTTTTCTGCATTATGATTGCTCACCGCACGAGAAGAGATGTCAAGAAATGCAGGAATAAATACGGCAAGGCTTGGGAACAGTACGAGAAGGAGGTTCCTTACCTCTTTATCCCGGTAAGTCTATATCTTCCCCAGGGCCATTCTGTCAATCACAGGCGGGCTAACTAGTCCGCAGTATGTTATTTAGATACCCTTAGGAGAGCGGAATATTCTTCAAGGCCTGCCGACTTCGATTAATGTATGACGAGGAAAATTACTGGGGAGCTGTAGCGTGTAGGCCAATCTGAGATGTTATTCGTGGTGCTGATGAGGAGCGGCACGGCCGAGTCCCACCTGTGCCCTTCAACTAGACGAGGGCCCGGGGAGAAGGTCCGATTCAGGACGTCGAACTTATCCATGAGAGCGCTACTTTGGATGTGGACAAGTAGCTGTGGCCGGGACCTTTTTCTGTATTCATATGCCTTGCCTGAAGCGGGAACGCTTGTTGATGACTTCGCGATGCTGATTGAGACCGAAGAGGGTTAATTTCATTGGCTACTCGAGGAGCGCGGCAAAGTAAAACATATTGCTAGGTAAATGAGGATTTTGTTATTACTTTTACTATCTTTAATTCTGCTTCCTTGGCTCGCCCAAGAAGAACACCAACTTCTTTTCCACCCGTAAATACTCCATTCATCCATTCACATTGCGTCGGCGACTAGACCGGGAAAGTGTTGTCGCTTATTGCCAGTTACCCCCAGCATTCCCAGTGCTCCCACACTCACTCGAAGCCGAATAGGAGCGGTTAGGATCCGACTCCCAAGTAACCGCACCATTGTCGCTAACCTTGATAAACTTGTACTGGAAGCTGGCACCAGCGGGGACACTAATAGATCCCCTCCAGAGAGGGTTGCTCTCCGTGTAAGCGTCAGCCAAAAGCGGCCTAGCGTTGGCCGTGTTCCAGGAGCCGAGCTCCTTGATGCTACCGACGACCTTGACGCTGTCACCCCACACGGTCGTTCTCAGGACGCTAAAGTTGACCTTGTGCAAGCAGGTGGTCGAAGTGGGCTCTGGGACACTAGCCGTGATGGTCTCGGTACCACCAGGGGTCTGGCTAGCCGGGAAGCTAACAGCAGTGGCGGAAACGTAGGCACCGTCGGCGGTAGACGCGGCGCAGGTGTTGGGGAGCTGAGGAGGGGAGGCGAGCCAGCCGAACTGGGGGCTGCGAGCGTTGGAGCGGGCCGCAGCGGCGGTGAGGAAGGCGGAGTAGGACCAGGTGAGATCACGGGCGGCCATAGGTGTTCCGTCGTTCTTGCTGAACTGCTCAGGCATGGAACCGTCGGTGTGCATGTACGTCTTGACGACGTTCAGGTAGCCGTCGGCATACGTGAAAACAGCATCGAGGACGGAGTCGTAGGTGGTGGTGCCGTTTTGATAGGTTCCCGCTGTGATGGAGGGGACGAGGTCCTTGAAGAAACCGAGAGAAGTGGATGTGACGGTGACGGAGCCCTGGGCCTTCCAGACGGCAATGGCGTCGTAGAGCTGCTCAGCGGCGGCGAGGGTCAGGAGGTACCAGGGATTGCCGTTGTAGTAAACATCCTCGATGTATCGGCCGACGGCGACAGCGGTGCCCTGCGGGATGCCGTTATTAATGGGCCAGGACCGGAAAGAGTCCGTGACGGCCTTGTGGTTCGAGAGGGCCTTGTCGCTGCATGGTTGGAAAGTGGTAGCGTCGCAGCCGAGACGGGGGTCGAACGAATGGATGGAACCGAGGATACTGTTGCCATCCTTGCCAGCGCGACCGGCGTTGTTGTGGACTGTTCAATCCATCTCGTTAGAATTTGGTGGGGAATTTAGCTGACAAGGGGAAGGCGACATACTGTTAGAAACCACGTAGCCAGAGTTGGACCAGTAGTTCTGAACAAGGCAGAGGACATGAGGAGCGATCTCATCGCAGGCCGTGCAAGTGGTCTGGAGCCGGGCGGCAAGAGCGCTGCCCTCGACGAGAGCTCGATACTGGGTGATGGAGGTGAAGAAAGAGGCACCGTTCACTTCCTCCCAGAGGTCGAATCCGGTGTTATTCCTAGATCCGTTAGTCTTGGTCAAAGCTGAATTTCCCATGACTGGGACCGCTTACCAGTAATGAGCAGTGTAGTAGAGGTCGTTGCGGATGACGGGCCAGACGATCTCTTGCGCGGTCTTGGGATAGCCATTGTCAATCAGCCACTTAGCATACTGAGACATGGCGATGGCCCGGAGAGGAGGGCCATCATGTTGCGGTCGGCCTGCCCGAAGTTAGATTACATTCCTGAACTGATCAGTGAAATCAAACTCACCCCAAGCACCAGTGAACTGGGTCAAGTCAACGTGGAATTTGGCTTCCCCAAGACCGCTTCCATCAACGAGGCCACCAGAAGGATTGTCTACACCCTGGAGCTTCGCCTGGGACACGATGTACTCTTGGATCTTTTTCTGCAGCGAGGCATCGTAATCCCCGGATGCGAATTGCTCAATCACCGTCTTGAAGACAAGGGCACTGTCGCGAGTCCAGGTATACCAGTCTATAATCATCAGCCACTATAATCGAATTAGGGCAACCAATGAAACTCACAGTCAGGATCACTCTTGGATGGGGAAGCGATGACAACGCCAGGCGAGACGCCCGCCGCTTCGCAGCCATCGGAGCCAATGTTGCAAAGCAGCTTGTGACGTGAAACCTGCGTCTCGCTCTCGACGAAAGAGTCGATAGCCGGGTTGCCGCTGACGGGGCACGCGACTACGCCGCGCAGGGCGGAGAGGACTAAGGCGATGGACGAGAGGGCGCGCATAGCTGCACAAACGATAGACTTTGAACTGGGAGATTCTTGAATTATCTCTAGCTGGAGAGCGAAGCCTTGATCCTGAGTTGCTTGAGAAAGATCATAACTCAAGCTTGGGAGACTCGAGATATTTATATATCCCGATTCACGATGATTGATATTTCGATCGTGGCTCTAGGTAGTTGCCATGACTTGGTGGTATCCACGAATTCCTCGCAACTGCTTTTTTCACGTGCAGGATCGCTTATAGCTTGCGTGGGTAACCCCGTCTATTCCGCTCGTTAACATCGAGCATTAAGACAAGTTCTGGGAACAAGCCGGGGAAGCACATCGAAGATGGCACAATCCCCGAATGTACGGGGTCTAGGGTAGCACGGATGAAAAGACAGCTAGCCCAGATGCAGAAAGACACCCAGGTAGGGTATCATCGGCCCTGTTCCGTCCCAGGTAGCCTACCATTCGGAGATACAATTGCAGTCCGAGCGTTGCTTTCATTGCTGAACTGCGTGCAGTGGTCGAGAGCTGACGATTCATGAAATAACTGGGAAAGGGGTGTCCAGTTACCATTGAAAGAGCTTTCTTTCCTCGTTAGCCTTTAGGCAAACTTGGGTTTTTGGTCGGGATGAATACAGAACGCAGGAGAACTCTGTCCCTCAACTATTCGCAGGTTCCATACATCGATCTCGGAGCTGATTATCAAGTGCGGAATCCAGTGAAAAATAGTAATAGGAATGCTAAGATAGTCCAGACCTAGTTGTAAGAGCCTGTAAGGGCATCGTTCTAGAAAAATGCCATCATCATTGGTTCGTCTCTCCATCGAGACAATGCAGGGTTATAGGCGTAGGCCTGAGCCATCACAGCGGAGCCGGGCATATCGCGGACAATGCATCCTTGGGTAACAGCGCGCCCCGCAGCGACGACTACTCGGTCCGACCACTCGCCGACATCCCCCCTTGGGGTTCCTGAGTCTGCCCTTTGCTTTCGGTCCGTATAACTCTATCCTTCTTCTCCCACGTGTTCAAGTTAGTCTCTGTATCCGAGGCCATATGCTCCCCAGATTTCCCCAACTTCTGAGCCGATGTCTTGAATTCATCTCAAGTGAATCGGCCCGCAAGATCTCCATATGCACCGCCAACCCCACTTCGAAATCTTGTTCGATTCCGCTCCTCTCCACCACCGCCTTGACATCACGTCGCAAAACCGATCCTCTTTCGGAAGTCCCCGAGGTGGCCGCCGAATCAGAGCCGCTTCTACCACTTACACCCCATAATCATCCGTCCTCCCCCTCATTGTTCAGGCCATGTGGCATACCCCGCAAGTTGCCAATCTCCAATTTATCTGCACCCCGCAGAAGCAAACCCCCCGTGCAGACAGACTTCTGGTGGATTCCGAGGCTGGTCTGACTTCCTGGCTCTCACAGCGCGAGGCTTGCGGGGGATTAGCTCCAAGTTGGCATTAGCGTTCCAAAAACCGCACGGCGATGTAAACGGAAAAGGGTATTGAGTATGTGGAGCTGGGCTCTATTCGACCGAGAACGGCTCTCCGCTTGAGGTGCCAATCTCGGCGAGATCAAGTGGATTTCTTCATTTTCCGTGGTAAAGGACGTGTTGCTCTTTATCCGCAGAGCGCCGATGCAAAATTTACCTCCGATAGTTTGTTGTGGGGGATTCATCCTGTCACCGTCTACTCCACGATCGCAAACACGCCCCCGGTGATAGTAGAAGATTTTTATCACACTAGCTACATGGATCAAAGTCTCTCGAACGTTTCACTGCGTAGGGCCTCCTGTGGGCGTTGGATCAATGCGACTGTCAGGTGGTGTCAGACACAACATAATATTGATAAACGCCGAAGACTCTTGTCAATAGACTGATTAGCCGAGCTTGTTCTCGGAATATCTTCCGCGTTCGACCATCGCTGGCATTGTCATTATTATTACCCTCGAGCTGGCAAGTTTTCATTATCGGACTAATTTGGGGACCTCCTGTCGATCCCGGTGAGAATCCGATGACCCAAGAGTCGTGGACCGAGCATCCGCGAGACAAGGCGAGACGAGTCTCTTCTCCCATAAAGATTAAGAGCTTGGATCGACATATGGCAGTTCTTCAACCACCTTTACATATTAGGGGCGTCTTTACACCGGCATGAATCTCATTGATCCGCCTCACCACATGCCAAGCCACTGGCTCCATGTCTGGACCTTCTCCGGGCCTTTGTAAACGCCGCGTTCGAAGCGAAACGTTTTCTGCGTGATTCGGAAGCCAGGAACCTTTTTAGCAAGAAATTTTTGGGTGGTTTCCACAAGAACCCTCAACTGCCCTGTCGTGTAGATGGTCAATTTCTGCATTTACATTCCGGGATGGGATGGAGAGGGAAGGAGCGCTTATACATTCTCTGCTCTCCACGAAAGTGACGGTCAGGACCTCCACGACGTTGGGGGCAGAGTGTCCGCCTAGGATCACAATCGTGCCCTTCACCGGAAACGCATTCCATGTGTTGTCGTTGTGAAATTTGACGCCCGTTAGATCGAAGTAAACTGTACCAGAAGAAAGCAGCCCTCAGCCGGAGTAACATTATTTGTGAAGAGATAAGACGGGATGAATTTACCGTACGCCCACTTCTTCAAAAACTCAACTAGCCACGCCAGATCAAGTTCCGCTTGCCTGGCATTTCTTCTTTTCATCTCCTCGAGTGTGCGGGCTTGAGCTTCCCTGGCATCTCGCTCCGCGATCCTGGCCTCTCGCTCCGCCAGATAATGCTGGAGTTTATGAACCCCCTGATGAACAAGGTAGTGCACGCCAGTTTCAACAAGACGGTCCATAATGCCACAGCCTAGCCCCAAGCTGAAATTCAGCCACCCTGCACAATTCATCCCATGGCCAATAAGAGAGTAGTGGGATGCTGTCAAAATCAATAGTCGGTATCGCTTCCAGATCTTCTTTATCTGATCCACCTGCTTCAGGTTAGTGTGATTTGAAGTCGACGCGAGGGGGAGAGACACGAATTTTTGTTTGGTTTAAGGTAGGGGAAGGATCAACCTCTGGTGTCGTTATCCTTCATGGTTGAGATGGTGCCAGTAGTGTACGAAGTAGAGCCAGACTGTATCACTAGACCAAGTTCCCCAACTTTAAATTTATACTTTGCTTCATACCTGCTGTATTGCGACGACAAATAAATGAAGTACTTGGTGGTTTTAGTTAGCCTCCCTAGACTCGATGGAGTTCCGCCTTAGGGTCAACCTCGTTCCGCCAACCTGTGGGAAGCGGCCCCCAAATTCTCTCATCTCAGAACGAGCATGTACTTGTACGCATGCATCCCGACGCATTTGCTCGTGGCGAGTCGCAGGCTCATAGCGAGACAACAGTTACAGTGCTCTCGGCGGCTTCCGAGCAGCCACAACCCAAGACTGGACAGATCAATTGCTCCAGGCACTCGCATGATAGGGGTTAATCCCTCTGAAATTGCAAGCTTTTACAGATCGGAGCAAGCCGGGCTATCTTATCCTTCAGCACGATATCTAATGACTTCCACGTGTTCTCAGCTCCAGCCGTACGTACACTTGCCTCACACGATCCTGCGTCCAATTTCAATATATTCTGTCAGTGCGCTGCCTGATGCTATTTATCTCGCCTTTTCAAGGAGCACAGCCCGACGTCGTGATATAGGAGCTCGTGCAATGTCGTGAATCCCACGATAATACCTGGTCACTCAAATTTCAGGACCGCCTTCCTTTCTCCTCTGAGAGTCTTGCTTGGCACGCTTCGTTCGTAGACTTTGGGGCCAATACAGCCGGGATCCTTTCGATAGAGTTTGAAGCTGTTGAGGGGGTCGAGGGCGATGAAGATGGACTGCCAGGACTGAGGCTGGCGTCTTCCAAGACTATTCAACGCTTGTCCGGCGAAGGCGACTTTACGCGGTCTTTTAATGTGAGCCCTTCTCCTGTGATAATTCCATACAAAAAGCTAATTTAATGATAGGCGCCAGGAGGTTCAGTGGATGCTCTCACATAGGGAACAGACCAAGTAAGAGCCAAGTCTACTAATATAGTCTCATCTGTCGTTCCTCTCCACTTGCCCACGTTCACTATTCCGCCCACCCTCGAATCACTAGTTTCTGTCTGACCATGGGCGTAGATTGCGGGCAAATCCTCTAGGTTTACCTCGACCAATCGGCTGGCTTGCGCATATCCCGAGAAAAAAAGTCTGCTCCGATGGTCTCCACGGCTTCCGTTGCCTCCGAATCTCTCTCGACCCGTTGCCCGAGGACGCACTGCACACCACATCTCAGGGTACTGTTATAATTGCCTCTATCTCGCTACGAACGTCTGCGTTTCTCGGCACACCGGATGCCTTTACGGGGAATTTCGACTGCTCCGATGAAGGATTCACCCAATGGTGGTATGACGGCGTGGACACGAATCATTTGGCCTAACAGCTCTAGATACCCTAAACATCACATCAAGAGATTCACTCGCCCTTGCCCGTCCCCCGAATTTGCCGAGAACACCGACTCACTAAAATGGTTCCACGTCGCAGCATGGGTAGTGATCGCATTTCTCGTCGCCTCCGGCCGCAGCCTCAAAGGTGAGCCAGTTCCAGACAACAGTCTCCAGCTTGCAGACGGGAATCTGGATAAACCCAGGGGCGCTAATAGCCGGCATGGGGTCGGCGTTCTCAGAACCCATCATCATGTCCACTATGCCCTTAGTTGAGGCCTTGTATGGGTTCTTCTTGTTGTTCTCAAGCCACCCGCCGACAGCAGAATACACCATGCCTTCACGACTAATCCCATCCTTCTCCATACGGTCCCAGCCCTTGAGCTGAGTGAGGCCCTTATTAGGTCGGAAGGTAGCCAAGAGCCAGTAGGTATCGCCCTTGAAACGTACGCGTGTGGCCTCGAGGTCCTTATCGCTAGGCATAGCGTCTTCGAGGCTGAACAGCGGCGAGTCCACACCATCGCTGTCGGGCTTCTTCGCGTCACCCTCGCCGTAGATAATGACAGGGTACTGC